AGTGGGGCAAGAGGGGTGAAGGTGGGTTGCGAGGGGTGAAAGTGGGGCAAGAGGGGTGAAAGTGGGGCAAGAGGGGTGAAGGTGGGTTGCGAGGGGTGAAAGTGGGGCAAGAGGGGTGAAAGTGGGGCAAGAGGGGTGAAGGTGGGTTGCGAGGGGTGAAAGTGGGGCAAGAGGGGTGAAGGTGGGTTGCGAGGGGTGAAAGTGGGGCAAGAGGGGTGAAAGTGGGGCAAGAGGGGTGAAGGTGGGTTGCGAGGGGTGAAAGTGGGGCAAGAGGGGTGAAAGTGGGGCAAGAGGGGTGAAGGTGGGTTGCGAGGGGTGAAAGTGGGGCAAGAGGGGTGAAAGTGGGGCAAGAGGGGTGAAGGTGGGTTGCGAGGGGTGAAAGTGGGGCAAGAGGGGTGAAAGTGGGGCAAGAGGGGTGAAGGTGGGTTGCGAGGGGTGAAAGTGGGGCAAGAGGGGTGAAAGTGGGGCAAGAGGGGTGAAGGTGGGTTGCGAGGGGTGAAAGTGGGGCAAGAGGGGTGAAAGTGGGGCAAGAGGGGTGAAGGTGGGTTGCGAGGGGTGAAAGTGGGGCAAGAGGGGTGAAGGTGGGTTGCGAGGGGTGAAAGTGGGGCAAGAGGGGTGAAAGTGGGGCAAGAGGGGTGAAGGTGGGTTGCGAGGGGTGAAAGTGGGGCAAGAGGGGTGAAAGTGGGGCAAGAGGGGTGAAGGTGGGTTGCGAGGGGTGAAAGTGGGGCAAGAGGGGTGAAAGTGGGGCAAGAGGGGTGAAGGTGGGTTGCGAGGGGTGAAAGTGGGGCAAGAGGGGTGAAAGTGGGGCAAGAGGGGTGAAGGTGGGTTGCGAGGGGTGAAAGTGGGGCAAGAGGGGTGAAAGTGGGGCAAGAGGGGTGAAGGTGGGTTGCGAGGGGTGAAAGTGGGGCAAGAGGGGTGAAAGTGGGGCAAGAGGGGTGAAGGTGGGTTGCGAGGGGTGAAAGTGGGGCAAGAGGGGTGAAGGTGGGTTGCGAGGGGTGAAAGTGGGGCAAGAGGGGTGAAAGTGGGGCAAGAGGGGTGAAGGTGGGTTGCGAGGGGTGAAAGTGGGGCAAGAGGGGTGAAAGTGGGGCAAGAGGGGTGAAGGTGGGTTGCGAGGGGTGAAAGTGGGGCAAGAGGGGTGAAAGTGGGGCAAGAGGGGTGAAGGTGGGTTGCGAGGGGTGAAAGTGGGGCAAGAGGGGTGAAAGTGGGGCAAGAGGGGTGAAGGTGGGTTGCGAGGGGTGAAAGTGGGGCAAGAGGGGTGAAAGTGGGGCAAGAGGGGTGAAGGTGGGTTGCGAGGGGTGAAAGTGGGGCAAGAGGGGTGAAGGTGGGTTGCGAGGGGTGAAAGTGGGGCAAGAGGGGTGAAAGTGGGGCAAGAGGGGTGAAGGTGGGTTGCGAGGGGTGAAAGTGGGGCAAGAGGGGTGAAAGTGGGGCAAGAGGGGTGAAGGTGGGTTGCGAGGGGTGAAAGTGGGGCAAGAGGGGTGAAAGTGGGGCAAGAGGGGTGAAGGTGGGTTGCGAGGGGTGAAAGTGGGGCAAGAGGGGTGAAAGTGGGGCAAGAGGGGTGAAGGTGGGTTGCGAGGGGTGAAAGTGGGGCAAGAGGGGTGAAGGTGGGTTGCGAGGGGTGAAAGTGGGGCAAGAGGGGTGAAAGTGGGGCAAGAGGGGTGAAGGTGGGTTGCGAGGGGTGAAAGTGGGGCAAGAGGGTGAAAGTGGGGCAAGAGGGGTGAAGGTGGGTTGCGAGGGGTGAAAGTGGGGCAAGAGGGGTGAAAGTGGGGCAAGAGGGGTGAAGGTGGGTTGCGAGGGGTGAAAGTGGGGCAAGAGGGGTGAAAGTGGGGCAAGAGGGGTGAAGGTGGGTTGCGAGGGGTGAAAGTGGGGCAAGAGGGGTGAAGGTGGGTTGCGAGGGGTGAAAGTGGGGCAAGAGGGGTGAAAGTGGGGCAAGAGGGGTGAAGGTGGGTTGCGAGGGGTGAAAGTGGGGCAAGAGGGGTGAAAGTGGGGCAAGAGGGGTGAAGGTGGGTTGCGAGGGGTGAAAGTGGGGCAAGAGGGGTGAAAGTGGGGCAAGAGGGGTGAAGGTGGGTTGCGAGGGGTGAAAGTGGGGCAAGAGGGGTGAAGGTGGGTTGAAAGGGGTGAAGTTGGATGTTGAGAGAGGTGGGCAATGGAGGGGGTGGGGAGTGCAGGAGGAGGGGGGATTCAAGTGAGCCGGGACGTGGTTGTTGACGCCACCTTGTTCTGAGAGTCCCAAGTTCTCAACCCACCCTCCGCCCTTCTTCTCCCCTTCCTGCTTCCCCCCTCCACCCTTCCAACCTCTCTTTCCCCGCCAGTGATTGATGATGCGATGTGCGAGGCACGATTGTGGGCGATGCGAGCAGGAGGAGCAACGGACTTCTACATGTGTGAAGTGAGCCGCCACCTTGTCACGAGCTGTCTCAACCCCTGCTGTTTTCCCCCCCCTCGCTTGCCCCCCCAGTGATAGACGACGCGATGTGCGAAGCCCGGTTGTGGGCCATGCGGGCAGGAGGAGCGACGGATTTCTACATGTGTGAAGTGAGCCGCGACGTGGTTATCGATGCTACCTTCCGCGGGGGCTATGGCCGCTTCGTCAACCACAGCTGCGCCCCTAATGCTGAGCTGCAGAAGTGGTGAGAGAATGCACAAGTGGTGAGGCGAGGCTGTGGGCGATGGGGGGAAGAGGGGGGTAGCGACAGACTTGAAGTGAGCCGCGACGTGGTCATCGATGCCACCTTCCGTGGGGGGCATGGCCGCTTCGTCAACCACTGCTGCGCCCCTAATGCTGAGCTGCAGAAATGGTGAGTGGGTATAAAAGTTATGAAAGAACGGAGAAGTGTCGAGGAAGGAAAGTGTGAGATACGTTGGAGTTGACTAAAAGGCTTTGTGAGCCGCAGGTGCAGTCAGCAGTGGGCTGCAGAAGTGGTGTGAGCTGCACTCTACATGGCCTTTGACTTTTGAGTCGACTCAAAAGTCATCCAGTTGACAAGGCTTTGTGAACCGTAGCTGCAGTCGACAGTGGGGCTGCAGATCTGGTGTGGCCTGCGATCAACTCAATGCTGCCCTCTTCCCGCCGCGCTCTGCCCTCTGCCCTCTGCCCTCTGCCCTCTGCCCTCTGCCCTCTGCCCTCGCCCTCTGCCCTTTGCCCTCTGCCCTCTGCCCACTTGCCCGTGCCGTGTATCTCCCATTCAGGCTGGTGGAGGGGCATGTGCGGGTGGGCATATTTGCTATCAAGGACATTGCAGTGGGCACAGAAGTGGCGTATGATTACAGGTGCCGTGCTGCCTGGCTGGCTGGGTGGTTGTGTGGTTGGATGGGCGGGTGGGCGGGTGGGCGGGTGGGCAGGCAAGCGGGCGGGCGGGCGGGCGGGTGGGTGGGGGGTGGGTGGGTGGGTGGGTGCTGGTATCTGCACCTGCAGCATGCACCTTCCTCTCTGCAAAAGACACCTCTCTCACGCTCACTCAACAATGCCTACATTGTTGCCTCAGCTGCTGCTAATATCGTTTGTTCTCGCCTCTCGTCACATCCCCACCCGGACGATTCTGTAGGCGTCTCAAGAATTACCTCAAGGCTCACTCAACAGTGACTAAGTGAACATCCATAATCACAGCAGCTGTCGTGTTCTTGCCTCCCATTTTTGAGTCGACTCAAAAGCCGCCTCAAGAATTACCTCAAGGCTCACTCAACAGTGACTATGTGAACATCCATAATCACAGCAGCTATTGTGTTCTTGCCTCCCATCCCATACCCACATGGACGCTCGTGGGTTGTTCACACAGATTTGTCAGCTTTGGCCCGAACAAAGCTTGCCAGTGCGGTGCGGAGCGATGCCGGGGAGTTATCGGGGCCAACCCTCCAACCTCAGCAACAGCCACTCCTGCGGAACCGGCACCTGCCAAACCAGAGAGGCAGGCCGGGACTGTACCTAGGGCGAAGCCCTGGAATAAAGAGGCGGGGGGGGAAGCAGGGCCGAGAAAAAGGGGGTTGTTCTGGGGTACAAGGGGTGCGCGATCGAGACGCATGCTGACGCATTTGACTCCCCCCTGGTGGCAGCAGCACCAGCAGCAGTGGCTGCTACACCACCTCGTAACATGATTCGTTACATTCTTTTATTAATTCGTGCGAAGTTTCTCTGTTTGCGGTTCGATTTGTTCCTGGAAAGACCACTTTTTAACTACGAACAGTGTTTCTGGCAGGTTTCATTTCCCCACCGCACCAGAAGAGGTAAAATTGGCAAAACTGCATGATTAGAGAGACAGAGGGCCACACAAAAGTGTCTCTGAGCTGACTTACGGTATGAGTAGACTCTTCTCCTCGACCTGCTCGGCTCTGCCATTGGCTAGAGACGGTCCTTTTCTCGGCATCAGAAGGACATTCTCCTTGGTTAAATCACGGTAAGGAATACAAAAGATACAAAGGAGAGCAAATTAGAGCACGAGTTAGTTCCTAGGCTAATCTAACACCTAATTTAGCAGCACTACCCGCCAGCCACCCCAACAGGCAAACGAGTGTCTAAAGAACATGCCACAGAGTTAGTTGCACAATTTCGTGCATTTCAGCAACACAGCTGCTGAAGGGGAAGCCAACATGGCTGCTGCTTCTGCTGTGCGCACTCGTGAATGATGCGTCATCACATCATCATGCTTCAAGCCAGGATGTTGCTAGTGTGGCTGCTGGCAGTAGTGGTGGTGGTGGTGACTGGTGATGCTGGTGGTGTTGGTGGGTATCCCCCTATGTTGCTCCAAGAATGGTGATGGGCTTCAGCTGCTATACGCCGGCCGGCTGCCTAAAAAGCAGCCCGTTATTTCCCTCTTCCCCTCGCCCCTCCCCCTCCTTTCCCCTCCTCCTTTCCCCCAACCTTCAGTTCCCCAGTTCTGCTACTTGCCCCAGAGGTTCTCCAGCCATCCTCCTTTCTTCGCTGCCTTGACTGGTGATGCAGACGTGTTGACTTTTGAGCCAACTCAAAAGCCAACTCTTTTCCCCAACCCGCCAGTCCCCCAGTTCTGCTACTTGCCCCAGAGGTTCTCCAGCCATCCTCCTCTTTTCGCTGACTTGGGAGGCGATGCAGACGCGTCAGCTGCTGCACTCGTTGGTTCTTGTGCTGCTGGCGGGGGTGCTTGGCCCTCTGCTGCTACGGGAATCGGGAGAGAGGGACAGAGCGAGAGGAGGGGAATAGTGAGGGGGGAATGATATAGGGACAAGGGGATCAGCTGTGCTTGTCGGTTCTTGTGCTGCTGGCGGTGGTGCTTGGCCCTCTGCTGCTTGGGGAATCGGGAGAGAGGGACAGAGGGAGAGGAGGGAGGAAGATTTATTTGAGATGGCTCGAAAAGGGTGTGAGGTCGAGGGAGAGAGGGACAGCCGGTGACTGCATGTCATACAGGCGTGTATGATCTTCTAGCACCTAGAGCAGACTGAAAAGCCACTTTAGACACCCCCACCCCCCCCCCCCCCCTCCCCCCCATGAGCCACGCCCCTCCACCCACCTTCCACGGGCCATAATGTAACCTTGAGCTATCATGCATGTGCCGTCCACCCACACTGCACCCACCAAATTACACACCACCACTTGATTGAGCCACTCACCTGTACTTGGTTGTTCCTCCTCCCGTCTCTCCATGCTCACTGCTGGTTGACTCAGCTCCTCGTCTGTCTCCCAAATTGGCCCTCCACCTCCTCCCATCCCTCCACTCTCCCTTTCTCCCCCCTCCTCCTCCTCCTCCTCCTCCTCCTCCTCCTCCTCCTCCTCCTCCTCCTCCTCCTCCTCCTCCTCCTCCTCCTCCTCCTCCTTCCCCTACTCCTCCCTCTCCTCCGCTCTCCCCCTCCCTGTGCCCCTCACTCTGCCCACTATCACTAGGTGATCTCACAGGAGCTAGCTTCCCCCCGTAATTCCCACTACCACTGACTTGACTCCCCATGTTCCCACTCCCCATATTCCCACTCCCCATGTTCCCACTCCCTAACCCCCCACTCAACCCCCCACTCCCTAGTCTGCTTCCCACGCCCCCCCCACTTCCTAGTCTTCCCCCCAGCCCACTCCCCCCAGCACCATGTAACATCGCACCGTGGTTACCACTTCCCCCATATCCACTGCTGCCATACCCATCACTCCCATAATTCCCACGTCCCAATGCATGCCCCTTTGCATAGTTCCCACTCCCATACGCCTCACTCCCATAATTCCCACTCCCATATGCCTCCTCGCCCCTATAATTCCCACTCCCTTGCTCCCCCCCAAAATTACTCCTCCCCAGCCTTCCCCCATAATCACCCCTCCCCCACCACCCCCCCCATAGTTCCCACTCCCTAACCTCCCTCCAAAATTTCCGCTCCCATACGCCCCACTCCCTGTGGCGCCAGAGCTGCCGGCTAGCCGGCTAGCTGCCGGCTGAACGTCCTCTTTGAAGGAAACCTGCCGGCTGCTGCGGCCGGATGTGCGGGGAGGGAAGGAGGAGGGGCCAGTGGCGGAGCTGGTGTGGGTCTTGAGACTGGAATGCAGGGGAGGGTGTTGCTGGGACTGCTGGTGCTGCTGGTGCTGCTGGTGTCTGTATAAGGGTGGGAGGGCGTTGTTTGTGTTAAACTGATCTACGTTGTCTTCCTCCTCTTCCTCCTCTTCCTCCTCTTCCTCTTCATCGTCCTCCTCCTCCTCCTCCTCTTCCTCTTCCTCCTCTTCCTCCTCCTCTTCCTCCTCTTCCTCCTCTTCCTCCTCTTCCTCCTCTTCCTCCTCCTCTTCCTCCTCTTCCTCTTCCTCTTCATCCTCTTCCCCTGTTTCTTCTGTCTCGCCAGTCGCTCCTGTTTCCTCTGTTTCCCCAGTACCTTCTGTTCCCTCGGTTTCCTCTTCTGTTTCTCCCTCTGTTTCTCCCTCTGTCTCTCCCTCCGTCTCTCCCTCTGTTTCTTCTGCCTCCCCAGTCACCTCCTCACTCCCTTCCTCTGTCACTTCCTCTGTTCCTTCCTCCTCACTCCCCTCCTCACTCCCTTCCTCTGTCACTTCTTCTGTCACTTCCTCTGTTCCCTCCTCAGTCCCTTCCTCTGTCACTTCTTCTGTCACTTCCTCTGTTCCCTCCTCCTCACTCCCTTCCTCTGTCACTTCTTCTTCACTTCCTTCCTCCGTTTCCTCCTCCTCACTCCCCTCCTCGCTCTCCTCCCCTTCCCCCTCACCAGTCTCACCAGTCTCACCAGTCATTTCCGTCCCATGACTTCTCCAGCTCTCTCCTTGCATTCCTTCTCCAATCCCTCTACCCACTTCCTGCTCCTCCCGAGCCTCTAGCTTCGGCTCGAGGCTCAGCTCCGGAACGAGGTCTGGGTGTCCAGGCCTGCCATCAGCCTCTCTATTCCCAACCCTCACTCCCTCGCTCCCCTCTCGCCCCTCACCCGAGCCTGCATTTCCTGAATCTGCAGCGCCTGCACCCGAACCTGCCGCCGGACCTGCACCGCTCGCCGAACCTGTCCCTCCTCTTTGGCTCCTCGACCCTGCGTCGAGCCAAGAAAACCCACCATACAGCGCCGGACCTGGAGCCAACTTCTGAGGCTCGGCCTTTACCCGAGGCAAAGGAGAGGAACGGTAAGGCAGGTATCCGGAGCTATGGTCACTCAAATCCAGATAACTCCCCTCATACCTCCCACTGAAGCCACTCCTTTTGCTGCTGCCCCTGCCGCTGCTGCCAATACTAGCCCCACTTGCAACACTCGCCCCATCCCCGTCCCCACCCGCCCCATCCCCACCATTATCCTCTTCATTATCCTCCTCGTTATCCCCTTCAGTGTACCCGCTCGCGCGCTGCTGCCGCTCCTACTCAGCCTCCCGCTGCTACCCCCGATCCAACCCTTCCAAACCTGGCGAGTTGCCTTGGGAGTTGCCTCGGGAGCCTCCCGAACTGCGGGAGTATGGGGAGTGGATGACCCTGCTACCTTCCCATCCCCACTAGACCCACCCCCACTAGTCCGCGCTGCCGCTTGCTGCCACTCCATTATCCGCTGCTGTATCGCATTCAACCCCCCAGCACCGTCCGCACCATTACCAGCACCCACCGCAACCCCCGCACCCGCAGCAGCAGACGCAACACCATCCAGATCAGTCTCACCTCTACTGCTGCTCTGACCATTCACCCCGGCCCCTCCAGGCCACTCCTTAGTGTTAACCCTACTGGTATGGGGACTTGTATGCCTACTGGGATGCGGACTAGCATGCCTGCTAGGGTGCGGGCTAGCGTGTCTACTCGGGTGGGGACTGACATGGGGGCTGGCTCTTGGGCTAGGCCCTACCCCTCTCTCTCCCCGGCCGGTCTTAGCACTGCCTTCCAGTCTACTGTGTTCTGCCGGCTGTTGCTCTCCGGCTGACTGCTAGCCGGCGGGCCTGCCGGCCGCAGGTGCGCCCGCCAGTTCGGATCGCTCTGGTCCGTGCTCCCAGTGGCTAGCCGGGCTGAAGAGTCTATGTGTCTCAAAGGGACGGATGGGGCTTCTAGTGACATGACAACTGCTCCTCCTCCTCCTGCTCCTGCTCCTCCTGCGCCTCCGGTTTGATGCAGAGACGGCCATTCCTGGGTGTTCTGCCTGCTGTCTGGTCTGCTGCTCGGTCTGCTTCCCGCCTGCTGCTGCTTCTGCTGGATTGAAGCGGGTGTGGGCCACTCTTGAGTGTTTTTGCCTGCTCCCCGCTCTGCTCCCCTGCTGCTGTTGCTGCTGGACCGACTGAGGGGTAGGCCACTCTTGGGTGTTTTGCCTGCTCCCCGCTCTGCTCCCCTGCTGCTGTTGCTGCTGGACCGACTGAGGGGTAGGCCACTCTTGGGTGTTTTGCCTGCTCCCCGCTCTGCTCCCCTGCTGCTGTTGCTGCTGGACCGACTGAGGGGTAGGCCACTCTTGGGTGTTTTGCCTGCTCCCCGCTCTGCTCCCCTGCTGCTGTTGCTGCTGGACCGACTGAGGGGTAGGCCACTCTTGGGTGTTTTGCCTGCTCCCCGCTCTGCTCCCCTGCTGCTGCTGTACCGACTGAGGGGCAGGCCATTCGTTTGTGTTCTGCCGGCTGCCCCGCCTGCTCCCACCCCACATACCCCCGCCATCACCAGCAGCACCACCAGCCCCACCAGTCCCCATCTCGCGGTTGAAACTCCCTGCTTGCTGCATGCGGATAGCAGCAGCCGAGGCACCACCACCTGCCGCCGCCACCACAGCTGCTGCAGCTGCAATCGCAGCATACCCTGCCTCTCTCCCTCCTCCCTCCTCTCCCTCTGTGCTGCTTCCCTCTACCTCCGTCTCTGCCTCTGTCTCTCCTTCTGTCTCCCCTTCTGTCTCTTCCCTTCTTGTGACGAGCCCTGTTCTCCTCCCTCCCCTGTGTCCTGCTCTCTGCTACTCTCCTCCTTCAAGGGCACCACACTTATCGATCCATCCTCCTCCTCTTCCTCCTCCTCCTCCTCTTCCTCCTCTTCCTCCTCCTCCTCTTCCTCCTCCTCCTCCTCCTCCTCCTCCTCCTCCTCCTCCTCCTCCTCCTCCTCCTCCTCCTCCTCCTCCTCCTCCTCCTCCTCTCCTCCTCCTCCTCCTCCTCCTCCTCCTCCTCCTCTTTCCTCCTCTTCTCCTCTTCTGTCTCTTCTGTCACTTCCTCCTCCTCATCTTCCTCTTCCTCTCCTTCCCCTTCTGTTCCCTCCTCTGTTTCTTCCTCTTCCTCCCCTTCCCCCTCTGTTTCCTCCTCTGTTTCTTCCTCTTCCTCCTCCTCCTCTTCCTCCCCTTCCCCCTCCGTTCCCTCCTCTGTTTCTTTCTTCTTCCTCTTCCTCCTCCTCCCTTCCTCCCCTTCCCTCTCTGTCCCCTCCTCTTCTTCCTCTTCCTCCTCTTCCTCCCCTTCCCCCTCTGTCCCCTCCTCTTCTTCCTCTTCCTCCTCTTCCTCCCCTTCCCCCTCTGTCCCCTCCTCTGTTTCCTCCTCTTCCTCCTCTCCCTCCGTCTCTCCCTCTCCCTCTCCCACCCACCCCTCCCCCCACCCCTCACCACCAGGAACGCCATCATAACTCCCCTCACTCTCCTCCTCTCCTCCGTCTCCCCTTCTGTCTCCGTTACCATCTGACCCACTTCATCATATAAGGCGAGCTGGGATTCAGTCATAGAGGTAACATCATCATCAATCGTTTGCTCCTCCCCTATAGTGTGAACCGTCACCTCCCCCTCCCCCTCCCCCTCCTCCTCTCCCTCGCCCCCTTCCCCAACCTCCCCTCCATAGTATGACGCCCCTTGATCCTCTTCTGTCCCTTCTTCCGTCTCTTCCTCCTCCTCTTCCTTCTCGTAGTCACCTGTTGTTTCCTCTTCCTCCTCCTCTTCCTCTTCCTCCTCTTCCTCCTCTTCCTCTTCCTCCTCTTCCTCCTCCTCCTCTTCTTCCTCCTCCTCCCCCTCCCCTGTTCCTTCAGTCACTTCTGTCTCCTCAGTCTCTTCAGTCACTTCCTCTTCAGTCACTTCCTCTTCAGTCACCTCTTCCCCTGTTACTTCTTCTGTCACCTCCTCTTCTGTCACCTCCTCCCCGGTCACCTCCTCTTCTGTCACCTCTGTTCCTTTCTCTGTTGCTTCTTCAGTCCCATACCCTTCCTCCTCTTCCTCTTCCTCTTCTTCCTCCTCCTCCTCCTCCTCCTCCCCTCCTCCTCCTCCTCCTCCTCCTCCTCCTCCTCCTCCTCCTCCTCCTCCTCCTCCTCCTCCTCCTCCTCCTCTCCTCCTCCTCCTCCTCCTCCTCATATTCCTCCTCCTCTGTCTCTTGGGTTACTTCCTCCTCTGTTCCCTCTACTGTCTCTTCCTCCTCTTCCTCTTCCTCTCCCTCCTCATAATCCTCACTTGCTCCTGCCACTTCCGTCCCCTCTTCTTCCTCCTCTTCCTCTTCCTCCTCATATTCCTCAGTCATTTCCGTTGCCTCAGTCCCCTCCTCCTCTTCCTCCTCCTCCTCTTCCTCCTCCTCCTCTTCCTCCTCTCCCTCGCCTTCCTCCTCATAATCCTCTGTCACTTCAGTGACTTCTGTCTCCTCTCCTCCTCTTCCTCCTCTCCTCTCCTCCTCTTCCTCCTCCTCCTCTTCCTCCTCCTCTTCCTCCTCTTCCTCCTCTTCCTCCTCCTCCCCTTCCTCATCTTCCTCCTCCTCCTCATCTTCCTCCTCCTCCTCTTCTTCTTCCTCCTCATAATCCTTTGTCGTTTCTTCCGTCCCTGTTACCTCCTCCGTCCCTGTAACCTCTTCTGTCCCTGTAACCTCTTCTGTCCCTGTAACCTCCTCTGTCCCAGTTACCTCCTCAGTACCCTCTTCTGTACCCTCCTCTGTCTCTGTATACTCCTCTTCCTCCTCTTCCTCCTCTTCCTCTTCCTCATCCTCCTCTTCTTCCTCTTCGTCCTCCTCTCTCTTCTTCTTCTTCTTCTTCTTCTTCTTCTTCTTCTTCTTCTTCTTCTTCTCCTCTTCTTCTTCTTCTTCTTCTTCTTCTTCTTCTTCTTCTTCCTCTTCCTCGTCATCCTCCTCCTCTTCCTCTTCCTCCTCTTCCTCAATAGCCTCAGCAGTCACAACGCCGCTATTCCCCTCACCATCGCCCCATCCCGCGCCACCATAGACACCAGAAGCAGACGAGGAAACCACCATAGCCGAAACAGCAGAGCCAGACGACAAACCCTCGTCAAAACTCACTTCCTTCCTCCTCCTAGCCGCACCTGCCGCAGCAACACCCATTTGCTGCTGCTGCTGCTGCTGCTGCTGCTGCTGCTGGCCACTCGTTTGTTCCCCTGATGTCAACACTTCACCTACTGGAACATCCTCCTCCTCCTCTTCCTCCTCCTCCTCACTCGACGCAAACGACCATTCTCTCTCACTCCCCTCCCTCTCCCCCTCCCCTCCTCTGCCTCTCCCTCCTTGCTGCCGCAAGCCACCTCCTGCCTGCTCCTCCTGCTTCCGCCTCTCCTCCTCCTCCTGCCGGCGTTGCCTTGCCATTTCTACTGCAGCCGCAGCTGATATAGACGAAGCCATGATTGCACTGGTCAAAGCATCATTCGCCCCCATGCCTCCATCTCCTCTCTCCCCTCTCTCCGCTCTCTCCCCTCCATCCGCACCCCCCATTATCCTATCCCCGCTAGGAGTAACACTCCTTTCAGCACTTAGCAAAGTGCTGGTATTTCTCGACTCAGACTCTGATTCGTCAGGGCTCGACCAATCAGCAGAGCTCGGAGATGGAGTGCTAGCACTGGTCGGCCGGCCCCGAGCCGAGGACGCAGGCGTGCCTGCCGAACCTGCGGCTCCCGGACCTAGCGGCGGCCGGCGCGAACCCCAACCACTTGCCGAACCTGCCCCAGCTCCTGTTGACCCTGCCGCTCCTACCACCGCTGCTGCCCCCACTGCCCCTGCTGCTGCAGCAGCAGCACTGGCAGAAGCACCGGCACCATCACCCTCCTCCCCCCCACCACCACCCCCTTCACTATCATATGCTGATGCGTATATCTCATCCATTCCTGCAGGAACTGGCCGGAGGGGGAAGGAGGGTGCTTCAGAGGAAACCGGGAAGGCAGCGGGGGGAGCGGGCGCGGGTGTGGGTCGGAGGGGGAAGGAGGGGGAGGCGGAAGGGCCAGGGGGAGGGGGGAGGGCGGTAGGGGGAAGGGCGGAGAGGCGGGGGTCAGCAGGTGGGGGCGGGAGGGGGGAAGGACCCATAGGCCCTCCAGGCAAAGACTCCCCCTTGCTATCAACATCCTTTCTGTTGTCCCTCCAGCTGCCGCTGCTGCTGCTGGTGGGACCTCCTATCCCTCCTAAACCCTCTGTACCGTGCACAACCACTTGTATCCGCCCTGATGGTGATCCTGGTGGTGATGGTTCTTTCTTCTCGCCCTGCTGCTGCTGCTTCTCCTGCTCCTGCTCTTGCTGTGGCTGCTTCTGCCCCCATCGGAACGGCATGAGCGCGAATGCACCCACAGCTGCGGCTGCTGCTGCAAATCCCTCAGCCACACTCATCCCTCCCGCTCCTGCTCCTGCTCCTGCTCCTGCTCCTGCTCCTGCTCCTGCTCCTCCTGCTCCTGCCACTCCTCCTACTCCTGCTACCCCTGCTGCTCCTTCTGTTGCTCCTGCTGCCACTGCTGGTGGTGGGGTCAACGCTGCTGAAGTGGACGCAGCAGCACCACTGGCAGCAAAACCACCCGCTGCTCCTCCCGCTGCTCCTGCTGCTGCGCCTCCTGCTGCTGCGCCTCCTACCGCTGCTCCTGCAACTCCTGCTGCTACCCCTCCTGCCCCTGCTCCTGCTGCTCCAGCTGCTCCTGCTGCCCCTGATTGCACACCACCACTCTCCCCGCTATAAGGCTCTGCCTCCACCACTTCCTCCTCCCCATCCTCGCTTCTCTCATCCTCACTCTCCTCCTCCTCGCCCTCCCCTTCAGACCCAATCTCCACTATTGTCTCATGCATCATTGGCCGGCTTCTCAACCCACCTCCTCCCGCTGCTGCTGCTGCTGCAGCTCCCGCTGCTGCTCCCACTGCAAACCCTGCTGCTACACCAGCAGCAGCAGGGGAATCAGCGGCAGGAGTGGCGGGGGTGGGTGGAGGAGGAGGAAGCGAGGGCGGAGTCTGTTGGTACGGAAACAAAGGAGGCAGGGAGATGAGAATGAGAATGAGAATGAGAATGACTTAAGCAGTGAGCTGAGTGACTTGCGAGAAGCATTGTCGTTATCGTCACAAAATGCCAGTGACTCACCCCTCCAAGTTCTGGAGGAGCCAACAACTGTCATTGCTCTCATATGGTTCTTAAACACTTCTCTTTAACTCAAGCCTCCAAGGCCTGTCACTCACCCGTCCAAGGTTCCTCCTCTGGTCATCCGACTCCGTATCAACATCATCAGACGTTGGCAGTGCCATCGGCACTTCAATCATCCGACTCCTCTGCCGTCTCCTCCCCAAGTCTGTCTCTGCCCTTAAGGCTCATAACTACCCATAACCCACCCGTCAAAGGCCTGTAACTCACCCGTCCAAGGTTCCTCCTCTGGTCGTCCGACTCCCCATCAACATCATCACACATTAACAGTGCCATGGGCACTTTATCCGACTCCTCTGCCTGCCGTCGTTTCAGTCGACTCAAAACCCACATGTGTGTAGCTCAACTCACCCGTCCAAGGTTTCTCCTCTGGTCATCAGACTCCGTATCAACATCATCAGACGTTGGCAGTGCCATGGGCACTTCATCCGACTCCTCTGTTGTCTCCTCCCCAAGTCTGTCTCTGCCCTTAAAGTTCGTAACTACCCATGACCCACCCGTCCAAGGCATGTAACTCACCCGTCCAACGTTCCTCCTCTGGTCATCTGACTCCCCATCAACATCATCAGACGTTGGCAGTGCCATCGGCACTTCATCCGACTCCTCTGCCGTCTCCTCCGCTCCTCTCCCACTCCCTCCTCTCCCACTCCCTCCTCTCCCACTCCCTCCTCTCCCGCTCCTCCCACCCCTCCCCACCTTCTCACTGATCTCCTCCTCCCGAGTGCTGTACCCCTCCCCTTCCTCCCCGACCTCCACACTCGTATACTCCTGACTCTCCCCCACAGGCAGAGCCATCACCACCTCTTCCGCGCTCTCTCCTATCGCCCCGCTCTCTCCTACCGTCCCGCTCTCTGTTTTCCTCCCGCTCTCTCCCCCACCAGTGCTGGCAGCAGCAGGGGTGGAGGGGGGGACACCAGCAGCAGCAGCAGCCCGATCAGCTGCCTGCTCGATGCGGCGCCGCAGGGGAGAGTCGCTGCCGCCGCTGACGGGCTTGGAGCGACTTGAGTCGTACGGGCCAGACCTGGGGAGAGAGGGAGGGGAGGGACGAGAAGGCATCGGGAAAGGAGTGGAAGTGTGGGTGAAGGGGCCAACACCAGCAGTGCTGGCAGCAGCAGGGGTGGAGGGAGGGACACCAGCAGCAGCAGCGGCCCGATCAGCTGCCTGCTCAATGCGGCGTCGAAGGGGAGAGTCGCTGCCGCCGCTGATGGGCTTGGAGCAACTTGAGTCATACTGGCCAGACCTGGAAGGGAGAGGAAAGCAAGGAGAGAGGGTAAAAAGAAAGGAGGGCAAGAGAGGGAAAGAATGGAGAGGTGGAAGTGAGAGGAGAACCGTTCCCGCCGCTGACGGGCTTGGAGCGGCTTGAGTCGTACGGGCTAGACCTGGAAGGGTGGGAGAGAAAAGGGCAAATGGGAGGAGGGGAGGGGGGGGGTTTAAGTGAGGGGCGAGTCGCTGCCGCCGCTGACGGGCTTGGAGCGACTTGAATCGTACTGGCCAGACCTGGAAAGTTGAGGGGAAGAATTTGGATAGGAAGTGAGAAGAGAGGTGGGAGTGAGGGGAGAGTCGTAGCTGCCGCTGATGGGCTTGGAGCGACTCGAGTCGTACTGGCCGGATCTGGGAGGGATAGGAGAATGGAGGGGAGAGAAAACGGGGAAGGGGGAGAGGAAAGGTTTGGAGAGGAAGGGGAAGTGAGGGGAGAATTGCTGCTGCTGATGGGTTTGGAGCGACTTGAGTCGTATTGGCTTGGAAAGCCAGGAAGAAGTGAATTGGGCGGCAGGGGAAAAGTGAATTGGGCGGCAGGGGAAAAGTGAATTGGGCGGCAGGGGAAAAGTGAATTGGGCGGCAGGGGAAAAGTGAATTGGGCGGCAGGGGAAAAGTGAATTGGGCGGCAGGGGAAAAGTGACGTGGGTGACGAAGTTCTGACCTGGGCGGCACGGCGCCGAATCCAGCCATGTGCATGCGCGTGTTGGAATCCATGTCTTCTGAATACAGCTATGAGACGCCCTCTCCTCACCCACTGCTATATTGGAGCCGCTTCTGAGAATTTTCAACACCAGGGAGACACTGACCTTGGCAGCAAGGAAGAGGAGGCAGGGAGGAACTGACCTGGGCGACAGGGAGGAGGCAAGGAGGAACTGACCTGGGCGACAGGGAGGAGGCAAGGAGGAACTGACCTGGGCGACAGGGAGGAGGCAAGGAGGAACTGACCTGGGCGACAGGGAGGAGGCAAGGAGGAACTGACCTGGGCGACAGGGAGGAGGCAAGGAGGAACTGACCTGGGCGACAGGGAGGAGGCAAGGAGGAACTGACCTGGGCGACAGGGAGGAGGCAAGGAGGAACTGACCTGGGCGACAGGGAGGAGGCAAGGAGGAACTGACCTGGGCGACAGGGAGGAGGCAAGGAGGAACTGACCTGGGCGACAGGGAGGAGGCAAGGAGGAACTGACCTGGGCGACAGGGAGGAGGCAAGGAGGAACTGACCTGGGCGGCATGGCGCCGAATCCCGCCATGTGCATGCGCGTGTTTGAGTCCATGTCCTCTGAATACAGCGCCGCACTCTCTTCCTCTTCTTCCTCCTCATCCCGCTCCTCCGTCTGCTCGCCTGTTTCCCCCACAGCCCCCCCTGCTTCTCGGGACGAAAAGGACGCAGAGCTAGGCTGCTGCTGCTCCTGCTCCTGCTGCTGCTCCTGCAACAGCAGCAGCACCACCCGCTGCTGCTGCTGCTGTGCCGACTGCTATGGCTGCGGCCCCAGCAGCGCCAACACCACCAGCAGCAGTGCCACCAGGAGCACCAGCAGCAGCAGCGGGAGGAGCAGCAGGAGCAGCACTCCCAGTGTCGAGGGCAGAAGCGGTGGTGTCGGGGAATTCGAGGGAGGGCGGGTTGGCGAGGGGGTTGGTGATGTAGATGCGGGGAGAGGAGCCCGCTGAGCCGCCATGCTTCATGCAGTAGGGGTCCGTGCAGCTGGAACCACTGCGGTGAGGAGAAGAGGAGAGAGGGGGTGGAGTGAGCAAGAGAAGGCAAGGGGAACAAGAGGGACGAAAAGTTGGCGAGGGGGTTGGTGATGTAGATGCGCGGGGAGGAGCCCGCTGACCCGCCGTGCTTCATGCAGTAGGGGTCCGTGCAGCTGGAACCACTACAGTGGGAGGGAAGAGAGCGGGGGGGGGGGGGGGAAGAGGGTAGAGGGGAGCAGGCAGATGATGGTATGGGGAAGATCCAGGGGCGAGGGGGTTGGTGATGTAGATGCGCGGGGAGGAGCCCGCTGAGCCACCGTGCTTCATGCAGTAGGGGTCCGTGCAGCTGGAACCACAATTGTGGGAAGAGACAAAGGAGCGGAAGGAGGAGTTAGAGAGGGAAGAATTAAGGTCGAGGGGCGACACGAGTCGGCTGAGTCGCCATGCTTCATGCAGTAGGGATCCGTGCAGCTGGAACCACTGTGGTGGGAAGAGACAGAAGGAAAAGAGAAGTTAAAGAGGGAAGAAGTGAGGTCGAGTCGAGGGGAGACACGAGTCGGCTGACCCGCCGTGCTTCATGCAGTAGGGATCCGTGCAGCTGGAACCACTATAGAGGGAACAAGGAAGAGGGGTGAATGGGCAGGAGGGGGCGGGGTGAACAAGGGGGAGGGGCGGGTTGGCGAGGGGGCACGCACAAATGGCCGGGGGAGGGAGTGGGTCCCTTTCCCTCTCACTCTCACTTCTCAGTCACTCATACAATTCGCACACACCCACACACAAGCACACTCACCCGCACAGGAGCCCTCGTCTCAAGCTGCTCTCCTCTTTATCGTCTTGGTTGTTCAAATACCGGTCCAGCAACAGGCTGACTGGGTAAGCCACGGGGGAGCAGCAGCAGCAGCAGCAGCAGCAAGCGGGCGAGCCATGCGGTGGCGGAGGCGATGCGGAGGGAGTGGCGCGCACAGATGGCGGGGGAAGGGAAGTGGTTCCTTCCCCTCTCCCTCTCCCTCTCCCTCCCCCGCTCTCCCCCACACAAAAGCACACTCACCCGCACAGAAGACCACGCCTCAAGCTCCTCTCCTCCTCATCTTCTTGATTGTTGAGGTATCTATCCAACAACAGGCTGACAGGATAAGCCACCGGGGAGAGCAGCAGCAGCAGCAGTCGGGCGAGCCAAGCGGTGGCGGAGGCGATGCGGAGGGAGTGGCGCGCACAGATGGGGGGGGAGCGATTTCGACGAAGAGGAGGATGAGCAGCACACAGAGGATGAAGCCCATCACCATGCCCAACACGCCTGGGAGGAGGAGCAGGTGAAGAGCGGTGGGGAGTGGTGGAACGGGGTGAATGAATGACAAGAGCGATTTCGACAAAGAGGAGGATGAAGAGCACGCAGAGGATGAAGCCCATCACCATGCCCAACACGCCTGGGAGAGCGGGAGGGGCGGGATGGGGAGCAGTGGAGAATGGTCGAAGGGGATAAGTGGAAGGGGGAGAGTGGTCTACACGAAGAGCAGGATGAGCAGCACGCAGAGGATTAAGCCCATCACCATGCCCAACACGCCTGGGAGAGCGGGAGGGTGGGGTGGAGAGCGGTGGAGAATGGTGGGACATGGTGGAACAAATGAGAGGAGAGATCAGAACGAAGAGCAGGATGAGCAGCACGCAGAGGACGAAGCCCATCACTATGCCCAACACGCCTGGGAGTGTGGGGAAGGGATGGAAGAGTGCGGTGGGGAGTGGTAGGAAGCGGTGAGAGGCCATCCGAGATAGCAGCAGAAGCACAGCAGCAGGGAGTGGCGCGCACAGATGGCGGGGGGAGCGATTTCGACGAAGAGCAGCACACAGAGGATGAAGCCCATCATCATGCCCAGTACGCCTGGAGAAGGGGGGAGGGTGGGGTAGAGAGGAGTAGGGAGCAGTGAAGTGGGGTGAGATGCATGAGAAGAGTGATTTCGACGAAGAGGAGGATGAGCAGCACACAGAGGACGAAGCCCATCACCATGCCCAACACGCCTGGGAGTGTGGATAAGGTGGGGGTAGAGTGGGGTGAGATCCATGAGAGGAGCGATTTCCACAGAGTGGAAGATGAGCAGCACAGAGGGCGAAACACACCTGACCCCACCTGAGCCCCACCTGAACCCCACCTTAGCCCCACCTGACCCCACCCGAGCCTCACCTGAGCCCCACCTGAGCCTACATGACCCCACCTGAGCCCCACCTGAGACAAAGAGCGTGAAGCTGACGTTGACGCTGGTGCTGGCGACCAATAGCGTGGTGAGCAGCAGGCTGCCACGTGTGCGCAGCGCTGCCACCTTGGCAGCCTGCCACCTCAGCCGCTCGTCCACGCCATCCATCGCCGCCTGCTCGAGGTGGGGTGGGGTGGGGTGAGGTGGGGTGAGGTGGGGTGAGGTGGGTTGCGGTGGGTTGGGGTGGGTGGGAGGTGCTTTTTGAGTCGACTCAGCAGTCACCTCAGCCGCCCGTCCACGCCATCCATCGCCGCCTGCTCGAGGTGGGGTGGGGTGGGGTGCGGTTGGGTGGGATGGGTGGGAGGTGGGGTGGGGTGGGAGGTGCTATTTGAGTCGACTCACCAGTCACCTCAGCCGCTCCTCCACGCCATCCAGTGCCGCGTGCTCAAGGGAGGGGGTTGGAGGATGTGGGTAGGGTGTTTTTAAGACGTCTCAAAAACACTCTTGTTTCACGTTGGGGAAGAGGTGGGCAGGGAGGAGGCGGGAGGCGGGAGGTGGGTGTGGGTGGGAGGGAGGGGGAAGGTGGGTGTGGGTGGGAGGGAGGGGGAAGGTGGGTGTGGGTGGGAGGGAGGGGGAAGGTGGGTGGGTGCGGAGTGTCTTTTGAGTCGACTCAGCAGTCGCTTCAGCCGCTCGTCCCGCCATCCAGTGCCGCGTGCTCCGGGCGGAAGTGGGGGGGGGGGAAATGGTGGGGTTCGGGGGAGGTGGGCGGGAGGTGGGCGGGAAATGTCTTTTGAGCCGACTCAGCCGCCTTGGGGGGGGGGAGGAGGAGCGGGGAAATTTGAGAAAGGTGAACAAAATGGGGGGGGATGGAGGGAGGAGGAAAGGTTGGGAGTGCGAAAGGACGAGGAGGGGGGAGTTGGGAGGGGGGAAGGAGGGAGTTGGGAGGGGGGGAGGGAAGGGAAGAATTGGGGGAAACGGTGGTGGGGTTTACAGTGTTACTGCGTAACACCAGTGGATACCTGGAGAGTCGCCATATCGAGTCCGAGAGTGGAAGACATCATGCAGGAGATGACGAGGGACATGGCGAGCAGGCAGCACGCGGAGATGGGGAACGCGATGAGCTCAGCGGTGGAGAGCGGTGGGAGCCAGCCGGAGGCGGTGTAGCAGGTGTCGTAGCAGTCGATGGTGGGTCCGTCGCACGCGTTCAGACACGCCACAATGCCGTTGCTCGGCGCGCACGCCCCCAGCCGCGCTAACGGCGCCCAACAACTCATTTTGGTGATGGTGACGCTGCTGCTGCCGCTGCCGCTGCTGATGATGCTCCTGCTGCTGTTCTGACCCCTCTCTTCCTCTCCCTGCTACTGCTACTGTGTCTAATCCTTCTACTCCTGCTGCTGCTGCTGCTGCTGCTGCTGTTGCTCCTTCCTCAATCCTGCTGCTGCCTCACCTCCTGCTGCTGCTGCAGTCAAAGTCGCCTACGTTCCCTTTTTCCCTCGGCGTTGCTGCCCGTATCAGAACACAATCCCTTGCTCCCGTCTCCCAACGCTGCGCCCCAGTCCGTCTGGCTCCTCCAAGTCCCGTGGGCTCCACCCAGTTCCCGGGACTCCTCCCGGGCCTGCCCTCGCCTATCCGCGCGGTGCGACTCCCAACCTGTATGCGACACACACTCAGCTTCTTTTTCCCTCTTTCGTCTGTTTGCCTTTTGAGGCGCCTCAAAAGCCGCGCGGTGCGATTTCCAACCGGTATGCGTCACACACTCAGCTTCTTTGTCCCCCTTTCGCTTGTTTCCCTGCACGATCCCTCGCTACGGGTCCTTATATTCGCACGGAAGCTCAGCTTCTTATTTCCAGCCCCTTTCCTGCAGTCGCCAGCGTCGCAATTTCGCTATTAAGGAATAAATAAGACCTGGCCGCAAAAAGTATCGCGTTAGCAGAGTTAGAAACGAAGACGCCTAAAACGAGGGTTTCACCCAGCAGGACCGCTTTTGAGTCGACTCAAAAGTATCGCGTTAGTGGAATTAGAAACTCCTAAAACGAGGGCTTCACCCAGCAGGACCTGTCAACGTAATATGTCGCACTCCATTACTATCATCGAGGCGCCTCTAAAGTCAAACCTTCGTAATCCGTAACTATGTCCGTTCTTATCCTCGTCGTTATCCTCGTCCTCTGCAGGCTCCTCCGCCATTCCCGGGGCATGCGGCGCCGAAGCCGCGGCGTCACGAGTCTACCCAGCGCCGCTGATTGGCGGACGGAAAACGGTATTTGATTCTCGGCCAGTCTATTCTAGCGTTCTGACTGTCGCTGCCTCGAAGCATGCCGGTTTCCGTCGCGTGGCATTAATTTGTGGTAAGTCGCCTTTCCTAGTATAACGCTCAATATCGCGTATGCTTGAGAGCGCTGCGAGAAATAACGAAATGGCGGTCTCGAACAACGAATGTATCGATTCACTGGAAGGAAGGCAGAGCCGAGGCTGCGTACGCAGCACCACTTACGTCACACGGAACTATGGTGGGAAGCTAAATTAGCAGAATAGAACCGTCGCATTTGTGCGTATCTAACGTCACCATTCGTCAAGCTACGGACTCCGCAATACAAGCCGATTTCGCGCCAAAAAAAAAAGCCCTTGCTACCTCCCTACTCGCCGTAACCTACTGCTGGGGCCGTGAAGTCACTAACATCAACTGTCACCCTCGAGAGTCGAGAATATTGCGCGATGCCCGAGCGCAAAGCGCGTCATTCCCAAGGTGGGTGGGGGGACAGAATGGAGGGGCGAGCGGCGGGTGGGTGGGTGGGTGGTGGGCGGGAGGGGTACGAGTGAACTATTTTGACCACTGGCGGCAATCGAAGCAGCGTACACCGGGTACAGCTGCCAACGTGCTTTTGATTCTTCCCGAACCCGATACCCACGTTGACTTGCGGTACGGAGGAAAGCTGGACCCTTGGGCTTGGTTGGTTCCATCCAGCAAAGCGAACCAAAGCGCTCTTGCCCTCACCAGGTTCGTAGCAGAAGGGCTTATACAGCACAAACCAGAGTGCGTGGTTTGGGGAATTCGCCTAGCCTGTAAGAAAATCAGGTCTCGGCCAGGCACGGTAGGTTCGGCAATGTCTGCGAGGCTTGCGCCGTGTCCAAAAAGCATTTCTCGTGGTTCGTTCGTGCCGTCGCTGGGCACGCAAACGTGTCGTCAAGTGCCCCGCCAGGGCGGTTGCCTGATAGGGCCCCGGTCCCTGGAGCGTGATAGGGCCAAAAGGGCCCACGTCAGCCCTAACCTTGATCAAGTGCTTGCTTGCCTCTGCTTCCCTGCAACAGAGCTGCCACCGAATGTTGTGTATTGAAAGGCCCGTTATACAGGATACGCAAGAGGCGTTTTGCAATTCAGCATACTAGCTCAACTTTCCCAACTTTCAAACAAGAAACACATTCTCTTATAAGAGAAACACATTCTCTTATAAGAAACACATTCTCTTGTTACAAGTCAACCTATAAGATGGCATAAAAAAAGCGGTGCATCTACTATGTTTGAACACCCACTTATCTCCAACCTCTCTATCTCACAGAGCAAAGCTAAAGACGGGGGTAGTCGTGTAAGCCGGTCACATCCCGTCAACTCAAACGACTTCAAATTTGACATGAGCCCAACTCCTTCAGGAAGGTCTGAGAAATTTCTGCAGCAGGTGACAGCGAAATGCGTTAAAGAAGAAAGCTGAGTGAAGGAAGACGGGATCTGCCGAAACTCAGGGCACCAGCTGATGGACAGCTCTTGAAGGTTGGGCAGCTGCGAAAAATCTTCAGGCAGGGCAGAAAAAAGTTCGCAATTGATCAGCTTGAGGCTTTCAAGAGAAGAAAGTTGGGAGAATGTGTGAGGAAGGGTGGTCAGCCTGTTGCAGGCAAGCAGCTTCAAGGTCCGGAGATTTTTCAGCTGCCCGAACGAGTCGGGCAAGTGCGAGAGCTGGTACGTGTTGCAGAGCTCCAACTTTTCTAAAGCCGGCAAATCCCCGAAATCCTCAGGCAGCCTGAAAAGGTTCCGGCAGCCTGTGATCATGAGGTCGGTCAGGCGGTCCAGCTTGGGGAGGGAAACGGGGAGCTCTGTAAGATTTTCGCAGTTGTGGATCTCCAGACTCCACAGGTTGGGAAGAAAACCAATGTCATCAGGAAGATTGAGAAAACATTCGCTTATCTCAAGTCCCTCTAACGAGGACAGACGGCTCATGGAGGATGGGAGGTAGTGGAGGGAATGACAGGAGCAGAGGACTAAATTCCAGAGTTTTGGCAGCTGCCCGAGGGATTCTGGGAGGCTTGTGAGGCAGGGAAGAGCGAGCTCCAGCGTCTTGAGAGATTGCAGCTGACCAAAGTTTTCGGGCAGAGATGTCAAGCTGTAGCAGGTGGTGGCACTGAAGTGAACAAGGTTGGAGAGTTGCCCGAAGGTGTCGGGCAGGGCAGGCAACGAATTGCACTCCACTAGTTCTAGAGCGCTGAGATTCTTCAGTCTGCCCAGGCTTTTGGGCAGAGCCCTGAGGTGAGGGGCCTGGAGGTGTAGGACGCGTAAAGCGGGCAGCTGCGAGATTTCTTCGGGCAGGTTGCGAAGGTCATCCAATGAGATGTCGAGAAACTCCAGTTGGGTCAGACAAGTTAAGGACGAAGGAAGGAACTTGACGCTAGGTATGGTGTGAAGTCCGAGCCTCTCTAATCGCGTACAGGCTTGGAAAAATCCGTCCAGACCTATTTCCGTAACTCCCCCTGCTGACGACACACGCCTGGTCGCCGTTAACGAAAATCGCTTGAGGTTCGGCAATGCCGAGCCTAACCCGGAGATTATCTGATCGTTCACCACGTCAAGGCTGCGATTCGCTAGCTGCAGGGACGTTAGGTTCGGCATGGCTGACAATGCGCGAAGCAGCGACGCGCTCGAGATCTCTCTGCGACTGGCGACGCGAATGTCGGTCTGAGCGACGCGTGCGACGCGGAGCCATCGCTTGCAGACGAGGGCGTGGCGAAACGAAAAGAGGTCCGGGCCGAGCCGGGAGAGGAGGTATGAGAGAAGATCGTCGGAAAGATCGTCGAACGGACAAGCTGTTGGCTCCATAGAAACGGAGAATAAGGGAGAAAGAGGATACCTGGTCGGCTCGTTGCTAATTCCAATTCCTGATGAAATTTATAAATTCAAGGTTTAGGACTGAAGACATATTTCAGGCTCGTTGGAAAATGGATCTGGAGGGGAAAAGGTTGACAAGAGGTTGAGGACGAGGTGAGCGAACATTAACGAAGAGCTACCATTGATCTTCGGTCCCTCACATTCTCTGCACATGCTGTAACCAAACCTTGACGAAACTGATTCCGCACCCCTCCCTCCCTGCACCCAGTTTCACCACGCCGCTTTCCACACGCCGTTCGCTCTCATTCCCAACAAACTGTGCCTTTGGTGACTGAAATCCTTCATAAGTGAGTAGCAGAGAACTTATTGAACATTCTTTTACACAAGTTGCATTGCAATAAACCTTGACGATTGTTGCGCCATAGCTGGCAAACTCTTGGGATATTGACATGTATTTATGAACACAAGCAGTGATACTGCAACAGAATTGCTACCTGGTGCTAGCTGCACCATTTGCACAAAAAGGAGCACAACTACAGCCCCCTAGCTACAACAACACACAGAAGGGAGGGGAGGAGCGGGGGTGTGGGAAGGCAAAAGAAATCAGTGGGCTTATTGCAATAGAGATACGTCGAAGCACACGCCCCATGGCAGCAGTTGCCGCCTGTGATTGCCCTAACGAGACGAAGTCGAGGCTTGAGGCAAACCTCAGACTTGTTGTGGGTATAGATCACATCGGAGAAGGCAGGTCAGATGGAAGGGCAGGAGGGGACTCGGACAGCGCGAGGAGATTGTGAGTCGAGAACAGATGGTGTGTGGTTGAAACGGGCTGACCTGCTGCCGCGAATCTCAGCTCTTGACACTAATCTGGGGTGATGTTGCTGCTGTCGCTGCTGCTGATGCTGATGATGCTTTTGATTTGAGTACCGCTGATAGTGATTCTGTTGCTCCTGACTGTTGGCATGACGGTGGTGCTCCTGCTGCTGCGGATGATAAAGCTGCTGCCACTGCTGCTGCGAATTCTGCCGCTGCAGATTCAGCTGCTGCTGCTGCTGCTGCTGCTGCTTTTGCAGAGGCAGAGGCGTGTAGGCCGCAGCATCGGAGAAACTTCGCCTTCTTGAGCAGGGCCCGCCAACCAAGAAGTTTCTCGGAAGCCTCTCTGCTGCACCAGAGAAGCTTCGCCTCCGTGACGGGATGGAATGACCGTTGGAGGTGTAAGAGGGAGTTGAGTCCAGAGAGGGAGTTGAGTTGAGTGAATAGAATCCACGGGAGGGAGTGGAAGTAAAAGACGGGGTTGAGCGGGTGGAAGTGAGTGAAGGAGTTGGCTGGAGCGAATTGGACCCTCTGGGTTCATTATAGTAAGCAAGATCAGCCATCCAGGAATGCGCATGCGGCGTGCACTGCCCCCCTGCAGTGGAATCCCCATCGCTGGGATTCTCGTCGGCGGAATCCTCCTCAGTCCACAATCCTCCACTGCCTCCTGGTTGTCGCACTTCAAGAGGCCCGCTCCCCGTAACAGCACCGTCACAACCATCACCACCAGCAGCAGCACTATTAGCACCATCAGCACCATCACCCCATGATTCTGAGGTGGTCAGTCGTGTCCTGTTGAGCTCCCTGTGTGGCCCCTCAAACGCCGCCACTCCTTGCGACCCTTCAAACGCCGTGACGAACTGCTGGCACCTTATGCTGCTGAGCGCCCTGTGCGCGTCCAGCAGCTGCAGCCGCCCCTCCAGCGCCTGCAGCGCCACGTCATCCGACAGCTGGCACCGCTGCAGCAGCCGCCGGAAGGTTCCGCGCAGTGAGCGGGCGGGCGGCGCAGTGGAGGAGGGAGGGGAGGGCGTGTGAGGGAGAGTGGTGGAGCGAGCGGGCGGTGCAGCGAAGGAGGAGGGAGGGGAGGAGGGCGTGTGAGAGAGAGTGGTTGAGCGAGTGGGGGGGGCGACAGGGTCACGGCGGATGGATCTTCGGGGTTCTTGAAAAGCAACACTTGATTCTTGGAAAGCCTCAGATGACTCTTGGAATGCCGCAGTTTCTTGTGAAGCAGCAGATGATACTTGAAAAGCAGAAGTCGACTTGGCGGCTTGTTGGAGAAACGCCCATGGTTGAGAATGAGAATGAGAATGAGAATGAGAACGCCCGTCCACCGCGCATTGCCCGCTCAAGTCCACGACACTCCCGCGGCTGCTCGCTTGCGGCATCACCATGCATTCTGCCTGCGACAAAGGTGTTTCCAGCAGGTTCTGTTTTGCTTGATGGGGACTCGCGTTATAGGAACTGCTTTCAGGCGGCGCTTCAGAACTCCCTTGCAGCATCTCCATGCATTCTGCCAGTGCCGAAGGTGATTCCACCCAATGGTGATTCGCATGATACGAACCGAGCTCGCATGGAGCCATGGCCAACCGGGGGTCTTGCTGAGGAGGCGAGTACTCCACGATAGGTGGTAGGACGATCCAAGGTGGTGTAAGCTGTAAGGCAGCAGAGGCTTGGTACTATTCTCCTAAGAGTGACTCTCCTAGGGGTGACTCTCTCAACGGGTGGGGTAAGCTGCACGTGAGGAGCGGTAGGAGCGATTACGTTTCTAGTAGGCGCCTCTAAGATCGTGCGAGCGACCATGAGTTGGGGCGCATCGGAAGGAAAAGCGGCGACGGTTTTGCGTAACTCAACAGGGGAAGGCGCGGAGCGGCTGCAGTGGAAGGAGAAGCGGCGGCGGCTAAGCGTGATTCAGCAGAGGAAGGCGCGGAGGGATTCAGGTTCTTCTCAAAAAGGAGAGCGATCTACAAAGAAGGAAGGAGAGCACGGCTCTTCTCAGAACTGATTCAGGTTGGTACCTAAGAACTTCTACGAGAAAAATGCCAGGGATAACGATGCTCAAGGCACGAGGCGGGGGAGGGAAGAAAAGACGGCGGGATGAGGGGAGGAAGAAGGCTCAACGCGAGAGACTCCTCACAAGCATCCGTTTTAAACCGCTCGCCGCTCGTGTTTGGATTGGAGGGGGGGGCCTGATTGGCATCAGTCCCCAATAGTCCCGAGATACGAGAGAACATGCCAATATCCTCAAATCTAGGCGCTCAGACATAGATCTGTGAGAAACAGTGTGTTGAGACTGAGAACAAGAGCAGTGTGAGAACAGAGTGAGAGTGTGAGAACAGAGTGAGAAGAGGGACCGTGTGTGAGAACAGAGTGAGGAGAGGGACCGTGTGTGAGAACAGGGTGAGGTGAAAAGAGGCGTATTGCCAGGGGTGACCAGAGGAAGGCACAAGCTACCACCAGGAGGTGCCTACCCAGGGAACAGCAACAGGCAGAGCAGTCCGCGTGACAGCCGTTGCCATGGATGGCCATTAGCGGCATTCCTGGCGTTCAGCGCCGCCGCTTGAGCCTGAAGCCTGAAGCCCAGGCCTTGGCTTGGCTTCTGAGCCTACAAGGCAGGCGCCTTGGCTTAAGGCAGGCGCCTTGGGAGGCGCCTGGGCTTTCGGGTCACATGCCTATTGGCTGTGTAGCCCCCTGGGTTTTGAGTCTGGAAAGCACAGGCTCATTCGCTCGCTCCACGTGAAGGCCTAGAGACGACGACCAATGATATTGCCGTGCGCTCCAACGCTAGCATCATGCTGAGATGTTGGAGATCAGGGTGCGGTGGGGAGTGATGCTCATGTGAGCTGCATCCCCCCATTCATGAATGCACCAATCATGGTGTCGGTGTCTAAAGTACCATCTCACGGCTGGCATCAATCCATTAATCCATTCCGTTTGGGATCACTTTTGAGGTGCCTGAAAAGCCTAAAGCGCTTTGAGACAGATGAGCTGTCCCTGGATGCACCAATCATGGCGTCTACCATCCCATGGCTGGCATCCATAAATTTGAGATCTGGAAATAGAAGAAGTGACGAATGGATGAGCTGTCAGGATGGATGATGTATCCTTTCCGATAGCTGGCATGGCGTTGCTGTAGACCTCCTGAAAATCGCTGCGATTCGCGGCCCATGTGAAAGCAAGCTCTTTTTTTTTTAGGGGACTCAAGAATCGACTTGAAATCCGGCCTCCACGTCAAAACGAGGCGCCTCCTCTAATCCGATAGTACAGTACGAAATGTCAAAAGAAAATTGAGACTCCTGAAAACCTCTATCTTGGGATGTCTCAAAAGTCTGCAGTCCACGTGATAGGAGGCACTTTACATGAGCAACAGGCCGACAGTGCGATATGGTTCGATCCGAGATGCTAACGACTCCAAACGCTTTTCTAACGGTTCCAAACGCTTTCTGTTGTAAGAATGCGCTCCTCCTCCTCCTCCTCCTCATCCTCCTCCTCATCCTCCTCCTCATCCTCCTCTGCCTCAAGTACCTCCTCTCTCTCCGCCGTCGCTCGTGTGTTACACGGTCTACGAGCTTGCCTACCATTCATGAACATTCAACCAACAATCAACAGCAAACTCTAGTCGCAAGTCAGAGCGGGAACCCTGAGGCCGAGGCAGACATCCACCGTGGCTGTCGCTCGTGCTACAGTACCTTGCCTCACAGTAATTAACTCTGGCATCGTCTAACATCGCGTTGACTCAGCAAGGTCACTTGTGTGGCGATATAAAGTAGATTCAGACTTCGCGCGGGTAATGGTGAGGGTACCCTTCCTCTGTACAATACCCCCTCCTAGCCACTAGCGTAGACCCTGCCTCGCGTGGGTGAGAAAGTGAGGCCACGTTATCTTGGCCCTTGCACGGCTCAAAGCTGAAACTATTCGCCGATATTTCTACAACAGTTGCAACAAATCTCTGGTAGGCCACGATAAGGGTTTGTAAGAAATATGTAGAAAAGAATTTCGTGGACTGACCACGACCAAGTGCATGTGTTGCAGAAAAGAATCGTTGGATCCAAACCAAAACGCCTGAGGCCTCAACGAGCGGCAATATGTCGCACCGGACAGCACGTGACAGGAGGCGGCCTATTGCCTGCTGATGCGAGAGCACTAGGGACCATCCTGAAGCTATGTATTTCGCCCTGTATGGCTGATCGTACATACGTTATCCTACAATATACTGTATCCTCCACTATCCTCCGTTATCCTTCGTTATCCTACATCACCCTACAGCATCCCATCGGTCTTACTGTGTAGCTCCCCCAACTGACCCTCCCGCCATCACCCCACCCCACCAACCCCGAGAGCGCCTCCACTGATGACTCGTCGTCAGTGAGTTTAAAAGCGGCTAGAAAATATCCAGAACGGTTGAACAGGGAATTAGTGTGGCGGAGACTAGGGATTGTCTTTCTGCACCCTTGGGCCTGTGTGATTGGTTGGGGATGGGTATCGGAGATAGCAGATTCGGAAGGATGGTGAGGCTGCACACAATAAATTCGCATAGAACTGTACACATGGAACTATGAAGTTGCCTAAAAGCTCTTAAGCTTAAATCGCAGTAGCAAACTTGGTTATTCTGTGGCATATTTGTCAATTTAGACAAGTATTGGTAACGTATTTTGTTTCGTGCGCTTCAATGTGTATTCTTTCAACTGGAGACAGGATATGTAGCGAGCATGCACCACATCCGTGCTAAACATGGAAGCACCAGCTCATGCTTCCGGCCATTACTCTCTGATTTCCAAAGGACTATGACGATCCGTAGCCTAGAGCAAACACATGCTGCGCCATCACTAACAAGCACGCAAACTTATCCTACAGCTATTCTTGTGGTGCTGATTGTGGGGCTGCTGCTGCTGCTGCTGCTGCTGCTGCTGCTGCTGCTGCTGCTGCCGCTGCTGCCGCTGCCACTGCAGGCCCTGCTACAGGGTCGACTACAGGCTGGGACGGAGGTTGCATGGCTGTAGCGGCGCCCTGCAGCCATGCCGCTACAGCCATGGCTCCGGGATCAGGTACTGACGCCAACACCTCTGCTGGTACATAACTGGACCTGCCAGCCTGGACAAGGGAGGAACCATAAAATATATAGATACAGTGAACCATGCAGCGGTCAATAAAATCACACAGCCTTCAGAAATGCACAGTTCAACGATCCATGAAATGCCAGGGAATTAAACAGGTACACAAAAATAACGGAATGGAATGTTTAGAGCAGTGCAAAAATCATCAGCTCAGATCGGACAAGAGCTGAGATTGTCTCGCTTTTCTTCCCAAAGCTAGCATCGAGTCATCAGAGGTGGCAATGAGTCAGTTGACTTACCAGAGCTGGCATTGACTTGGTTGACTCAGCTCCTGCAGCAGCAGCCTGAGCAGCTGCTGCCAGCGCTGCAGCTGCTGACTCCCCTGCATTGACGCTGCGAGAGAGAGTTGCACCGGCGGGCAGCAGCGCATCCAGCATGGTGCGGTAGCCGGCTTGAGCACCACCGTACAGACTCACCGCTGCCACCGCCGCCTCAAATGCAGCCGCCCCTGGTGATGATGATAGGAAGGATGGGGAGGGGAGGGGACGGAGAAGGAAGAAGTGCTTTACAGAACGTAGGAGGGGAAGTGGAATGAACTCTAAATAGATTGATGGATGGCACTTGAGCGAGAGGAGGGAGAGGAGGGAGGAGAAGAAAGAAAGAGGGAGGGGAGGGAGGGAGAGGAGGGAGGGAGGGAGGTAGAGAAGGGGAAAGAAGGTAGAGGAGGGAGAAGATGGAGGGAGGGAGTGAGAGGAGGGAGGGGAGGGAGGCAGAGGACGAACAGTGGGCAGGGGTGGGCTGTGCTGCTGGCCCGGCCAGCTCCCTCAGCTTCACATATGCGGAACGACAGAAGATGTCGTATCTGCAGGGGAATGTGCACAGGCAAGAGATTGAGGAGTTGGCAGGGGTGGGCAAGGGTGGGCAGGGGTGGGCGGGGGTGGGCAGGAGTGAGCAGGAGGAGTGAGCAGGGTTAGGCAGGAGAAGGTAGGAAACAGGTCGGGTAGAAAGGGGAGTGGAACAAAGAGGGGCAAAGTCGCAAACTAGTGAGTGACTGTGCAACTCCTGAACAAGTTTTTTCATCATTCGCGTGGTAGGGCAAGCAGTAGGCAAGCAGAGGGCAAACAGTGATCGAAAGAGGGCAAATAACAACCGTCACATCCCCACCCTCCCTTTCCCCCCCTTCCCCTTTCTCTTCCCACCCCTTTCTCTTCCACCCCTTTCTCTTCCCACCCCTTTCCCTTTCCACCCCTTTCTCTTCCACCCCTTTCTCTTCCCACCCCTTTCCCTTCCCACCCCTTTCTTCCACCCCTTTCTCTTCCCACCCCTTTCCCTTCCCACCCCTTTCTCTTCCACCCCTTTCTCTTCCCACCCCTTTCCCTTCCCACCCCTTTCTTCCACCCCTTTCTCTTCCCACCCCTTTCTCTTCCCACCCCTTTCTCTTCCACCCCTTTCTCTTCCCACCCCTTTCCCTTCCCACCCCTTTCCCTTCCCACCCCTTTCCCTTCCCACTCACATCACTCCACTTGTCCCTCCCATGGAGCACCGTACACTCGCGCCCATCTCCCTAACCGTCGCCGGTGCATCATTTAGAGGGTATCTGGGGCGCAAGGGGAAGGGGAGGGAAAATGAGGAGTACAAAAGAGGACAGGGAGTCGGGGTTGCAGAGTGGGGGGTAGGAGACGGGGGGCCCTTCAGCGTGTAGGAAAACAGAAGGGTGCAGACAGACAGACAGACAGAACGAGAAAAGGCTGCTTATTTGAGGCAAGGCAAAGGCAGGGTACAAACCTTGAGGCGAGTGCTTCAAGAACTGCCTTGGCTCCACGGCTCATCTGAACACACGGGACAGGCAAGGTGAGGATGGCATGGGAGGGGGCAAGGTGGAGGGGTTGAGCAAGTGGGGATGTGGAAGGTAATTGCCCAGCCTGGCCTGGCAGCGATGAGGGTGTGAAGAAGAGGGAAAAGAGGGCGTGTGGGCCGTTCTTGAGAATTTTCAAAACCACCCTGCAACATCAGGGGCTGTGTTGAGGCTCGATTCATCTGACTACCTGGACGCAGGGAGGCAACAGCAAGGCCCCTCACCAAGCCCCCTCCCCATTCCCTCAAGTTCCCCCAACCCAACCCCTCCCCTCTCACTGTGCTGCCGCAATCCCCATCACCAATCTTGGCATCCCATGCATTCAGGTCCGCTGCCAGAGCCAGCACAGCCATTTGCTTCACTGAACGTTGCTACAATCACAACCAGGGCTCGGTATTGCCACCATGCCACAACCACCCCCTCCCTCTCCCCCCACAACCGTTCTTCCCTTCTCACCGTGCTGCCGCAATCCCCATCACCAATCTTGGCATCCCATGCATTCAGGTCCGCTGCCAGAGCCAGCACAGCCATTTGCTTCACTGAACGTTGCTACAATCACAACCAGGGCTCGGTATTGCCACCATGCCACAACCACCCCCTCCCTCTCCCCCCACAACCGTTCTTCCCTTCTCACCGTGCTGCCGCAATCCCCATCACCAATCTTGGCATCCCATGCATTCAGGTCCGCTGCCAGAGCCAGCACGGCCTGGGCGCCCCCTCGAATGCACTGCTCCAGGCACCGCCCCTCCTCTGTCAATTCCTTTGGACGCTCACATACTGATGCCTGGGAGGGACGGGGGAGTGGGGCATAGGTGTTTGACTGTGTTGAATCCAAGACTGTCGCTGTTGCCAGAGCCAGAACGGCCTGTGCAACCCCCGGATGCACCGCTCCATGCACCGCCCCTCCTCTGTTAGCTCCTTCGGGCGCTCACACGCTGATGCCTGGGGGATGTGAGGGGATTGGGGAGGTGCGGGTGCAGCGGCAAGGGGGCAGAGTCGCACAGGAGCATGAGGCAAAGTGTTCCATTCCATGGACTCAAGCTTGCCATGACGACCAGGGCCAGCACGGCCTGGGGACCCCCTCGGATGCATTGCTCCATGCACCGCCCCTCCTCTGTTAGCTCCTTCGGGCGCTCGCACGCTGATGCCTGGGGGATGTGAGTGGGAAGAGGAGGATGGGGGGGAGAGAGAGGATGGGGCACGGCCTGAGCGCCCCCCCGAATGCACCGCTCCAGGCACCGCCCCTCCTCTGTTTATTCCTTCGGGTGCTCGCACGCTGATGCCTGAGGGGTGAGGGAGTGTGGGGCATAAGAGGGGTGAGGTACCACGCACTGCATGGGATTATGGGCCGCATGTGAGGAATGCTGGGCATAACAATCATTTGTGAGGCGTCTCAAGGCACTTGTTCATAAAAGGAAGGTAAAGATGGAGGGGAACGTACAGGTTGGGAGCCGGAAGACTTTTGAGTCGACTCAAAAGGTGACTTTTGACTTTTGAGTCGCCTCAAAAGTCGCAGCCATTTGTGAGGCGTCTCGAGGCACTTGTTCATAAAAAGAAGGTAAATATGGAGGGGAACGTACAGGTTGGGAGCCTGGTGGGGCAGGGGGGAGTGGCACTGGCACCTTGGTGGCAGGGCGCGCACCTGAGGGGGGGTGGAGGAGAAAGAGGGAGAGACACAGAGGGAGAGACAAAAGGGATGGAAGAGAGGTTCGGGGCAGCTGTCAGGAGCGGTTTGAAGGAGTTAGAGGGGAGGAAAAGAGATATGGACAGAGTGAAGGGAGTGGAACTGGCACCTTGGTGGGAAGCGGAGGGGCTAGAGTGAGTGGGGAGAAACAGGAAGGTGTGTTGAGAAGGGTGGCACACACTCTCGCCTGAAACCCACCTTGGCAGGCGTTGGGCCATGCAGGAGCGAGCGTTGGGGCGTCTAGTCGCTGCAGCACTTGATCGTCCACCTTGATCACTGAGAGGGAGAGACCTGTGACAGATGCACATCAAACCAAGGAAGAACAAAGAACAAATAGATAGGTTTGATAAAAGAGTCAACGTGAGTCAACCAGAGTAAAACCTAGTCAGCGAATGTGAGGGTCTGTCAGGTGCCTGCCTGTGTGTGTGGAGCCTGTCACCTGACTGCACGTGACACCACCTGACACCACCAGACAGCACCTGAAAGCACCTGACAGGCGGTGGCCGTGTTTGTGGTGTGGAGCATCTCACCTGACATGTCGAGAGACGACATGAAGTGTGGAGAGTGTCACCTGAAAGTACCTGTGGCAGTGTGTGGCACTGAGTGGTTGTGTGCGGTCATGTAGTTGTGTGTGCGGTGCGTGTCACCTGACATGTCGAGGGACGTCATGAAGTGGCCTGCATACACTCGCTCCACTGCCAACCCATGCTCCACCTGCCAAGCCGTGGTGTACAAATTGGTGCAAAGGGGTGCAAGGGTTAAAGGTGCAGAGAGGTGCAGAGGGAGGCAGGGAGGACAGACAGAGTGAGCAGCCAGCATACACCCGCTCCACTGCCAGCCCATGCTCCAACTGCCATGATACACACAGGGGCAATCAGAGAGGTGTGCAGAGGGATGCAGAGGGGTGCAGAGCAGTTGAGATGTGTACATGGCCGTGAGTAGCGGTGAAGAGGAGTGCAGAGAGATGTTGTACAGACGTGGACAGAGGGAGTCACAGATAGATTAAATGAGTAGTGGTAGCTGTAGTGGCACTGTTTGCATCATCATCATCATCATCATCATCATCATCATCATCATCATCATCATCATCATCATCATCATCATCATCATCATCATCATCATCATCATCATCATCATCATCATCATCATCATCATCATCATCATCATCATCATCATCATCATCATCATCATCATCATCACCTGTAGTTGCGCTACAGCCTTGCCTGCCGCAATCATGACCTCCATGGCTGGTGTTGCACCCAGACTGGCGGAGGGGAAAGGGGGGAGGATGGTAGGGGAAAAGGGCAGGATGGCAGGGGAAAGGGCGGGAGGTGGGGGAAAGGCTGTGGTACAGACTTGCCAGCCGCAATCATGACCTCCATAGCTGGCGTTGCGCCCAGGCTGAGGGAATGGGAGAAGAAGGAGGGGGGGCGGGGGGACGGGGAATGGGAGGAATGGGGCAAAGGGAGCGTTGGGGTGGGGAAAGGGGCAGGTAGATGTGGTGGAAGCGGAGAGAAGAAAGGGAGCAGAAGAAGTGGGAGCACAGGAGAGAGCCTGGCGGGAGAGTTGTGCCCCAGGGCGAGGATGGGGGAAGGGAGGGAGAGGAGTTGGGAAGGGAAGGTGGTAAAGGGGGAAAACGAGGGGGGAGGAAGAGGAAACACGTGCGAGGACAGGAGGGCGGAATCGTGAGCACACCTGCTGGACCAGACCATACCTGTTCACCATACCTGTTCACCATACCTGTTCACCATACCTGTTCACCATACCTGTTCACCATACCTGTTCACCATACCTGTTCACCATACCTGTTCACCATACCTGTTCACCATACCTGTTCACCATACCTGTTCACCATACCTGTTCACCATACCTGTTCACCATACCTGTTCACCATACCTGTTCACCATACCTGTTCACCATACCTGTTCACCATACCTGTTCACCATACCTGTTCACCATACCTGTTCACCATACCTGTTCACCATACCTGTTCACCATACCTGTTCACCATACCTGTTCACCATACCTGTTCACCATACCTGTTCACCATACCTGTTCACCATACCTGTTCACCATACCTGTTCACCATACCTGTTCACCATACCTGTTCACCATACCTGTTCACCATACCTGTTCACCATACCTGTTCACCATACCTGTTCACCATACCTGTTCACCATACCTGTTCACCATACCTGTTCACCATACCTGTTCACCATACCTGTTCACCATACCTGTTCACCATACCTGTTCACCATACCTGTTCACCATACCTGTTCACCATACCTGTTCACCATACCTGTTCACCATACCTGTTCACCATACCTGTTCACCATACCTGTTCACCATACCTGTTCACCATACCTGTTCACCATACCTGTTCACCATACCTGTTCACCATACCTGTTCACCATACCTGTTCACCATACCTGTTCACCATACCTGTTCACCATACCTGTTCACCATACCTGTTCACCATACCTGTTCACCATACCTGTTCACCATACCTGTTCACCATACCTGTTCACCATACCTGTTCACCATACCTGTTCACCATACCTGTTCACCATACCTGTTCACCATACCTGTTCACCATACCTGTTCACCATACCTGTTCACCATACCTGTTCACCATACCTGTTCACCATACCTGTTCACCATACCTGTTCACCATACCTGTTCACCATACCTGTTCACCATACCTGTTCACCATACCTGTTCACCATACCTGTTCACCATACCTGTTCACCATACCTGTTCACCATACCTGTTCACCATACCTGTTCACCATACCTGTTCACCATACCTGTTCACCATACCTGTTCACCATACCTGTTCACCATACCTGTTCACCATACCTGTTCACCATACCTGTTCACCATACCTGTTCACCATACCTGTTCACCATACCTGTTCACCATACCTGTTCACCATACCTGTTCACCATACCTGTTCACCATACCTGTTCACCATACCTGTTCACCATACCTGTTCACCATACCTGTTCACCATACCTGTTCACCATACCTGTTCACCATACCTGTTCACCATACCTGTTCACCATACCTGTTCACCATACCTGTTCACCATACCTGTTCACCATACCTGTTCACCATACCTGTTCACCATACCTGTTCACCATACCTGTTCACCATACCTGTTCACCATACCTGTTCACCATACCTGTTCACCATACCTGTTCACCATACCTGTTCACCATACCTGTTCACCATACCTGTTCACCATACCTGTTCACCATACCTGTTCACCATACCTGTTCACCATACCTGTTCACCATACCTGTTCACCATACCTGTTCACCATACCTGTTCACCATACCTGTTCACCATACCTGTTCACCATACCTGTTCACCATACCTGTTCACCATACCTGTTCACCATACCTGTTCACCATACCTGTTCACCATACCTGTTCACCATACCTGTTCACCATACCTGTTCACCATACCTGTTCACCATACCTGTTCACCATACCTGTTCACCATACCTGTTCACCATACCTGTTCACCATACCTGTTCACCATACCTGTTCACCATACCTGTTCACCATACCTGTTCACCATACCTGTTCACCATACCTGTTCACCATACCTGTTCACCATACCTGTTCACCATACCTGTTCACCATACCTGTTCACCATGAGTGCTACTCTGCTGCCGAGTTTGAGAGGCATGTAGCCTGTCTCCTGAGAGCGATGGGTAGGTTTGGAATGAGGGAAGGAAGAGATTGGGAAGGGGAAAAAAAGGAGTAGGAATGGGAAAAGTGAGGATTGGGAGTGGGAGGAATGAAAGTGGGAGAAATGGGAGTGGGAGGAATGGGAGGGGGGTGATGGAAGCGGAGAAAGAGGAGCATCAAGGAGGACACTAAAAGGCGCCAGATGACAACTGGGAACTGATTTCGGTGCTCTCAGGAGACACTAGTTGAAGAGGAAGATACCGAGTTGTTCATATTTGAAAGCACAGCGCATAAATGATCTCGATCAAGAAGGACGCTCAATTTCACCTACCCTGGTGTCATACACAAGTAAATTGCTGCCACGTATTGAACAATGGCCTCCAAATGGGGCTCGATTGGACAGCGCATAAATGATCTCGATCAAGAAGGACGCTTAAATCAGTTGTTGTAAACATTTCAAAGCATGGTGACTCACAGGGTTGTTGATGGTCTTGAGCATGTGGGAGACGACAACGTCCACTGGCTGCATGTCCACCACCGCTGCCCCTGGCTCGCCATGCTGCATGCATGGACGGGTTGGTGGGAAACGTCATGGTGGGGAAGGATGAAGGTGCAAACAATCACACACAGGTAGCCCATCACGTGCACAGGCTGCATGTCCACCACCGCTGCCCCTGGCTCCCCGTGCTGCGAGCATCATGCATGTGTGGGTGGGTGGGTAACGGCATGGTGGGGAAGGATAAAGGTGCATGCAACCACAGATGGGTAACCCAGCACAGCACATCCGCAGCACGGTGGGTAACCCAGCACAGCACATATGCAGGCTGCATATCCACCACTGCTGCTCCCAGCTCCCCTTGCTGCATCCGTGGGTGGGTGGGAGATGGCATATTAGGGCAGATGAATTCAGACAAGAGGCAGCATGGACGTATGTATACAGCCAGCAGCCCCACGTCCCCCCACTTGTCCCATGTCTCCCGAGGTGACTTTTGAGTCGACTCAAAAGTCACCTCAAAGAGGCAGCATGGACACATGTATGCAGCCAGCAGCCCCATGTCCCCCCACTCGTCCCATGTCTCTCCACTCACCCCATGACCCCCCCTTTCACCCAATCCCCCCACTCACGATGCCCTGTCTGGTTTCCATCTAGGTGTGACACGGATTTGGTCGGAGGGGAAACCCTTCAAGTCCCCTTCTTGCCATCGCCCCCTCCCTCTTTTGATCCCTCCCCCATCATCACCCCTCCATCATCACCCCCCCATCATCACCCCTCCATCATCACCCCTCCATCATCACCCCCCTATCATCACCCCATCCGTGCCCACCCATCCACTCACAATGCCGAGCCCGAGTTCCATCTTGGTGGCAGGGAGTCGATCAGAAGGGAAGCCCCACGGCACGGTGCAGACAGAGAGACCCACCCCTATGGTGCCCACTAGTCCTGCTCACTCAAGTCAAGCCATGCCCCGCCACTCACCCCATCTCCGCCCCACTCACAATGCCGAGCCCGAGTTCCATCTTGGTGGCAGGAAGTCGATCAGAAGGGAAGCCCCCCGGCACGGTGCAGACAGAGAGACCCACCCCCATGGTGCCCACTAGCCCTGCAGTACAGGTGAAGGGGGGAACACAGGAAGCAGATAGGAAAACGGGGAGGAGGATGGGGAGGTGGGGAGGCGAAGACTATACGGAGGATGATCGGAGGGAAAACCCCCTGGCACGGTGCACACAGAGAGGCCCACCCCCATGGTGCCCACTAGCCTGTGGCATGGGCGAAGTAAGCAGCAAGAGGAGGAGCGGGGAGGGGGGGGGTTGGGGTGGTTTGGTGACAAAGGCCGATGGAAGCTGAAGGAGGGAGAATAGAGCAATATAAGAAAACACGCTCTCTTGAAACCAGCATTCTCCCATTTCTGATCTGAAGTGTATCCTAGTCCAGCCAGTCCCCACCTGCCACTTGGCGAGCCTCTGCTGCCACGTCAGCGAGTGACTTTCCCTCCTCTGCAGCTGCTCCTGCAACCTACAGTCGGACGGAGGGACGGGAGAGCAGGTGGGGAATGGAACGGAGAGTTGGGAACAGGACTTGGTCTCAGGGGAAAACATGTGGTGTGCGGCAGGAGAAACGACTTGATGTTTGTGCCAATGTATATACTTGGGGAAACGACTCGATGTGGTAATGTGGAAGAACGAAACCTGGTCCTTGTGTGAAGAACCTTGTTTTTGGGGAAGGGGAGCAAGCAATTAACAAATGCTTCAAACTTTCGCAATCACTTCTCACACATGCATGCATCTTGTAGTTTGAATTGACCCCTCATGACACAAACCCAACCCTCTCACGAAAACGCTTGGTGCGAATGAACATCCAGAGCACATCCACCCACCTTGTGCACAAAGACAGTCCCAGCCAGACCTCTTCTCCCTGCAATGCCACGAGGCGGCGGCAGCGCACAGTCGTCCCCCACCACCACCATCTGATGATCAGGGCATGTCAGAGGAAGACCGGTCAGGTCAAGTCAAGATTCTGTGAAATAAGCTAGTTTCGGTTCTTGCGAATCTTCCTCAGTACAGCCTGTGAATGCCACGAGGCGGCAGCAGCGCACAGTCGTCCCGCACCACCACCATGCGATGATGGGGGCAAACGGACGTCAGAGCTAGAGCCTAGAGAGATGAGAAAGAGGAGGAGGTGAGCAAGGAAAGACGAGGTGAGAACGGGCAGGAACGGAAGTAGCAAGCAAAAGCGCAGGCACAGGTGGAGACTCGAGAACGGAGAGAAAAGCGATTGACTGACTGACTGACTGACTGACTGACTGACTGACTGACTGACTGACTGACTGACTGGCTGGCTGGCTGGCTGGCTGGCTGGCTGGCTGGCTGGCTGGCTGGCTGGCTGGCTGGCTGGCTGGCTGGCTGGCTGGCTGGCTGGCTGGCTGGCTGGCTGGCTGGCTGGCTGGCTGGCTGGCTGGCTGGCTGGCTGGCTGGCTGGCTGGCTGGCTGGCTGGCTGGCTGGCTGGCTGGCTGGCTGGCTGGCTGGCTGGCTGGCTGGCTGGCTGGCTGACTGACTGACTGACTGACTGACTGACTGACTGACTGACTGACTGACTGGCTGACTGACTGACTGACTGGCTGACCGACTCACATCGACTTTGAAGCCCTCCTCCTTGGCTTGCTCTGCTGCCAGTCCAAAGTTCAGCCTGTCACCTGTATAGCTCTGTGAGGAAGAAATTTGAGAACTGGAATGAAACCTAAGATGGGAATGAAAGTCGACCCAAGAACCAGTTGCAGGCCCATGCAATATGTACTTCTGGAAGGAAAGGAAAAAAAAGCGGAGGGGGATGCGATGGTGGTTGGTTCGGCTTCAGACTGCTTTGACAGGTTCCAAAAGGACACACCTTGACGATCAAGAGGCAGCCAGCTGGACCAGTCACTGCCCGAATGGCCTGGGCAACAAAAAAGAAAGAAAGAAAAAAAGAAAGAAAACAAATATGAGACAGATACAGGACACGAGGAGTTTTGTTTGGACCGGCATAACAAACGAGCACAGGTGTGTATTTGGCCTGGAGCATAGCAAGCAAGCAGTGCCTACAGAAGCAGGCAGGGGCTATCTTGCATTACCACCCTACAACTACATACATCGTAGTGCTGTACTGTACCATGAGAACAGCGTTGACTGAAAGCGAGGCAAAGACATCCCCGCACACGGCGGCTGTGAGCATGCCCTTCCCCACAAACCCTGCGTGCGCTGGCTCGTGCCCTCTCCCCCTCATTTGTAAGCACTTCACAAAAAGAATCGTAGATCGTATCATACCATGAGAACAGCGTTGACTGAAGGCGAGGCGAAGACATCCCCGCACACGGCGGCAGTGAGCATGCCCTTCCCCACGAACCCTGCATGCGCCGGCTCGTGCCCGCTCCCGCCGCCCGAAATGATTGCCACCTTCTCGTACGTCCCTCTGCTGACGTCAGCTCGCAGCACCACCTTCACCTGCATTCATTGGTTTCGCCAGAAAAGTTTCATGATTTTCTGCAGCTGACGAACGGTTGGAATCTTGTGAATGCTCTCGCATAAAAAAATCTAGAGAATTGATATGAGCCACTCGCTACTGCTGGGGTGGGACAAATTTGCATAGGTGAAGGGTATTTAGTATAGTTTAGAATATTCAAAGTTGCAATTTAACAAGTATTAAAATCTCAAAAGGTGTTCCTGCACAAATAGTCATGGGCGGACCTCACGTTGCCATCCAGACAAACATCCAGGAAGCCATTCTGGAAGACATTTCGGTCATAAATGTTTTTTTTGAGTCGCTTTTCAAGAATTGACTTAAACCACTACAGCTTTGAGGCGCCCGAGGGAGAAGGAACTCACGTCAGGGAAGCCATCGAGGTACTGCAGGTTGGGGTAGGTCTCCACCAAGCCCTCGATCATCTCGAGGACCACATCTGTGCGGCATTTACACCCGAATTTAGGAAAAATCTGGATTATTTAGACTCACGAACATGCAGCAACGCGGGAATGAGCTCATTTCGGATATTCTTCGACGACTAACAGCCAGGCTTACTTGAAAACGTGAACGAGTTTCAGGGCGTGTTACTCAAACATGGATGTCATAACACATACGCCTTATGGCACGTAACATTTAACACACACGTACCCTTATGGCACCTGGCTGAAAATGGCACGTACTGGACCTTAGCCGCTTAGCCTAAGCCTGAAGATGCCTTAAATAGACATATATAAACGCGAAACCGTGGAGCTGAGAATGTGTACCTGATGGGTCATTTATGAGCTTCTTTGCGCCTGACATAGTTGTCTTGTCGTGCGCGAATGCAGGGGCCGGATTCGCACTAATTCGGATTCGCACTATGTCGTGCGCGTCAATCAATTCGAGCTGCGATAAGCTGATTGACCCGAGCCGGAGAAATGTCAATGGTCACGCTTGCTGCGCTGGGATGAACACTAGTCAGGTCTCTGAAAGGTAGGCTTTCTTCAGAACCATGACATTGGTCTAATTTTAATTTCCTAACATTCAAGTTGACTAGTCGCACAGGGCGCGAACTTGCTGGCAGCTTGGTTTGGAAACTTTGGTAACCCCGAGGAACTGGCGGGAAACTGGCACGGATGTGGCATGGATGCCTTGGTCTGGGTTCGGTCGCAGGTTTGCCAAGGCTAGCAAGGGGGAACCAAGCTTGGGGTGCGCCTGGCGAGTGCTGGCATGATTTTATTGGTTGTTGGGCTAGAGAGTTTTCTTGTCAGTGTATTGTGATTGCGAGGCTTGATATAGCTGTGTTGGTGAATCCTGCATCTCGTGTAAAATTAATTCTTGTATTAGCACACTGAGTCCGCTAATTTGCGTACAAATTCTTACTTCCGTGTCATCATTCTACACGTTGGTGGTGATGGTGGGCGACCCACCTGGAGGAGAAGACTTCGTCCCGAGCAGTGTGACAGCCACCTGCGCCGTGGCTTCAGGTACATATTTCCAGACTGGCTCATAACGGCAAACGGTACAGTAGATAGCTTGCCCAGAAAGAAAGGCAGCTTTGTGTGAGGCTAGTTTTTAGCTGCAGAAGAAAAGCCTACAGTGTAAACGATGATATTTTTTAAAAACCTAATTATTATCCTGCCCAGCGGTTAGCATTGCTTCATAGTGTTGGCATCACACCAAGTTCCAGCTGGATCAACCAGCCAGATCAGCCAAACCACCTCCACGCGAATCTGCGATTCGCGAAAGGGAAGGGGCAGGTGAGGATCCATACAAATCCGCGACAAATTCACAGCCATCACCGCCACCACAGCTGCTGATATGGTTTTGTAGCCGTGTTGTACGCCAATCGGACTGGCGTGTCGTTTGATTGGAGGGGATGGTGTACGAAGAACCTCCCCACTTTGATTTCATCACCCCCCCGTTTCATTGCATGTTCCACCTGGACGATGATGACACGGTTTCTTGGCCGTGACGCACCACGATGAATCTTGATCACATCCCTCACCACCGCTTATATTCAACAACACACAAGTTTCAGTGCTTGATCTGTCCGAGGCGAGAAGTTCAACACGACAGATCCAATGTTGGAGAGGCTGCTGATGTTTACATCTAAACAATGTTATTCTACACGTCGGAAGGTAGTGCATGCCCCGTGTAGTGTGCGGTGTAGAAAAGGACCTCTGCACTGTTCCGCATTGCATTTCCCCAGGCCACGACAACATCCCCTCCCCTCCCCCATTGTCTCGCCTTCAGTTCAGTCCAGTCAGTTTTGAAGACTGAATTCTCTGCTGCTGTGACATGACGACGACATATCCCCCTGCTGCCAATCTGCCAGCTAGCCCACCCCCCCCATATCCGCCATTGCCCCCCACCACCACCGACGCAGCGTGGCGTGGAGGAACCTCATGGCCTTCCCATCAAATTCCTTCTCCTAACAACATCAGAGGGCAAGCCGTAGTTGTCCCTGGCCGCGTATTGCGCCGCACATTCCGCCGCATACTCCGCCGCGCCATCCGGATGAATCCCGCATAGCTGACCGAACCTCCCCTGCGGCCTCATAATGGCTGTGCGGCTGCCGCCGCGCCGCCTCGTGGGATCCCCACGCGGGCCGGCGGCGGCATTCGCGGCGTCACTCATGGCGTCGCCCCTTCTCCTCCTCCTCGTGTCCGTCGCCCTTCTGCCGTCCCCCGCGCTGTGCCAATACTCGACAATAGGCCTCCCGGTAGCAATAGTAGCCGGAGGCGTGTACGATCCTCTCACAGGTGACACCACGTCCCAGGTATGGGAGATTAATCTCCGAACGCGTCGCGAGATAGGCTATTCCAGCAAACCCGACAGCAACGCTAACGCGCAGCTCACTTCCTGCGGCGTCGCGACAGACGGCAAGGCCTATATATCTTCAGGCGGCTCGTACCTAAACGTGATTAACTACACCCTAGACGGCGCGGTGCCGCTACCGCCCCTGGCTCTCCCTGGCGGGTTTTCAGGAACCGTTGTAGCGCTTGGGGGACCTTCGGAGAACCTTCTGGTTGTAGCGGACGGGTCGGATACAGCTGCGGGTGCGGTTTCAGTAAACCGCGCGACGGGCTCGTCGCGCCAGCTCGTCGGAGCGGGTTACCAGTGTCTTTCCGCTTCGTTCTGCTCCTCGCCAGCCGCCTCCCCGTCGAATTTCCTCGTGCTCACCTGCCACGTCACGGCTGACGATTCTGACGTGGTGGTGATTGTGCCGATAGATCCGGCGACCGGGAATTTCCAAGCCAGCTCGGCGATTAAGATGCTCTCCGCGTCGTACGCGGCGCGGCAGGCCGTCTGTTCTCCCGGCGGCGGCTTCTTAGCCGTTCTCCGGTACGACTCGAACATTCTCTACACGTACGCGCTTCCGCTCGCGGGAACCGCGCTCCCTTCGCCGCTATCAACAACAGTGCTGACGTCAGGCACGCCCGGATCGCTCGCCGTGGATCCGCAGAATAAGAACGTGCTGGTTACCAGCGCCGCGAATTACGGCGGCACGTCTACGCTCATGGCGTCCCGAGGCGCGACCTTTTTGGGGACTATGGACGCGGTAGATTTCACGGAGACGGGAGGATGCGCTTCGGCGGCGTTCTTCGGTTCCTTCCAATACTCCACCGCCGCATCTGACGGCGGAGATCTCGCAGTGTATCCCAGCAGCTCGCCCGTGGCGCTTCTCGCGCTTCCCGAAGGCGTGTACGCGATGGCGCTGCAAGCGGACGGCGCGGTTTCGACGGACACCACGGGATTCGTGCCGCTCGGGAGTACCGACGCGGGTTCGAGCTTTTTCTCCAGCGCGGTTTGCGTTCAGCGATTCGTCGCGAATCCCTCGCCGCCGCCTCCTCCCCCACCAAGCCCTCCGCCGCCTCCGCCGTCTCCACCGCCGCCGCCTAAACCGCCCAGTCCGCCGAAACCGCCTTCCCCGCCGCCGCCGCCCAAGCCGCCGAGCCCGCCGCCGAAACCGCCTTCGCCGCCGCCGCCATCTCCGCCGCCGAAGCCGCCTCCCAGTCCACCTCCCTCGCCGCCCCCCTCTCCGCCTAGTCCCCCGCCTCCCCCCAGCACCGCCACCACCACCGCCGTTTCTTCCTCGCCCCCTCCGCTTCTCTCGTCCCCGCCCCCCCCACTCGTCACTTCCTCGCCCCCTCCGCTTGTCTCTTCCCCGCCCCCTCCGCTCGTTGCCTCTCCGCCTCCACCTGTCGCGTCTCCCCCTCCGCTCGTCGCTTCCCCGCCCCCACTTGTCGCGTCTCCCCCTCCGCTCGTCGCTTCTCCGCCTCCACCTGTCGCGTCTCCCCCTCCACTGGTATCCTCCCCTCCACCGCCCAACCCTCCGCTTCCGCCGTCTCCGCCGCCTCCGCCAAAACCCCCAAGTCCCCCGCCGCCGTCTCCCCCTCCCTCACCACCGCCCGCACCCCCTCCACCCCCACCTCCCTCCCCTCTTCTTTCCCCTCCCCCTGTCAATTCTCCGCCTCCCCCTGTCAGTTCTCCGCCTCCCCCTGTGTATTCTCCGCCACCCCCTGTGGATTCCCCCCCTCCCCCGCTGCCCCCGCTTGCGGTAGCGGTCTCGAGCACTCTCTCCCCGCCCCCGCCCCCGCCAGTAGTCGAATCCGTTACAAGCAGCCCGCCTCCACCTACTGCCGTAACCGTCGTAGATAGCCCGCCTCCACCTGTACCCGTTATAGCAAGCCCGCCTCCTCCTGTCGCTGTACCCGTTATAGCAAGCCCGCCTCCACCTGTCGCTGTACCTGTTATAAGCAGCCCGCCTCCACCAGCCACCGTACCCGTTACAAACAGCCCACCTCCACCAACCACCGTACCCGTTACAAACAGCCCGCCTCCGCCCGTCCTCCCTTCCGCGTCCGGCGTCCTCTCCCCGCCAGGCGCCAAAGAAGCTTCCGCGGACCTTCCCAGTACCTCCGACCTGTTTTCTTCCGCCACCCCCCGTTCGCCGCCGCCGCCCGCAGTTGCCGCCCCCCCGCCCCCCCGCAGACCGCCTCCCCCGCCTCCGCCTCCCCCTGCGAAAGCCCCGGTTAAGAAGCCAAAGAAAAAGCCGGCGCCCAAGAAGAAAAAGTCGACGTCCAAGAGTGGGAGCGGAGGCGCAGGGGCGACTGCATCCTCGCTATCAGCTGACGTGTTTGGCGCGTCAGGTACGGGTGATTGACGGCGCATTGGTTGCGTCCCTTATCGTTTTACTGAATGCAAGTACGTAGCGTTGCGGATTTACGTTAGTACAAAGCGCGTACGTTGTCGTTCCCGTCAGCACATCTCCCGTTGCCCCTAAATGCTTCCCTATTCACCCATTGGCGCCCACCTCTTTCCCACCCCTTCCATAATCCTCATCCTCATCTCCCCGTGCCCATCCCGATCAAATCACAAACACGCTCTTTGACCGACACATTCTGGATTTATGCTGCATTTGCCCCTTTTTGAACAATTCGTTTTTTTCTCAACCTCGTCTTCTCGTCCCCTTTATCTCCTTCGTTCCATGTAAATCCCCAGGCGCCGCGACGTGCAAGCTGGGGGTGCGGCAGAAATGCCTGACGCGGCTCGTGTGCCAAGACGCGCTGGACGTGGGAGGGTGCTCGTGCCTTCGCGAGGCTGGTTCGCCGTCGTGCACGAGTGAGTCAATGTTCTTTCGCCAATGAATGTCTTTCGCGAGTGAGTGTCCGCTCGCCAATGTATGTTCTCTCGCCGATGTTTCCTGCTCGTTGATTTGGTTTTGTTACGATCCGTATGGACGAAATTGGTAATGTACGTGACTTGTGTCATGTGTTACATGTGTTACATACAACAACTTTCATCAATCTCCTATCTCTTTACTACTGCAGTTGCATCTTTAAAAATCTTGCCCCAGATTCTCCCCTCCCCTCGCCTTTTTTAAGGATCTCTCTCTTCCAGCAACCTCCTCTCCTCACCTTCCATCTTTCCTACACCTGCTGCTCTCTCATGCTTCCTCCTGCTCCCTGCCTCTCCCTCCTGCTTCCTGCTCCCTCCTCCCTGTTGCTCCCATCCCTACACTCTAGTTACCCGCAAGTGCTTGGTGCCAGCAGCATGCCCTGCGGAAGCGCTCTGCACTAGTCTCCCTGACGGATCAGCTCCATCCCACTCGTGCCTGAAATCACTTATGAGTCGACTAAGAAATCATCTCTCTCGCTCCCTGCTGCTCCCTTCCACCTGCGCTGCACCCTGCTCCTCCCTTCCCCCATTACAGTTACCCGCAAGTGCATGGTGCCAGCAGCATGCCCTGTGAAAGCGCTCTGCACAGCTCCCACTGACGGCTCGTCCCCTACCTGCTCGTGTGCGGCGGGCTTTGCGCCTCTCAAGGCAGCAGCAGAGGACACAGTGTTCGACTTCTGTGCTCGCACCCGCTGCAGCAGCTCTCTCGCGTTCATTGGATTCGACTGTGGTACGTCGCTGTCTTTGCTTGCAGTTTCCTTTAAGTCTTGCCCAAATTTTCTCTAATGGCTATTTCATGCTCCTCAAGTGTTCATTATGTTCTTCGTAACATCCCATGCCCCTCTACACGTTCTTCCGTAACCCTCCCAGCGACGTTCCATAGTCCTCCCTTCGCTGTTCCAAGCTGCTCTCAATGATGTTGCATGCTCCTCTCTGTTCCGTGTTCACCAAATGCTGTCAATGCAGCGCCTCCAAGCTCCGTGGTTTGAAGCAGAGTCATTTACTTCTGATTTGAAGATTTGAATTCATTCTGTTGCTGGCCTAAAAAGCTGTTAGCCATGCAGGCCTGGTTTAGTGAGTGGTTTTTGTTGGGGATGGGGGGAGTCTAACTAGTGTACCATAGACCCATTGCTGGCTGCACAAAGGGGGTTGGAGTGTGTGGGGCTGCTTTAAATAAACCAGTGAAACCTCTTTCGGATGTGTGTTACCGTGTCAGGAGACCTGATGTTGTAATGTTATTGAAGACTCTTGCTGTGGTATTGAAGACTTGCGAAACGTACAAGAGCCAAAGAATGGACTGTTGGTGCCTGACCATGCCCTAAACCTAAACAACTGCATTTGGACTACAGACAACAAAACCATCACCTGGTGGTTGCAGCACACACGGTCCCTGGTTGGCTGATGATGCAACTGGTGTGGTGATACTTTCACACCTGCCTATTCACTAACATTGTATTCATCAATTAACGTACCAATACAACAGGGATGGAGCCTTAGGCGAAGAACTCATTTTCATCACCATTATTGCAGCAGCAGCCGCAAGGTTCTATTGACAAATTGAATGGTTCTCACTGCATTGTGGCAGCAAGAACGTTCATGAGAAAAACACAATTCAAAACATAGACGAAACCCAGAACCAGCGGAACGAACACTTGCTCTGGGTGTTTTCTGGAGATAAGAGCCAGCGTTTGTGGTCGGAGCTGTCTAATGGGATTGAACTGCGGCTGAAGGGGTAAGGCTGGAGCAGGAGCACTCTGCACGTCTGGGCTGTCAAATGGCCAGCGAAACAGGTCTCTTAAGCAGATGGCCAGAACGTCTAGTAGAGTCGCGTCATCCCTGGAACGCGATAGACTGCTGTGCAAAGGACCCCAGCAATCTGCTCTGTCGAAGCTGGGCGAGTGGGAGTGGTAGTGGATCCATACTGTTGCAGCGGTAAGATCTGCAAGCAGTTGACACAGCAAGATATGAATACCGTAGGCTCACGCAATGTTGAAGCACAGAATCTGTGAGCAGGTTCACACAATGCTGAAGCACACATTCTGGTGAATGTCCTTACCTGGATGCGAAGCGAGCAAAGCCTTCTCAGCGTACATGATGGACTCCAAAACCTGTTGGCGGAGACAGTAATACATGCTAGGGTTAGTCAACTGAGCCTCAACAAGCTTCATCAGCAGATCAACAATATATTTGGTGCTCACCAATGGCATTTCTCTTTCAAATATCCAGCTTCGGATGACAGGGGGTGCGAGGAATGAATGAGACCCGCTAACATGACAGTGCAGATGTAAGGAATATTGAACTTCGCCGTCGGACTTTTGTCGAACTTTCCACTCCCCTACGACTTCGTCGCGGAAGAGCTTCGATGACCATCCATCTAGCTGACCAAGGAAACAAAAGGAGTAAGATTCTGATTCGACATTTGCGGATAAAGAAAAAGGGGGGAAGAGACAGGGGGATGGGGAAGGAGGGAGGGGGGAGGGAAGGAGGAGATGGGGAGGGGGGTGCATTTGCACACCTGTTTGACGGCAACGGCTGAACTAATCGTCAAAAATAGGTCAGCCGTCATGTCATCATGTGTCACTGTATATACACGAGGTAAAAGACCAGCGGCTTCTGACACGGCTAGTGCCGATGTGCTCCCTTTCATGTCCGAAACGTGAAGCCTCGAGGGACAGAATTTCGCAGGCTCGCCAAGTCCCGAGACCTGAAACGAGTAAAAACCATCAGTGCTAAAATCAGTGCTATCCATGATAACTATCAGTGCTTTCTCGAGACAGCAGGGCGAGATATCAACAGCGGGGCAAGGGCTGGAGTGCTGACCACTGTAGGTTGTAGGTGCTTTCGATGATCCAGGCATTGGCGAGAGTTGTGAGGGTAAGTGTACTCAAGAGGTGAGAATCTAAATGATGTCTCTGCGCGTCGGTGACACCTGCGTTGAGCATCTCCTGGTAACCTCTTCTGGTTGAGTCTGCAACGAAGTCCTGCGTGCGAAAGGCCTGTTGACATTTGAACTCTAATTTCGAATCTGCAAAAAACTAGATGACCAGGACTCCTAGTTTTTTGCTGCTGCTGCTGCAGCTGCTGCACGGAACGGAGCCGTCGTTTCAAAGAAACGCGTTACGGGTACGAGCTTCTTATCGATAGGTAGTCTAGGGCACTCGGATAGGGAGCAGCTGAGTGAGAGCTAGGAAACAAGCAAGCAGATCTCACTCAACAATTCCGCTATCCGAGGCTCAAACTAACCCCTCTATTGAAGTCACCCGAACCGTAACTACGTGATGCCTGCTGCTCCAAGACAAACCTAAGGCAATTCCCACCCAGACTAAGGGACTGAACCGAACCGCAAGACCGCGGCAGGGATGTGTGAGGCGGCTTGAGCAGATGTGGGGACAGGACTGGTCACAGGAGCAAATCGAGTGGAGGAGCGAATGTAGATGGGGGGAGTGTGTGAGGGGATGCCGGGGGGGAGTGTGCCCCAGGGGTGAGGTGAGGGAAAGGAAGGAAACAACGATGGAGAAGGTGCATCCGTAGGTGGTACGTGTAGAGCGCCATGCTTGGAGCTAGGGACATCGCACATGGGATGGATGGGAGGTAGATGTGCCGTGATGGAGTTGCGACGTGGCCGCTTCTTCCGTAGCCAGTCATTGAGGAACAGATATGGGTAGGATCCGCCACGTAAGCGATTCTCAGCCCCGTCTGGGCAATTTTACGGGCTGCTGTGATTCGTTTGGTTGAGGGAGGATTCGTGAGAGAGTGGTTACACAAACAGGCGATATTAAAACACGCAAGTGCGAAAAGAGCCATCACCAATCGGCGACCTCGAGGGAACTTCGGGTTGAGGCGCTGCAATTGGTAGGATTGGAGCAGCCACTTGGGCAGACATCTGCCAAGGCCACACCTGGCCGGGCACCATGAAAACTTTCTCATCAATGTTTCGCGGACGTTCTAGTCGTAAGTGCCAGGCCCGTCACAACAGTTTTTACAGCAAACACCAGACACCCAGTTTGCTTCCCAGAACCCAGTTTTGATATTAGGGGCTGGAATCACGCTAATTAGCGGTTCATCTCAAGAAGTTCCGTTCCCAGTTCCCAGTTCCCATGAAGGTCGATCGCGAGATGCAAGAAAGCGGAATATGCACAGGTGTAGGTGATCAAATTCGTGTTTTGCTACCTCGGATGGTCAGACCGTGCCGCCATGGCTATTCCATGCCGACGAGGGCCCTGGTCTGAGCCACACGTCCTTGCGTTAGTCAGCACGGTGCAAGCGTTTCTTGCCAGCAAGGTGTCGAGGTGCCTGTGTAAAGCTCCCAGACGACGACCTTCGCGACAGGGATCTTTCGATCTCTGACTTGAGGAGGGTGTCTAAAACAGCTTGTAACATCTGCTGTGCAAGATATCGTACTCAAGCTCAACCAACATCGTTCGCGAGATAACGAAATTACGGAATTACGAGACATATAACGTTTCCAGTGCGTCATGGCTTCTGCGATTGCACCGAAGCTTGTCACTCTGCCCAGCTTCTCCGCCACTTCTTCCAGGTCGCGATCTGAATCTTCTCATCAAAACTGCTCCCCGTCTCGTGGTTACGCTCACGCTCGCAGAAGATTAAGGTGTTCGGCAAACGACTCCTCGAAGTCATCAGGTAATCGGCAGCACTCCGGACGTTTCGTGTGTCGGTCATCGTAGGCACAGTGACGAATCACAGAAGATGTCGCGTCTTTCATTTCCAGCCTCCATTCCCGCGGTTTCAATCGCATTTCACTCTGATCTCACCCTTCGTTCTCTCCGCTCTCCACGTGCAGAATGCAGCAACGAGTCAGACCGCAACACCCTAAGAGAGAGCTCTCCTGCCAGCAACTTAGCGTCTCAGGATTCACAATATCCGCAAGACTTGGAAGATTCACGAAATCCGCGTAACTCTGCAGGAGAGGAAGCTGGATCTGCTGCTGATGCTAAGCAGGACAGCTCACGAGCGATATCCCGAAGGTTCTTACTTGGTGGAGCCACATTAGCCGGCGCAGGGATTCTTCTAGAAGGTGGAGGCGACAGAGCGGGCCGGCCGTTACGCAGTAACACAGGCCGGCGATGGTCCATCCAGGGTTCGGGTAACGCGACTCCCTTACCGTTACCGTTACAGCCAGACGTGGACTCTCTTCCTGGGGAGTTGAGCAGCCTGCTAGACGACAAGCAAGGCCTGTGGGTGTCTGAATCGGGGTCCGCGGCCCGGCTCGTTCCTGTTCACGAGGGGTTGATTGCGGAGAAGAGATTCAGCGAATTTGGACCGTACGATGTGGAGAATCTGTATCATCAGGAGCACACGTGCGCGTCCTGCTTCCCGGACTGTGCAGCAGGGGGCTGCTTGTTGCGGATAACGGTGACGTACCCAGCGAGGATGCGGCACACGTCTTGGACGCCTCAATACTCGTTACAGGTCGGTCAACTGTTTCCCTAGAACCACGCTTCCTCTTTCTCCATACTATGGCTGTGCTGTGCTCCTCGTCCCCCTCCACTCTTGACTTAGGCTGTCCACTTTAATCCCCCCATAGACCCCTTCGTCTCGGGTCTGCTATCCCTTATAGTGTGTTACACGCCTCTCCCACACGCCTCTTCCACACTCTTTCCCACCTTTCTTCGCTGCTGTCTTGCTTCTCACCCCCACAGGAGGACAAGTTTCCTCTAGCAGTGTTCAGCAGCGGGTTCCTGCTGGACTCGGCTCAGTACCGCAGCTACGCCCACCACCTCGCCAGCTGGGGCTTCGCTGTAGTCACCTACAATAAGGTACGGTTGTGCGTAGTCTCGATAAGCCTTGGTAGCTGAACCAGGCCATGCGGATATTTGATAGGCGAAGGTGATGCACATGCACGCAGCATCACTCACTTGATGCATGCACGTCAATCAGTAAGGCGTTTTCGATTGACTAAGTGGTGTATACTCCCTCATGCTCACCCTCCGTCTGACCGACTGATAGATTGACACCCTCGTCACTGTTGCATGCATGGCAGGTGGAGGGGCTGATGGGCCCTCTGGACGACATCATCTGTGCGCGGTTCATTACAGAACTCATCAACTGGGCTGGCACCAGGTGAGTCCGTTGTGCTTATGTTGACTCTTGACTCGACTCGAAAGTCAACCAGGTGGAGGGGCCGATGGGCCCTCTAGACAACATCATCTGTGCACGGTTCATCACAGAACTCATCAACTGGGCTGGCACCAGGTGAGTCCGTTCAGCCATGCCATCAGCATCATTGTCATTGTGCTTTTCTCATTATTCCGCTGCAGCCAGACCAGACTCTATGTCTGTTTGGCTCAAAGCCAAAAACTATCATGGTGCAGATGCTGTCACGTCTGAGTCAAAGCACCTATGGCTCATAGCAAGGTCCCAAGAAAATAGCAAGCACTTAATCTCACGCTGCCGCTGCTGAGATTTTCATGGCCATCGCCTGCCACCTATTGCCTGGTTGCTCGGCCCCCCTCTGCAGTCACTTGCTTCGCAGGATAGCAGACAACACCCGCGTCTACCTCTGCGGCCACTCCAGAGGGGGTAAGACCTCCTCTCCCGTATTGCACTTCCGTGCTGTGAACACCTGTGTGGTTCTGTTTTGCATGTGTACAGAAGCTACGTTTCGTGCCCATGTGTGTGGTTCCTACTCCCAATCTTCACTTCTGTTGCCTTTCCACATGTACTCGTGTGTGCAGCCAAGGTGAGCGTGCTGGCAGCAGCCATGGACCCTCGAGTGCTGTCCCTGCTTGTGCGTGTGCGCGTGTGTGTCTTGTACGCCATTATTTCTAAGCTATGTCTACACCCATCCCCTCTTGCCCGCATGTACTCGTGTGAGCAGCCAAGGTGAGCGTGCTGGCAGCAGCCATGGACCCTCGGGTACTCTCCCTTGGCCTCGTAGACCCGGTCGATAATACAAGTGAGTAGCCAGCACACACATATGTGACATATGTGTTATAACGCCCCGCTAGACCACTGGGCCAAAATGGTGGTGATTCATACGCGCAGTGGATTCCCTCACCCCTTCGTGTAAGCCTGCAGGTGTTAGCGTTTTTTTTGTCGACTCAAAACGAGCGTGCTGGCAGCAGCCATGGACATTCGAGTGCGAGTGCCTATCTTGGCCTTGTTGGCCCTGTCAATAGCGCAAGTGAGTTGCCGGCACACACCCATGAAACTGTGTGCATTGACTGGATCACATAACAATCAGTTGTTTAGAACAGGCAGAACACACACATGTGGAGCACAGGAGACAGACACACACACCACCCTGCTTCTACTCGCCTCCTTGTCATCACACGCCATCTCTCCCTCTCAGCCCTCATACCCTACCTCACCCACACTTCCCTTCTCCTTCAGTCTACATGCCTCTTGATCTCGGACGCCCCTCAGCAGTGGCAAAAGGGACGCCCCTCAGCAGTGGCAAAAGGGACGCCCCTCAGCAGTGGCAAAAGGGACGCCCCTCAGCAGTGGCAAAAGGGACGCCCCTCAGCAGTGGCAAAAGGGACGCCCCTCAGCAGTGGCAAAAGGGACGCCCCTCAGCAGTGGCAAAAGGGACGCCCCTCAGCAGTGGCAAAAGGGACGCCCCTCAGCAGTGGCTAAAGGGACGCCCCTCAGCAGTGGCAAGAGGGGCGCCACTCAGCAGTGGCACCTGCGCCATGCGTCCTCTTCTTCAATCTTTGCCTCTCCCTGTCAATCCTCCCTCCCCACAGCCCCTCTTCCCCTACCCCTCACCCTGGCCTCTGGCCCCCGGGTATTCCTCAGCAGTGGCGGCCATAAGAGCAGTCACCAGCGCCATTTACCCACTTTCCCATGCTCTATCTCTCTCTCCCTGTTATCCCTCTCTCCCCACAACCACCCATACCCGCCTCTCCCTGCAGTCTATGCACCTCTAACCACTGGCTATCCTTCAGCCGTAGCAGCCATGCATGCAGGCACCAGTGTTATCGAGCACCTGCTCGCGCAGCCCAACCCCTGTCCATTTAACCCTCTCCCAACCCCTCTCTCCCCCGTTCTCCCCCCTGCAGTCTACGCCCCTCTGCCCCCCGGGTATCCTTCAGCCATAGCAGCTATGCATGCAGGCACCAGTGCCATCGAGCACCTGCTCGCCCAACCCCTGTCCCCCTTTCCCTCCCCCCGCCTCTCTCCCCCTCCCCCTGCAGTCTACGCGCCTCTGGCCCCGGGCTACCCCTCAGCCGTGGCAACCATGAGGGCAGGCAACAGCGCCATAGAGCACCTCCTGGCTGACGCCAGCCCTGCCAACCAAGGCCTTGCCGTTTCCCTCCCCACCCTCGTCGTGGGCGGTGGCTACCCCGGCGACTGCGCCCCTGCTGCCTCCAACTACCGCTGGTTCTTCAAAGAAGCTGGTAACCCTAGCTGGGAGGTTGTGCTGCGAGACGCGGGGCATTTCCAGTTTTTAGACTCGCCGCCGGTGCTGCAGGCGGCTGTGTGTGGGCTGGGGCCGGCGAGGGATGAGGATGTGAGGCGGGCGACAAAGGCGTGTATTGCCGCATGGGGGCATGCGACGGTACCCCGGCAGAGGGGGAAGGTTGTGGGTGGGGGGCGTGTGAGAGGGGAAGTGCCGCAGCAGGGAGGGGGAGAGGGGGGAGGAGTGGAAGGGGATGAGCAAGGTTGCATTAGCATTGGGGGGAGGTGTGATGGACGTAGCGGCAGTGGGGGCAGTGGGGGCAGTGGGGGCAGTGGGGCCAGCGGGACCAGTGGCTTTATGGATGCCGCAGCAGCTGATAGTTGGGGAGTGGGTGCAGCAAGGGAAAAGGGCCCTGTGCAGGCTCCTGCTCCTGCTCCTGCAGCAAGGGAAAAGGACCCTGTACAGACGCCAGGTCCTGCATTGACTCCGTTGACTCCATTGACTGCGGGGGAGAATCTGGAGGCTCCTGTGTCAGATAGGAAGGATGAGCTGGAGGCCATGATGGTTTCAGTCGCTGCTGAGCTGGCAGCGCTTGGAGGGACGAAGTTCACTTCAAGGCTGAAACTGTGACTGTCTGTGCTGTAGCCTGTAGTGTAGGGTGCTTGTTTAGTGGCATTTCCCCACCAGTAGTTGCAAATGTATATGCTGCTGATGGTTTGTGAACTAATGTTATGTGTTGGGTTTTTGTGACGTGATGTTGATATGAGTACGTGTGTGTATGCTTCTATCATTTTTATGCTTCTACTAGTAAAGTGGTGTCAGCTTGAGGGTTCCACTATTGTTTGTAGAAATGGTAGTAACAGCATCAGTTTCCCTAACTGTACACAACAAGAAAGCACTCATGCATAACGGAAATGGCTTCGGCAACATCGAGGATCCCAGATTCTGTGGCTGGGGTTGGATGCTTGCTCGGGTGCTGCCTGTTGCACTGATCACGGATGGCGTCTCGGGTCGTACGACGGAGTCCTGTATATTCCCTTCCGTTCCGTGTCTGTCGCCTCATTTTCGGAAGTTCCATAGCATTCCGTCAGCCTTGATAACGATCGATCATAGCCGTCCGATCAACTCTCGTACTCGAGTTGCAACGAGCACGGCGCACAGCATAAGTAGCTCCTAGTCGTGACCACGCAGGGGACGCCTATTACCTAGACTAGTTTTGATCTCTGCAGTTACCGTGTTTCCTAGTCTTCCTGATAATGGTATTATACCACAATAATCGTGTGATTCGCTTCTCAGATGCTTCCGTACGCAGAAACTACACGGACTTCAAATGAACTACGCGAGTTACGTGAGCCACGAGACCATGTTCTAGGTGACTGCAGATTGAAGTCTCGGCAACTCCGCTCTCCACGTGCCGCCATAGCCGTCACTGAATCCTTGTCCCTTGAATGTACCATTAGCGGTCATAGCAATGAGTTACTGCGAATCTTTCTCTAGCAAATCCTCGGTCAGTATGGGTCACTGCGACTCTTACTAGCGAATCTCCGGTGAAGATGAGCCACTGCTGTCGCCAGTAGCAAGCCCTTCGTGAATCTGTGAATCACCGCGATCCTCACTAGCGAATCCCTGGTCAAGATAGCCACTGCCGTCTGTACTAGCGAATTTGCGGCCAAGATGATCCACTGCTGTCGTCACTAGCGAATCAGCGGTCAGGATGAGTCACTGCCGTCGTCACTAGCGAATCTTCGGCCAAGATGAGCCACTGCTGGTGCAAGTGCGAGGCGGGAGCGGGGCAGTGCGGGCCCAAGGTACCGAAGCTCAAGACGCTCTTCAACGCGCACAAGAACCTCGACGACTCGTCTCTCCGCCGCGGCGACTGGGAGGCCGAGCTCCACGTCATCTGGGAGGTGCGTTACAAGTCGTGAGGATTGCGTTACAAGTCGTTAGAAGTGGGTCACAAGTCGCAAAAAGTGTGTTCCAAGCCACGGGAGGGGCGGTACAAGGCATGAGAGGTCCGTTACAAGCTTTTTGAGGTGCGCTTACATGTCGTGCAAGGTACACTACAAGTTACGGAAGGCGCGTTACAAGTCATGGGAAGGGCGTTACATGTCATGAGAGGCAGGAGGAAGCGTGTACTCAGGGAAAATGAGGAAAGAGGACAAGTATCCATGGATAATGCAACCATTATCAAATGATTCTCTCTGTTGTTGCCTAACAATCTCTTCCCCATGCTGCTTCACTGCCTCCCACATCTTTCATTCCTACCCTTTCTCCTTCTCGTTTCCCAATGTTCCTACCAATCCCTATTCTCTCGTTTTGCTCTCCCTCTCTTCCTGTGGTTGGCTTTTTTATTCTCCTCTGTGTGTGATTCAGGAAATAGGAGAGGATAAGCTGATTCGCTCAGAAGACCTGCGATTGGCCATTGCAGATGCTGTGGATAAGGCTTACGAGAAGGTGATGACGTGGACAGTTAATGTGCCGTGATATTTATAATAGGTCATGCTTTGGATTGATTCCACAAAATTGCTGTAGTTGAGATGGCCTTGTGTGCTTCTGGAGTGAGCCAGTTAAAGAAGCGCTATAATAACAGAATGTAGTGTCAGCGATTGTAGGATTTGTGTTCATAGTGTCATTCCCTGATGTCTCTTGCTGTGCCGTGCCATGCCATGCCATGCCGTGCCATGCCACCCCATGCCATAAAATGCAAAACCTTCTCTGCTCTAACCCACGGCAGGCAGTGCGAGAAGCAGCGCAGCAGCGCACAGAACTGGAGGAGGGCGGGAGGGAAGTGAGCAACAGCTGTACGACCTGCTGGGGCCTGATGCCGAGTGCCTGATCCCACTCCCATTCCCTTCAACCACCTTCACCCGCTCCTATCTCTCCCATCACAGGCAGTGCGGGAGGCAGTGCAGCAGCGCACAGAACTGGAGGAGGGCGTGAGGGAAGCGGAGCAGCAACCGTACGACCTGCTGGGACTTGATGCCGAGTGCCTGCCCTGACCCCTCTCCCTTTCCCTTCAACCACACTCTAATTCCTCTATCCCACGGCAGGCAGTGCGGGAGGCAGTGCAGCAGCGAACAGAACTGGAGGAGGGTGTGAGGGCAGCGGAGCAACAGCTGTACGACCTGCTGGGGCCCGATGCAGAGTGCCTGGTGGCACCCCATTCTCTCCCGTTGCAAGAGCGGCTGGACGTGAACCTCTCCCACCTGCACCAGCTGGAATCCGTGAGTGCTGCTTCATGCCTGCTGCTGCAATTGCCTCCACCTGCTTCAACCTGCCTGCACCTGCCTCCACTTGGATGTACACATGTGCGCCTTGGTTAGGCAGAGACTGGACGTGAACGTCTCCCACCCGCACCAACTGGTCTTCGTAAGTGCTGCTGCACCGCTGCTGCTGCACCGCAGCTGCTGCACCTGGTGACTCTCCACGCCACGCCCTACCACTGCTGGCGTCCTCTCCCACGCACCCATCCGCGCTGGCTTGGCTCCTTGTGCCACCTCTCACAGTTTCCTTCCTCTTTCCTTTCACCTTTTCCCACTTTCCTCCCATTTTCCTCCCTCCATCCTCACATTTCCCTTCCCGCTGCAGCAAAGGGAGGGCAAGTGGTGGCTGAGGGGCCTGGTAGTGCTGGCGGAACTAAGGAGGAAACTCATCTGCCTGCGCTCCTCGCTGCACCTCCCTCTTGAGAGTCTCAAAATTCTCCCTGATTTCCTCCGTCTGTCCTCCTTTCATTTCTCCTCTGCAGCAAAGAGAGGAAGGCAAGGGGTGGCTGGGCGGTCTAGTGGTGCTGGCAGAGCTGAGGAGCCGTCTCTTTTGCCTGCGCTCGTCTCTGCACCTGCTTTTGGCACGCCTCAAATTTTCTCCCTCTGTCTTCCCTCTGCCCTCTCCCTTTCCTCTGCTGCAGCAAAGGGAGGAAGGAAAGGGGTGGCTGGGCGGTCTTGTAGTGCTGGCGGAGCTCAGAAGCCGTCTCATTTGCCTGCGCTCCTCGCTGCACCTGCCACCACCAGAGAGCGATGCTGACATGCAGGAGGTGAGTCATGGGGGTTTCATTGGTGTGGGTGTGGGTGTGGGTGAGTCATGGGGGTTTCATTGGTGTGGTTGTGGTTGTGGGTGTGGGTGTGGGTGTGGGTGTGGGTGTGGGTGTGGGTGAGTCATGGGGGTTCATTGTTATGGTTGTGCCTTTTGCTTGCCGCTGCAACTGCCACCACCAGGGAACGACACACAATGGAGAAAATCCTCTCCTTGTCATACCTCTCCTTCCTTCTATTCCCTCTCCATCCCCCCTCCATCGCCCTTCTCCGCCGTCTCCCCGCTGCTCCAAATCCAGATTCTAGAGAGCACAATGGAGGCCCTTCCCAACGCACAGTCCCGTTTTCCCATTCCCCTCTCCCTCTCCCAATTCCCCCACTTGCCTGCCACTTGCTTTCCCTCTTGCTGCTCCATATCCAGATTCTAGAAAGCACTATGGAGGCGCTTCCCAACGCACAGTCCCGTTTCCCCATCCTTCTCACCCACCCACTCCCCCACTTCCCCGCTGCTTCCCTTCCCTCCCGCTGCCCCAAGTCCAGATTCTAGAGAGCACAATGGAGGCCCTTCCCAACGCACACGATCCGAAGCAAAAGCTGCACCTTATGCAGCACAAGGGCTCAGCACTGCCACACTATATGCAGCAGAAGCAGCAGAAGAAGCAGAAGCACCACCATCACATGGGTCTACAGCAGCCGCAGCAGCAGCAGCCCATGGGTGAGCGTCTGGAGGCCTTCTATAGCACGCTGTGCCAAATGGAAAGCGCTTGGGCGCACCACCGCTCTGCACCCCCTGATACCTTTGCCTCTCCACGGAGAAAGGACAATGGGCAGAGCCTTTCCGTTGCTGGCTCGCAGACCCCTTCTCCCCGCCCCCACTCTCCCCCTTCTTTCCCTCCCCCACTCTCCCCCTCCGTCCGCCCTCTCACTCACTCCTCCACGTCCCTCCTCGCCTCCTCTCGCTCTGCTTCCAATCTCCACTCAACCACCCCCCCTCTCACACCACGCTCTCACCACTCCAACCGAAGCAACAGGGACAGCACTCGTGGCAGAGACAACAGGTGGTTGAGGGGCGGTGATGCTGAGGCAGGTAGTGGGATGAGATCGAGAAGGACGGTTCGGCAGAGTAACAGCAGCAGCAGCAGTGGCCACAGCAGCAACCGAGGCAGCAGCTACAGGGGCAGGGGGAGAGAGTATTTAGGGGCAGGGAGAGAAGGAGAGGCGGATGTGCTGGTGTTGTCAGGAGGACGAAGCAGAGGAGGAGGAAGTGGAGGTGGTGGAGGAGGAGGAGCAACACTGTCGTCAGAGGATGGGCCACTTACACTCGAGTCACTGAGTGAGTTTTAAGGTGTCACAGAACAAATCTGAATTGATTTCACTTTTAAGAATTCTCAAAAGCCACGAAGTGAGATTTAAGGTGTCACAGAACAAAGCCGATCTTTGAGTCGACTCACTGCGTGGGTGATGAGGGGTCACAGAGCAAGCAATCGTTCTCGACAGAACAGGCTTACAAACAATAATTGCTCTCATGATAAAGCTTCCAAGCTCACTCTTCCACCTCACACCTCCTCCCTCCCTCCCCCTCAGGTCGCGGCATTCTCCGCAAGATGGACCTCTTTCAACAGCAGGCCGCTCACTCCCTCTCCTCCAATCTGACTCGTTGAGCCCCCTCAAAAGCCTCCACCTTCATTCTTCCACTCTCGTGCCTCCACCCTCATCTCTCAGGTTGCCGCATTCTGCGCAAGATGGACCTCTTTCAACAGCAGGCCACCGTTAGGGTCGACTCAAAGTCACCCCTTTCACCACCCTATACCCACCCCACCACCCTCCCCTCCCCTCGAGGTCCCCGCATTCTCCGCAAGATGGACCTCTTTCAACAGCAGGCCGCCGTTAGGGTCGACTCAAAGTCGAGCTGGTTTTTGAGAATTCTCAAAAGTCACCCCTTTCACCACCATCTACCCACCACCCCACCCCCCCCCCCCCCCCGCATCCAGGTCACCTAATCCTTCGCAAGATGGACCTCTTTCAACAGCAGGCCGCCCGCTCCCTCTCCTCCCAAACCTCAGCCCCAGCCTCGGCCCAGCCTGCTCCAGCTTCAGCCTCAGGCTCGGAAGCCAGCTTCCCAACCAGCCGAGGCATGGGAGGAGGAGCGGGGGGCGCAGCAACAGGAGGAGGTGAACGGGGGCAAGATGGGGTAGCAGAGAGGAGAAGGGAAGGAGGAGGAGGGTGGGGGGTTGGATGGGGAGGGGGAGGAGGAAGAAGAAGAGGAGAGATGAGGGAGAGGGAGTGGGTGGGTGGATGGGGGGATGAGGAGATGGAAGGGGGTTGGGCAGCGTCGTTTGAGCCTCCCAGCTTCGTCCGCCCGCCCACCCCTCACACTGCCACGCTTCTCCAAGCCACTGTCGCTGCTGCTGCTATCACAGCTTCTGCGGCTCCTTCTCCCCGTCCTCCTACTGCTGGTGGTGGTGGTGTTGGTGGTGCTGGTACTGCTATTTTCGCTGGTGCTCCTTCTGCTGCTGCTGCTGGTGCTGCTGCTGGTGCTGCTGCTGGTGCTGTTATTGCCGTTCCTTCTCCTCCATCACCTTCCTCTCCTCCCTCCGCTCCTTCCCCTCCTCCCCCTCCCTCACCCCCCACCTTCCACCCTTCTGCGTTCTTCCCTCCACCATTAACCCTCTCATCGCCCAAACCTGCACAAACCCGCCTTTTGAATCCCCCCTCACCTGCCTTTTCTGTGCCCTGGGCTTCAAAATCAGCTACCAAGACTGCTGCTGCTCCCAAATTAGCACCTGCTGCTGCTGCTAAACCCGCCCCTACGGCTGCTCTTGTTACCCGCAGCCTAACCTCCCCCTCTGCTTCCATGTCACTGGCTGACGTTGTATCTTTAACGCATCATGCTTCTAATGAGGATGGTTCTCCAAGAGTGGGAGCAGGAGTAGGAGGTAGTGTGAGGCCAGGGCACAGTGAATGGGGCAGGGGAGGGGACGCGATGGGGGTACTGGGGAGTGGAGGAGGGGTAGTGAGAGGAGTGAGAAAGGGAGAAACAGCAAGTGCAGCTGTGGCGGCAGCAAGGAAAGCGGCTGGGAGTGTGTCTGCTGCAGCTGTTGCTGCTGCTGCCAGTGCTCGTTTCGACGCTGCTGCTGCCATTGCCGCAGGTGCTCCTGGTGCTGTGATCACTCCTAGACCTGATTCTGCTGCTGCCCTTGTTGCTGCTTCCGCCTGTGCTGCAGTTACTGCTGATAGGGCTGGTAGCAGCAACAGCAGAGCAGCCAGAGTCTCAGCAGGAGCGGCACCAGCACCAGCAGGAGGGGCAGGGGCGGGAGGGGGAGGGGCGGGAGGGGGAGGGGAGGGAGGGGCAGGGGCGGGATGGGGAGGGGCGGGATGGGGAAGGCACGGCCAAGTCGCCCTCTCTGCTTCCTCTTCTTCCTCTCTTTTCTCCTCCTTGCCCCCCGCCCCCCCACCACCTCTGCAACCAGCAACATCAGCAGCAGGAACAGCAGGATTAGGAGGAGGAAGAGGGTTAGGGAGAGGAGCAGGAGCAGGAGCAGGCATGCCGCCTCCCCCTCCTCCGCCTCCTTCCCTTAAAGCCCCCCCTCCGCCCCCACAAGCCACGCCCAGGGCAGGAGGGAAGGGCGGGGCGCGATCCGCTGTTCTAGCAGCAGTTGCGGCAGCAGAAGCTTCCAAGAAGGAGCAAGAGGAGCAAGAGAAGGATGAGGGGCGAGGGGCAGGAGCAGCAGCAGCAGGAGAAGCAGGGAAAACCCACACCTCTGGTTCTGCTGCTGCAGATTCTTCTACAGCTACCTCTGTGCCTCCCCGTCCCCCTCCTCCTGCTCCTCCCCCTCCTCCCCCTCGCCCTCCCCCACCTCCTCCCTCCCTCCCCTCCCCCCACATCCCAGCCTCCTTTTCCCTCCCAGACCTCTCCCAGACGTTCGGAGATTCTCGGCTCCCCACTCCCCCCCCTCCCCCGCGCCCCCCTCCTCCCCCTTCCGCTTTGGGGGGGTTAACAGCAGCAAGGCCAAGGGGAGAGAAGGGAGAGGCGGCGGCAGGGGCAGGGGGGAGGGTAAGAGGAGGAGCAGGGGGCAGCGGTGGAGGAGTTGGGGAAGGGGGATTGCGGGAGGGAGGTGGGTTGCGGCGGTCGAACCGAATGGGGCACCTGTATCGCGGGCTCAAGAGTCGGGTGGAGCAAGCAATTGTTGGCGCACAGGCGTTGGGGGTCGGCAGGGCAGGGGGGGAGGGAGGGGGGTTTGTGGGAGGCGGGGGAGTGGGTGGAGGAGGGGGGAGGGGAGGGGGAGGGGTTGCAGGAGATGGGGGAGTGCGCATGAGAGGGAGACCGCAGGGAGGGGGGCGCGTGTCGATTGCGCTCGCATTGGCAGAGATCCATCAAAAGTGAGTTGCTCTGAGCTGCTCTGAGCTGCTCTGAGCTGTTCTGCTACGTTTCTTGCTTTCTTGCTCTTCGTTTTCTGTTAATAACTCTTGAGTCGACTCAAAAGTCAGAAGGGAAGGGGGCGAGTGTCGATTGCCCTGGCTTTGGCAGAGATCCATCAAAAGTGAGTTGTTCTGAGTTGCTCTGAGTTGTTCTGAGCTGTTCTGAGTTGCTCTGAGCTGTTCTGAGTTGCTCTGAGCTGTTCTGCTCTGTTTCTTGCTTTCTTGCTCTTCTCTGTCTGTGTATGTGTATGCGTATGCACCCTTCTCTAGTTTGTGTGACACCTGTTCTCCGACAGTGGGTATGAAGTATGTGTCTCTTCCGCATGTGCTCTCCCATTCCCCCTTCGCTCAGCCCCCTCACGTTTCCTTCTGTAAAATCGCATCGTCTGTTCCTCCCTCATGCAGTCCTTACAATCTGGTTGCCTATCCTAAACCCTGGAAAAAATCCTCCTCTCTCTTCCTCTTGTTTAAACCTGTTACGCGTTTTCCCCTTCTTCTCAACCCTCCAGCTCAGCATATTTCCAGCAGATAGAGGCTGACGTGGTGAAGCATGCAGACGCCATCTGGCAGGCCAAGGCTGAGCTGGAGGCCTTCCAGACCACCAATTTCGAGGAGCTGGTGACGTTTCGAGACAGGATAGAGTCCCTTCTTCAAGACCTGACTGACGAGACTCAGGTAATCCCCCATGGACTCAGGTAAGCAAGTTCTGAGTTGACTCGAGGCAAGCAAAGGCTGAGCTGGAGGCCTTCCAGACCACCGACTTTGACGAGCTGGTTTCATTCCGTGCCAAGATAGAGTCGCTTCTCCAAGACTGATGAGACTCAGGTACGCAAGTTCTGAGTTGACTCATAACAGGCCTAGGCTGAGCAGGAGGTTTTCTACCTTTGACGGAGCTCAGAAATGGACTCAGGTAACCAACCGGGTAGTCCCATAGGACTCAGAGCAGGCAAAGGCTGAGCTGGAGGCCTTCCAAACCACCGACTTTGACGAGCTGGTGGTGTTTCGAGCCAGGATAGAGTCGCTGTTCCAAGACTTGACGGATGAGACTCAGGTAAGCCTTTATGGGCTCAGGTAACTGGGTAATCCCATACAACAGGTACGAGCTGAGCTGACCTGGAGGCCTTTCAGACCACTGATTTCGACGAGCTGGTGGCGTTTCGAGCCAAGATAGAGGCGCTGCTCCAAGACTTGACTGATGAGACTCAGGTAAGCTAGTTCTGAGTTGACTCACAACAGGCCAAGGCTGAGCTGGAGGGTCACTTCTTCAAGACTTCACTAACGAAACCCTCCAAGGCTTCCCAGGTAACCGATAGGGTCAGGTAACTGGACGCTAGATGCTCCTGTTAGTGGCCTTCAGAATTACAGCACCTCCCACATCCCACTTTCCCCCACCCCCCTTGCAGGTGCTGCAGCGCTTTGAGGGCTTCCCCAGCAGCAAGCTGGAGCTGCTGCGTGCATCGGCGTCGCTGCACTCGCGCCTCTCCGCCCTCTCCCACGACCTGCTCTCTGCCGTACCCATGAGCAACAACGACACGAGAGGGACACCCAGTGCTACTACTGCTACTGCTGCTGGTGCTGCTGGTAGTGCTGCAGAAACTGGTGCTACTGGAGCTGCTGGTGCTGCTAGAACCAGTCAGAAGTAAAGCACATCCCACCACCCGCCCTTCCCACCTCCCCCCTCCCCCTCTCCCCCAGGTGCTGCAACGCTTTGAGGGCTTCCCCAGCAGCAAGCTGGAGCTGCTGCGTGCATCAGCGTCGCTGCTACAGCCAGTCAGTTTTAAAACACATCCCATCTATGCCCCTCCCCTCCCCCCTCCCCCTTCTCCCAGGTGCTACAGCGCTTTGACGGCTTCCCCAGCAGCAAGCTGGAGCTGCTGCGTGCATCGGCGTCGCTGCACTCGCGCCTCTCCGCCCTCTCCCACGACCTGCTCTCTGCCGTACCCATGAGCAACAACGACAGGGGAGGGACACCTGGTGCTGCTGCTGGGAATGTTGGTACTGCTGGCGCTGTTGGTGGTGCTGGTGGTGCTGGTGCGGCAGCAGCGCCGGCGTCAGTGGCGGCGGTGGGGGTGTGTTTGGATCGGTGCGAGCGGCTGTTTGATCGTGTGCGGAGGGAGGTGGAGGCAGTGGAGAGGAGCAGGGAGGAGGACGCGAAGAAGTTTGCAGCGCAGCGCCTGCCGTACAGTGGTGGTGCCATTGAGAGGGTGAAGGCGGCAGCTGTGCGGCTCTCCTCGCGTCTCTTGGAGCTCTCAGCTCAGGTGAGTCTCTCAGAGCAGAGGTTGCCATACAGTGGTGGCGCCATTGAGAGGGTGAAGGCGGCAGCTGTGCGCCCTTCCTCCCGCATCTTGGAATTTTCTGCTCAGGTGAACAGCTGTCAAGTTTCTTTCCAGCTGTTCCCAGTAAATTTGCCTATAAAACAGCCAGTGCACATGGTTCCTCCTGATGTTGATTTGCTTCTCTATATGTATGCACCTTCTCAGATTTGGTTGCTCAAAAGTAATTGCTGCCTACTTTTTCAATAGCTTGAACCCTGAACCCTGAATCTCTAACGCCTGTGGTGTTTTGTGCGAGCAGGAGAGCATGAAGCTGAGGGCGTCAGTGGAGCTGGTGGATGGGCGCATTCCCGTGTACGATGTGCCTTGAGTCATGAAAACCCTGAACCCCTTCCTGTGTTGTCTTGTATGAGCAGGAGAGCATGAAGCTGAGGGCGTCAGTGGAGCTGGTGGATGGGCGCATTCCCGTGTATGATGTGCCCCGAGTCAAGGCAGGCCTGTTTCTGTTGTTGAGGTTTATAAAAGAGATTTCCCTTTCTTTGTGTTGCCTTGTGCGAGCAGGAGAGCATGAAGCTGAGGGCGTCAGTGGAGCTGGTGGATGGGCGCATTCCCGTGTACGATGTGCCTCGAGTCAAGGCAGGCCTGTTTCTGTTGTTGAGGTTTATAAAAGAGATTTCCCTTTCTTTGTGTTGCCTTGTGCGAGCAGGAGAGCATGAAGCTGAGGGCGTCAGTGGAGCTGGTGGATGGGCGCATTCCCGTGTACGATGTGCCTCGAGTCAAGGCAGGCCTGTTTCTCCTCTGGCGCTGCTTCCAATTTGCATTCAGGGCGTACAATTTTGCTGGCGGGCAAGATGAAACGGCTGAAGAGCTGGCCCTTACAGTAGCTAAGGAGATGGAAGCGTATCCAGCTTATATGTGGGGATGATGTGATGTCCGACTGATTCATAAGTTTCAAACAACTGTGTATCTGCTTCATGGGGGTGATCCCATCTACGTTTCACAGCAGCGAAGAGCAAAAACGCCAATGCTTGAACGACAAAACACCCTAAGGGATCAGCCCCCTCTTCAACTCATGTACGGTACCATAAGAATTTCTGCCACTTGGACTCCCACCCTGAGTCTTCCCCTTCCCTCCCACTCACCCATGCAACAAGTTGCAGCTCCCTTCACCCCCATCACTCATCCTAACGATTTCAGCCCCTTTTGCCCACCGCACCCTGAAAAATGTTGGACGAGCGGCTGCAAAAAATACATTTGTTTTTATGAAAACTTGTCAGTAAATACAGAGATGCGTTGCACCAGGCAAACCTTACAATTGCCTGGTTAAAATAATCACCCCAAACCCTACAAAGACCCACCCAACGACTTCCTAATCACCCCAGGACCAGGACGTATGAAACTGCACGAGAAACCACGGACCTAGGGCTGGAAGTTGCTGTCCAAAAAGCCATTCTCTACAAGCACCTTCTCCCGCTTGGCCTTATCGAGATCTGAGTCCACCATCATCGCCACCAGCTGCTTGAACGTCACCTCGGGCTTCCACCCAAGCTTTTCCCGGGCCTTGGCGGAGGATCCGCGGAGGTTGTCGACTTCGGACGGGCGGAAGTAGCGCGGGTCGATCTCGACGTGCTCCTTCCAGTCCAGGCCGACGTAGCCGAAGGCCTCGATGAGGAATTGCTCGACGGTGAAGGATTCCTCTGTGGCCAACACGTAGTCGTCAGGCTGCTCCTGCTGCAGCATCAGCCACATGCCCTGTAGAGACAGATCGGAAGGAATTGTGACCGTTAGACAGTCGCATCTCGTCTCATTGTTGCGTGTGTTCGTTATATCACTCATTTGCAATAATTGACTTGAGAGGTGAGAGAAGGGAAGGAGGGCGGGGAGAAGCGAGAATGAGCGCCGGAAATCCGGCAAGACTTAATTTTAGAGAACCATGGAGATCCATCAAACGTGGCATCCGGAATTTATGAAGGAATGGAAACACACCGTCGCGCATTCGTACCTTGACATAGTCACCGGCGAAGCCCCAATCACGAGAAGCCTTGAGGTTGCCGAGGTACACCTTCTTTTGAAGGCCAACCTTGATGCGACCGACGGCGCGGGTGATCTTCCTCGTCACAAAGTTCTCACCACGCCTCGGGCTCTCGTGGTTGAAGAGAATGCCGTTGCACGCGAACATGCCGTAAGCCTCGCGGTAGTTCACCGTGTACCAGTGAGCAGCCACCTTGGAAACAGCGTAGGGCGAACGAGGATGGAAGAGCGTCTTCTCGTCTTGAGGAGGCGGTGTAGCTCCGAACATTTCGGAAGATCCGGCCTGGTAGTACTTGACGGATCGTCCGGAGTTCTCAATGTGGTTGCGAACAGCCTCAAGGAGGCGGAGAGCTCCAGTGCCGACGACATCGGCGGTGTACTCAGGGTTCTCGAAAGAAACGCCGACGTGGGACTGAGCACCGAGGTTGAAAACCTCATCAGGTTTGATCTGGTCAATCCAGTGACGGAGAGCAGTGGCGTCGGACAGATCACCATAGTGGAGTCTCAGCTTGGCTGAAGAGACGTGAGGGTCGCGGTAGATGTGGTCCAAGCGCTGGGTGTTGAAATTGGAGGAACGACGGATGATACCGTGCACTTCGTAGCCCTTGGACAGCAGAAACTCTGTCAGGTAGGACCCATCTTGGCCAGTGATACCGGTGATAAAGGCTTTCTTAACAGGGCCTTCGGAAGCCATAGCTGAGAACTCGGAAATCAGAAATCAGAAACTGGGGATTTGACCAGAGAGACTGAAATTTCACTAGCAAAGACAGTGGTAGTTGAAATGTGCTGCTGCTGTAAATCTTGAGGGGGGCTTCAGATATGTGTTTTTCCTGAAGCTCAGAGAAATGTGGAACGCATCAAAGCCATGCTGTGCTTGATACTTATGTGGCAATGATCCACAGGCTCGGGAATTGTGGTTGTTGAGATCAGAGGTTCGGAAGTCCACCAAACTCTCACCCGTGTTCTGGTTGGTGAAGAAAGAGGCTCGGACTCCACCAAATTCTATCTGCGAGCGTGCGAACCAGGCTCAACATGGCGCTTTCTGCCAGGCTGGTCCGGTTTAGTTGGTGATGTGGTATTCCAAGAGGCAGGGGTGTGCCTGCCTGCCCGCGGTATTGTCGGCATGATGCCACACTTGATTGGAAGCTGAGAGTTGCGGAATGCGGGAATTGCTTGAATCCCGTTACAGGTGGGCGACTTTCTCCGATGGGTTCCAGGTGGTTTGTTTGTCGATGACCACCTGCCCCAGGTGGCGTTATTACACACTACGCCAAAGCGATTCGTGGTGGCGGTGTGGCATTGCGACCACTACACCTGAATTCTGTTTGAGCTTTACCTATTTTATAGCAATACGCATCTCAATGACTGGTACTTATTCATCCTTAATAATTTTTGTCCAAGCACCTGTCGTAGCAGTATGCAACATGGAACCCGAAGTACAACGTTTTAGCCACAGGCCTGAAATCGTCCCTAATCCCATATTGCTCATTGGAGATCAATGAGCACCAACTTGTCCCTTAATGCCATCGTAAGCAAGCATGCAAATTCATACAACTTGGACTAGCTTTCATTCAGATAATGGTAAAAGCAGGACAATTTGCATCGCTGGCCACGTAAATTTGCCAGCAATGAGAGTGAAGACAATAAAATATAAATTAAACCGGACCGTAAACATTCAAAACCCCTTTGAATCATTAAATCCTAAAACGGCTCAGCGCGGTCAGCTGTCACATCAGAAGGGTGAGCATGCCCCTTGTATTTATCAGAGGGGTTGCACCTGCCTCGGCCTGGAGTGGATACACTCAGGCATACATGAGAGTCACTGGGGAGGCGAGTTCCATTGCGAATAGGGTAATGTAAGGCAATCTTCCCTCTGATGTACTGGTACCGATGTACTCAGTTCTACCTCCTGTGGTGTGGTGTATTATTCAGGCGCACCCGTTACCACGCGACATGAGCGTTAGGTGAAGTCGTCTGATATCAACGACGGCGTTGAACCCGTCAGGTGTAGTGATGCACCCCCAGCAGGCTTCTATGTGGACTAACCTGGATAAGTTCGGGTGCTTTGCATGGTACCTACTCAGTCTTCAGCCTACTCGCCACGTGCATGGACATTTTGGAATCAAGTATTTATATTAACGAGCTACGTCGACAAATAATAGAACCCAGTTTAGGGCTTGTGGACAATGAAGGACATGCACTGGACCTGCTTCACGTTGTCGAAGCCAAGAACACGGATGAAGCAACCAGGGTAGGAAGACTTGCACTCGTTGATCTCCCTGAGCACCTGGGACGCATCAGTGCAGCCGAAGAGGGGCAGCTTCCACATGGTCCAGTAGCGGCCATCATAGTAGCCGGGGCCCCTGTTGTTTTCCCTGTACACGACACCGCTGGGGTCGAACTCAATAGCGGGGATCCAGCCGTTCTTGAGCATGTACCGGATCTCCTTGATGATCATGTCATCGGTGAGAGCGGGGAGGTAAGACAGGGTCTCGAACCTGGGGTTGCCGATGGGGTTCCACACCTGCACATCGAATACAAAAGCGACGTGAGAAAGCCATCATTACAACCACTAAGTTACGAAAACTGACGTAGGAGTAAGTACAAAGTCGAGCAAACAGTCGACACTACTTGATTATCGTTTCGACATAGCACTGACCTTCATGCAGGACACACGGCTGCCGTTGGAGACAGTCTTGGCGGCGAAGCCATTGGGGGCGGCGACACCAGCCTTCAGCCCGGAGAAGGACACAGACTTGGAGGAGGCAGCAGAGGCCTCCACAGTTGCCTTGAAGGCAACGGGGGCAACAACGGCAGACGAGGTGATGGAGGCCATTATCCTTTTCTTGGTGGAAAAGGAGAACAAGATTACGGTATGGAAACGTGCAGTGCTTGCTGAAACAATGAGATCAGCGTGTGTTATAGCTGTCTTCGAGAGGGGGTAGCAAGGGAGGAGAGTTCCGTGCCACGATCAGAGATCGTATGGTTGGTGGATAGGTTCGAGCTGGCTGTTATCCAGTCAACAGCGCCAACTAAGCAGGTCCACCCATATGTGACTGGAGGGTCCGCTTATGTGGCAATCTGTGGTAGCGCCGATCGTTCCGATGTGGGAAGTTTGATGCCTATGTGGCAACATACGGAACTTTGCAGCACACAATTGTCCACCGTGGGAAAGGCTGGGCTTCGGCGCTGCTTTTGGCCATTCGAACCAACCACATCTGACCGACGCAGTGGCAGTTGAGCAGCGATCTCTTCCAAATGTAGACACGTCAGCATCACCCCGCTATTACAGAGACCTCAGAATGCCGCGCTAAAGATATTCTGTGAAGTCCCATCCCGAAAAGTCTGCATACAAATGTGGATGAGTTGCATCCCGCGAAGCTCGGGTGACGAAATTGATGCAACTACTTTTTCGCCTAGTGTGACGTTGCAATGACACAGCTTTGCCAAATCGACAACCCATCAACCCCCAGGTTTGGGCCTATCCACGTCAGTCTTACCGTCGAATTACGAAATTGGATAAGAACGAGTATCATAAGTGGTCCGCTGCCATTCAATATGGTACACATGGTTACCCGGAACCCACTCTCAACAAGCAAACACCCCCATCTTCCACCATTCGTCTCGGGACTTGATCCACCAACCAGAGAGCTGCAATACCCCCTTCAGCTTCACATCCGCCTATTTCTGATCTGGGTATTGCTTTCAGTCACACCCAATTTTTTTGGCGTTGGTTGATCAACCAAGCCAGCCAACGTTCTGAGGCATTTGATTGCTTCTATTTGGATCTGGTTCTGGCTTCGTTTGGAGGCTGAGTTCATGGTCTCCGCTGGTCGAGATATTGCCCCTTGTCGTCGAGATACAGCCCTTTCGTAGTAGTGTCGGTCATTCGAAGAGTACTAGACCACGGTGACGCAGTCCAGCAGCAAGTAACAGAGTTAGCGTTTGCTGACAACATGCAGACGGGCTTAGGGTTATGTCGATCAAGCCTCGCCACACCTCCCTTTCATGTTAGCGGGAACGGAACGTTCTGTGATAACCATGTTCAATCCAATATCGTCAAATACTCATCGGTTCGTCAACTAGCTTCCGTAAACAAACGCGAATATTCTTCTTCCGTTTCAGTATGTTGTTCGCGTTACCACCACCTCACAAGAGAATCTGCAACATTGGGAAGCTTACACAGATTGACGCTTAGGAAGTTGGGCACAAGCGATTCTAGTAGCACTCTGATACGGCGATCTCTGCGAGATGTCACTGCAGCCTCAGACGCGCACGGGGTATCTGGCAGAATCAGCTCTTCCCCGCTTTATTCCAGGTCGCAGTACTCCGATCAAAACGCCTCTAGCAGCAGCAGCCAGGGGGCTTCGTCAGATTTAGGCAATTCGTGCTTCAACTGCGTCTGGCAGTTCAGCACCATCCCAATCGCAAACCCAGCAGGAGCAGTTGCAACCACAACCGCAGCAGCAGGAGCAGCAGGATCAGCAGCAGAAGGAGCAGGTGGCTCAGGGAAAATTCTGGCGGCGAGTGAAATTTGGCTCGCTGGCTGGAGGGCTAGCTTTTGGCGGACTGTTGATGGGGAGTTGGCTGTTCACGGTTCTTCTGACGGGAGTGGTGCTGCTCGGTACTGCGGAGTATTTCAACTTGATTAACGCGCGGGCGAAGCTGAACAACGTAGCCGTTCCTTCGCGGCTGTCGGTTTACATTGGCTGCATCGGCTGCGCCATCATGCCGCTCATTGCCATGTAAGATTGTCGTGCTTTTCACTTGCGCCTTCTTGAGAATGGGGTTTCTGACTGTTCAGGTTTTGGAAAACGGGGTGTCGATGGGGCGAAGATGGGGGTTCAAGAGTCGGTTCATTGGGGTTTAGACGCGAGGAAAAATATTTTTATTAAAGTTACGGTGGCGAGGAATTGAGGAACGAACGAACGATTTTTCACCTACACCAAGTAAGCTCACCAGGCGCGACGTGCACTCAGCGCGTGATGCTTTGCTTGCTCCATGATCGCCGCGTGCGGCCGAGCTTCGTGTTCCCCGAAGGTGCATGACACACGTCATTAAGAGAGTAACAAGTTGTGATTTCTTAAATCTGGTCGCAGTATGCATCAAGAAAAATATAATTGAATCTGCCCTTGCTCTGGTTTACAGCGGTTGACAGGTCCGACGGTTTGATGAGCTTCTTCTTTGCCTCCTGCTGGCTATTCTCCTCAAAGGCCTCTGAATTGTCAAAGAGATAGGCAAAGCCATGTCGTTTGTCTCCGCTCTCCTGGCCTTCCCCTCCCATCGCTCATTTATGGCAGGGTGAATGGCGGGCTTCTGACGCCAGGAGTGAAATTTGCTGGCGGGCTGCTGCTGGCCATGCTGCTAACTCAGCCCAAGCGGCCTCGCTGGAGCCAGTTTACGGGCTACGTCTGCGGCCTCTTCTACTGCGGCTTCCTCCCCAGCTTCTGGGTCACGGTGAGCTCTTACCCACTGCCGTGACTCTTGAGTTGGCTCAGAAGTGAGGTTCGCTGGTGGGCTGCTACTGGCCATGCTCCTGACTCAGCCCAAACGGCCGCCCTGGAGTCAGTTCACGGGCTACGTACGTCTGCGGCCTCTTTTACCGCGGCCTCTTTACTGCGGCCTCTTTTACTGCGGCGTCCTGCCCAGCATCTGGGTCATGGTGAGCTGTTATCCTCTGCGCAAATCACTGCCTTTTTGGAATCTTCCGGGTCACTTCAAGCTGGGATTGCTGCTTCGGCAATCCCTCATCTGTTCCTGTCCCACTCCAATCTCTCCCTCCGCTTTCCTCCCCCACGCGTCCCTCTTCCTTTGAATGTGGTATGGGCTGGTGTTTACCACCAAAATGGCGCTACCAATGGCGAGGTCGTGGCCCTTTTCGCGGACCATGCGGCTTGTGGCCATCGTCTGGGGCTTTCCTCACTTGCACCTCTCCTCCTTCAACTCTTACCTCCCTCCTCTCCCCCACTCCCCCCGCCTCCCCACAGTTCCAGTTGCGGCGTGGACTGGCGTCGACAGCCACAACGGCGACGCCAGTGGCGCAGCTGTGGTCCCACTGCCGATTGGAGGGCTTATGGCCTCCTCGCTTGCCCCCCCCTCCTCGTCCCTCCCCCTCTTCCCTCCCCCTCGTAACTCTTGTCTCCGTCCCCCCTCTTCCCCAACATTTCCCCACCCGCGTTTCCAGCTGCTGTGTGGTGTGGCCACTACAGCCACGACATCGTCGCCAGTGGCGCAGCTGTGGCCCGCCCTGCTGGGAGGGCTTGTAGCCTTCTCGCGTGTCCCCCTCCCTCTTGCCTCCCTCAACTCGCTTCCCCAAATCCCGCGCTCCCTTCTCCCCCCTCCCCCCCTCCCCCCCCCCCCCCCCCCCCCCCCCCCCCCCGCATTTCCAGCTGCGGTGTGGTGTGGCCACTACAGCCACGACATCATCGCCAGTGGCGCAGCTGTGGCCCGCCCTGCTGGAGGGCGTGTAGCCTCCTCGCGTGTCCCCCTCTCCCCCCGCTTCCCCAAATCCCACGCTCCCTTTCCCCCCCCCCCCCCCCCCCCAAACCCCCCCCGCATTTCCAGCTGCGGTGTGGTGTGGCGACTACAGCCACAACGTCGTCGCCAGTGGCGCGGCTGTGGCCTGCCCTGCTGGGAGGGCCGGCCCTGTGGACCACGGGGCTCGTTGCTACCTTCATGGGCTTTGCGGGGGTTATTGCTGCCGACACGGGGGCGTATTTGGGTGGAAAGAACTTTGGCAAGACGCCGCTTTCAGGTGGGTGTGAGTGAGGGTGACGTTTGAGTAGACTTGAATGTGGTTGGTGTGAAGGAGGTCTGTGGACTGTGAGGTTTGGAATCGACGAGGGTGGGAAATAAAACGATTGTTCTAAACTCTAAACTACTAGAAAACACAAATCACAAACCGTTGGTTTCCTGAACATTGTACAAAGTCATTCCGATCCTGTTGTCCATCTGTCTCTTTCATCTCCACCATCACCCTGTGTTCATCTCTGCAACCTTAACCTACGCATGACCCTGCCCAAGCTTTTTATTTTTATCCCACTTGGTATGGTACCGCCTATCCCATATCCCACCATCCCGCGTTTGCCAGCCATCGCCACTCACTCCTGCCGTCCTTCGTGCTCCCCCATCCCTCATGTGCCTATGTGTATCCCCCCACCACTTCTCCTGCGCTGGTTACTGGCAGAGCTGAGCCCCAAAAAGACAGTTGAAGGGGCGTTGTTCGGGTTGGCCTCGTCAGTCTCTGTGTCCGTCCTCCTCTCCCATGCCTTCAGCTGGCCAGCCACACCTATCAGGTGCTGTCCCGCTTTCTCATGGATGGCTGGTTCTGTTCACAATTTGAATCCGCCAAATGCATGCTGCTGAAGTGCTAATCGTTGTCTTTTTTTGCTCTGTCTCTGGTGATAACTCAAGCTCTCTTGCACCCTCTTCCATTTTCCTTGATGGAACACATTGTTCACAATCACTTTTTCCTACTTTGCAGTGCGGCGGTGCTCGGGGTGATTGTCTTCGCTTCGTCTCTCTTTGGTGACCTGTTTGAGTCGGCTCTCAAGCGCCAGGCCGGAGTGAAAGATGCTGGCTCTCTCATCCCGGGACATGGTGGAATTTTGGACCGCACAGATAGCTACATCTTCACAGCCCCAGCAATTTACCTTTTCATCCGCTATGTTCTTCCTAAGCTAGCATGACGTTGAGCGTCCATAAAATACGCCTATGTTGGGTAGGGGAATGAATTTGTAGGTTGTAGAGCCTGCTGCATTCTGCTTTCAAGAGTACACTCCTAACCCTATGTTGTACATCAGGAAGTCGTATCATAGAATAAAAGCTTGGGCTGGATCCTTGTAGGCATTTGCAAGGGTGCATGTTTACAGTCTCTTACGCTGGTTGTTCGCAAGAGTAATCCCCGCTAATGAAATGAATTCCGACCCGACTTTCGCCACAGATGTTTTGCATCTCCCAGCCCTGAAATTTGTTCAGCCGAATCGAAACCTTGGGAACCCCGCCGAGTGCCTGTCATTTTCAACCATGTAGCCCGAAACCTGCGTTTGAAAGGCAGGTTGACCTAGTAGGCCCCAGTTCGTTAGGGGTGTCACTTTTCCCCCAGGACGGATCCCTGATAGACTAGAGCTTCTTCGCCGCGGGCCACGTGGATATTGAGCACCCGTGGCAGGGCGAGTTTAGAGCGTGGATGAGCGAGTTTAGAGCGTGGATGAACCCGCGGAACAGGACGAACGGTTGAGAGGCCAGCACATTGCCTTGGTGATGGGAAGTTCAACACCGCCTGATGATTTCGAGGCAGCGAAGACGAGTGCATCAGGAGCAGATGCAGGAACAGCGGTAGGAGGAGGACGAGGAAGAGCAACAGAATCAGCATCAGAATCAGCATCAGCATCAGCATCAGCATCAGAAGAATTAATATTAGCAGCAACAACAGCATTGCCGTCTGGTGGGATGGACCCCTCAGCCTCTTCGAGCCGCTCCCGTCCTATTTCACGCCATGAGGTTGCGGAGGCCAATCAGGGAAGTCCACGTCACGAGATTGAGATCTCCGATTCGGAGACGGAGCCGCTGACGGGCCCGCGAATCGCCGGCGACGCCAGCGACCGACCATACGACAGCAGAGATCGCACGTGCGACACCAGGGATCGTCCACCTCTCTCGCAAGCTCGGCGAGAAGTCAGGCGACACGACTACGTTCCGGCTCACAGCAGCAGAGACACCGGAACCGCGAGGTTCGGCGAGAGGCCCGGTGTGAGGCCCGGCGAGAGGCTCGGCGAGAGGTCCGACGAGAGGTCCGGCGAGAGGTCCGGAGGGAGGTTCGGCGAGGAGGGCGGGTTGTTGGAGACGCTGGGGCAGGAGATAGTGGCGATCGTGACGCCCGTGTCGATCTGCATGCTGCTCGTCGTCGCGCTCGTGCTCGCGCTCACGCCGCACGGCGCGTCCGTCACCACGCCCACCATTGCGACGCTGGTGTACCAGGAAGAGAGGTACGCTAATCACCTCACAAGCATTGCTGTGACGCCAGGATGCATGCCGCTCGTGCTCGCGCCCACCCCGCACGGCACGTCTGTCACCACGCCTACCATTGCGACGCTGGTGTATCAGGAAGAGAGGTACGCTCATCACAAGTCAAGCCAGGATGCATGCCGCTCGTGCTCGCACTCACTCCGCACGGAGCGTCCGTCAGCACGCCTACTATCGCGACGCTGGTGTACCAGGAAGAGAGGTACGCTCATCGCATGTCGACTTTTGAGTCGACTCAAAAGTCACCCCGCACGGCGCCTCCGTCACCACGCCCACGATTGCGACGCTGGTGTATCAGGAAGAGAGGTATGGGTGTCGCTGACTGACGTCACGATAGCCGCTGGCGTCGCTGACTGATGACGTCACGATAGCCGCTGGCGTCGCTGACGGACGTAGCGGTGGCGGTGGAAACGCTCCAAGTTAGTTGACTATTGACTAGGCTCAAAATTCACGTCCCCGTCCCCCAGTCAATTTTTGAGGCGCCTCAAAGATCGGTGGCGGTGGAAACTCTCCAAGTTAGTTGACGATTGACTGGAAACGCCCGTGACGGCGGCGACTATTGACTTGGCTCAAAATTCACGTCTCCCAGTCAATAGTCCCACACGGTGCTTTCGCCTCTGGCCCCGCTTCCTCCGCTTGCCACCGTGCCTCCCCTTGCCACCGTGCCTCCCCTTGCCACCGTGCCTCCCCTTGCCACCGTGCCTCCCCTTGCCACCTTGCCTCCTGCGTGAGCGCGGTAGGGCCTGCGACAACAAATCCTCCCATGCTCTCCTCTCTTTGTTTCCACGCTCCCTCTTCCCCGCCAGCACGGACGCGCCCTGGCAGCGGCTGTGGGGCGGGGTGCTCTGTTGGACGCGTGGGAGTGGTAGGGCTGGTGGCAACCATTCACCGCATGCCCTCGTCTCTTTGTCCCCGGCCCCTCTTCCGTCTCTCCCTCACCAGCACGGACGCGCCCTGGCAGCGGCTGTGAGGCGCTCTGTTAAACGCAGCTGCAGCCGCGTTCGTGCTCGTGGGGCTGTTCTACTGCGCGCCAATGACTCCCAGGCTCTCCCCTTCCCTTCTCCCACCAGCACGGACGCGCCCTGGCAGCGGCTGTGGGGAGCCCTACTCAATGCGGCAGCGATGGTGGCGCTGGTGACGGCAGCCACGTTCGTGCTCGTGGGGCTGTTCTACTGCTGCCCAGTGGACTCTCCCTGTGCCAACCAACCAGTGCCCCCTCTGCTCTCCTCTTTTCACCGCCCTCCCCCTTCCCTCTTTGCCGCCCACACCAGCACGGATGCGCCCTGGCAACGCCTATGGGGAGCCCTACTCAACGCAGCGGCGATGGTGGCGCTGGTGACGGCAGCCACGTTCGTGCTCGTGGGGCTGTTCTATTGCGGGTGTGCGCGCTGCATCTGGGGCTACATGGGCTTCTCTGGATTCGTTATATTCGCCGGGCTGGGCGGCACACTCGCAGTGCAGCTCATTCAGGTGAGTGTGCGTGTAGCAGGCATGGGGTTGTGCATGTGGGTTGGCCTGGTGAACCTGTTCTACTGCGGGTGTGCGCGCTGCATCTGGGGCTACATGGGCTTCTCCGGCTTTGTCATATTCGCTGGGCTGGGCGGCACACTGGCAGTGCAACTCATTCAGGTCAGACGCTGTTGATTGTCCCATCTTAAGTGTGGGTGTGCGTGTGACACGGTGTTTTGAGACGTCTCAAAGCAGTGCAGCTCATTCAGGTCAGACGCTGCTGATTGTCCCATCTGTCCCTAAAGTGTGGGTGTGCGCGTGACACGGTGTAAGCCGGCCTACATAGGGTTGTGCTGCTGGTGGGGTTCTTCCTCATGCCCATCGTCCGCATGCCCATCGTCCGCATGCCCATCTTCCTCACCCAAGCCTACCTCCATTCCCATCGACATCATAACCTTCTCTCTGCTGGTATACAACCTCTCAGTGGTGGGCGTGCTCGCAGTCTTCTTCTGCCGCCCCCATCCATCTCTCCCCCCATCCCTCTCTCCCTCCAACCACTTCTCTCCCAATCCCCTCCCCTCCTTCCCCCAGCGCTTCTCCATTCCCATCGACATCATAACCTTCTCTCTGCTCCTCTACAACCTCTCAGTGGTGGGCGTGCTCGCAGTCTTCTTCACCCGCATGCCCATCTTCCTCACCCACTCCTACCTTACCTTGTTGCTGTCGGGGCCACCACCATCCCCATCTGCTTCTTTCACTCACCCTCTCCCTCTCCTCCTCTCTCCCCCCATTTCTGTGATCCTCTCTCTCCCTCCCTCCCCACAGCGCTTCTCCATCCCAATGGACATCATAACCTTCACTCTCCTCGTGTACAACCTCTCAGTGGTGGGCGTGCTCGCAGTCTTCTTCACCCGCATGCCCATCTTCCTCACCCACTCCTACCTTACCTTGTTGCTGTCGGGGCCACCACCATCCCCATCTGCTTCTTTCACTCACCCTCTCCCTCTCCTCCTCTCTCCCCCCATTTCTGTGATCCTCTCTCTCCCTCCCTCCCCACAGCGCTTCTCCATCCCAATAGACATCATAACCTTCACTCTCCTCGTGTACAACCTCTCAGTGGTGGGCGTGCTCGCAGTCTTCTTCACCCGCATGCCCATCTTCCTCACCCAAGCCTACCTCGTCGCGGTCGGCGCCATCGTCGCCTTCTGGTTCTCCAGCCTACCGGAATGGACCACGTGGATGGTGCTCATCGCCATGTCTCTTTATGATCTCTACGCTGTTCTCACTCCAGGTACGTCGATTTCTATAAGCCTCATGACTCATCAGGTCAGGTACGTGCCTCTCCAACCCCAGGCAGTCCCAATCCCAGCGCCTTCTGGTTTTCCAGCCTACCAGAATGGACCTCGTGGATGGTGCTCATCGCCATGTCGCTTTATGATCTCTACGCTGTTCTCACACCTGGTGCGTGTACCAGTGGGCCCCCTCAACCTGCTCCCAGACATTGTGGTTCGTAGGGTAAGGCAGGGGCATCCCAGGTCTCCACCTTCGTCCCTCTCCTTCCCTCTCCCCTCCCTGTCATCCCTCAGTTGGCCCGCTCAAGCTCCTACTAGACATAGCCATGAAGCGAGACTAAGATATCCCAGCACTCATCTACGGTGCTCTTTCGATCCACTCACTCTTCACATTGTCCTTCCGTCCCCTCCCCATTCTTCTCATCCCCAGTGGGCCCGCTCAAGCTGCTACTAGACATAGCCATGGAGCGAGACGAGGACATACCAGCACTCATCTACGAGGCCAGGCCCCCACCCATGCCCTTCGCCCCTCCCCCTCCTCTCCGTCCTCCTCCCCGCCTTCTCACACCCACACGCCCTCTCCCCTCTGGTCATTCGCTCCCCTCTGGCCCCTCTCTCCCACCTCACTCTCATCCCGCCATGCCAAGCCGCCCTGGCCACCCCCCACTCCCCTCCTCCTCCACCTCCTCCTCCTCCTCGTCCTCTTTCCCCCCATCTCTATCTCCCTCCACCGCATCCAACCCCTCTCCATCCAGCTCCACTTTTCGGCCTGCAAACAGTACAGCTGGCGGCGGTAGCACTCTAGTCCCTAGCATGGCCCTGGGACGGGGGGATGGAGGAGGAGGAGGAGGAGGAAGTGGGGGGGATGGGGTGGCTGGTGGTGCGGTGGGGAGCGGTGCTGGTGGTTCAAGGAGAACGCGTGTGCGAGGCCAATTTGAGCGGCGGTTGCAGCAGCAGGGGAGCATTGCTGGTGGTGCAATCGGTGCTGCTGCTGGTGCTGCTGGTGGTGGTGGTGGAAGGACGTTTGCTGGGCAACTGAATGCCTTTGTTGCTTCTGCTGCAGCTGCTGCTGTCACTTCTGCTCTGCGCCTCACTGGGGCCCAAGTGGGGGATGAGGGGGTGGGAGGGGAGAGAGGGGAGGGGAGGAGGGGGAGGGGGGGAGGAGGCGAGGGTGAGAGGGAGGAGGGAGAGAGTGAAGGGATGCCTCTGTTAAGTCGAGGTGTGGGAATCCCACAAGAGGGTGCAGGAGGAGGGAGAAGTGGAGTAGACAGAAGAGGGGAGGGACAGCAGAGGAGGAGTGGTGAGTGGAGCGAGCATGCAGCAGGCTTGAATCGCGGGGGAAGCGGAGTGCTGCTTAACGAGGTGCCTTATAACGGGTCGGTGGATCAGCCGTCTGGTAGCGGGAGCCGCCCAGGAAGCAGCAGAGGGCGGCGGGGAGGGGAGAGCGGGCGAGCAGCAGCACTTTCAAGGGGAGGGGAGAGCGGGCGAGCAGCAGCACTTTCAAGGGGAGGGGAGAGCGGGCGAGCAGCAGCACTTTCAAGGGGAGGGGAGAGTGTGCGAGCAGGTAGCTCTAGGATTGGGAGAGTGGGACGAACGCTTTCCATGCCTTCTCCCAAGCAGGGTGGGTTGGGGGGTAGTGGGGAGGAGGAAGCAGTAGCACCTGTGGTTCGAGTGAGCTTGGCTCATGGGGAGCGTGTGGAGGTGAGGGGGAGTAGGTCAGGGGAAGGAGGGAGTGCGGTGGGAGTGCAGGAGGGAGAAGGGGGGGCAGGAGCAGGATCAGTGGGAGGAGCGGGAGCAGCAGGGGGAGCAGCGGGAGGAGCAGGAGTAAGAGCAGTAGCAGCAGCAACAACAGGAGCAGCAGGAGGGGCGGAAGCAGCAGGAGCAACCACAGGTGCAGCAGGTTTGTTGGTGGGTGGAGAGGAGACAGCAGCGATGGGGGAGGAGGAGGTGGAGAGAGAAATAGCACGGCTCAGAGATTTAGCCAGCCAGCACCTGCGCGAGAGGGAGAGGGAGAGAGAGCGGGAGCGGTGGCGCGGCGGGACAATCTCCCGGGCGGTATCACTTGGTCCGGAGTGGAGCATGGGGGCAGTGAGTGGCGGGATTCGGATGCGAGCTGGGTTGGAGGGGCAGATCGCGGGGATTGAGGGGCAGAGTGTGGGAATGGAGGGTTTGCCTGGTGTGGCGGACGGGCAGATGAGAGGGTTTGAGGTGAGTGGGGGTGCGGTTGGGTGCGGAGCGGTGCCGGGCAGAGCAGATGGGTTTCCACACGCTGTTGCTGAGGGGAGCAGTCGGCCGCATAGCTTGCTTGGGTCTGGTGGGTGGGGGAGCAGTGGTGGTCTTGAGGGCAGTGGAGGAGGGTGGGCAGCTGACTTGTCGTCGGTTCATGTGGTGGATCCGGAACAAGGTGTTGGTGCTGCTGGTGCCCCTGCTGGTGCTGCTGCTGCTGCTTCTTCTACTGCTGCTGCTTCTGCTGGTGGTGGTGCTGTGGGTGCTAGTGCTGGTGTTGCGGGATCTGGTGGTGGTGGTGCTGCTGCTGATGATGGTGGTGATGATGGTTCTTCTCGTTTTGCTGCTGCTGCTGCTGCCGTTGCTGCTGCTAGAGCCGCTGTTACCACAGCTGCAGGTGCATCCACGACCACTGCTGCTACTAGCAGCCACGGCAGAGGGCAGGCTGCTGAGCCTGGTAGGGTCGGCACGCAATCAAACCTAGAGGTGCATGCTTATGCCGCCGACGATCCAGATGATATTCACTATCTGCCGAGCCCGAGCCTGGAGCCGAGCAGCAGCTTTGGCCCGGACCTCCCGAGTGCCATCAAGCTTGGAATGGGGGATTTTATTTTCTACGGCGTTCTGGTGGGCAGGGCTGCGATGTATGATTTGATGACAGTATATGCGTGCTACCTTGCAATAATTGCAGGGCTGGGCGCTACACTTGTGCTTTTGGCGTTACAGAAGCGGGCGTTACCTGCGCTGCCCATCTCCATTGGGTTGGGAGTTGTTTTCTACTTTCTGACCCGCCTGCTTCTTGAGCCGTTTGCTGTCTCTGTTGTTACAAACTGCTTGTACTTCTGATATTTAAACAGTAAAGTTTTTTTTTTACCCAGTTTATTGCCAGACCAATGCGAGTTTGCTATTCGTGTGCTGGTATGAAAGTGCATGCTTGTGCGCAAGGATCATCTTGACCGAGGTTGAGACCCCGAGCGCGTCAATGCGAGTGCTCAATTCTAATTCCCTCATAACATACCCACTGATGAAGTACCGGAGGTTGCAATGATAGGAGAGTAATTCCTAAAATTCCATTGTATAGGGGAACTATTGTTTGGTTGAATGCTAGTGTATCTGAAATTGGTCCCCACCAGCAGCACCCTTTCGACCCTGACATTAGCCACGTTTGTGCATTTTCCACCCAGCAATCCCGCGTTTGCGCGGCATCCCCTTCGCGCTCGAAGCCACGTCGGGTTTCGCCAGCATCACTCGCACCGCCATGCACGAGCTTCGCTGTGCATTTCCGCACAGGGATCCATGTGCAGGATATTCGCGGTTCGTATCCGCGGCTCGAAATGTTCAACCGGCAGGAAACGGAAATGGCCGAATGACGAAGTGGCAAACACAATTTCTTTGTTCCACTGCCATCTCATTCCGCCACTCGCATAGCGAAGAAAGCATGGTGACAACCAGTCCAGTCGAGAGCTGCAGCCCTTCTACCGACCAAACGTATGGATTGCAAGTCTGCACGAACCACCACAGCCCGGTGGAAATGGCTCCGCCATCCCGCACAACTCACTGATCCTTCCGCTTCCACAAGGGATCCAAGCCTGTGGATACTTTATCTCCATTTGTTGGTCAATCTCGGTGTCGGTGAATTTCTTTCGGAAATTCGTGCCCGATAAAAAAACTCTCGACTAGAGCTTCGAATCTCGCCCTTCGGCCTCCACATTTCCTCCCGTTCCGCGACTCCTTCTGAGGCGCCGCATTGCACGCTAGGGTTGCTCGCCCATCGCCTCTGTCGGCGATACCTTGAACCACAGCCACCAGATTCTCACATCGCCGCTGCGTGTATTTCGTCGAGCTTAGTCAAGGCCCTAGATTACTCAACTCTCAAGCAACCTCGCGCGACACTACTGGAAAATCAAAACGCCGACCCGAGGACCGAGGAACCCGAAGGGATCACTCTGGCCTCCACTCTGTGTCTCTGTCGATCATTCCTAAAACCTAATTTCAATACAGCCGTTGCTTCAGCAACAATCCCGGCTGCCACGCTCTAAGTCAGGACTCAGCAGCCGACCAGACCACTCGGCGAATGTCAGTCGCCATACCCAGTAGATTCTCTCGACGCCGCTAGCGGCGTTCCGTCCCTCTCGCCCAGTCCTTTTCGCTTCACAGGAAGAGGCATGCTCTTTCAGCAGTTCTCACAAGGATAGCGAAGCCCTTGTTGCTGGAAAATTAAGTTGATCTCTGGAATACCCACAGTCTGGACTTGTGACTAATCAGTTGCGCATACAGTCGAGGATGGGAGCTTTTAACGACCACCGAAAGGTTGCATTAGCGGGGAAGAAACGGGATTACTCGGTAGCGATGTCCACCGTCATCGCCGTCATCGCGGTCGTGGGAGTGTTCGCGCAGTTCGCCGTTGCAGGAGCAGCAATAGCGGCACAAGGTCAGTCATTGTTGACACGTCATCGTCAGCATTTTATGAGGTGGACTTTTGAGTTGACTCAAAGGTCACCTTGTTCGCGCAGCTCGCCGTTTCCGGGAGCAGCACTAGCGCCTCAAGGTCAGCCAGTCCTCGACACGTAGTTAGTTTGTTACTAACGACTCTTTCCTCTCGCACAGTTTGTTACTGGAGGAAATGTAGTTAGTACGTGAGAAGAGTTACACATTTCGAAGACTGATGCCGTGCTTACACGACTCTTTCCTCTCGCACAACGCACTCCCAGTCCCTAGATTCTTCCGCTTCCCCCGAACCCCGCCTCACCCGCCGCCAACTCCGCCATCCCTTTCCCCCTCCAGTCCGGAACGCGAAATGCGACTTCACGACCGGGGAGTGGCGGAAGGGGACCAAAGGATTTCCGCGGTACACCTCGCTTCCGGGGAAGCCCAACTCGTGCCCTTACGTGCGGACGGATTTCGCGTGCGAGCGCAACGGGCGCGCGGACATGCGGTTCCAGTGGTACCGCTGGCAGCCCACCCAGTGCATGTACTCCTACTTCAGCCCCTCGGGCTTCAAGTACATGCTCAGAGGAAAGGTGCGATGCGAAATTCTGCAACGTTTTTCACTCTCTTAGATTTTTTCGATCCGCTAGTGGGTACCTCCCGCACTCCGCTATCGTCTCATCCACTCTCCCCTCTCCCCCTCACCTCCCCCACATCTCTTGTGCTCGCGGCGCAGAAAGTGCTGCAGGTGGGCGACTCGATGATGTCCAATTTCGAAGCGCCTCTGCGCACCTCTCACACCCCACTCCCCTCCGTTTTTTCCTGCTGTTTCCACGTATCCCCACTCCGTCGCTCGCGGTGCAGAAAGTGCTGCTGGTGGGCGATTCGATGATGTCCAACTTCTACGAGGCGCTACTCTGCGCCATCCACATCGGTGGCTTCAAGGGCGAGGTGAGCTTTCAAGGGGACGCAAAATCGCGCTCGCCATTCACTCCCTCCCGCCCTCCCAACATTTGTCATAACCTCCCCTATCCCCATCCCCTTCCACTTCCTCACTCCCCCTCCCGCCTGGCCCCCAATTCCCTTCCGTCTTCATCAAGATAATGCACACGTTCACTCCATTTCCCCCCCTCTTTTCCCCCGAACCCCCCATTCACCTCTTCCTGCTGGCACCTCGCTCCGCCTCCCCCTTCCGCTTTCCCTTCCGCAGCCCTACCAGCGCAACACGGGGGGCGTGTTCAACGTTAAGGGGGTGCGCTTCCCCCGCATGGGGATCTCCATCGAGCACCTCTTCTCGCCCTACCTCAAAAATAACTTAGATACACCCCGCTCCGCCCTCCCCACCTCCCCTTTCTCTTCAACAGCTCTTCCAGCGCAACACGGGGGCGTGTTCAACGTTAAGGGCGTCCACTTTCCCCGCATGAACATTACCATCGAGCACCTCTTCTCATACCCGCTCCGTCTTCCCCCCTCCCCCTTTTCTCTCCCAGCCCTTCCAGCGCAACACGGGGGGCGTGTTCAACATTAAGGGCGTGCACTTTCCCCGCATGAACATCACCATTGAGCATCTCTTCTCACCCTACCTCGTCTACGCGATCACGCGCGGCGCCCAGACCGCGGACGCGAAGGGCGGCCACGGCTACGACGTCCACGTGGACAAGATCCATCCGACGGTCGCGAAGATCCTTCCGGAATACGCCATGGCGGTCTTCGCGTCGGGCGTCTGGTGGCAGCAGAACGTCCCGCGCCGCAAGCAGCCCAACATCTTCTTCGTGAACAATGCCCCGAAGAACCTCTCGAATCTGGACGCGCACGCGTGGGCTCTCAACACGCTCGGCTCTTACCTAAAAACTTCGAATTACGGTGGCGTGCCGTATTTTATTTCGTTCTCGCCGCACCACGGAGGCGCGGGCAACCCGCAAAAGGGAGTGTACCAGGGTACCAGTGTCGGGGGGAAACCTGCCTGGGTTGGCGCATGCGGAGCGGTAAAACCCATGTCCGAACAGCTTGCGATAAAGGATTACTCGTTATCGCTTCCGACGTCCGAAGCGTACATGACAACGCAGAAAACTGCACTGATGGGTTCGACGTTACGGTTCCTCCAGGTTACCAGCCTGAGCGCGATGCGGCCTGACGCGCATCAGGGACCCTGGTTCAAGAGGAGGCCTTCGACCGGTCCTGGTTCGCCAGCTGGCAACGGCGAGTCCCCGTTTTCTGGGGACTGCACGCATTGGTGCTTGCCGGGTGTGCCTGACGCGTGGGTGGATATGATGTACGCGAATATGCTTCGCGAACCATCGTTAGCAGGAAAGAAGTACTAGAAATAGTGGATACCTAGGTTATGAATTGGCAGGGTGGAATGCCCATACCTCTAGCTAGAGGGTACAATGGACGATCCTCCATGTTTTGGCGCTTATGCCCACCTGTGTTGGGATATGTTGAAATATCCTCCATTTGAATCACATGAATGTGGTATGGATAGAGAACCGTGTGCTGGATGCATCCCCTCATGGAGCTGCCTGTGGGGGTTGGAAACATTTGAGGGCCTCCTATGAGAGGGGCTTAGTGCCTGATGGACAGAGTGGGAGTTGGGGTTGACATTTTCTGGTCAGCGTGTACCTCTCTAGACCATCGGCCCCAATAAATTGGAGCAGAGAGGTAGAAGCTTGGTTCAGCTAGGGGGCACGGGGGTTAGTCAATGGCATGGCAGCCATGGCCGGAGGGAAGGCAATGCATGGTAGGTGTTGGACAAGTGGATACAGCAGAAAGTTGCTAGGGGGAGGGACATGGGCAGAATTAATAGCAGGAGTCCTTGTTGACGAGGGGCATGATGAAGGAAAAGAGAGTTTGGATGAACCTCCGTTTGAATTCCCTGTTGATGAGATAGGTATACTGAGAAATAATGCACCTAAGATTGTATGTTGGTGAGAGGAATGCATGGGAATCGATTTGCAATTTAGGGCGCGTGTCCTTGAGGTCGAACTTTTGCCAAAGTTCGAACTTCTAGAAAGGTTGTACACGGTAAGATACAGTTTAGAAACGTCTTGTCACGGTAAAAAGCGGTACTAGGCTCGAACTTTGACAATCTACACCAAAAGACACGCGCCCTTAGTTGGAAACGAAAGGGTCTTGAGAACACTCCTGTCATGACTAGGATGAAGTCTACGATGCAGCTTGCAGAGAGGAAGGTAGAGTGCTCCTGACACATGTCGTGCCAGCTTGGCAACCCCGAACACACAATCGCACATGTGGCACTCTTCTTTCCTTCGATTGGTAGATAAAAAACATAAGCTCGGCTAGCAACAGACAAGCGACTTGGGCGCTCTGCAGCCCAGCTAGCCAGTGGACAGCAGCAATTTGACGTCACGCGTGAGTGAATGTACGCCCCCCCTCCCTCCTTTCTTCCCCTGCATCCCCCCCTAAGCCTCTTCCCCCCAAACCCCAAGCCTTCCCTCCTCCCCCTGCCCGCCCCCACCGCCCGCAGCCGCCGCCACGCTTTCTTGATTTGGTGCAATCGCCTGGTCTGTGTTCGTGATCCCGTGGCGGATGTTGCACTTCGTGGTCCACGTGGTCACATGTTTGCACCCGTTAGCCTCTCACAAGAACCTCGTGGTCGAGAGGCTCAATTCTATTCGTGGAAAAACGTCGCCGTTTTTTGGCATGGTGTTTCATAATGACCGTGGATCACACGCCGGGCCTCCAAAAGCACTCGATCGATGCCGTCGAACTCTTCGGCGCTGGTTCGACCGCGTCGCCTTCGCTGGGTGCAAAATCACTGTAATCGCATACGTCCCGTCTTCAACGATCTGCGACGATTACCCTCATCGTCGGCCAATCTACGGCCTTGGCGCGCTCGCGTTCCCCCCAAAGAGTTACCCAAACTGGCAGGCTCGACAGGTTCTTGTTTAGATCCGAACCTAACATGTTTGGTTTGCGTTTGTGGGTGAGCTTCGGCATTCCTTTTTGGGGCATGAGCAATGACTCTGGTTCGGCTCGTGGTAAACTTCCTGGCTCGGCACCTTCTTTCACATCTAGAAGCGTGGTTCGGAAGTCTTTTCGGGCTGAGCCTAGTGGGCACGGGGCTTAGCTGAGATATAATCTCTAGGCTGGAAACTTCAGTTTTCATTTTCTTCTTAGCTCGGTTGTTCCTGGAGCAGTCTTCATTCGCAGATCGTCTGAAGAACCAGTCACGTCAAGGGAGTTTCTCCGTCTTCTGCGCGGGTCCTTGGCGCTGTCAGTTCAGCCGCCATGGCGACTTACTCGGAGGTTACCACCGCCACTAATGGACTGTACAGCTCCGTGTACAGTTTCATGTGCAGCGATAATGACACGGCCATGCTGACGTCGGCCTTTCCCAACATGACGATCGGCGAATCGGACTTCGCAAGCTTCTTCTGCAGCAAGCTCGACCTCATCGCGGCGCAGTTCCAATGGACGCAACTCGCCGTCGACAACACGTACCTCCTCTTCTCCGCCTACCTCGTCTTCGCCATGCAGGTAAGTCGTGACGTACCTGATTCTTTCAACCTAATGCCAATCTGCCTCATGCCTTTCGCTTTCTGCCTTTCTCGACTGCCCGATTTCCTTCTCCCTTTCTGTCAATGCTTCCCTGAACTCTACAATGGACTAACTTTGATGTTTTTACTATCTTGTGAAAAATTTCTATTGTTCTGTCGCTTCGCAGATTGGTTTCGCAATGCTGTGCGCGGGAACGGTGCGCGCGAAGAACACGATGAACATCATGCTCACCAACGTGCTCGACGCGTGCGTCGGAGGCCTCTCCTTCTACATCTTCGGCTTCGCTTTCGCCTTCGGCCAAGGAGGAACCAGGTAGGAGCCAGGTACCAGGAATCAAGAACCAAGAGTCCACTTTCCGACATCTGTCAGACGCCATTGCCGTGCCGCGTTATTTTCTTCATGTTTTTTTTTGGTTATCGAAGTCCTCCTTCCTTTCCCCATTCCACTTTCGCGCAGTAACGCGTTCATCGGAGCGAATTACTTCGCCATGTCGGGTCTCCCGGTGTACACCTCCTTCGACGCGCCGGGCATCAACTACATCTACGACTACAGCTTCTGGATGTTCCAGTGGGCCTTCGCCATCGCGTGCGCGGGCATCACGTCGGGGTCCATCGCGGAGCGCACGCAATTCACGGCGTACCTCGTGTACTCCACCTTCCTCACCGGCTTCGTCTACCCCGTCGTCGCGCACTGGATCTGGGCCACGGTACGTCCCGCTACCCTTGACCTTTGAATCGCCTGCGCGGGCATCACGTCGGGGTCAGAGTCCCCTTCGGGGCGCCTCAGAAAGAATCACCTCGGGGTCTTGGACTCAAAGCCATCGCGTGCGCGGGCATCACGTGGGGGCCATCGCGGAGCGCACGCAATTCACGGCGTACCTCGTCTACTCGACGTTCCTCACCGGCTTCGTTTACCCCGTCGTCGCGCATTGGATCTGGGCCACGGTACGAGTCCTCCCCCGTCGCCTGCTGCGCGCAATGGCCTCAGTCAACCCCCATTGACCGCATATCTTCATTGCTTTGTCTACCCCGTCGTCGCGCGGGTGGCTGCCAGCCTTCAACACCAACAACCTATTCCTGGACGTGGGCGCCATCGACTTCGCTCGTTTAACTCGGCTCAAACCCTCACATCTTCCCCTCTCCCCAGTTCCTTCCCCTTTCAGAACGGGTGGCTGTCGGTGTTCAACACGAACAACCTCTTCCTCGACGTGGGCGCCATTGACTTGACTCGTTTCTAACACGTCGCAAACCCCGTATCTCCGTTGTTTGTCCCTTCTTCCTCTTTCAGAACGGCTGGCTGTCCGCGTTCAACACGAACAACCTATTCCTCGACGTGGGCGCCATCGACTTCGCGGGTAGCGGCGTGGTGCATATGGTGGGCGGCGTCGCGGGGCTGTGGGGCGCGCTCATCGAGGGCCCGCGCCTCGGCCGCTTCGACAAGGGCGGCCGGCCGCTCGAGATGAAGGGCCACTCGGCCACGCTGGTCGTGCTCGGCTCCTTCCTCCTCTGGTGAGTGCCAGCGCTTTCTTGATCAGCCTTCGAGTGCTAGGTACTTCGGAATATGCCTGAACCTTGTTTCCTCTACTTATAATTCTTGATCGGTTTTGTTCTGCGTGTATTATTATTTTTTTTCTATTATTATTATTATTATTTTTGTGTGTGTGTGTGTGTCCACTACCACCTGTGTGTGCTACGACTCAATTTGCTGATACGGTTTCAACTTCCAATGGTACGGTTTCATCCTGGCAGGTTCGGATGGTACGGTTTCAACCCGGGGTCGTTCCTGCGCATCACCATCCCATGGACGGACGTGCTGGGTAACTGGTCGTGGGTGGGTCGCACCGCCGTCACCACCACCCTCTCCGGCTGCATGGCCGCCGTCAACACGCTCCTCGCCAAGCGACTCATGGCTGTAAGTGCCTTGTAGTGGGAATTAGAACAGGTTTAAAAAAAAATTCTGAAAAAAGATGGTATCCAGGGCAGGACATAGCTTCACATGGAACCAATGTGGCCCCCCAGGCTTGTGGGGTCTGAATGGGAATTAGTCCCACCTTTTTTTTTCACCTGTTTTTTCTCTTCCTTGGACATTTATTTTTGTGTGCCCATCTGACACTTGAGCTGTCACCTGACTGGTGGTTCTTGTTGCCCATTCTTTGTTGTGATCTCTTTCAAATCCCTCCACCCCCAGGGCTGCTGGCACGTGACAGATGTGTGCAACGGTCTCCTAGGCGGCTTCGCGGCCATCACCGCAGGCTGCTCCGTGGTGGAGCCCTGGGCCGCCATCATCTGTGGCTTTGGCGCCTGCTGGGTGCTCATCATCCTGCTCCTCCTACTCCTCCCACTCCCTTCCGCTCCCTCCCTTGGGATCTGCAGGGCTGCTGGCACGTGACAGATGTGTGCAACGGACTGCTGGGAGGCTTCGCGGCCATCACAGCTGGGTGCTCTGTGGTGGAGCCCTGGGCCGCCATCATCTGCGGCTTCGGCGCCAGCTGGGTGCTCATCATTCTCAACATGATCTCCATGAAGATCCAGTTTGACGACCCGCTCGAAGCCACCCAGCTGCACTTTGGCTGCGGCGCCTGGGGCCTCTTCTTTGTTGGTACGTGCTGTAGTCCCTCCTTCCGTCGCTCTCACATTCGGCTCAATATGTGTGTTTTAAAATGACTCAAAGCCAGCTGGGCGCTCATCATTCTCAACATGATCTCCATGAAGATCCAGTTTGATGATCCTCTGGAGGCGACTCAGCTTCACTTTGGCTGCGGCGCCTGGGGTCTCTTCTTTGTCGGTACGCCCTCCCTGCCCCCTGCACTCCCCTGTTGGTGCACTCTTTGCTCCTCCCTGGACGCTCATCATTCTCAACATGATCTCCATGAAGATCCAGTTTGATGATCCTCTGGAGGCAACTCAGCTCCACTTTGGCTGCGGCGCCTGGGGGCTCTTCTTCGTTGGTACGCCCTCTCGCTCTCTCCCGCTCTCTCTCCCCTCACACTCAACATGATCTCTATTTCGGTTGCGGTTTTGGCCTTTTCTTTGTTGGTATGCTGTCTACTCTCACCTCCCTTTCACATCCCCCCACTCCCCCATCCCCCTTTTCATCCTCACCCTTTCCACCCCCCCACCCCCTTCCCCCCCTTGCCCCCCTTCTTCCCCCGCTCACCTTTTCCCCCTTTGGCTCTCTCATCCATACTCTCCTCTCTGGCTCTCTTTCTCTGCTCCTCTTAATCACACCTCTGCTGCGCTCTGCCATGTCAATTTCCTAACCCTGTTTTCCCCCCTCACCCTTCCCCACCCTGTGCCTCCCCCGCATGTCTGCAGGCCAAGCCAGGCACCGCAAATCCCCTAACCGTATCCCCCTGCGTGACCCTCCTTGACCTTATTTGTCTCCCCTGCAGGTCTGCTGGCGAAGGAGGACTTAGTGATGCAGGCATACGGCACCACATGATTCCTAACCCTATTTCCCCCGCCCCCTTTCCCCAACCCCTCTTGTCCCTTCCCGCAGGTCTGCTGGCCAAGAAGGACTTCGTGATGCAGGCATACGCCAAGCCCGACACCACCCCCTACGGTCTCTTCTACGGCGGCGGCGGAAAACTGCTCGCGTGCCAGTGCCTCGAGATTATCTGCATCTTCGCGTGGGTGTCGGTGCTCATGGGCGCGCTCTTTTTCATCCTGCACTCGCTCAACCTGCTGCGCGTTCCCCCCGATGAGGAAATCGCGGGGATGGATCTGACGAAGCACGGGGGTTCCGCGTACAATGCCGAGGGGCAGGACGGGCAGGGCGTGCAGCTGTACGGCCCCCCCGAGACTGGCGCTGCGAAACCCGCGGAGGTTTGAGTATGTGTTACGCTTTAGCAATATGTTTTTGAGGGTTATGCAGGCTAGTAAGTTAATGATGGGTTTGCATTTGTAGCAGTTCCTTACGGGAAGGTGTTTAGAGAAATAATGTGTCCGTATTGCTGCAGGTTTAGTAATCTGTTGCTGAAATTTCCCATCAAAGTATCTCATGTAAAATGACTGATAGCTCCACACTAGATGTCCAAAACCCAGAGATTGTCTGTAACCTCTTTGGCTGAGTGGAGGGATTGTCTACACCGTTTTGACTTGACCTGCAAGTTAGTACATGATCACACTCTTCAACCATACAGACAGCCTGAAGACATACGGTGTTGCTACAACTAGTTCTTGTGCAGTTGCTACAGCAATTCTTGAATAACAAAACGTACAATATTGCCTGTAGCGATTATTTGGATACAAGTACACACACAAAACATCTACATTTCAGCTTGTGGATGTTTCTACTCCATCCACTCCCCTATTGCTTCTCTGGTGTACATCACATCATCAGCAACCAAGCTGTCTGCAAACCCGGAACCTAGAAGGGAGTAACTCCCATGTGATGATCGCTTGGGCTCTTCAAAATTCCCTTCAAACAGAGAGCCAGGCAGCATACTGGCAACGGCTTGGTGGTGGTGCTGCTGCTGTTGCTGCTGCTGCTGTCCCACACATCCGGCTCCAAGTTTCACGCTGTTGTTAGAGTGGAAGGGATGAGAAGTGCTGGAGAGAAAGGCAGCCTTGTGGACTACTGGAGATTGTGGCACCCGTGAAAAAGAGCCTCCAGTGGCGCTGGCAGCAGCATATGCCACGTGGGCAGGCACAGCTGGTGGAGGGAGGGTGACGTCAGCATCCCTCTCCAGCCAGTCGAAACCCAAAATGCCGGATTCAACAGCTGAGTCTGAGAAAGAGATTGAAGAGGAGGAGCCCTGTGGGAGCACAAAAGGCATTCCCGGGGCTTCAGTGGGAGGGGAGAGAGGGGCAGGGGACCACTTATTGGGGAGGGCTCCAGGGGCTTTAAGAGACGGGGAGAGAGCAGTGGGGGAGGGGAGCCACGGCAGCCACGGCTTGTCGTCTGGGCTCCAGCAAAGACTGGTTGTTCTTGTCCCGGCGCTCTCTGTGTTGCCCTCCTGCTGCTGCTGCTGCAGGAGCTGTTGGGTGTCGAGGCGGGACGAGCCCCACATCTCCCATTGGGCTGCTGCTGCACCCCCGCTTGCTCGCTGCTGGTGTTGATGTTGCTCTTGCTTATTGTGGTAATGCTCCTGGATCTGCTGGTGCTGCTGCTGCTGGTGCTGAAATGACTGCACGTGCGCGGGGGCAACGGGGCTCGGAAGTGGCTTACCCGCAGAGGAAACAGGTGAGGGGAGAGTGTAGGAAAGGGAGGGGGAGAGCGAGGAAGGGGAAGGGGAGAGCGGGGGAAGGGAGGGTGTGGGGGTGGGAAAAGAGCTGAAAACAACCGGAGGGGCATGAGGGGATGATAGGGATGAAGCAAAGGAAGAAGTGGCTCCGTTGCTCCTGCTGCTGCTGCCACCACTGCTGCTGCTCCTGCTAACTGCGTTGCTGCTGCTGTCACTTCCGCTGCCGCGGCCACTGCAGCTGCTGCTGCTGCTTTCCCACCCGTTGGCCTCGCTGGTGTCAGAAGAAGGCTTGAACTGCCGGGATTGGCGTGCGGCAGGCTTGGAGATATAGTCACTCTCACCACTGTCACCCTCGCTTCCCGCACCCTCGTTTCCTGCCGCCACGAGCATGAGCTGATCAATCAACTGCGACAGCTCAGGTGGCGACAATTTGGTCAACTGAGTCAACTGAGTCAACTGCGCCAGCTGCTGCTCCTCGCTCTTAACAGCACTCTTCACGGTCATATTCGGCCGCGTCAGCTCCATGTCAGCTTGCACGGACGTGGCTTCGGCATCCGACACGGATTCTCCCTGGCGCGCGTCTGACGTGGCGCGCTCGCGCCTCGCCCGTCGCTGCTTCCTGAAAGCCCTCTTACGCGAGCGCTCCTTCTCCGAGGTTTCCTTCTCCTCAAGCAAGCCGTCAATCAGTTCGGGAACCTCTGCAATTTCCTTGATTTCCGCCGTCGGCTGCGCTGCCACGTCACTCTCCAACTCAGCGGCGTTGCTCTGCTCAGTCGTTTCGTTCTCCTCCATCTCTTCGTTATTATCACATCCGCTGTGCTCCTCCGCTTCGAATTCAGATTTCCCGCCGTTGCCGCGGCCTCCCTTGGCAAGCCGCGCGCCCTTCCTCCCCTTCCCGCCGCGCTTCCGCGTCCTTTCTCCCGCCTCCCGCGCGGACGCATCCGCCTTTCCTTCCGCAAAAGCCGAATCAGAAATGGAAGCGGAAGCAGAATCCGAGGATAAATGCCGCTGGATCCGCATCCGCGATACAAGGAGACCCCATCCTGACGCAAGCATCCACACGGAAAAACGAGCGCCGACGGCCGGGATTCGAACGCAGGTGAAGAGAAGAGCCTTGGTAGTCATGATAGCGCGGCCGGTAGCAGCGGCTGTAGCAGCTACTGTAGTCGCTGCAGTCGTTACTGTAGTTGTTACCGTTACTCTTGCGGACACCATGAGCTGCCAGCACGAGCGAGTGACGGCCAGTCTTGCGGAACTGAGACCGTTTCGCACGCCTTGCGAAGCGTACGTCGCCTTCTCGCAGGCAAGTCTTCGCAAACACAGAAGGTATTCACCGAAGCTTTGCGCGATGCTTCTTCTGGTAACCACCTCGTCCTCGCCACATGTCGTTTGTCCCATCTCATTTGCTCCACACGACTTGGTAGCCGGGCTGGTTACCATCTCCGTGCGAGATTTTCGCAAATCCCCAGCATCGCAGCCGCTGCTGCGCGTTCTCCGCGCCTCGACCGCCTGCAGCATACGGCGCTTGCGATTGAAACTCTCGCGCTTCGCCTGTATCGTCTGCAGGCCGGGGAGGTAACACGTGTACCACACGAGTGCGATCGCTTGCGCGACAAGCATCGGCGGAGAAGTGAGATCGATGAGCGATCCGACGGGGAGAAGCAGCAGCGGCACGCCGAAGCTGGCGAGAACGAGGATAAATCGCGGGATGAAGAAGAGAAACTTGACGAGGAAGTCGAGGAGCGCGCACGCGACGCAGATGCTGACGGTGCGGCCGCCGTAGGTGACGGAGAAGACGATTGAGTGCTGCCGCGAGCAGAGATTCGCGCGGCTGGAAGATGACGTGGATGTGGTGATGATGGAGCGAGGCGGGTCTTGAGATGACGTGACGGAGGGGGGTAGCTGTGAAGGCGCCATTGGAACTAGTTAATTTCTGATAATTGCTCTTAAACAAATTAGCAACAGCTGTAGACGGAATACTTCGGAGATAGTAGTCGCTAAAAACGATGGCGATTAGGCGAGAAGAGCTGGTAAAAAGATCCTGAGCGGATGGGCGAAAAGCTGAATCTGGGATGGATCGACGGGACGAAACCCTTGCTCTAGAATTGAACGGAGAGGGGTCTTTAGTACCCGCAGAATGATGGGAACGCGTTAGTCTGGTGAATGCGAGGTGACGTAAACAAGGAAGCAAGGCGCTAGGCCCCAAGGAGCTTTTCCGTGTGAGCGAGATTCGTCCATGTGGAACGCGATGGGCGTTCCACGAGCGGCATTCACGGAGCAAGCCCGAAGGACTGCCTAGGGAATGGATGAGGGAGGAGAAGGGGGTGTGTGTGGATAGAATTATTGAAGAGACGAATACGGTAAGCGGGATTAGGATACGGTTATGCTTGGTTTTATCAGGCTGGGATGGGGTGGAACACGTTGATGTTGCTGGGGGAAGGCGCAATGCTTGCCGAATGCGAGGAGGGCGAATTTTGCGCCGCCGCGCGCGCGATCCGCAACACAAGGTGCTGCTGGCTGGGATTTTTCTCCCTTCTTCCGCGCACCCCCTCTCTTCCCTCCCCCACCACCTCATCTGGTTATGGCGCAGTGTCCCTCGTGCATGCTGCATGCGCTCCTGCGCGCAGCTATGGATACAGTATGCCGAATGCCGCGCGGATAGGGCATCCCGTCCCGCAGAGGTGGACTTTGGCATTGACTAGCGGGATTGGTTGAAAGGCCTGTGAAGCCAAGCAGTAATTGCGCTGCGCTTGAGGCGGATTTCGTCCCCGCTCCACCACAGCCAGAAGAGTCAAGGGCTGAGGTTGGGAAAGGGGGAACGGGGAAAGAACACAACGAATGTGGTCGAAAGCGGTTTGTTCAACGGCTGCGATTCTCAATGCAGATTCTTTTTTCCCCATCAGACCACAACACACACATTTGTGCAATGCAATAATGCAAACGAAGTTTTGCAGTGGGCAGGAACAGGCTGACAAATACGGAGTGAAGAATTTTCGCACTACATCGCGGAACTGACGCGTTCAAATTGAACTTCTTCGTTGGCTCCGCCACCAGCGCTGACCACACCTGGCCCTGCGAGCGGAGGCAAGGGAGCTTGACTCCGACACGGACCAGTCACAGGGCAGAGTTCTGCACCGGGGGGGCGGACGGTTCAAGCTTAGAACGCGTTTCGCCCGTCTCGGTTGGACGGCGGGACGTCCGCCATCCCTCCCGTGGGTTCCGCTCCGCGACACACAGGAAGTGGGGGGGGAGTAATTGGTCAGATCGCACCAGATCATTTGATTCATTGATATGTACACCTGAGAGTGTAGCAAATATTAAGCCTCAAGGACGGATTGCGATGAGCTCAATGGCGAGAATCGACCCCTCCCCAACACCACACACCAAACCACTCCAATTTCGTAATTTTGGCGCATATTATGCATGAATTTCTGCATTTCACCTTGCCTCATCGTCACATTCGCCGCCAATCTCGTCTCGTTCCTCGAACCAAACAGCGTAAAATTATCGAACGCCAAGATGAACGGCGCGGCGGGCGCGGGATCCCAGAGGAAGTCGACGACGGGGAACGAAATGAGCGAGAAGCTGCTGCAGGGCTGGGCGATGCTCGCCATGCACTGCCCCGTCTGCTTCAACCCCATCCTCCGTAGCAGGTGCCGCTCCATCCTCGCTATACGCCACCCCGTAATTGTGAAGCTTCACGCGCGTGATGCGCAATGACCGTGATGAAATCTTTCAACCTGTTACAATCTCCGCACTCTTAAATCTCTCCATTCCCTCCGCCCCCCTTCCGCTCCCCGTTCTGTCCCCTCCCTCCCAACCACCTTCCCCCCGTCCCCTTCCCCGCGTCTTCCCTTTCTCCCACCGCCGAGCGCTCAGAGGCCCTAAACCCTTTTTTAACCCCAAACCCCTCAATCTACCTGCTCTTAAACCCTCTCCTTCGGCTGTGGAACCATCAGAGCGGGCGAAAAGCGGTGCGTTGTTTGTGATCTTCCCGTCATAGAGGAGGGCGACGCGCCGCCCCAGATGACGTCAGCAGCGCCACAAGAGCCAGCTCAGCAGCAGCAGGGAGGAAGGGTCCAGGAAGGTGCGGGAGGCTGGGAGAAGGAAGAAGGAGAAGAGGAGGGAAGCAGAGGTCGGAAGGAAGGCGGGGTAGAGAGGGCGAGTGAGGACGGGCTTGCATCGGAGACGACATTAGAGAGGCTTACGGGAGGTCAACAAAAAAAGCAAAGACAAGACGTGCCGGCCCTCGGCACCGTACCTGCTGCAGCGCCTAGCACAGCAGCAGCAGCAGCAGCAGCAGCATCAGCAGCTGCTGCCACTGCTACTGCCACTCCCTCAGCCGCTCCTGCAGCTGCTGCTGCTGGATTGGCCAATGGCAATGCCCCAGTAGCTTCCGTCCTGCCCGCCTCAGCTTCGCCCCCTGGCACATCGGCCCCCCTACCAGGCGCACCATCCCCCTCGCTGGGCGTGTCTGTGTGCGCTGTGAATGCAGCAGCTAACGATGCCCTAATTGCTGCTCTGCGGGCCGTTGTCAACCAATTGCAGGTGCGCACGTGTTGCCTGAGAACCAAATCAGAATCGGGCTGTCATGGCAGATGATTGCTCTACTCCTGCCAATCACAGTTGAACGCTGCTTCCCATCCCTATGTGTCTCTTCTCTTGACATGTGTATATATATGCATGATGTCAGTCATCCTGCGCTGCTGCCTAATCTGGTCTTACTTCGCTTTGTTGCAATGACGTGCCTGCTAATGAGCCCTGCTCACTTGCACTGACCCTGCCCCTCTCACTTGCTCTAACCGCACCCCTCTCACTTGCTCTAACCATGCCCCTTCCAGAGAGCGCAAAGGGCCTTAGAGTGCACCTCCGACCTACAGCAAACGCAACAGGTTGGTAGTCCTTCTGAGTCACCCTTTGACCCCTCATGCCATCGTGCCCTTAACTTATGCCATCGAAAAATGCTAATCCCCTCACAACCCAACCCCTCGCCCCACTCCCCCCCTCACCCCCCTCTAGTCTCACCATCTCCCCCATCACCCCCCCCCCCCTTCTCCACAATCCAGCCCCACTCTCCGCTATCACCCGCCCAGTCCCCCATCCCCATCATCTCCACGCTCTCCCCCCCACCTCTCCTCCGCCCTCACCATTTCCCCCCCATCTCCCCCCCATCCCCACCCACTCCCCCCCATCTCCGCACCATCTCCCCCCAGTCCACCCCCGCCCTCCACACCCCGGCCCCACTCTCCACCATCACACGCCCAATTCCCCATCCTCATCATCTCCCCGTTCCCGTTTCCCCCTCATATCCTCACCTAATTTCGAAGCACCTAAGAAGTAGCCCCCCCCACCCCCCCCCCCCCCCCCCCCCCCCCCCCCCAACGTCCTCTGCTGCCCATCATTGCAGCGCGTGCGTGGGGCATCATCTTCCCCTTTGCCCCTCACGTCCTCTGCTGCTGGCTTTTGAGTCGACTCAATAGTCACCTCTGCTCCTCCTCTACCCGTCATCATTGCAGAGTGTGCATGGGGAATCATCTCCCTGCTTGCTCCTCATGTCCTCAGCTGCTTCCAAAACGAGGTGACTTTTGAGTCGACTCAAAAGTCACCTAGTTACAATGGCACACGGCACATCCCCCACCCGTCTGCCCCTCGTGTCCTCGGCTGCCCTCAAAACAAGCTGTTTATTTAGCCAAAGCGTTCAAGCACTAGAAGAAAGTAGTGAGGTTACTCATCGTCCTCCTTCCCTCGCCTCACCAATGCCCCCTCTCTGTTCCCATGCGCTCAGCTGCTGTCCATCATCTCTGAGTGTGCGCGTGCCGTGAAGGAGAGTAGCGAGACGATGCCAAGTTCCCACCCACCTCCCCACAATCTCCAACCATCTCCCACCCATCTCCCCCCGTCTTTCCCCCTTCCCCCTCGTGTTCTCACTCAGCTGCTGGGCATCATCTCTGAGTGTGCGCGTGCCATCAAGGAAATCCAGCCGTTGGTTAGACCGGTGTGACTAGCCAATACAGTCAGGCCAACATGCTCAAGACTCATGTTATTTTGTACATCTATTGTACCCCTGATTATTACCCCCTGTTTGCGCAAAGAAATGCATGCAATGGAATGTGTTCAACAATAAAACGATACATAAGAGTTGACAGCGAGAGGTATAATGTGCTCCACTGAGTGCAATGACACTCAATATAGACCATGAAAGAAGCTTTCTTGATTGTATGAATGAATGAACTAATTCAGATCCTCCACTAAAACTATGCAATATTTTTTTCTTGGGTTGTATGTAATATTTTGTCCAACATGAGCTACAGTAGATGTATCCCCTGTGCTACAGTAGAAGCCGCCCCCCTTTGAGCCTTCTTGCCCTCCACTTTGTACATCTCTTTTGTCTGCTTCTTTGCCTCCCTTGCTGCCCGCTTCTGAGCCTTCACTGCCTCCTGCACAAGGTGTGACACGAAGCGGTTGATTGCGGTGGAAAGAGGTGAGAAAGGAAGGACTTTCGAGACAGCTCAAAAAGTGTGGCAGAGGTGGGTTGTTGGTGGAAAGACGTGAAGTGAGGAAAAAGGGGATTTGAGGAAGAGAGAGAGAGAGAGGAGTGCAGGAGAGGAGAGGTAGGAGGAGAGGTATAGTGGGAAGGGTAAAAGCACCATCACCGCACCGCACCTTCACCATCACCCAAAGTACCCAACGGAATTCCTGCACTCATTCCCATGATTCCCACACTCCATCCCCCATGATTCCCACACACCATACGCCATGAACCTACACGGCACCGTACCCCACACCACACCACAGCACCATACCTTGCGTGCTTTCTTCTCTTCAGGCGTCTCCTTCTCCTTCCCTCTCTTGCACTTCACACCACACCTGTACCTTGCACCACCCCACTGAACCTCAGCATCAGCGCCTTACCTTGCGTGCTTTCTTCTCTTCAGGCGTCTCCTTCTCCTTCCCTCTCTTGCACTTCACACCACACCTGTACCTTGCACCACCCCACTGAACCTCAGCATCAGCGCCTTACCTTGCGTGCTTTCTTCTCTTCAGGCGTCTCCTTCTCCTTCCCTCTCGGCCGCACAAACACAACACCCCCTCCTCCCTCCCCCACCCCCTCCTCATCCTCCCCAATCCCCTGCAACCCACCCCCCTTCCCACTCCCTCTCCCCTCCTCCCCGTCCCTCCCCTCTCTCCCCACTCTCCCCGGCACAAACCCTGCAGGCAGCTGCGCTTTCCCCTTCAGTCTAATCTCCTCCACCCCAATCCTCCCACCACCTCCCCCTACACCCCCCCCTCCTCCTGCCGCTGCCTCTCCCGCCCTGCTCCCCTTTCTGCGGGAATTGGAAGGGGCGGAGATTCGTGCAGGATGGTTGTCAAGGTTAGAGTAGGTCGAGACTATCGACTCGCAGTCCCACTTGCCCCTCTCCCTCTCCTCCTCCTCCTCCGATACATATTCCACCTCTTCCTCCTCCCCATCCTCTTTACTCTTCATTTCCCCCCCCTCCTTTGTTCCGCCACTCTCCCCTTTCCTCCCGCTTTCCCCATTTTCCGCGCCCTCCCCTTTTCCCCCGCTTTCCCCCTTCCCCCCGCCCTCCCCTTTTCCCCCGCTCTCCCCCTTCCCCCCGCCCTCCCCCTTTCCCATCCGCACAACCGCGCCCCCCTTCCGCAGCTCCAGCAGGCTCTCCCGCCGGGAAGCTTCCAGGAAGTCGTCCAGCACGTTGCTGAACATGGAGATATCCGCATGCCCAGCTGCCCCTCCGCCGCCCCGGTGGTCCCCGTCCTCGTCATCGGAGAAGTCGTCCACGTCAGCATCCGCGTATTCCCGCTCAGCGAGCTGGGGGCGTGAGTCAGCAGCAGCAAGGCCGAGGGATGATGACAAAAAGGAGGACACAGGGAAATGCAAGGTTTAAGGCTCGATTGGGACGTGTGAAAATGGGAAAATTCTCTATGGGCACTCTAAGATTCTCTCTCAGCACCACTCAGCACCTCTCAGCATGGCCTAGCACCGCTCAGAACCACTCACCAGCATCACATGTTCTTCCAGCGCTCTCAAATTCTCCTCCGCCTGAGCGCGGCTCTTAGCCTCCTCCTCCGCCCTCCGCCGCGCCTCCTCCCCGTCCCCCTCTCCTCCCGCAACACAGCAAATTCATTCACCAGCACCGCTCAGCACCACTCCGCACCACTCACCAGCATCACTTGTTCTTCCAGCGCTCTCAAATTTTCCTCCGCCTGAGCGCGGCTCTTAGCCTCCTCCTCCGCCCTCCGCCGCGCCTCCTCCCCCCCCACCGCCGCCTCCCGCCGCCGCGCCTCCGCATCCTTAACCCCTTTAACCCCCAAACCCTCAACCCCGCTCGCAAGGCTTTCCGCTCCTGGCGCAATGACCGCGTCCCCTGCCGCTCCCACACCCGCATCTTCTTCCGCCAACCTCCCACCTTCCCCTTCCCCCGCAGCCTCGTTCCCCCTAACTTCCGCCTCTTCCGGCTCTTCTGCCTCTTCCGCCGCCTCCTCCTCCGCCTCCTCCGCCTCCTCCTCTTCCCCCCCCGCTGTCGCCAGCAGAACAAAGTCATCTTCAAGCTCCCCGTAAACCTCTTCCCCCTCCTCCCCCTCCCCCGCTTCCACCTCTCCGCCGTCCCCTTCTAGCAGCGCTAAAACCTCCGGATCGAGCCCTGAGACACCCAGGTAATTTGCGCTGCCCTCTCCGCCAGCTGCTTCCCCCGCTTGCGCTCCCGCGGAAGCCGCCGCTGCGCTTTGAACTGCGCGAGAGGGTGGCGCGGCTGCTGCGAATCCGCGCTTCGGCCGAATCTCCTTGATGACGGAGGAGATCTTAGCCACGACCTCCAGGTCAGCAACCGGAGCGTCGGCGGCTGCTGTCGTGGCAGCTGACGTGTCTGGCCGTACGGTAAGGCGCGTGGCTTTATAGATCTGCGATGCATATCAATAACGGGTATTGATGTTTAGTATGCATGTAATGAACGGCGGTGATTTGGTGCCGCGCGCGGGGACTTGAAGCTGACAGGCGGAAGGCGTGGCGGATGGCACGAGCGGGCAGTGGGCAGTGCGGCAGCGGGGAAATAACAGTCGCACATTCACGTCGTCGGGCAGTGCGACTTTAGACGCGCCTCGAAAGTCGTAACAGGGTACACTAACACGTGAATTTGTGACGTGATAATAAAAGTGTTTTGAGACGTCTCAAAACACTTTGTTATCACGTGGAAAGTCGTAACAGGGTACACTATTACGTGAATCTGTGTAGGTATCACGAAAATAACACTCAAAAGTCGGGCAGTGCGACTTTAGACGCGCCTCGAAAGTCGTAACAGGGTACACTACGACGTGAATTTGCGAAAATAACAGTCGCACCTTCACGTCGTCGGGCAGTGCGGCCGGGGGAGCCTCGGCGGGAACAAACGACGCGAACGTCCTCGTCTGCCCGATCACGCGAAGGTGCTGCGTGTAGTCGTAACCGTCGTCGGGTAACCCTAATTCGATAATTTCGCGCCGAGCGCTCTCGGAAAGTTTCTTCTTGCCCTGGCCGCCGGCCACGCTCCCTCCTCCCATCACGCTCCCGCCATCCCACCCGGGCGGCCTGCCCAACCCCAGGCCCGCCCATAAGTCGCGCCCTCTCCCCCCACCGCGCATCGTGCTCGCGCGCGATCGTCCTCCGACAGACGCCGCGTCGTCGCCATCAGTCGCGCGAGCGACGGCGTGCGATTGCGCTCGGGACCTCCTGCTCCCGGCGACGCTTCGCCCCTCCCCCTCCCCTTCCCCCCCCTCCTCCTCTTCCTCCTCCTCTTCCCATTCCTCGCCGCTGTAATCCTCCGCGTTTTCCGGGATCGGCGGCTGGTAGTCGTCCGAGAATCCCGGCACGTGGTTGCTGCCGGCGTCCGTGCGCACGAAGACGCGCTCGCCGGGCGCGTCGGGGTCGTTCGACTCGCGGTACATGAGCGTGAACGACGCCGCATTCTTCTTGTCCACAAACTTCTTCTTGCGACCCATCGCTGCTGGCGAGAAAGAGCGAGCGACGACGAAAAGCGGCGAAAGCGACGACGCAGAGGAGAGAGAACAGAATGGCGATCGGAGAGAGTCACGCGACGGGGACGGGGGGAGTGGCCGACGAGTCGAACGGCTGTAATGGGGATTTTGATCGTGATTTCAAGGTGCTTTGGTTCCTTATCCTCTTGGGTTGGATGGGAGAGGGTGGAACATACGGGAAGGCTGCCCCACCCTGTCCGCGCAGTGTGCATAGTGCGAACTGCGAGGGGTTTAGAACAGCAGCCGAAGTGTTGTCGCGGAGTTTTGAGTTACCACTCACGAGTGCAAATGGTAACTCTCTTGAGGGAACTGCAAATTGCTGGGGGGGGAAGAAGGCCTCGGTGGATATCCACATTTTTAACAGAACAGATCGAACACCGATTCGCGAAAATCAGCATTCCCGACCCCTTCCCGCACGACGCGTCTTCAATTCGCTAAACTCGTTTCGCGAAGAACCGAAATTCCACTTCATCCTCCACGGCTTTGTTCAGCATATACCCACCCCCATAGCTAATCTCCCCCTCTTTTTCGCTCCTTAGCTTTCTGCTTTCGCTGCTCCCCGCCCCTCCCGGCGCCGCGACCTCGTTGTCTGGTTAAAGCGGTAGCTCCGTCCAGCTACCCACCTTGTCGGCCGCTCCGGCGCGACTTGGGCCTATCTGGATCCCGTACATACCTCCATTTTCCTCGCTAAATTCTTCTTCTTTTTTTTTCACCGAAACAGGTGTAGTTTTCACCCCGTAAGTAGAGCAAAGTAACGCAAGCTAGCAGCCATGGGTTTCAAGGGAACCAAGGCGGAGAAGAAGCAGGCGTACGACAAGAAGGTGTCGCTGATGCTGGAGGAGTACTCCAAGGCGCTGATCTGCAAGGCGGACAACGTGGGGTCGAAGCAGATGCAGAACATCCGCAGCGGGCTGCGCCCCGACTCCGTGGTGCTCATGGGCAAGAACACGCTGCTCAAGCGCACCATCCGCATGTACTGCGAGCGCACCGGCAACACCGCGTGGAACGGGCTGCTGCCGCTGCTCGTGGTGAGTGGTGCCCCCTCGTCCCCTTGTCCCCTGGCACCTGAAACCCTAATTTCGGCTGGAGGAGTTCCCAAGGCGCTGATCTGCGAGGCGTCTAGTCTTGAGGCGCCCTAAAACGAAACCCTAATTCCGGCTGGAAGAGTTCCCAAGGAACATCCGCAGCGGGCTGCGCCCCGACTCGGTCGTGCTCATGGGCAAGAACACGCTGCTCAAGCGCACCATCCGCATGTACTGCGAGCGCACCGGCAACACCGCGTGGAACGGCCTGCTGCCGCTGCTCGTGGTGAGTATATTTTGCAGACTTGAGTTATTTAGCCGGTCTCAAGCGCACGATCCGCATGTACGGTGAGCGCACTGGGAATACCGCGTGGGAACGGCCTGCTCCCGTTCCTCGTGGTGAGTCTTGTTTCCTTCACCACCATGCTCTCGGCGGGAGCACCTTTTAGGCGCTATAGAACGTCACGTATCATCACTCTCATTCGTAACGTGTCGCGCTCTCTGTTCCCGCTATTCGTACTGTGGCATCTTTTCCCCCGATCCGTACCGTCTCATCTATTCCCCCGAACCGCACCTTGCCATTTCTTCCGTCCGTACCGTGTCATGGCTTCCCCTTGTACCGTGTCATCTAATCCCCTCACCCTTACCGTATCACCTTTACCCCATCCGTGCCGTGTCATCTTACCGTGTCATCTCTCCCCCCCAACCGTACCGTGTCATCTCAGGGCAACGTGGGGCTCATCTTCACCAAGGGCGACCTCAAGGAGGTCCGCGAGGAGATCGGCAAGTACAAGGTGCGATGCAATGCATTTAGAAACGGTTTTAACCGGTTATGGTTGGTACACGGTGCAATGCGATGGGATTCGGAGCGGTCTTAACCGGGGTTGTTGTCGTTAACCAAAGGCGTGCGTTGCAATGGGATTCGGGGCCGTTCTAATCATTAATCATAGGAGGGATGTCAGTGTATCCTCGGAAGGCCATGGCGGTTGGTTCGGAACGAGGGAGGGTCGAGTTTACATTAGACGATTCTTTAGGCACCCGAAGTTGGTCGGGTTGAGCATAATTGTGGCGGCTGGGGTTGAAATCGGGGAGGATTCGATTTTTAGGCAAGAAAGCTCTAATTCGTGGGAGGTTGGGCAGGTGAGAGCGATTCGCTAGGCGACTGAAGATGCGGTGCGGCTCGGGATGTCCAGTATTTATTTATTCATCCTGCTGTTGAGTGAATGTGGATAAATTAAGTGTTTTTCACTTGCCCTGAATCACCTTTTGAACGACCATTTTGCGCTAATTTTGCTACACTTTTACGTTGCCCTCAACAACTTCCTTTTCCTTTTCTACTTCTTCAAATCCTTCCGCCAATCAGGTCGGCGCGCCTGCGCGTGTGGGTCTGGTTGCGCCCATCGACGTGGTGGTGCCACCTGGCAACACGGGACTGGATCCCTCGCAGACTAACTTCTTCCAGGTGAGATTCGGAAGCCGTAAACCCATGGCGTGGTGAACCCATGGCGTGGTGAACCCATGGCGTGGTGAACCCATGGCGTGGTGAACCCGTGGCGTGGTGAACCCGTGGCGTGGTGAACGCATGGCGTGGTGAACCCTTGTCGTGATCTCTGTTTGTTTTGTTTCTGGTTGCCTTCTGTAAGGCGACCGTCCTTTGTCGTCGCACTGTCTGTGTCGCATGGTTCTTTGTCGCATGGGCTCTGTCGCATGGTTCTTTGTCGCATGGGCTCTGTCGCATGGGCTCTGTCGCATTCCCCGTTCCATCGTCCCAACCTCCCCTCCCTCCATTGCTCCCCAGGTGCTCAACATCCCCACCAAGATTAACAAGGGAACGGTAAAAATCGTCACCCCCGTGGGGCTCATTCGCGCGGGCGAGAACGTTCTAGCTCTCCCCCACTCCCATAACCTTCCTCCCCGATTCCCCCTCCTCCCTCCCCCCCCCCCCCCCCCTCCCCCCCCTCGTTCCCCCCCCCCCTCCCCCTCCCCCTCCCCCTCCCCAGGTGCTCAACATTCCCACCAAGATTAACAAGGGAACGGTCGAAATCGTCGCGCCTGTGGAGCTGATCCGCGCGGGCGAGAAGGTCGGCTCGTCCCAAGCCGCTCGTGCTACCTCTCCCTTATCCCCCCCCCCCCCCCCCCCCCCTTCCCCCATACCCCCTCCCCCTCCCCCTCCCCCTCCCCAGGTGCTCAACATTCCCACCAAGATTAACAAGGGAACGGTCGAAATCGTCGCGCCCGTGGAGCTGATCCGCGCGGGCGAGAAGGTCGGCTCGTCCGAGGCGGCGCTGCTGTCGAAGCTGGGCATCCGCCCCTTCTCGTACGGGCTCGTTGTGGACCAGGTCAGTGATTGTAACGGGGTGATGGGTGCTCGTAGGGGCTCCTGCCTCCTCATGCCACACGAGAGGTGGCGCCAGGAGGACGATCTGCTGGGCCACTTGGCCTCCTGTCTACCTCTTCAAAAACCCTGAATCTGAACTTCCTCCCTCTCCACTCCCTCCGTCAGGTGTTTGACGAGGGTTCCACCTTCCACCCGTCAGTCCTGGACATGTCAGAGGACGATCTGTTGGGCCACTTCGCATCGGGTGTGGCCAACGTCTGTCCCATCCTTGTTTCCCTATGTCTACTCTTCCAATGTACCCTTCTTTTTCAGGTGTTCGATGACGGTTCCACCTTCCACCCCTCGGTCCTGGACATGTCAGAGGACGACCTGCTGGGCCACTTCGCCTCGGGTGTGGCCAACGTGGCCGCCATCTCCCTCGGCGCCGACTACCCCACGCTCGCCGCCGTGCCGCACGTGTTTGCCAACTCGTACAAGAACGTCATCGCTGTTGCGCTTGCTTTGGACGACTACTCGTTCCCGCTCGCTGACAAGGTCAAGGAGATCCTCGCGGTGAGTGCTCTTCCTTCTTTTCCTCGCTGAGTAAGTGCTGCCTTGCACGCACCTGCTGGGTGCCCACTGGCTGGGTGCCTGGTTACTCGTCCCCACACTCGTGCCATCTCCCTCGGTGCCGACTACCCCACGCTCGCCGCTCTGCCGTGCCGCACGTGTTTGCCAACTCGTACAAGAACGTCATCGCCGTTGCGCTCGCTCTCGATGACGTCAAGGAGATCCTCGCAGTGAGTCTATTGCTCCTCCTCTTACCTCTCTGTACCTCATTCCACACCCTTGCTCTCGACGACTACTCCTTCCCCCTGGCCGACAAGGTCAAGGAGATTCTTGCGGTGAGTCCTCTTCCTTCCTCTCCTCACTAAGTGCGTGTGCTGATGCCCCACCTTCCACACTCTCGCTCTCGACGACTACTCCTTCCCCCTGGCCGACAAGGTCAAGGAGATCCTCGCGGTGAGTCCTTCCCCTCCTCTCCTTTCTCTCGCTTCGCCGGTGCCTCTTTTCCCGCAATACCCGACTGCTGAACCTAAAAAATGCCAAATGGTTCCGCTGGTCGCCAGCTACCCCCTCCACCCCATGTATCTTCCAATGTATCCCTAAGTCTCCACTTTCAGGACTCCCAGTTCACTCTTGAGTTTTGAGGCGCCTAAACAATCTTCCAATGTATCCCTGAATCTCCGCTGTTCAGGACTCCTGGTTCACTCCTGGGTCGACCCAAAGGTCACCAGTGTGTTCCAAAATGTCACATTTCACACTAAATTTCTGCTATTCCGGACTCCTGGTTCACTGACTTTTGAGTCGACTCAAAAGTCACCAGTGTATCCCTGAATCTCCACTGTTCAGGACTCCCAGTTCACTCTTGAGTCAACCCACAAGTCACCAATGCATCCCGAAATCTCCACTTTTCAGGACCCCCACCAGTTCGCAGTGGTAGCGCTGGCAGCACTTGACTCGCCCAGCCTCTCCTAACCTTCCCTGCACATCCCATCCCAATCCATCCATGAATTTATACTCTTCTTCCAGGATCCTTCCAAGTTCATGGTGGCAGCGGTGGCGGCGGCGCCGGCAGCAGCAGCAGAGGCGGCCAAGGAGGAGGCCAAGCCGGCAGAGGAGGAGAAGGAGGAGTCTGACGAGGACATGGGCTTCAGCCTCTTCGACTAGATGCGCTGCACCTGAGTCGTGGGATTCAGCCTCTTCGACTAGATTCACTGCACTGCAGCTAGGTTGCAGTCTTGTCGTCTAGATGCCCCGTTTCTGTTGATTACGCTGTAAATGGAGAACGTCCAGTGCGCTTGGTTGTTGCCACTTTGTGAATGGAGCAAGAAGTGGTCCGACTTGAAATCTAAAATTTGCTGGTCTGAAATCTGCAGGATTGGTGTGGACGTACATGTAAACGAAAGAATATCACACCGGTGCACTTAGCAATCCTACGATGAGTTCACTATGCTTTTAGTTGCAGAACTGAGGAGTGCGTTAGCTAATGGGTGTTGCACGCATTGCTGTAAGAATTATCAACAAACAGTCAACTCTAAATTTCTTTGAAGTACAAAAAATGTTATGGGTTTCATTGAGAAACCACTACCTAGAAAGGAAGGTCCAACCCTTTGCCAATTTCCACGCCCAGAAGCTCTAGAATACCTTTGCCAGCAACCTGCAGCAGCAACAGGGGAAACGAAAGGAGGATCAGTTAGAAAGGAAGCATACATGCCCCAATAGCAGTGACAGACTCACTAAGAAGGGGCCACACATAGAATGGAATCATGCTCTGTCAAACCCATCTCACTGCGGATCTTCCAAAATGATTCAGACAGAGCAAGCGACAACCATACTTTTCTCCCCCGGACACCTCATTACATGTATTCCCATGCTGAGGGCCAAATATCAACATTCAGTGACCCCCTCACAGCATGCTGAAAGTTTCTCAGTCCAACTCCGTGAACTTCCTTTCCAAGTGTGAAAAGACAGCAGTTCCAAAAGCAAAGGCGATCACTTGAAACAATACACAGTCCGCACAACTCGCCGCCTCCAAAGTAAGGACGCCAAACAATACACTGGAGCCTCTCAATGTGACCCCGTGAACCTCCTTCGCAGAGATGAATAAATAGCACCTCCTGAAGCCAGGCTTTGTGTTGAAATGAGTGCATTTGAGAAAACATGCGACTCACCGCTTCCAGGATAATGACGCCAAACAGCCCAATCATGGCTGCTCGCGAGTTCCAAGACTCCGCGTTCTCGGTGAATCCCCAGAACGGCTTCGGAATGTTGGGCTCCACCTTCGGTGACGGGACCTGCCAGGACGCGGATGGCACGGATTGATAAAACAACGGTAAATTTCATGGTTGTGCAGCGACTTGGATGCCAAGGCATTGAGTCAAACGACTTACGAGCTCTGCCTCACAATGACAGGATCAGAGATAAATGAAGCACCGTTCATGGCAAACTCAATCACACGCTATAGGACGAATGTCATGCCTTGGATTGACTGACAAGTAATAAAAAACATTCCCCTTCAGCGTTTCCCGCAACGACGAGCTCCAGCCTCTCCGTCAGCGTTTCACGACAGACACAGCAAGCTCGCCGAATACCCGTTTTCCATGTTAAATCGACAGCGCACACGTGACCTCAGGTTCCGGTTACAACAAAGAGATGCAAGAGACTTGCTTGTATCGTTCGTTCTACCTACATATTGGAACTGGTTCCATAAACACTAAAATAGGACTCACCCCAGCAGGAAGCTTTGCTGCTCGCACAGTCACTGATCGCCGAGCTGGCAAGGCGGGAACGGCTGCTGGTTGTTGAAGTCTTCTGAGGCTGGCAGTTCCAGATGTGATGGAGAGGCTCGAGAGCGAGCACGAGGTGCACGTAGCCAAGGAGGCCATTTTACAGATAACCTACGCCTTTCGAACGGCAATGTACGTGCTGGCCTGAACACCACGAGAGGCTGCTGATGACTCGGTTCTCAAAAACTAGCTTGATGGTATGGAATTAGGAAATGAAACAGGTATTCCCGAGGTAATGGATTCAGAATCAGTAGGGATGGAGCGGAATTTGGCGGTTCACGAATAGTTTCAAGTTGACGGTCAGTCAATTGAGTGACGACCACGATGATGTCTGTGGTGAGGAAGGAAAGACGCGGTTGGCTCACGGACGTCCGCGTGGTCGCTGCATATTGGCCGTGTCCGAGTCACCTGCATTGCTGATGTGGCAATCTCGGGAAAGTCATTTCGCGGGATGGTTCGTCTGGGGTTATTTCGATACAAGCTGTCTCTATATTAAAGACCTCCAGATAAACAAATACGAATCAGAAGTGGAAAACAGTCCGCAGAGACAAAACATAAATCCTTTACAAGCCGGCTCGATATGCGAGTGGTTTCACAGCAAGTCTAAGTCGCAGGCAAAATGTTAGTGCACAATTGGATCACATTGAAGGCCCCGGACGATCCCAACCGTTGGATAGAACATCGAACCCCTTCCCTCCCAAGCCTTTCTCCCTCGCCCCTCTCGCTCTCCCCTGTCCCCTACCCACTCACAAATTCCCTCTGGTTCACGTGATTTCCCCTTTCTGCCCAAACAGCTCTGCAGCAGCCGCAGTAGCTCAGCGAACCTCCTTAGGCTCGCCAATTAGGTTTCCCTTGTCGACCCCTCAGATAAGCAAAGATGGTTGAGAAGAAGGTGCGCAAGGACGAGATCGTCACTCGCGAGTACACCATCAACCTCCACAAGCGCTGCCATGGCTGGTGCGACTTTGTCTGTCTGCTTGCTCCTCGCTCAGTCTATTAGCTCATCTGCCACTTCTGGACGCCGTCTCGTTCTTCTTATCTTATTGTACTTTTTTGCAGTTGCAGCTGTAATAGTGCACGTTCTCTTACGCGAGTCGGCAGGAGGGTTGGCTAGAATTAGACTAGTTCGAATTCTAGTAGCTGCTCTTGAGACATCGTTGAGATAGTGCAGATTCTTGCGCTGCAACTTACACGGTTGCATTATGGGTTCTGTTCACAGATCGTTACTTCAAAACCTTCGACGACTATGTGTGCGCCCTAGGTTCCTTATCTGTTGCTTGGGAGGCGTTTAAATGACTTGCCAAAACGACATAGATATACGAAGCCTAACCGCACAGGTGCATGGTGAAACAGCGACCTCTGTAGCGATTTTGGAGCTGTCGACTTCCGTAGCTTGGCGAACTACTCTTTACGCACGATCAGGTTATCGTTATAAGGAAGATAGTCTGAGAGAGGAAGCTGTACCTTTTCCCTGCGGATGTGACCTCCGGCTTGCCTTCATAGTTGCTGGGACATAGTGCTTCCGTTCTAGCTATATCGTGCAACCGTCGTTGTTCTTAACATAGAGGTTTTAGAGATTGCGGTTGACCGCGCGCATTTGAAGCGCTGTAACGTGGTTTAGAGTCCGGCCGTCTTGTAGTTCTTGCCGTTCTGCTCACCTTTGTTTCGCTACCATCCTTAATGAATCATGGACATGGCTGACTGGCTGTGTAGCATTTTTCACAACTGGGGTCTCTTCGTGTGTAATGACCAGCTTGTCCACCAATAATTTCACCAAGCTTACTTTACCAATCATTTCCCACCCCTCCTATTCCTCCATCCCTTCTCCCTCAGCACATTCAAGAAAAAGGCTCCCAAGGCCATCAAGGAGATCCGGAAGTTTGCTGAGAAGGTGATGAACACCAAGGATGTGCGTGTGGATGTGAAGCTCAACAAGCAAGTATGGTCACGCGGTGTGCGCAATGTTCCCCGCCGCGTTCGCGTGCGCATTGCCCGGCGGCGCAACGAGGATGAGGATGCCACTGAGGAGTTCTACTCCATTGTCACCGTGGCGGATCTCCCTGCTGAGGGCTTCAAGGGGCTTGGCCCCAAGGTGGTGGAGGACGAGGAGGCTTAAATGGATATATGGTTCAATGTTCTTTGTGTGTTTAGGCTGAAAAGCAGAGGAGGTTGTTTGGATGTCTTTTTACAAATGTTGCAATTTAGTAAACTAAACAAAGAGGCTCTGCAACCCATGGTAGAACAATGATGACCGGTGAGCAGCTTTGACAGCTGCTTTTGGTCTGTGCGTCTGGGGTGGAAAAAATCTGAAATTAAGGACTATCTGATTCTTCCTGTGAATATTGTTACATCGCGAACGCGCAGTTTTACAAATCTTGTGGCTGTGGCCATTTCGCGAAGCATCGAACCGCATGCCACGTATGCATAGAGCCACATTGCCTCATCCATTGACACGTGTACACCACTTTGATTGGACATCAGGGATTTGGACAACCGTACGCTGAATGTCGTACCACACGAAGTTGCTCGTACGCCTCAGCAGTTTCATTTCACGACATCAATCGTCTGTGTACGTTCTGGTCCGCAACCTCCTCGAGATCACCTGTTGCGCCACCACTCTGTAAACTCTTCAGAACCAGTCTGATTGTTTCCTGACACCTCTATTTCCCGCCATTCGCATCTCTCTCTCTTCCAAAACCAGTGGAAATGTGCTGACCGACCCTCGGGATTCTCCAAGTTTCTTCTCACAACATTCACTCACTGCGTCACCCATCATTTCCTCACATCAATTCTCCCAATTAGCCCAGGAATCCTTTCTTCCGCCTCCTCCAAGAGATAGAGACCAGGCTCGAGTAGGGGAATTCGGAGGTTCTTCCTGGCTCCTAGGTCTAGACTAGAAGCGAGATCGTTTTCGCAATCTAGTCTAGAGTGTGAGGTAGCCGCAGTCTAGCGCCGATCCCTCACAGTGCTGGTCTGTCAAGCGCGGAATGAACTCGTCTCTTTCCTGCCACGCTCCTCATGCGCGCCTACATTCCGGTTCTGTTGCGGCGAATTCACCATCTGCTGCGATCAAGAACCTTCCCGAAACCGTGAGGAGTCCAGGAATCGCAGGCAACGCAGCCATGCACGGCCAGGTGTTTCCGCAGGCGCTTCCTCAGGCGTATCGCTGTTACTCGGCGATTACCCCGTTTCGTTCCCTCAGCCAAACACCTCAATCCGCAATTCGCGATTCGTTCAACGCAAGATGGCACCTCCATCGCTACCCCGTCACTGCCACGTCATCCTTCACCCGAGCCCACACCGTTTCTAGAAAAATAACCTCAGCGCGTTTGGTCTACCTTAGACACTCACAAACAAGCTTTCTTCCGCCCAGAAACTCCGCATGTCCTGATTACAGGTCTACGGCTAGCGCAGTTTCCTGGATTTCTCAACCAGGAAGCCTTATCCCCGCTGCGATCATTGCCGCCAATTCCGCTTCCCTCAATCCGTCCCTCTCGCTCGGTCACCAACTCGCGTCCTTCGCCGGGTCTTCTCTCAAACTGACCGCATCCGGCGCCGCGTCTTGCGCCGCCGCGTGCGCGTGCGCCGCGCGAGCCGCCGCAGCGCGTTGCTTCGCTGCCACTTGTCAATACCGTGCCAGCCGGTCGCCCTTCGGGAGCATTTCCCAAGCGCTGGTTCACGACGGGAGCGGCGGCGGCGGAGGCGGGGGATGGGGGGTGGGGGGGTTCGGGGGAGGGGGAGGCGGAGGCGGGCCGTGGGGCCGCGGGGGGAGCGCGGGTGACGGGTGGGGGGGGATGGAAAGTTGGGGTGGGGAGAGGCAGATGCGGACAAAAGCTGCAAGTGGGCATGTGGCGGCGGATTCGAGCTTAGGAGGGGGGGCTCAGGACACTGTTGTGCTGGATGTGGGGGTGAGTGGGGAGCATAGGCATGGTGGGGAGAGACGGTAGCGAGTTCGTATGCAATGGGTCGAGTCGGGGCGAGTCTGTGGCAGGTGAAGTGAAGGTAGCATGTTCTTGGCTTTATTCGTCGCCCTCAGTTATCTCCTTATGCTGGTTACACTTCCGCTTTCTCCCCTCTTGTTGCACCCAGTTATCTTTTCACCTCCCCATTCGCCTTCTTTTCGCAACCTATTCCCTTTCCTGCTAATCTTACCATGCATTTACTCCCGAACTCCAGCCACCCTCACCGCCCCACATAAACTTCCACGATGCATCCTCTCTTGTCCCCTCCCACCCTCCCCAGGGCATGTCGTTTTTGAGAATCCAACAAACCCCCCTCCCCTCCCCTCCCCCACCCTCCCCTTTCCTCCCTTCCCCTCCCCTCCCCTCCCCTTCCCTCTCCGCCCCTCCCCTCCCTCCTCCTATACCCTCTCCTCCCCTTTCCTCCCCTCATACACTCCCTTTCTCTCCCCTCCCCTATTTGTTTCTCCCAGGGCATGTCGTGTGGTAGCTGTGCGGCTTCCGTGAAGAACATTCTTGAGTCGACTCAAGAAACTCCCCTCTCCTCCCCTCCCTTCACTTCTCCCCTCCCCATGCCCTTCCCCACTTCCTCCACCCTCCCCCAGGGCATGTCGTGTGGTAGCTGTGCGGCTTCCGTGAAGAGCATTCTTGAGTCGCAGGTGAGGCAAGTCTGCTGCAGGTGAGAGAGGGAGAGAGAGGGAGAGAGAGGGAGAGTGAGAGCCGTCCTGTAAGGTGCTGCAGAGCAGCAGAGAGAACGTGTGCTGCGCCTGTCTCGCTTTTGAGAATCCTCAAAGGCGATACCACCGTTTCGTGAATTGCAGGTGCAGGGCAGCCGAAGTTGCCAGAGTCTGCGGCTCTGCTCAAGTGCAATGGACATGATTCTATGCATTGTTTCAGACAGAAGTTTCCTTTCACTTTCTCTCCATGCCCCCACACTTGCTCGTCTTCCCCTCTTTCCCCCCTGTCCTCCTCTCCCCCCTCTTTTCCCCAGCAGTAACCTCCCATCCCGCCTCCAATTTGACGTGATCCCTCTCAGAGTTCTTAGTTCTTATATATGACTTACCATTCCCCTCCCATTCCCTCAGTTCCCCCATTATCCATAGCCTCCCATTCTCACCCCTCCATGCCCACAGCCTCCTGTGGTGTCTGCTTCCGTGAACCTTCCCATGGAGACGGCACTTGTCACCATCCGATTGGCCGGGGGCGAACATCCGTCTGCTGCTCCTACAGCCGCAGCCCCCGCTACAGCCGCCACTGCCACAGCCGCTACAGCCGCCCCTGCTGCTGACGATGCTGCTGGGGGAACGGGTGGGCGGATGGTGGGGCAGGAGCGGCAGAGGGGGGGAGGGAGTGGCAGGAGCAGAGAAGGGTTGAGGTTGGACGGGCATTGGCAGAGTATTTGACCGAATGTGGGTTCGAGTCGAAGCTCCGAGGTGCGTGCTGGGCTGGGTAGTGGTGGCAGGGGCAGGGGCAGGAAAAGGGAGAATGGGGGCAACGGGAGAGTGGCAGGAGCAGAGGCGGGTGGAGGTTGGGCGGGCGTTGGCAGAGTATTTGAGAGAGTGTGGCAGAAGCTCAGAGGTGCGTGCTGTGTTGGGTAGTGATGTAGGGGCAGGGGGCAGAGGTGGGGGATGGTGGGGGCAGAGGTGGGGGATGGTGGGGGCAGAGGTGGGGGATGGTGGGGGCAGGAGCATTGAGAGCGTGGCAGGAGTTTGTACCGTCTTATTTTGTGATTGAAACAAAAGAGTCAATGCTTCTAAGGAAATGTCAGACAGTGCATACCCAATTGCCTGACCTGAACAGAAACCGTTTGTACCTCTCCCTGTGTTCTCAAACCTGCCGTAACCCCTTGTGTAACAATCATCCACGTGGTAACCGCAATCCGCCAGAGGAATCAGCCAAGGGCTCAAGAGGCGCAGCAGCAGAGGAAGGGCAGGTGACAGTGACTGTGGGGCCCCTAGTAGGAGGAGCAGATGGGGAAGAGGGAGAAGTAGGAAGGCCGTCTGCTTCTGCTACTGCTGATGGCATCTCCGGTCGAGCAGCATCGGCAATTGAGTCCAAGAGGGAGGAGCGCATGAAAAGGCTGAAAGACAGTGGTAAGGGTTCCTAGCTTTTCCTACCTGTATTTATCTTCCTCAGGTGCTGCTACTAGTCTATTCTTCAATCATTTGCGGTTTTGAGCAGGCTTTTGCCTTTCTCCTCCTCCCCCACATCCCTCCTGCCGTTTGCCCCCCCAAATTTCTGGGGTGACCTTGGTAAACTGCCGTGGGCGCATTCCATATCCTCTTTTCGCCCATTCCTTCCCTCCCTCCCAGGCCGGCGTCTCCTGGTGGCATGGGCACTGGCAGCAGCGTGTCTGGTGGGGCATGCCTCGCACATGCTGCAAGCCTCCTCCCTCGCCTCGCCTGGAAGCTGTTGAGGTGACTAACCCACCCCACACTCTCTCCCCTGTCCCCTCCCAGGTCGTCGCCTCCTGGTGGCGTGGGCACTGGCGGCAGCGTGACTCGTGGGGAACGCCTCGCACATGCTACAAGCCTCCTCCCTGCCTCCTTTCACCCATACCCCACCCACTCTTTACCCCCACTCTGTCCCCACCCAGGCCGTCGGCTGCTGGTGGTGTGGGCGCTGGCGGCCGCGTGTCTCGTGGGCCATGCCTCGCACATGCTGCAAGCCTCCTCTCTCGCCTGGAAGCTGTTGAGATGATTCACCCCCACCGCCATTCTTTTCCCCCACTCCTTTCCTCCCTGCCCAGGTCGTAGACTCCTGGTGGCGTGGGCACTGGCGGCCGCGTGTCTGGTGGGGCATGCCTCGCACATGCTGCAGGCCTCCTCCCTCGCCTGGAAGCTGCCCGCCTGGACCCACGCCCTGCACTCCACGCCCGTGCACGCTCTCCTCTCCCTCACTGCCCTGCTCGGGCCCGGTCGCAAGTGAGTGGGGGGCTGGGTGCACTCTCTTCTTCCCTCTTTGCTCCTCTCCTCCTCTCACTCTCCCTCCCCTCGCCTGGAAGCTGCCTGCCTGGACGCACGCCCTGCACTCCACACCCGTGCACGCTCTCTTCTCCCTCACTGCCCTGCTCGGGCCCGGTCGCAAGTGAGTGCACCTGTCTGGGTGAACAGTCTGGTTCTGCAGCCCCTCATACCGCCACTCCACGCCTGTGTACGTGCTGCCTGCTCTCCTGGGGCATGGCAAATAGGCCTCCTCTCTCGCCTGGAAGCTGGCCGCGTGGACACACGCTCTGCACTCCACGCCCGTGCATGCTCTGCTCTCCCTCACTGCTCTCCTTGGCCCCGGTCGCAAGTGAGTTTGAAAACAGGTTGCACCTTCGCTGTCACTCATCGTCTTCCCTGTCTCTGCTCTCACCCTCTCTCGCCTGGAAGCTGCTTGTCTGGACCCACGACCTGCACTTCTCGCCCCTGCACGCTCTCCTCTCCCTCACTGCTCTCCTTGGCCCTGGCCGCAAGTGAGTTTGGATAGGGTTCAGGTGCTCTCTAGTCTACCCTGCTTCATCCCTTGCCTGGAAGCTGCCCGCGTGGACGCACGCTCTGCACTCCACGCCCGTGCACGCACTGCTCTCCCTCACTGCTCTCCCTCACTGCTCTCCCGCACTGCTCTCCCTCACTGCTCTCCCTCACTGCTCTCCCTCACTGCTCTCCCTCACTGCTCTCCCGCACTGCTCTCCCTCACTGCTCTCCCTCACTGCTCTCCCTCACTGCTCTCCCTCACTGCTCTCCCTCACTGCTCTCCCTCACTGCTCTCCCTCACTGCTCTCCCTCACTGCTCTCCCTCACTGCTCTCCCTCACTGCTCTCCCTCACTGCTCTCCCTCACTGCTCTCCCTCACTGCTCTCCCTCACTGCTCTCCCTCACTGCTCTCCCTTACTGCCATCCTTGGCCCTGGCTGCAAGTGATTGGGCTACGGTGCATTCTTGTCTTTGCTCTCCTCTCCTCCTTTGGTCTCAACCGCTCTCCCGCCTGGACCCATGCCCAGCCCTCCACACCCATGAACGCGCTGCTTTTCCTCACTGCCTTGCACAGGCGCCGCCGCTAGTGAGTGTGTTATGGTCCATTCTTGTCTTCGCTCTCCTCTCCTCCTCTGGTCTCAACCACTCTCCTGCTTGGACGCACGCCCAGCCCTCCACACCCATGCACGTGCTGCTCTCCCTCACTACCTTGCTCAGGCGCGGCTGCATGTGAGTGAGGGGCTGGATGCATTCTCGTCTCCCCTCCCCTCATCTCCCCTTCCGTGCCCTCCTCTTACCCCCCGACTCCCTCCTCCTTCCTCCCATCTTTTCTCTACTCCTCCTCACCTGCCCTCCCCGTGCCCTGCCCCCCATATGCCATCTCAGGTTGCTGCGGGATGGGAGGAGCAGCGTGAGGAGGGGCACGTCCAACATGAACACACTCGTTAGCCATGTCCCCCCACAAGCCTGCACTTCTCACCAACACTGCCCTGCCGTCCACAGCCCTTTCCTTTCCCTCCTTCTCCCCTCACTGCAACAGGCTGCTGCAGGACGGGTGGAGCAGCCTCAGGAGGGGAGCGCCCAACATGAACACCCTCGTCAGCCTGGGAGCAGTCTCCTCCTTTGCTGTTAGCGCCGTCGCTGCTGCCGTGCCGAAGCTGGTGAGTGTATTATGCTGGTGACTAGAGAGAAGAGAACCCTTATATCACTCTAGTTTCTTGTCAGCCCATTTCCTCCTTTGCAGTCAGCGCTATCGTCACTCCTGTCTCCAAACTCGTAAATGTTGCAGCTTCTTCCCTTTCCTTCCACACCACAGTCCTCCCTGCATACTCCCCAGAATCGCGCTTTCTTTCAGGAGCCTCTCACTCGTCTCCCTCGGCCTTTCCTCTTCTTTTTCTATCTTTGAGACGACTCAACACACACCTCACTCTCGTCTCCCTCGGCTTTTCCTCGTGAAAGAAGAGTGTTTTTGAAACACTCATCTTTCACGTCACTCATCTCGGCCTTTCCTCTTCTTTTTCTTTTTCTTTTTTTCTCCACTCCTGCTCCTGCTTTCACCCCACCTCCTCCCTCCCCCGCCACCCTTCCCCTAGGCTGGTCTGCGTTCTTTGAAGCGCCTCTGATCTCCCGACGGGGCCCGTGTGGAAGCGCCTCTAAACTTTCATTCCACACGGGGCCCGTTTTCATTCCCCTGCGTTCTTTGAAGCGCCTCTGATCTCCCGACGGGGCCCGTGTGGAAGCGCCTCTAATCTTTCATTCCACACGGGGCCCGTTTTCATTCCCCTGCGTTCTTTGAAGCGCCTCTGATCTCCCGACGGGGCCCGTGTGGAAGCGCCTCTAATCTTTCATTCCACACGGGGCCCGTTTTCATTCCCCTGCGTTCTTTGAAGCGCCTCTGATCTCCCCGCTAATCTTTCCACACGGGGCCCGTTTCCATTCCCCTCATCTCCAACCCTCCCTCATTCCCTACCTACCTCCAGGGCGGCCTGCGTTCTTTGAGGAGCCTCTCATGCTGCTGGCCTTTGTGCTGCTGGCTTTTGTGCTGCTGGCTGGGGAAGACACTCAAAGAGAGGGCCTCTAGTAACCCCCAAAATCTTTCCACACAAGGCCCGTTTTCATTCCCCTCATCTCCAACCCTCCCTCGCTCCCTACCTACCTCCAGGGCTGGCCGGCATTCTTTGAGGAGCCGCTCATGCTGCTGGCGTTCGTGCTGCTGGGGAAGGCACTGGAAGAGCGGGCCAAGATCAAGGTGAGGAGGGGGTGAAGGGGAAGGAGGGGGAAAAATGACCCAGGTAAGATCAAGTGAAGAGGAGTTGTGCTGCTGGCGTTCGTGCTGCTGGGGAAGGCGCTGGAAGAGCGGGCCAAGATCAAGTTAGGGCAGGGAGGGCCGCACTCTTAGGGATTTTCTTCAGAAGGGCCGCACTCTTTGGAATGGTCTTCATAAGGGCCGCATTTTTTTTTTTTTTCCCCTTCGTTAAGTGCTTGCCATTGATTGTTGCTGCGTTAATTCACTGTTTGTTACGAGCGCGGTCTGTTTTACCATTTACCTCATCCTCTCAGCTTCCTCTCTCGTTTCCCACTTATCTCTCTTTTACCTCTGTGTCCCTCTCTCCCCTTCCTCCCCGTCCTCCCCTTCCTACCCTCCCCACACTCCTCGTCTCCTCCAGGCTACCAGTGACATGGCGGCGCTGCTGTCCCTGCTGCCCCCTCAGGCCCGTCGCATCATCCCCTCCTCCTCGCCCTCGCCCTCCCCGCCCTCCTCTCCTGCTGCTGCTACAACAAGATCTGAAGCAGCAGGATCAGCAGCCTCAGGCAGCAGCTTCAGCGATGCGGCGACGGAGGTGGTTCCGATTGAAGCAATTCAAGTGGGCGACCAAGTGCTTGTCCGTCCTGGGGTGCGTATCCCACCTTGTTGTGCGGCTCGATTCTATGTGCAGAGTGCACTTAATTCGTGCGTATGACCTCCAATTCACTCACATGCACATCGAAATCGCATTCCAGTGGACGGGAGAGTTGCGGGAGGGCGCAGCACAGCGGATGAGCCTTGAGACGACTCTAAGGGTGTATCTTTCTTTGTGTCATAGGCACTGTTTGGGTCATCCGAGATTCTTGGAAGACCAATAATGCGCATTTTAGCTACACTACCGGAATACCATTCGTCGCCCTATGAACCAAAGTGATTCTATGACACAAACTGAGATACGCCCTAAGCTTCACCTTTCCCCCATTCCCCTGTGCCCCCTATTCCCTTATCCCATCCACCTTCCTTGCATGCATCAGGATCGCATACCAGTGGATGGCACAGTGGCAGGAGGGCGCAGCACAGTGGATGAGAGCAGCATCACGGGAGAGCCACTTCCAGTGCTGAAGCAGGCTGGGGTGAGTGGGTGGTGGTATGGGGGCATCAGTAGTCTGAACATGTTAAAAGCGGGTGTTGTATGGTGAGCACAGTGGACGAGAGCAGCATCACAGGGGAGCCGCTGCCGGTGCTGAAGCCGGCTGGGGTGAGTGAAGCAGACCGGGGCGAGCGCATGCGTTGCTGCCGCATTGGGATGGGTAGATGTTGACAGCACATGCTAGTGAGTGAGTGGATGGCTGGTGGTGTGAACGGTGAGAGGAGGTCAAATGTGGAACTTTCAAGCACCATTCGCGTGGTCCTCTTATTTCCTGCAAACACTTCTGGCAACCACTTCCTGCTCCTTTCCTGTCAGGGCGAGGTTATAGCGGGCACGGTGAATTGTGAAAGGGGCCGTGGTGGAGCAGAGGAGAGGGCAGGGGGGAAATCACATGGGGACCTCCAATCCCATCGCCCTTCTTGTGCCTCTCCTCTCTCCCCACTTCCGTTGTACCCTCCTCCCCTTCCCCAACCTACCTTCAGGACGAGGTGACAGCGGGAACGGTGAATTTCAACGGGGCGATGGTGGTGCAGGCGAGCAGGCAGGGAGGTGATGCGGTGTTGGCAGACATAGTGCGCATGGTGGAGGAGGCTCAGGGCCGCCAGGCGCCGGTTCAGCGGTTTGCTGACCAGGTGAGGGGATTAATGTGCAATAAGACAAGAAGCATAGCAGGTGCGCGGAGAGTAGAGTGGGATGAAAGGCAGTGCAGAGGTGACCGAGTTTTGAGTCGACTCAAAAGTCACCAGCTATGCTTGTGTGTGCGTGCCTAAACCCCAACCTACAACCCCAAATACCCTCTCCCCAACCCTCCTCCTCCACCAGGTATCCGGCAAGTTCTGCTACGGGGTGATGGGCATAGCAGCGGCCACCTTTGCCTTCTGGTCCACCCTCGGCCCCAAGCTCGTCCCGGCTGCCCTCGCTGCTGCTGGCAAGGGAGGGAGCATGCTGCTGGCGCTGCAGCTCGCATGCAACGTGCTGGTGAGTGGAGGAGAAGTGGAATGGAAGCCTTGTAACCCTTGAAGGAGGTCCCGAGGAACCCAGGCTCGTCCCTGTTGCCGTCGCTGCCACTGGCCCTGGAGGGAGCATGCTGCTGGCACTGCAGCTAGCCTGTAACGTGCTGGTGAGTGGAGGAGAAGTGGAGCACACCTAGCTGGCCTGTAGGTGGGTTGTGAGCTCGTCCCTGCTGCCCCCGCTGCCACTGGCCCTGGAGGGAGCATGCTGCTGGCGCTGCAGCTAGCCTGCAACGTGCTGGTGAGTGGAATGTTGTTCCTGTATATTTTATTTTCCACACCCCTGCCTCTTCTCTCCCCTTTTCCCCTCAGATTGTTGCCTGTCCATGCGCTCTTGGTTTACCCAACCCAACAGCCATCCTGGTAGGTCGACTGTCTCACCCTCCAACAGTTGTGCAGGGGGCGGGGGAGACGTGTTGGAGCGCTCCACTGCCGTGCACACCGTGCTCTTTGACAAGACCGGCACGCTCACCCTCGCCCCCTCCCTCACTCCCTCCGCTTCCCTCAACTCCTCCCCCTCTTTTCCCTGCGCCTTCTCCCTACCCTCAGGTTGTTGCCTGCCCCTGTGCCCTGGGACTAGCCACACCCACAGCCGTACTAGTAGGCACAGCCGTAGCCGCAAGAAAAGGCCTGCTCATTAGAGGGGGAGACGTGTTGGAGCCCTCCACTGCCGTGCACACCGTGCTCTTTGACAAGACCGGCACACTCACCCTCTCCCTCTGCCTCTCCCTCTCCCTCTCCTCCATGCCCCGCCTTCTCTGCTGTTACTCCCCTTTCTCAGGTGGTGGCATGCCCGTGTGCCCTCGGTTTAGCCACCCCAACGGCAGTGCTGGTGGGCACAGCCGTGGCAGCTCGCAAGGGGCTTCTCATTAGAGGGGGAGACGTGTTGGAGCGCTCCACTGCCGTGCACACCGTGCTCTTTGACAAGACCGGCACTCTCACCCTCGGCCGCCCCACCGTCACGCGCGTTCGCCTGCATGGGGATAGGTCTGGTGAGGAGGAGAGGGAGGGGAAGCAGCGTGGGGTTGGTAGACAGGGAGGAGGAGGAGGAGGAGGAGGAGGAGGAGGAGACGGGGGGAAAGACGGAGAAGAGGAGAGGAGGAAAGAGGTGCTGGTGTTGGCAGCGGCAGTTGAGCGGAATTCCACGCATCCCCTCGCGACGGCGATAGTGGAAGCTGCTGGGAAGGAGGCGAGGCGAGCGCGGGTGGAGGACGGGTCGTTTTTCCAGCAGCCGGGGGCTGGGGCGGCTGCGGTGGTGGGCGGGCAGCATGTGGTGGTGGGCACACCTGATTGGCTGAGAGACAACGGCTGTGATGTGCCGGTGGAGTTGGAAGAAGCTGATCTGATGAGCAGTGCTGCAGAAGGTGAGTGAGATGTTGATGTGTGTGTGAGACCTGAGGTCCTCTTGCATGTGGTGGTGGGCACGCCTGATTGGCTGAGAGACAACGGCTGTGATGTGGCGGTGGAGATGGAGGAGGCTGAGCTGATGAGCAGCGCGGCAGAAGGTGAGACCTTAGATTGTTCGGTATGTGGGATGCAAAATCTTACTTTATCCAGCACGCCGGAATGGCTGAGAGATAACGGCTGTGATGTGTCAGTGGAGCTGGAGGAGGCTGATCTGATCTGATCTGATCTTCCCTCTCTCCTCTTCTCTCCTGCCATTCCCCGTCCCGCTTGTCCTGCAGGGTCATCCCCCGCATCACCGACGCTCAGGCCTGCCATGCCAGGCGATCCCACACCAGGCGAGACCACCGTGTACGTGGGGGTGGACGGCCAGCTGGCAGGCGCCATCTCATTGGTCGACAAGGTGCGCGACGAGGCGGCGGCGGCTGTAGCGGCGCTACAGGCCATGGGGCTGCACACGGCGATGCTTTCGGGGGACAAGAGGCCGGCGGCGCTGGCGATCGCACACAAAGTCGGCATTCCTGAGAACGAGGTAAGCCTTTCTGCACCCCTGCATGGAGCGTCTGTAGCGCCTGCAGCGACTGTAGCGGCGCTACAGGCCATGGGGCTGCACTGCACATGGCCATGCTGTCGGGAGATAAGCGGCTGGCAGCACTGGCAATCGCTCATAAAGCCATGGCGGGAGGGGTGGGAGCAGCAAGTGACGTGGCATCGGTGGTGCTGATGGGCGACTGAGTGCCTTCCATCCCACGTCCTCTGCTCCCCTCATGCTCTGCTGCTCCTCCCTTCCCTTCCCACCATCAGGTGTATGCAGGGGTAAAGCGGGAGGGATGGGAGCGGCGAGTGACGTGGCATCAGTGGTGCTGATGGGCGACTGTGTGACTTCCTTCCTGCATCAGAGCGTCCACTTCTCCCCTCATTCTCCTCCTCCCTTCCCACCATCAGGTGTACGCAGGTGTGAAACCGGAGGGAAAAGCAGACTTCGTCTCAGCACTTCAGGCGAAAGGAGCGCGGGTGGCGATGGTGGGGGACGGGGTGAATGACGCAGCGGCGCTGGCGCGAGCAGACGTTGGCATAGCCATGGCGGGAGGGGTGGGTGCGGCGAGTGACGTGGCAAATCCTCTTCCCCTGCCTTCCTTCACACATCCTCTCTCATCCCCCTTCCTTCAATTCCCTTCCTACAGGTGTATGAGGGGTGGGAGCAGCAAGTGACGTGGCGTCGGTGGTGCTGATGGGCGTCCGGGTGACTCAAGTGGTGGACGATTATGTGGCTTCCTTCCTCCATCCTCTTCTCCCCTCCTTCTCCTCCCTTCCCCTTCTCCTCCCTTCCCCTCATGCTCCTCCCTTCCCACCATCAGGTGTATGCGGGCGTCAAACCGGAGGGAAAGGCCGACTTCGTCTCAGCACTTCAGGCGATGGTAGGAGACGGGGTGAACGATGCAGCGGCGCTGGCCCGAGCAGACGTGGGGATAGCCATGGCGGGAGGGGTGGGAGCGGCGAGTGACGTGGCAAATCCTCTTTCCCTGCCTTCCTTCACGCATCCTCTCTGATCCTCCTTCCTTCAATTCCCTTCCTACAGGTATATGCGGGCGTGAAACCAGAAGGCAAAGCCGACTTCGTTTCAGCACTTCAGGCGAAAGGAGCGCGGGTGGCGATGGTGGGAGACGGGGTGAACGACGCAGCGGCGCTTGCTCGCGCAGACGTGGGCATAGCCATGGCGGGAGGGGTGGGAGCAGCAAGTGACGTGGCGTCGGTGGTGCTGATGGGCGACCGGGTGACTCAAGTGGTGGACGCCATTCACCTCAGCCGCTGCACCTTCAACAAGATCCGCCAGAACCTCGCCTGGGCTTTCTTGTATAACATGGTGAGACCCTCTGCCACTCCCGCATCCCACCACCCCTTCCTCCCACCCAACCCCCCTCTCTCCCGTTTTGGGAAGATCAAAGGGCCAAGAACAGACCCACGGAGAGGCCTGGTGAGTATGGGGTGGGTGGGGGGGGGCAGTGCTGCTGAGCTGGTGGTGTTGATGGGCGACCGGGTGACTCAACTCAAGTGGTGGACGCCATTCACCTCAGCCGCTGCACCTTCAACAAGATCCGCCAGAACCTTGCATGGGCCTTCTTGTATAACATGGTAGTCCTCCCACACCCACCATCCCCACCGCCCAACCAACCCTCACCTTCTCCCCTTTTCCGAGAATCCAATGACCAAGGACAAGGTGAGAATGGGGTGCTGATGGTGCTGGTCCCTCACTCTGTAAGGGACTGGCGTCTACCGTCTTGTTTTGCATGGAATCTCAGAGAATCAGATGAACAAGGACAAGGACCTTCTCCCCATACCCATGGAGAGGCCTAGAATAATAGGTAAGCCATTGGTCATATCATAAGCCGTAGATTAATAATTATGAATTTGGTGAGAATGGGTTGCTGATGGTGCTGGTCCCTCACTCTGTAAGTGACTGGCGTCTACCGTCTTGTTTTGCATGGAAGATGCTGGAGGAATTGCAGCAGATGCCACCCTGCCATGGCATGTGGATCCAAGTCGTGCGGATTTTTTGCCGACCCGCCCAGCGTTTTTACTCGTCCAACCTATTTACTTTTTGGCATTCCTCCCTCTTGTCCCTCCAGATTGGTCTCCCAGTGGCAGCAGGGGCGCTGCTGCCCTTCACAGGCACCATGCTCACGCCCTCCCTCTGTGGTGCACTCATGGGAGTGAGCTCTCTGGGAGTCATGGCCAACTCCCTCCTGCTGCAGCTCACTTACAAGGCACCTTCACTAAAGAAGACTGATATGGCAGCTCGTGGATTGCCTGGATTCAATATTTGGAAGGATGTGAAGGGGGAGAGTGGAAGGGGGAAGAAGGGCGGTTGTGGTGGTGATGGGGATGGGGATGTGGAGAAGGGCTTGCTCGGTGGTGTTGGACAAGGCGCGTAAGTAATTATTCTACTGATATGGCTATCTTCATTACATATGGAGAAAAATGCAGCACATCATTTCTCAACCAAGCTCTTCATCGCCAGCATGGTTCATTAGCAATGCCTGACCAAACATGGGATGTTCAAACAATAAACTAGTTTTTTTCATCAGACACATTTGAATAACAGCATGAAGGTTTTGGGGTGGTGAACCACAACAGCTGGCGACCATTTGGTTTGCGCCATTTTGGTCGCGGGAAGCGCGGGAAAATCTCTTGTTCCCGCCGAGCCTCGCTGTGTAGCTCGGTTTGGAGCCGCGAAAATGGTCTGGATCTTTCTGTTTCGGTTCGGGAAGACCCGTGGAGCCCAGAAGCAAATTCCAGAAACGCGCGAAACCCAGATCATTGCAAAACCTTGGGAGTCTCCAGGATTTTGTGAGCCAGGTGGATTTTGAAGCAGACTGGTTCTTGTCTTGTGTTGCGTTGCTTGCAATCCAAGCGTTCAGATTTTGAGGACGTGGAGTTAGGGCGTGGAACATTGCAACGAACATGGCTGATGTTCAAACGTATGCGCTGGTTGGACGAATTGCGAACTCTATGTAACGCATTCGCGAGCTCCGCCACACATTTCGAACAAAAGAACCACGCTGTTCGCCAGCCCAAAAGGGTCCTCGAAAGCTACACCCATAACCCTAGAAAAAAAGCGTTGACTATCCTTTCGCTCTTGAGTGTGGCCGTGTAGCACAGAGGGTCGGATAGGTCAGAAGTGTTCAGCAAATGCAGTGAGAAACGCTAAACATTAAATCCCAGCGGGGATGGGTCTGAGAAAGGAAATTTCTAGGTCGGAGACAGAATCTTTTTGAATTTACCCTTGTACTGAAGTCAAATTAGGGTAAGTACTATTTACCAGAATCTTTTAGCGTTACCCTAAAATTTTCGCAAATCGTCCAACCCGCGCATGTGTACGAACATTCACATTGTTCGTTGCAATGTTCCACGCCCTTATGGTCCCATGGATGACTACGGGTTCGGTTGTGGCGAATGTCGCCACAGGCAAAACGGTCTTTACGAGAGATGTTACCAGCGTGGGCGTCGAAATCGTAGCAAGCCAGCATCTCGTTCCCCCACACCCTCAGGGTCTTGAGAATTGTGCGGAGCTGTAGGGAGGAGCCAAGCTTTGGTATAAATTCACTGGAAATCCATTTTTGGTCCTGTTGTTCAGAAGCTGAGTCCTGGTCAGCCTTGTTATTAGTCTTCACCTCGCAACGCCAAGTTCAGTTTGATCTTATCAATCACAAATAAAAACATGGACGGAAAGCTGAGCTTTTGGGGTGAGATCCTTTTTCTGTTATCTCTATTCCGTTCTTCGAAACGCCTAGTTCGGCACATCAGCAAATCAGCCGCTCTCAACTCTGGTCGTGTAGTTGTCTGGCTCGTATTCTTCAATCCCTTAATTACTTCGAACGAAAACGCGTCCAGCGACTCCGTCGTCCCGTACATCCGTCATATTGTCTTTGCCTACAGGCATAGTCAAAACACTTTTTTCCTCTCTCCATTTTTTTCTGTGCTGTGCACCATTGTGCGATCGAATGTCGTGCGACTGAATGCCTTGCGACCGATTGCCTTGCGATTGATTTGTCGTGCGATCGGGTGCGCGATTGGTGCAGGCGTGGAGGTGAAGCCCAAGGAGACCCTCATAGTGGATCCTAATAACGATGCTGATTACCTCCACATCTCCCAGGTACTTACGTCATTACTTAGAGGCTTCTTCTAACTAACAATTTTGTGATGTTTGTTTTTTTTTTTCTGCTTCTTCACTACTGATGTGAGCAAGACAGAAGCTCCAGTTAGGTCTGATTTCTGAACCAGCTTCGGGGGACGGAATATTAGCCGAACTAAGCATGGCTGTACATTTTCTGAGAAACGTGAATGTACCAAGCTTTGTAGCGCCGTCATAGCACGTAAAGGGTAGGCACCATTCCAATTCGCCAACAATATGACCCCGCTGTTAAATCTGGCTCCACTGACCAACAGGTGGCGCTGGGAGCGCAAGCGAAGGACAACGAGAGAGTGGTGGTTCAGCTGAGGGAGGAGATCGACGAGGAAGACGACGACGACGATGAGGATGAGGCTCCTCCGAAGCCGGTGACGGTGGTGCTGGGCACGCTCGTGAAGGGCAAGGTGGACCAGATGAGCCTCGATCTCGTGCTCGACCGGCCGTTCAGCCTCTTCCACTCCGGCTCGCACAGCATTTTCTTCTCTGGGTACAAGACGCGCGACGGCGGCGACGATGAACATTATGGTGAGTGCTGGTAACCGGATTTCGCTCGTGAAGGGAAAGGTCGACCAGATGAGTCTCGATCTCGTGCTCGACTGGCCGTTCAGCCTCTTCCACTCCGGCTCGCACAGCATTTTCTTTTCTGGGTACAAGACTCGCGACGGCAGCGACGATTACGATTATGGTTACTGCTGGTAACCAGGTTTCGCTCATGGGCCTTGATCTCGTGCTCGTTCAGCCTCGTTCTTGTCAGAAGAAGTGGAGGAGTGCTTGGATTACAGTTTGATAAGAAGCATTTGCAAGTGGTTCCACGCATTCTTTCCTGCATGCGTTGCTTCTTTCGTTCCTGCTTATGTCTCTTTTGCTTTCGATCACTTTCTACTGTGCTCTTCCTTTCTGTGACCAGACATGGACGACGAATTTGATGAGGAGGATATTGAGGAGGACGAGGAGGAGGAGGAAGAGGAGGCGGAGGATACACCGCCGCGCAAGAAGGCAGCCGCCGCCGCTGCGGCCAAGGCTGGGAAGAAGGGGGCAAGCCCGAGCAAGGACGCAGAGGTGAGCTTTTGGAATATAGACTTTTCGTTATGCGGCAGCTGCGACCGTTGGGTGACTGTTCGGCGACCGCTAGGTGGCTGTGGCCGAAGCAGCGTCCGCCCCGCGTGAGCTTTAGCCAAAGGGATAAGACTCGTGAAGCAGTTTGGAGATCAGAGGTAGATTCGCGGAAAAGCGGCCCGGGTTATTAACGGCATTAGGTAGATTTGGTGTTGATGGCCTCGCGGTTTCGGGGTTTAGGGGGGGCTTATGGAAAGATTTGGTGTTGTCGATCTCCTTGACAGGATTGGGGTTTTTTCCCGGCTGAATCTCCATGTTCAGGGTTTATCCCCCCCGGCAAGGTTCAAGGTTGAGCGTGCAGATTTCCGTTGTGCGGAATAGGGCGCTGATTTCCCCGGAGAGTTTAGCTTGGCGATTTTCCTGACAATGTCAACTAGTGCGCAGCAGAAGAACTTTAAGATTTATGCCGTTCATTTTTCATATCACTACAGAAGCAGCTACTTTCGCGACAAAACAAAGCGTGATGCGTGCGTAACTTGGCCGCTGAACTTGCTCACCCATCTTCCCCACCCATTTTGTTCACCCCACTCGTTCACTCAACAGATGGCAGACGCGGACGAGCCCGCCAAGCCTGCTGCCGCTGCTGCTAAACCTGCCGAAACACCCGAGGTACGTGTCCCTGCTTCACTACGCGTCTCTGCTTCTCCCTCTGCTGCCATCTGTGTAATCTCCTCCTTGCTTCGCTCTCTTCTCTCTGGACATCTTTCCAACCATCTCTTCTTTTCGTCTCTCTGTTTCGTTTCCCCTTCTGGCGTTTCCCCGAGCCACTTCCCCCCCTCCACCTTCTCGTCGCCGCCCCCCTTCCCTTATATTTTCCCCAGAATTCTATCATTGTCTCGTCCGACTGTCATGTCCGGTCAATTTTGATATTTCGGATTTTAAGATTCCGGGTTTTGGGTTTTTGGGGTTTCCCTCTTAAACTTCTCTTTTCTTCTTTCTTCACACTCCTTTGCTCCCGTGCCATTCCTCCAACACCCTCCACAGGCTGTGGTGAATCAGTTAATCCTAAACCAGTGAATCAAATGTTCTCTTCACCTCCAATCCCCCTCCCCCTCCCCTGGAACACCCGCCCCCCGACGACCCCTCTCTTTTCGCCCCCCCGCAGCCTGCAGCGGGCGCCAAACGCCAAGCGGGTTCCCCCGCAGCCACGCCCTCGCCTGCCCTATCCAAGGCGCAGAAGAAGAAAACCATAGACTCCAAACCAGTGTCACGCTTCCCCCCTTCCCCCCACCCTTCCCCACGCACCCCCCCAGCCTGCAACGGGCGCCAAGCGCCAAGCAGATTCCCCCGCAGCCACACCCTCGCCTGCACTATCCAAGGCGCAGAAGAAGAAGCAACGCAGAGAAGCCGCCGCCGCTGCTGCCGCCGCCGCTGGTGGTGGTGACGCTGCTGCTGCCTCCCCTGCCGCCCCCTCTCCCGCTTCTGCCAAGGAGGTACGCTTTTATTTCCCAGTCAGGGTTTTGTGCTCTCATTGCTCCCCCCTGCTGCTCCCCCCTGCTGCTCCCCCTGCTGCTGCCCCCTCGCTGCTGCCCCCTCGCTGCTGCCCCCTCGCTGCTGCCCCCTCGCTGCTGCCCCCTCGCTGCTGCCCCCTCGCTGCTGCCCCCTCGCTGCTGCCCCCTCGCTGCTGCCCCCTCGCTGCTGCCCCCTCGCTGCTGCCCCCTCGCTGCTGCCCCTCACTGCTGCCCCCCTGCTGCTGCCCCTCACTGCTGCCCCTCACTGCTGCCCCTCACTGCTGCCCCTCACTGCTGCCCCTCACTGCTGCCCCTCATTGCTGCCCCTCACTGCTGCCCCTCACTGCTGCCCCTCACTGCTGCCCCTCACTGCTGCCCCTCACTGCTGCCCCTCACTGCTGCCCCTCACTGCTGCCCCTCACTGCTGCCCCTCACCGCTGCCCCTCACCGCTGCCCCTCACTGATGCCCTCTGCTGCTGCTGGGTTATGGGTAAAGGGTTCGAAACAAGTATAATGGCAGTGCTTGGTCGAGTCTGTTACTTGGGGTTCGGTTCGGGTTGCAGTTAATCCTGTACACACCCTAATAGTCAGCTCCAAAAAATATACGCGTTGTTCCAAACTGCAGGAGTAACATTGGGAGCAGCATGGATGGGAACATCAATGCATTCATGGGCATGGGAACATTGATGCATGCATGGGGATATGGGAACATTGATGCATGCATGGGGATGGGAGCATCAATGCATGCATGGGGATGGGAATATCAATGCATACATGGGGATGGGAGCACCAATGCATGCATGGGGATGGGAGCACCAATGCATGCATGGGGATGGGACCATTCTGGGTGCATGGTGATGCGAGTGCAGTTATGTTGGACCATATATTCCCCCACTGCCCACTCCATTCCCTTCCATGCTACCCGCCCTCACCTCCCACCGCCTCCTCACCTCCCCCTTCCTATCCACTTCTGAAATGCATTCTTACACTGAAAAGTCTCATTCCTTCGTCTCACGTCACACTCTGATCCCCCATTCTTCCTAATCAATATTCATTTTTTCTTCCCCCCCCCCCCCCCCCCCCCCCCCCCCCTTTTTTTTATTTTTTTTTTTTCTCCACTACCTGCTCGAAATTGTTCTTGGTTAGGCTGCCAAGCCTGCCACTCCCGCTGCCAAGCCTGCAGCAGCAACGCCAGTAGCTGCCACACCGCCAGCAGCTGCAGCAGGCACACCAGAGCCTGGCGCCACAGCCACCCCTGCGTCTGGAAAGAAGAAGGCCATCTTCCACTGCACACAGTGCCCCAAGTAAGTGATTGTTTCAATTGTTGCTTAAATGGTGTGGACTTGTGCTCTGACTGACTCAAAACAGCCACACCACCAGCAGCAGCAGCAGCAGCAGCGGGCGCACTGGAGCCTGGGGCTATGGCCACCCCTGCGTCTGGAGGGAAGAAGACCATTTTCCACTGCACAGAGTGCCACAAGTAAGTGATCCCTCAATGCATGCTGCCCGTAGCAATGCATTTTTCACGGCACATACCAGCAGCAGCAGCAGCAGCGGGCACACCAGAACCTGGTGCCACGGCCACCCCTGCGTCTGGAAAGAAGCAGCCCTGTCAGATCAGTGATCACCTTCACTGATCACCTTCAGTGGTGGTTTCCCTGTGTGGCTAGGGCTACATACCCCACTTCTCGTTGATGGCTGCCTTTTTGAGTCGACCCATAAGTGACTTATGAGTCGACTCAAAAGTTCCCTTTATATAGTGGTTTTCCTGTGTGGCTAGGGCTACCTACCCCGCTGCTTGGTGATGGCTGCCTTCTATATGCTGCTGTAGTTGGCTTATGCCTGATTTTTTCATATCTGCAGCATTTTCTCACCCTTGCCTTGCTTGTGTTGCTTTTTTCTTTCTTTCTTTCTTTCTTTTGCCAACAGGAAGTTCAACGCCGAGGCGTTTTTGAAGAAGCACATTGAGACCAAGCATTCTGCTTAAAACAGCGAAACAAAACGATTCTTGATCTACCAAGGGCTCGACGTTTGTGCATTGGTGGAATTTAGAGTAGGCCACATTGAAGCATTGTCGTTGCAAAGTGCTGTGGCATTTTTGTTCATTAGTTGTGTCTGACTGACATGGTCCAAGATATTTGAGAGTGGCTTCAGGTTGCAAACCAATCTCTGTAGTATTGTCATCCAGGGGTTGATCTGTATGCAGTGTGGTCATGCGCTGCCTAAATCAGGTCTCTTGTTTTCAAGCTGGCATAAACATCATGTTACCACATTGTACCGTATCACCCCGGATATAAGCGCAGGCCTATTAAAAGCGCATGCGCTTCTATCTGGAGCAATGCGCTTATGGCCGATCCTCAATTATAAGCGCACCCCCTTAAAAAACATGATTTATTATAAGCGCATGTTAGTTTTAAATTGAAAAACTGTCAAATTTCTGTAACGAAGTTCACTTTAGAAGGTGATGAGTTGAAAATCAGATTTCCTTCGCATTCAAACCCTTCACAGGCTGCGCGTCCAGTCAGCAAGTGCTGTCAGCAGCTCCTAGTGACTCATTTTGACTGTATGTGCTGGCAGGGAATCTTTCCCTGCCAAGTAGCGAGAGTTTTTCACCCACAACCCTGTTTCAAATCGACTCGATTGGGTGCGCAATGACAGGAACTACATTTTCGTGCTAGTAGTTTACAAATGTATATTTGTTATTTTATAAGCGCATGCGCTTATATTTGTTACTCAATTATAAGCGCACCCCCCTGAAAAATCATGTTTTATTATAAGCGCAGGTGCGCTTATATCCGGGGTTATACGGTACTAGAATCGGCTCTTTGCTCTGGTTGAAGCAATGAATTGTTCACTTCCAAATATAAATGGTCAGCTTAGGCCACACTTGGTAATTATGCTTTATTTCTCACACTGAATGCTCTACAGTTCAGACACAGTAATGCTTGTCTATAAGCACGCCCTATTGTAGCACTCGAACCTTCTAGCAATCTCGTCAATTGACGCTGAGCTGGCACAGTGACATGTTCACCACGCCGAATCTATGTCCTTTCTAGAAAACGATCTGGCACATTTTTTTGATGCCACGTGTACAATCTGCCTTTTTCTCGGTCCACCTGGAAAGCCTTGGGAATGCCGCAAGCACATCCCACATTCTACCCCGAGCCGACATCATGCATTCGGTATACGGCGGTGACCCCCACTGCGCGTTCCAATTTCGCTCCGCTCGCCAGTTCTTCCCGCAGCACATCACATTTCCCCCCACTTTCGGCTTGATCCGTTCCGCCAGCCACGGTTCGCTTTCCGCCTGCATCTCCGCCTACCCCCGCCTGAAACCCAGGGGAAACTCCAGCGGCTTTGGAGATAAAATATCGTCAGCTGGATCATTCTCCCTTGGCTGCCTGTGCGCTTTCTTGCTGCTCTCAAGCATAGCTTGCTCGCTGATCACAGTTTTGCTCCCATCTGCCTCAGAACTGTGCGAGCTTCGCATCGCTTCGCAGCGAGCCCCGGAGGGTGTTTCGTTTTGATGCTCTCTCGTGCGACCGCCGCACGCCGACTCCTGCGTTCCGCGCACCGCGCTCTCCCTCCGCTTTCAGATCTTCCAGCCATGGCGGCTCTTCAGATGAACGCCGCGTCGCTCTCGAGCGCGCCGCGCGCGCTGCTGGCGAAGGATGCCTCGTCTAAGGCTGCGGTGCGTGATTCTCTGTCCGTCATCGTTGCAATTTATGGCTATGCCGTGCCAAACACCTGCACCATTTTCTGAAGAAGATAATTTTTCTTGTTATGCTTGAGCCAACGATTGGTCATTCAGATGTCCTAAATCCCTCACTCTCCGTTCCTCCTTTCCGTCCTCCCGCCTTCCCGAGCAGTCGACCGCATCTGCACCGTCCATCTCGTGGCGCTCCTTCTCCTCCGGCAACCCCGCTCTTCTTGCCCGCCTCTCCCGTTCGGCCGCTCATGCCACGTCAGCATCGCAGCGTGCCGGCCAGAAGCCTGCCACGTGGAGCCCTGTCCGATGCAACGCCACAACGACAGAGGCCCCCGCTTCTGAGACCTTCACGTACCAGGCCGAGGTGAGTGGAATTCCACGAATCTATGGATGGATGATGCGATTTGGTCGTGGTTTGTTTGGAATTTCCACCATCACAACGCAGATCGAATTTGAGTGCGAAAGATCCCTGATCTGGCCTACTTCGTCGTAAGAAACGACACTTTTAAAACTCTATCTGTCCGCAACATTCAAATGGTTCTGTGTTCATCGGTTCACGTGTTTCTGTCCACGTGTTTCTGTCCACGTGTCCGTGTGCGCGCAGGTGAATCGGCTCATGGATCTCATCGTGCACTCTCTCTACAGCCACCGCGAGGTCTTCCTTCGCGAGCTCGTCAGGTACGATGTGATTAGCTTAGCAGGGTGCTTCTGAGATTTCTTAAAAGTATCCTGTAGGCTTGAAGACTCATCGTGCACTCCCTCTACAGCCACCGCGAGGTCTTCCTTCGCGAGCTCGTCAGGTAGGAATCGGCTAACCGGTCGTTTTCAGGAATTATCTAAAAAAACACCTTGCAACTTCTGGATCGCATCCAGCACTCTCTACAGCTATCGCGATGTCTCCTTTTCCCCACCGCTCCCTGTCGCTCAAGGCTGAGTCGATTACGAGGCTGATTTTTATACCTTTCGCGTATCTCCTCCCGCCCTTTTCCCACCGCTTCCCTTGTTCTTCGACAGCAATGCGAGCGACGCGTGGACAAGCTGCGGTTCCTGTCGGTGACGGATCCCTCGCTCATGGTTGAGCCGATTCTGAGGCCTTGTTTTTGTTGTGCCATATCGCGTATTTCCTCCCACCCCTCCCCGCCTCTTTCCACTCCTTTACTGCTACCAGCAATGCGAGCGATGCGTTGGACAAGCTTCGGTTCCTGTCAGTGACGGATCCCTCGCTCATGGCGGCGGACGCGGAGCTCGCCATCCGCATCAAGGCGGACCCCGCTGCCGGCACCATCACCATCACGTGAGTGCGGTGCTGTGGAGTGTGGTGCGGTGTCGTGCGGTTGTTAGTGTTGTGCTGGTGTGTGTTGTGGTATGGTGCGGTGGAGTGTGATGACTTCTGAGTCGACTCAAAAGGCGGACGCGAAGCTCGCCATTCGCATCATGGCGGACCCCGCCGCCGGCACCATCACCATCACGTGTGTGCGGTGCGCTGGAGTATAGTGTGGTGCAAAGTGGTGTGCTGTGCTGTGCTGTGCTCTGCTGTGCTGTGCTTGCTCGTCACTGCTGTGCTATTGTACTATCTCCGTCACGTAGTGCACGCAATAAACCTCCTTAGAACCAAGATGGTACATCTCACTCACCTCCCTCGCCGCCCTTCTCCTCTCACTCGTTTCTTTCTCTCTGCCCGGACCTCTCCCCTTCCAATCTACAACGATACAGACATTGGCATGATCAAAGAGGAGCTGATGGTCTCTCTGGGGGATATCGCCTTCGTGTCCCCCTCTCACTCGTTTCCTTACCCCTTTCTCCACTCTGCCTTTACTCGTCCTGCTCCCCTTATGCCTATACAGAGATACGGGCATCGGCATGACCAAGGAGGAGCTGATGGACTCGCTGGGGACCATCGCGCAGAGTGGCACCGCCAAGTTCGTGCAGGCCATCAAGGTAAACACGGGGAGATTGTAACGAGGACAGGCTTGTGATACAGATGCCTCTTATTCGGTGCTGAGAGCATGGGAAAGGTGGGAACTTTATTATTTGCTGTAGGTCTGCCAGTGTTGTGGGCCAAAAGCAGTTTTCGTGAATTTCCACCCATTCGGATCCTCCTCCTTTCCCCCAACAACAACAACAGGAGAAGCAGGAGAAGGAGGGCGAGGTGGACAGCAACCTGATCGGGCAGTTCGGCGTGGGATTCTACTCCGCCTTCCTGGTGGCGGATCGAGTCACAGTGTGCACCAAGAGCGCCAAGGGCGGCAAGCAGTGGGTGTGGGAGGCGGAGGCGGATCAGAGCACGTACACCATTCGCGAGGACGATGGAGAGCAGCTTGCGCGTGGCACGTCCATTCAGCTGCACCTTAAGGTGGGTGGCCAGGGTTTGTGGGGTCACGGGGCTCAGGGTTTAGGGCAAGGAGCAGGTTCAGGGTTTCGGGTGTGGGAGGCGGAGGCGGATCAGAGCGCGTACACCATCCGCGAGGACGATGGAGAGCAGCTTGCTCGTGGCACGTCCATTCAGCTGCATCTCAAGGTGAGAGGCTTGGCTATGGGTTTAGGGAGTAAGGTTCAGTGTGAGGCAGGGAGTGAGTAGCAGCGGGTGTGGGAGGCGGAGGCGGACCAGAGCGCGTACACGGGAGTACTCAGACCCATCACGCCTGGCGAGCCTCGTGAAGAACTACTCTTAGTTCATCGGGTTCCCCAACCACTACAACCCTGAACCTACGTTCTGCCCCTGGACTCCTTCCCCCCCCCCTTTGGTGACCACAGGACGAAAAGAAGGCAGAGTATTTTGACCCTACGTGCCTGGCGAGCCTCGTGAAGAACTACTCGCAGTTGATCAATATTGAAGTCCCCGCATCACCTCTACCCTCCACTCCCCACTTTTTTCCCGCCTCTCCTCCTCGACCCCATTCCTGGTGTGAGTGCAGGACGACCAGAAGGCGGAGTACTCAGATCCCGCGCGCCTGGCGAGTCTGGTGAAGAACTACTCGCAGTTCATCGGCTTCCCCATCTACATGTGGCAGGAGCAGACGCGCTCCAAGGAGGTGAGGGTGGGGGCGGGTTGGGGTTGGGTTTAAGGGGGTCGGGTTTAAGCGGGCTGGGTGAATGGGATTAGAGTACCTCCCTACTCGCAGTTCATCGGGTTCCTTATCTACATGTGGCAGGAGCAGATGCTCTCCAAGGAGGTGAGGGTTAAGTTCATTAGGGGTTCACAGTCCTGGTGCAGAGTCTTTGGTGTTGGCTCTATGGGTCGATGTGCCCAGTACTCGTGGTGCATTGACTTCTGCACCTGCATGTGCCTAGGCCAGAAACGATACAAGGAGCTGCAGGAGTAGGGTTACAGGTTGTGTGTTTTCAGTTGTGAGGTAGCGAGTTTGGGCGTTCCTCCTCATCTCTCTCCTCTTTTATTTTCCTCATCCTCTCTCTCTAATTCCCAGGAGGAGTACGAGGAGGCGGCCAAGGAGGAGGGAGAGCCTCCAGTGAAGAAGACTCGCACGGTTCAGGAGAAGTACTTTGACTGGGTGCTGGAGAACGACACCAAGCCCATCTGGGTGAGTCAGTCAACGCTGGTCAACGCTGGTCAGTGCCTCTGTCAATTTTTGTCGTTTGAATTAGCCTCTTGAATTCAGTAGAAAGAAGCTCGCTCCCCTCTAGCAAGCGTAGTACAACGAGTTCTTCAAACACCTTTACAGAATTCCTGGACCCGCTGGCGCACACGCACTTCCCTGCAACATCTCACTGACTGACACTCTCTTTACCCTGTTTCCTTCACTCCCTCTCCCTCTGCAGGTGCGCGCTCCGAAAGAAGTTGACCAAGCGGAGTACAACGAGTTCTTCAAGAACACGTTCAAGGAATTCCTTGACCCGCTCGCCCACACGCACTTCTCCACGGAGGGCGAGATCGAGTTCAAGTCACTGCTCTACGTGCCCGGCATGGCCCGCTGGCGCACTTTTCAACCTCTCTTTCCTGGCCTCCTCCCTCTGCTCACCTCCTCTCGCTCTATCCCCTCTCCCCCTCCATACCATACCCCTGCAGGTTCGCACACCCAAGGAGGTGGAGCAAGCAGAATATAACGAGTTCTTCAAGAACACGTTTAAGGAATTTCTTGATCCACTCGCCCACACGCACTTCTCAATGGAGGGCGAGATCGAGTTCAAGTCGCTGCTCTACGTGCCCGGCATTACACTGACACTCTTCCCCCAACCCCTTGCTTCCCCCAACCCCTTGCTTCCCCCAACCCCTTGCTTCCCCCAACCCCTTGCTTCCCCCAACCCCTTGCTTCCCCCAACCCCTTGCTTCCCCCAACCCCTTGCTTCCCCCAACCCCTTGCTTCCCCCAACCCCTTGCTTCCCCCAACCCCTTGCTTCCCCCAACCCCTTGCTTCCCCCAACCCCTTGCTTCCCCCAACCCCTTGCTTCCCCCAACCCCTTGCTTCCCCCAACCCCTTGCTTCCCCCAACCCCTTGCTTCCCCCAACCCCTTGCTTCCCCCAACCCCTTGCTTCCCCCAACCCCTTGCTTCCCCCAACCCCTTGCTTCCCCCAACCCCTTGCTTCCCCCAACCCCTTGCTTCCCCCAACCCCTTGCTTCCCCCAACCCCTTGCTTCCCCCAACCCCTTGCTTCCCCCAACCCCTTGCTTCCCCCAACCCCTTGCTTCCCCCAACCCCTTGCTTCCCCCAACCCCTTGCTTCCCCCAACCCCTTGCTTCCCCCAACCCCTTGCTTCCCCCAACCCCTTGCTTCCCCCAACCCCTTGCTTCCCCCAACCCCTTGCTTCCCCCAACCCCTTGCTTCCCCCAACCCCTTGCTTCCCCCAACCCCTTGCTTCCCCCAACCCCTTGCTTCCCCCAACCCCTTGCTTCCCCCAACCCCTTGCTTCCCCCAACCCCTTGCTTCCCCCAACCCCTTGCTTCCCCCAACCCCTTGCTTCCCCCAACCCCTTGCTTCCCCCAACCCCTTGCTTCCCCCAACCCCTTGCTTCCCCCAACCCCTTGCTTCCCCCAACCCCTTGCTTCCCCCAACCCCTTGCTTCCCCCAACCCCTTGCTTCCCCCAACCCCTTGCTTCCCCCAACCCCTTGCTTCCCCCAACCCCTTGCTTCCCCCAACCCCTTGCTTCCCCCAACCCCTTGCTTCCCCCAACCCCTTGCTTCCCCCAACCCCTTGCTTCCCCCAACCCCTTGCTTCCCCCAACCCCTTGCTTCCCCCAACCCCTTGCTTCCCCCAACCCCTTGCTTCCCCCAACCCCTTGCTTCCCCCAACCCCTTGCTTCCCCCAACCCCTTGCTTCCCCCAACCCCTTGCTTCCCCCAACCCCTTGCTTCCCCCAACCCCTTGCTTCCCCCAACCCCTTGCTTCCCCCAACCCCTTGCTTCCCCCAACCCCTTGCTTCCCCCAACCCCTTGCTTCCCCCAACCCCTTGCTTCCCCCAACCCCTTGCTTCCCCCAACCCCTTGCTTCCCCCAACCCCTTGCTTCCCCCAACCCCTTGCTTCCCCCAACCCCTTGCTTCCCCCAACCCCTTGCTTCCCCCAACCCCTTGCTTCCCCCAACCCCTTGCTTCCCCCAACCCCTTGCTTCCCCCAACCCCTTGCTTCCCCCAACCCCTTGCTTCCCCCAACCCCTTGCTTCCCCCAACCCCTTGCTTCCCCCAACCCCTTGCTTCCCCCAACCCCTTGCTTCCCCCAACCCCTTGCTTCCCCCAACCCCTTGCTTCCCCCAACCCCTTGCTTCCCCCAACCCCTTGCTTCCCCCAACCCCTTGCTTCCCCCAACCCCTTGCTTCCCCCAACCCCTTGCTTCCCCCAACCCCTTGCTTCCCCCAACCCCTTGCTTCCCCCAACCCCTTGCTTCCCCCAACCCCTTGCTTCCCCCAACCCCTTGCTTCCCCCAACCCCTTGCTTCCCCCAACCCCTTGCTTCCCCCAACCCCTTGCTTCCCCCAACCCCTTGCTTCCCCCAACCCCTTGCTTCCCCCAACCCCTTGCTTCCCCCAACCCCTTGCTTCCCCCAACCCCTTGCTTCCCCCAACCCCTTGCTTCCCCCAACCCCTTGCTTCCCCCAACCCCTTGCTTCCCCCAACCCCTTGCTTCCCCCAACCCCTTGCTTCCCCCAACCCCTTGCTTCCCCCAACCCCTTGCTTCCCCCAACCCCTTGCTTCCCCCAACCCCTTGCTTCCCCCAACCCCTTGCTTCCCCCAACCCCTTGCTTCCCCCAACCCCTTGCTTCCCCCAACCCCTTGCTTCCCCCAACCCCTTGCTTCCCCCAACCCCTTGCTTCCCCCAACCCCTTGCTTCCCCCAACCCCTTGCTTCCCCCAACCCCTTGCTTCCCCCAACCCCTTGCTTCCCCCAACCCCTTGCTTCCCCCAACCCCTTGCTTCCCCCAACCCCTTGCTTCCCCCAACCCCTTGCTTCCCCCAACCCCTTGCTTCCCCCAACCCCTTGCTTCCCCCAACCCCTTGCTTCCCCCAACCCCTTGCTTCCCCCAACCCCTTGCTTCCCCCAACCCCTTGCTTCCCCCAACCCCTTGCTTCCCCCAACCCCTTGCTTCCCCCAACCCCTTGCTTCCCCCAACCCCTTGCTTCCCCCAACCCCTTGCTTCCCCCAACCCCTTGCTTCCCCCAACCCCTTGCTTCCCCCAACCCCTTGCTTCCCCCAACCCCTTGCTTCCCCCAACCCCTTGCTTCCCCCAACCCCTTGCTTCCCCCAACCCCTTGCTTCCCCCAACCCCTTGCTTCCCCCAACCCCTTGCTTCCCCCAACCCCTTGCTTCCCCCAACCCCTTGCTTCCCCCAACCCCTTGCTTCCCCCAACCCCTTGCTTCCCCCAACCCCTTGCTTCCCCCAACCCCTTGCTTCCCCCAACCCCTTGCTTCCCCCAACCCCTTGCTTCCCCCAACCCCTTGCTTCCCCCAACCCCTTGCTTCCCCCAACCCCTTGCTTCCCCCAACCCCTTGCTTCCCCCAACCCCTTGCTTCCCCCAACCCCTTGCTTCCCCCAACCCCTTGCTTCCCCCAACCCCTTGCTTCCCCCAACCCCTTGCTTCCCCCAACCCCTTGCTTCCCCCAACCCCTTGCTTCCCCCAACCCCTTGCTTCCCCCAACCCCTTGCTTCCCCCAACCCCTTGCTTCCCCCAACCCCTTGCTTCCCCCAACCCCTTGCTTCCCCCAACCCTTGCTTCCCCCAACCCCTTGCTTCCCCCAACCCCTTGCTTCCCCCAACCCCTTGCTTCCCCCAACCCCTTGCTTCCCCCAACCCCTTGCTTCCCCCAACCCCTTGCTTCCCCCAACCCCTTGCTTCCCCCAACCCCTTGCTTCCCCCAACCCCTTGCTTCCCCCAACCCCTTGCTTCCCCCAACCCCTTGCTTCCCCCAACCCCTTGCTTCCCCCAACCCCTTGCTTCCCCCAACCCCTTGCTTCCCCCAACCCCTTGCTTCCCCCAACCCCTTGCTTCCCCCAACCCCTTGCTTCCCCCAACCCCTTGCTTCCCCCAACCCCTTGCTTCCCCCAACCCCTTGCTTCCCCCAACCCCTTGCTTCCCCCAACCCCTTGCTTCCCCCAACCCCTTGCTTCCCCCAACCCCTTGCTTCCCCCAACCCCTTGCTTCCCCCAACCCCTTGCTTCCCCCAACCCCTTGCTTCCCCCAACCCCTTGCTTCCCCCAACCCCTTGCTTCCCCCAACCCCTTGCTTCCCCCAACCCCTTGCTTCCCCCAACCCCTTGCTTCCCCCAACCCCTTGCTTCCCCCAACCCCTTGCTTCCCCCAACCCCTTGCTTCCCCCAACCCCTTGCTTCCCCCAACCCCTTGCTTCCCCCAACCCCTTGCTTCCCCCAACCCCTTGCTTCCCCCAACCCCTTGCTTCCCCCAACCCCTTGCTTCCCCCAACCCCTTGCTTCCCCCAACCCCTTGCTTCCCCCAACCCCTTGCTTCCCCCAACCCCTTGCTTCCCCCAACCCCTTGCTTCCCCCAACCCCTTGCTTCCCCCAACCCCTTGCTTCCCCCAACCCCTTGCTTCCCCCAACCCCTTGCTTCCCCCAACCCCTTGCTTCCCCCAACCCCTTGCTTCCCCCAACCCCTTGCTTCCCCCAACCCCTTGCTTCCCCCAACCCCTTGCTTCCCCCAACCCCTTGCTTCCCCCAACCCCTTGCTTCCCCCAACCCCTTGCTTCCCCCAACCCCTTGCTTCCCCCAACCCCTTGCTTCCCCCAACCCCTTGCTTCCCCCAACCCCTTGCTTCCCCCAACCCCTTGCTTCCCCCAACCCCTTGCTTCCCCCAACCCCTTGCTTCCCCCAACCCCTTGCTTCCCCCAACCCCTTGCTTCCCCCAACCCCTTGCTTCCCCCAACCCCTTGCTTCCCCCAACCCCTTGCTTCCCCCAACCCCTTGCTTCCCCCAACCCCTTGCTTCCCCCAACCCCTTGCTTCCCCCAACCCCTTGCTTCCCCCAACCCCTTGCTTCCCCCAACCCCTTGCTTCCCCCAACCCCTTGCTTCCCCCAACCCCTTGCTTCCCCCAACCCCTTTCTTCCCCCAACCCCTTGCTTCCCCCAACCCCTTTCTTCCCCCAACCCCTTGCTTCCCCCAACCCCTTGCTTCCCCAACCCCTTGCTTCCCCCAACCCCTTGCTTCCCCCAACCCCTTGCTTCCCCCAACCCCTTGCTTCCCCCAACCCCTTGCTTCCCCCAACCCCTTGCTTCCCCCAACCCCTTTCTTCCCCCAACCCCTTGCTTCCCCCAACCCCTTTCTTCCCCCAACCCCTTTCTTCCCCCAACCCCTTGCTTCCCCCAACCCCTTGCTTCCCCCAACCCCTTGCTTCCCCCAACCCCTTTCTTCCCCCAACCCCTTGCTTCCCCCAACTCCTTGCTTCCCCCAACCCCTTGCATCAGGTGCGCGCCCCCAAGGAGGTGGAGCAGGCGGAGTACAACGAGTTCTTCAAAAATACGTTCAAGGAATTTCTGGATCCGCTGGCCCACACGCACTTCTCAACGGAGGGCGAGATCGAGTTCAAGTCGCTGCTCTACGTGCCCGGCATGGCGCCCTTTGACGCCAACGACATGTTCTCCGGGAAGACCAGGAACATCCGGCTTTATGTGAAGCGCGTCTTCATCTCCGACCAGTTTGATGGCGAGCTGGTGAGTTCAAGGGGGTCCGGGGTTCAGGGTTCTGGGTTCTGGAACTCCAGAGCTTTCAGAGATGCTGCTCTACGTGCCCGGCATGGCGCCCTTTGACGCCAACGACATGTTCTCAGGGAAGACCAGGAACATCCGGCTTTATGTCAAAAGGGTTTTCATCTCCGACCAGTTCGACGGCGAGCTGGTGAGTAGAGGGTTCGGGGCTTGGGGTACATAGGTTGAAGGTGGGCATGGCGCCCTTTGACGCCAACGACATGTTCTCGGGGAAGACGAGAAATATTAGGCTCTATGTCAAGAGGGTTTTCATCTCCGACCAGTTTGATGGGGAGCTGGTGAGTTCAATGGGGTCCGGGGTTCAGGGTTGGTAGACGGGTTCAAGTCGCTGCTCTACATGCCGAGCAGCGACTACACCACCTTCTGGCAGAGCTTCGGACGGTTTTTGAAGCTCGGGTGCAACATGGTGGTTTTTAAGAACTTCAACCCCCCTGCACCCCCTTCGAACCAGCTTGGCTCCTCCTCGTGCCCTTTCCCCCTGCACTGTCCCCCCTCTTTTGCAGCTCCCGCGCTACATGGCCTTCATCAAGGGAGTGGTCGATTCGAATGATCTCCCTCTCAACGTCTCCCGCGAGATCCTGCAAGAATCTCGAATCGTGCGCATCATGCGCAAGCGCCTCGTGCGCAAGGTGTTTGACATGCTGGATGACATCGCCGCTCGGAAAGATTCGGATGGCAAGCCGAGCAGCGACTACACCACCTTCTGGCAGAGCTTCGGGCGGAACGTCAAGCTCGGGTGCATCGAGGATTCCGGAAACCACAAGCGCCTCGCTCCACTCCTGCGCTTCTTCTCTTCAGCCTCCGAGGATGAACTGATTTCGCTCGAGGATTATACGGGCAGGATGAAGGACGGGCAGAAGGAGATTTACTACATTGCCGCGGACACGGTTCGGAGCGCGAAGTCCGCGCCGTTTTTGGAGAAGCTGAACCAGAAGGGGCTAGAAGTGCTCTTCCTGGTGGAGCCCATCGACGAGGTTGCGGTTACCACGTTACAGAGTTACAAGGATCTTAAGTTCGTGGATATTTCCAAGGAGGATCTGGACTTGGGGGATGAGGACGAGGCGAGCAAGCGGGAGCAGGAGAAGGAGTTTCAGGGCGTGTGTGATTGGATGAAGGGGGTTCTGGGAGACAAGGTGGCCAAGGTGCAGGTGTCTCAGCGCATTGCTTCTTCCCCCTGTGTGCTGGTGGCTGGGAAATTCGGCTGGTCGGCTAATATGGAACGGTGAGTGAAACAGCAGGTTCAATTACACCTCAAGAGAGTTCAGGTGAAAGGTGAGCAAGTGCAGGTGAAAGGTGAGCAAGTGCAGGTGAAAGGTGAGCAAGTGCAGGTGAAAGGTGAGCAAGCCGGAGCAGGAGAAGGAGTTTCAGGGCGTGTGTGACTGGATGAAGGGGGTGCTGGGAGACAAGGTGGCCAAAGTGCAGGTGTCTCAGCGCATTGCTTCTTCCCCCTGCGTGCTGGTGGCTGGGAAATTCGGCTGGTCTGCTAATATGGAACGGTGAGTCAAGCAGAGTCAAGGGGAGCCAAGCAGTTAAAGAGAGTCAATGGCAGGAGAAGGAGTTTCAGGGCGTGTGTGACTGGATGAAGGGGGTGCTGGGGGACAAGGTGGCTAAAGTGCAGGTGTCTCGGCGCATTGCCTCCTCTCCCTGCGTGCTGGTCGCTGGCAAGTTCGGCTGGTCTGCCAACATGAAACGGTGAGTTAGAGAGAGGATCAAGGGAGAGTCATACTGAGTCAAAGGAATCAAACACGGTCAATTAGAGTAAAGGAGAATATAGGGAGTCTAGGGAAGGGGGTCACAAGGTGGCCATGGTGCAGGTTTTTCAGCGAGTTGCTAGTTCCCCCTGCGTGCTGGTCGCTGGGAAGTTCGGCTGGTCTGCCAACATGGAACGGTGAGTTCAACAGTCACGCAGAATCAGTGTGATTCAGTGAGAATCAATGTCAGTCGAAGCAGTCGAGGGTAGGGATAAGGTAGTCAACATAACTTTCTAGAATAATTCAAAAGTATGATGTCAAGGTGGTCAAGGTGCAAGGTCTAAATTACCCTTCCGTTGTCCCTGCTCCTCTTACCTTTCCCCCCACATGCAGCATCATGAAGGCGCAGACGATGGGTGACCTTCAGCAGGCAGAGTACATGAGGGGGAGGAGGATTCTGGAGATCAATGCATGTGCCATTGCTTTCCACCCCTTCCTTCCTCTCCTTCCCCTGCTCCTCCCACACATGCAGCATCATGAAGGCACAGACGATGGGCGACCCCCAGCAGGCGGAGTTCATGAGGGGCAGGAGGATTCTGGAGATAAACGCTGACCATCCGATCATCAAGGACCTCAAGGTGAGACTCCATCTGGGCCGTTCTTTGTGATTGGGAAAACCTCGGTGTTTTTGCACACGTATGTGTGTTTTTTTAACACTGAACCTTGGGTTTCGGGTTTATATGGCATCCTAACATCATATCCTCTGCATTCACTACTTTTTCTTCCCCTTCTTCCTTCCCCCTCCCCCCCTGCAGGTGCAGAGCAGTGTGGCACCGGATAGTCCCAAGGCGAGGCAGCTGGTGGATCTGCTATATGAGACTGCGCACATTGCCTCGGGATTCCCGGTAAGTGGACCGGACTTGCAAGATGGTGTGACGACGGGATGTTCGTATGTTGGTGATGGTGTCACATTGGCATGCAGGTTCTTTGTTGTGTGGGTTTCTTCTGTGTGCCTTGTTTAGTACATGCATGGGTTTCGTTGGCACACACTCACCAGTTGTCATAATCACCCATTTTCCACCCTCTTGTCTTTGACCATTACTTTTCCACCAGCCGGAGAACCCTGCTGAGTTTGGCTCGCGCGTGTACGAGATGATGGCTCTTGCCACCCCTCAAGCTGCTGCTGCCGGCCCTGCTTCACCATCCTCGTCAAGCGCTCCGGTACAACCTGAAGTTGTGGAGGCCTCTGAAGTGCGCACGGAGGGTGACGCATGGAAGTGAAACAATGAAGTATCTGTAGTTAGAAGAGCATGATGATGCTGACGATAGAGAATTTAGATCTGATATATGGGATGGAACATTTGTGCCAACTTGTTGCCATGTGTGTTGTATGTGAGCTGGAACTGATCATTTGACATCTAGTTTGCACTCCACGCTAGTTGACAATACTGATGTGGATGTATTCCAGAGAACAAAGCGACCGTCAAGCGAAGCATTCTGAATCGGAATCAGCATGATCCACGTCATGTGTTCGCCATTCCTCGCGGGCTCCAGCCCAGCAATCTCCCCAAGCTGACGACGAGATGCGTGGTAGATCTCCCGACACTCGATCACCGCAAAACGGCTTGTTACACCGAAATGATGGCGGACTTCGCTGACGTGAATGTGAAATATTTGACGTCGAATTTGACGAGTCTCCGTTTGAATTGACGCTACTTGCGGTGATCTCCAGGTCAGTTTGGCTTTGCTTGGCGTATGTTCGGTAGGCCAAACAGAAATAGCTCACGTGCCAGTCAACTGAACACGGGTGGATGGCTATGATGTGGCATCAGGCTGACATGGCTATTGCACTTCCCCTGGGCTTCTGCGCCTCTGGTAACCACCTCCAACCCACATACCTAGGGTCGAGACGAGAGGTTGTCTGAACGAGCCGCATCGCAGTAGTAGTTCCTGCAATGCGACACGCTGGCGCTCATCCCCCAATGACCCTTTCCCGCTCAGCCGAAGAGCTTTCCGTGAATGCCGATCCATTGGGAATTTGGGATGGCCTCTCCTCTCCTCCACCACGGTCCCCCTGATTGTCCCTCGTGTGGAAACCAGTTCTCCTTCTAGATTGGCCACTAAACCCCGAGTACCGAATTACAGCCAATCACAGTTAGACCTACTATCACCTCCACGATCAGCTCTACATAACAAATCCCTAAGCCTGCCGAGTCGCGGCAGACCCATTTAGATCAATTCCATCGCCACTTACGAAAACTGACTTCCGCTTCCCATCCTCGTGTCTCCGCAACTTGTAGTTCGATTCTCCGACGCTTACTCAGATTAGTTTGTCGAAAACCCACGCTTAGATCTGGCGGGAAAGTGATAAGGACATTGACGATTGGACGATATTCATCCCTTGTAAGATCATACTCTCCCACGACTATCCCTAGACTTCAGCCGAACATCAGATCCGTACCGTTCCGAGCAAGCGTGACAAACGACGTAAGCCAAGCCAGTGGTGCATTTTCAGAGCGCGACGCGACGCATTTCTCGTGGCCCTCTCTGACAGTATCCGTCAGCTTCCAGCGAGCGCAGCGAGTGAGTTTCGCGGTTCGCGTGTACCAGTAGCACTTCCTCTTGCGCCATGATCGCAACAGCAACAGCCGTTGCGAAACGGCTGAACCGTGACGTAACTGATGACTATACTCGTGAGGAATTCGCCGCACGTATTCTCAGCAGAGACTTCTATTTGCAAAGCTTTCTGTCCGTAGTTTATCATCGTGATTACGAGTCCGTAAAAAAAGCCAAGTGTGAGTCTCTTGCTAAGAGCACTGCGTGACCTATTGACCGAACTTCGTGTCTGACTGTTGCTTTTCGCCATGTCTCCAGCTATCATCGTCGCAAGCCCAAGCATCATGACTCTCTCACAAGTCGGCGTGCGTCCCCCAGTCGCAACCGCCACGCTACACTCACCGTCCGCCAAAACCGCCGTACGCGCCACGTCAGCCAAATCCACGTCATCAGCAAACGTGTGCGCAGTCAGCGCGTCGGCAATCCCTAAGCCGCTGGAATGGCTCGAGGTCTCTGGCAGCCCGTTCGAGCGCGGCTGTGCGATCGGCGTGCGATTCGGCGACAAGATCCGCGACCGCGTCGCCAAGGCTCCGTTCCTGCACGACGACATGATTCCGTTCGCACGGACGGGCGAAGGAGCTTGGCTGCTGGAAATGTTTTCCGAGTCCAATAAGTGAGCCCTTTTCCTGACTCAGAACCGTCACCGTCTGTCCTGTTCCCCCCTTCCTCTTCCCAATATTCGGGAGTACTGGGATAAGTACTTTGAATCGACTCATGCACCTGTCTGTCCTGTCTCCTTCCTCTCTCCCCCCCTCCCCCCTCTCCGTTTCCACCACCGCCACGGCAGGGCGCTATACCCGGAGTACTGGGAGGAGCTCCGAGGCATGGCGGCCGGCAGCTGCGTTCCCTTTGACGAGGTGAGCGGATGCTGTTGAGCCGCCCTGTTTGGCGAGGTGAATTGTGGTCGAGTCTACGCGTGCTGCGACTTTTGAGTCGACTCAAAGCCGCCTTGTTTGGCGAGGTGAATTGTGGTCGAGTCTACGCGTGCTGTGCCTCAAACAGCTGAACTGTCCCGGTTTTGGGATGCCTCAAGCGGAATCTGGGTCAGCTGCGCTGCGTCTGATGAGAATAGATTGGACGGCTGTCCTGATCTTGATCTGGTGTCCTGCCTTTTCTACCCTGCTGTGCCTTACCACCCATCCCCTCCATGTCAGCTGCTGCTTCTGAACCTTCGCAAGGAGTTTGGCCCATTTTTGCCATCTCTCAACGCACCTGCCACGTCAGCACTGCTGCCTGAGCTGGCCTCGCCCGTTGTGGCGGGATCTGGTGGTGGGGGCGCTGCCACGTTGGACAGGGCGCTGCAGTATGGCATGACGTCTGACGACTGCTCTGACGTGTTACTGTTGACGGATGACGTGGCAGCTGTGGGGCACAACGAGGATGCGGATTACTCGATTGTCGATAACACGTGAGCGCCACGCAAGAGATCCTATGCCCATGCTATGTCGTGCCATGCCATGCCATGTCCATGTTGCCACATGCTATCCCCATGGCATGCCATGTCATGCCCATGTTATGTCATCCTCATGCCATGCCATGCCATGCCATGCCATGCCATGCCATGCCATGCCATGCCATGCCATGCCATGCCACGCCCATGACTACCCCTTCCTCACTGTCCACATGCTCCCTTCTTCCCTTTCTCCTCTGCTTCCCGCGCCATTTCCTCGCAGCTTCCTGGTGCACGTGCATGCTGACAGCGGTGTTGCCTTCACTGCATACACCTACGCGGGCGAGCTCCCCTCTGTGGCCTTTGGCTTCAATAACGCCAGAATGGTGGGTTTTGATTCCTGAAAGGTGCAGCTGAGTTCGCAAAGGTGTTGCCTTCACCGCATACACCTATGCGGGCGAGCTTCCCTCTGTGGCCTTTGGCTTCAACAACGCCAGAATGGTGAGAGAAGAGAGAACAGAGAGACTGGCTATAGTAGCAACTGAAGTGAGTTCACCAGGTGTTGCCTTCACCGCATACACCTACGCGGGCGAGCTTCCCTCTGTGGCCTTTGGATTCAACGATGCCAGAATGGTGGGTTCCTCAGTGCCACTGCTGCAACTCGTTACACATGCAGTCGCCTTCACACCGCATGTGCCACTGCAGATGGGCGCTCGTATACCAATCTGGGCGAGCTCCATTGTATCGAGGTGATTTTTTAATACGAGCGCTATTGTATCGAGGTGACTTTTGGATACGAGCGCCATTGTATCGAGGTGACTTTTGGATACGAGCGCCATTGTAACGAAGTGACTTTTTTATACGAGCGTTATTGTAACGAGGTGACTTCTCACTCAACTCAAAAGTCACCTCACATAGCAGATGGGCGCTCGTGTACCAATCTGGGGGAGCGCCCATCCGTGGCCTTTGCGCGCCTTTCTTGAGAAATTCTCGCTCAGAAGCCGATTCTGTGCAAGGGAGGTGTCAGTTGTTTCCTGCAGTTTCTGTTCTCATGCTCCTTTTCTCCTTCTGGATCCCCTTCCCCCAGGGTTTCTCAATGGACGCGGTACCCCCACCGCTGTCAGAAGTGGTGAAGGGGGGCATAGGGCGCACTTTCATTCCCCCAACCTCTGTCCTCTTGCTGCTTCTCTCACATTTCCCGTCCCCCCCAGGGTTTCTCAATGGATGCGGTACCCCCAGCGCCGTCAGAAGTGGTGAAGGGAGTGATAGGGAGTAGCTTACCATGTCTGTTCTCGCCTTCTCTCCTCCCCTCCCCCCTCCTCCCCTCCCCCTCCCTCTCCTCCTTCTCCAGGGGTTCTCAATGGATGCGGTACCCCCAGCGCCGTCAGCAGTGAGGGGCGGCACAGGGCACAACTTCGTTGCTCTCTGTGCCTATTTCGGTGTGGTGCCTGTGTTCCCCCTCCCTCGCCCCCTCCCGCTCCCCCTCCTCTAGGGCTTTTCAATGGATGCAGTGCCCCCAGCGCCGTCAGAAGTGGTGAAGGGAGGGATAGGGCGCAACTTCGTTGCTCGCAGCCTTATGGAATCACGGTCCATAGAGGATGCTGTGCAGGTGAATGCGATATTAATGAGCGTGTCTGTAACGAGTGGGAAGTTAACGAGTAGGGGGGCATAAGACGCAATATTATTGCCCGCAGCCTCATGGAATCGCGGTCAACAGAGGGTGTCGTGCGTGTGAGTGAGTGTGACTGTAACGTGACATACTTGTAAGGAGAGTGACTGGAATGAAGACGATTGTAAAGAGAGTTACATTAACGAGGGATGATTGTGAAAAGTGTGAATGTAACGAGTGTGCCTGAAATGAATGCGGCAGTAGGCAGGTGCAGCAGCATGGTTGGAGGGAGTTGCCTTCCTGAACGGAGCCTCCTTGATAGAGAGGGGCTCTATGGTTGGAGGGGCTTATGGTAGTGATTATAGAGAGGGGTGAAGAAATGGAAAGAGGAATCTGTAGCTCTATGTTTTTTCATGGCTCTGTGTTGTCCGTTGGGCCGGTTGTTATTGCTGACACCGCTGTCCTACTCTCCGTCTCACTTCCTTCCCCTTCCCTCGCCACCCCTGCCCGACCTATCCCCTCCTCTCCTCCCCTCTGACACCCACCTCCCACTCAATACGTGCCACGTGGCAGCGCGTGACTGGCCCAGCGGTGGCAGTGGGGCATCACTACGTGCTGATGGACTTTGCCCACCGACGAATCGCGTCCGTTGAAACCGCATCCCACGGCCGGCATAGCATCCTGGAGCTGGGCCCAAACCCCAAGCTGGGAAGCCAGGCTGACCCTAAGGGTGTTTCTGCTGGTACTGAAGATGCTGCTTTCAATGGTGGTGCTGCTGCTAACGGTGATGCTGCTACAACAGCTGAAGGAACGGAATACATCTTCCATGCCAATGCGTACACGAGGCTGAAGCTGCAGGAAAAGATGGGCCCCAGCGCGCACCGAAGAGAGGCCACTGCCCAGCGCCTGGGCGCTCCAAGAACAACCCATGACATGCTTAAAGTGAGTGGGGCAATGCTGAGGTCGTGAGGTAAGAGCGAGGGCTGTTGCTGCAGCTGCAGGAGAAGATGGGCCCCAGCGCTCATCGCAGAGAGGCCACTGCCAGACGCCTGGGCACTCCCGCTACTACCCAGGACATGCTTAAAGTGAGTGGGATTGTAACGAGCAATGAGTGGCAATAGAGTTGCAATCTTGTGAGGAGTGTGGTGACGCCAGGCAGGCAGGCAGGCAGGCCAGGCTGCTTTGGTTGCACCCTAAGCTGTGGTTGCAACAGTCGATTTTTTAGTCTACTCAAAAATCGGCTCATCACACGTGGTTGCACCCTTAACCGTGGTTGCAACAGCAGCTGTCAGCCTCTTACATCTCCTCCCTCTCACCTCCTCCTTCTCACACATCCTCCCTCTCAACCCTCCTCCCACTCACCTCTCCTCCCCTCTCACCCCTCCTCCTTCGCTTCCTTCCTCCTTCTCACCCCTCCCTCTCATCCCTCCCTCTCACTTCTCCCTCTCACTCTCCACACACGCCTCTATCTCTTCTCATCTCCCCCTACCTTCTCTATCTCCCCTCATCTCTCCCTCTCCCTCCCACCAGATCCTATCCAACTCGGACGACAATGAGTATCCCATCTTCAATGACGGCAATCCCTTTGAGATCGGAGGTGAGTCATCCAGTGCGGTGCGAAGGTGTGTGAGGGAGTACAAGGGAGTACAAGGGTGTGCGTGCAGGGTCCAAGCCGACGCAGTGTGCAGCGCTGTCTACACACAGCTCAGCAATATTTTTGAGGAGAAAACTGATGCTGGGTGGGAAAGAAAGAACCCAGCACACTCTTTAAACTGTACACTCCTTATATATATTTATATACATATATAAATATATATTTATGGCGTTTCAACACGTGACCCTATTTATCTTCCATTGTCCCTTCCTCTTCACCCAACATCTCGTTTCCTTTCCTTCGTACCCCCAGGCCCTGTCATCCACACGCTGCACATCACGCTCTTCAACCTCGATGGTGGGAAACTCAGCATCTTCTGCCTTTTACTGTCCCTGCAATCACCCCTCACCCCTCTCCCTTCCACCTCTCCTAACACCTCGTTTCCCTTCCCTCTTTCTCTGCCTGCCAGGCCCGGTCATCCACACGCTGCACAGCACGCTCTTCAACCTGGATGCCAGAAAACTCAGCGTCTGTCTCTTTCCCCTTTCCCCTTTCTCCTCTTTGTCTGCCTCTCATATCGCCAGGACTGGTCATCCACACAACTGCACAGCACGCTCTTCAACCTCGATGCCGGGAAACTCAGCATCTTCCCTGCGAGCTCAACTCACCTCTCTCCCCTTCTCTTGCCTTCCCCTCTTTCCCCACCTCTTTTACCACCAGGCCCAGTCATCCACACGCTGCACAGCACGCTCTTCAACCTGGATGCTGGGAAACTCAGCATCTTCGGAGGGCGTTCCACAGATGGCAACGTGCTGCATGGGTTTGTTGTCTGAGGCGCACACCTGAAGGCACCTGACGAATCACCTGAGCGGGCACCTGAGGGAGCACCTGAGGGTCACCTGAGGGGCAGATATGGACCTGGATGCCAGGAAGGTGGCCATATTTGTTCAGCAGCCCAGAGATGGCAGCGTTTTCGACGAGTTTTTAGATGGCAGCATTTTCAGCACGATTTCGACAAGTTTTTTGTCTGAGGAGTGGCTGAGGGCACCTGAGGGACACCTGGGAGGCCACCTCAGGGGCAGTTTTTGGCGTTCAATGGTGTTCTATTCATTGGTTTATTGCGGTAGTTCTAGTATACCATGCTTGTTTCCCATGTTTGTAATGTTCAATAGTGTAAATATCCCTTTTTCGTATATATCCCCTGCATGTGCTGCCTAAAGCCCTCTCCCTGCGGTAACGGCTGCAATAAGCACTGGTTAGAATGCACTCATTCAAACTCAGGAAGTTGGTGAGTAGCGTTCTTTTTAATGGAGGAACATTGAACAAAACCAAGGCGTGCCAATTCTGTGAAGTCATGCTGCTGGCCAGTCAGTCAGAACCAGGCCTGTCGAAGTTTCTGGGGCTCGTACTTGCGCTCCCCAGCTCCTCCCCATCTGACCCTTGGTTGGGTGTAGGTGAGCGTTTTGGCGCCCTTAACGGGCACGGGCGCACCCCAAAGTGAAAACTTGAAATCCGGGCATGTGCGAAGTTTGCACTTACACTGTATTTGGTTAAGTGAGAGAGCTGCTACGCTAGAGTTCTTCAGTAACTTAGCCAGAGCTGACCTAATCCAGCAAACCTAATCCTATGTGTCAGAGCTGTAAACTGCGACCAGCTCGTATTGGACGCTAAGGGAATGTTCGGGTGCTCCAAGGCTGACTGAGACACACTACACACACGAGATTGGCTAGAAGACGCTAAGGGAAAAATCCCCTCCGCGCGCTCTCGTGCAGGCTAAGGAGAAAGAGGGAGGGGGGGGGGGGGGGGGGGGGGTGGTTGTCTCTGGCACCCTGGGAGGGGGGGGGGTCCTACAATCGGAAACCAAAACTTAGATAAAGGGGAAGGCCTGGTTTCGTCCCTTAACGCATCCGGGGAAGGGTCGAACGAAGCACTTAGTGGCACGGGTGGGGTGCGAATCTAAAACTTGACGCATTGGAGCTGGAGCGAAACTAGCCCTTAATGTCAGGGCATTAAGGGCATATGCCCGTCAATCGACAGGCCTGGTCAGAACTTGTAGGAGAAAGTGGGTGGGTGTCATACCGTTGTCCAGCAAAGAAACAGAGCAATCATCAGCAGCCCAGCAGCAGTACTTTTGAAGAGGTAATATTTACCTCACTCACCTCTAACGGCTCACACGAGTTTTTTGAGGTGCAGTGTAGTGCATTGCCCAGGTCGGTTCCATGCTTTGCTGTTTCAGCAGGGAACCGCATTTAGGTTCTGCTGATGTGGCTCTCTTGGTTTAAAGGTTTAAAGGTTTTATTAGGTCGTAACCCGTTCCAAACATGCAGTTAGAAGAGGATACAAGCAGAGGCTCAGCTCCCCAAGGGGAGCACGCGTGAACACGTCATCCTCCCGCAACCAGAGCGGAGGCGTTCGCGAACGCATATCTAACGGCAGGTGGCAGCAAGGGGAAGTGGGGGAAACTTAAGGTGGTCGGAAAGCGTCGTTGAGCAGCCACGTGGCACGTAGTTCTGGGTGGATGATCGGGGGAGCCGCCTCAGGAAACACTAGAAACCGGTGGAGTTCAGCCAGCTTGACTCTGCGAGCAGCCCGTAGCTGTTTTTTCTTGGAACACTTGGAAAAGCGCCATTGGAAGATTTTGAAGGCGAGAAGGAAATAGTGTAGCACTTGATGGAGAGCGTCAATGGTCCTGGTGGAGACCTGCTTGTATCTGTGACTACAGCGAGCGTTCCAGATTGTCTTGGCAGCCACACCGACAAGAAGACTCCAAGGGGCCACCTGTCCAGCTTCGGAGGCCAGTGGGAACAGGGTCAGTTCCGGGGCGGTGTCAGTTCCCAGATGAATCCGCGCAGTCCGTTGCAACGCCTCAATAATAGGTCTAGCGACGCCACATTCGAAGAAGAGATGAGGGAGTGACTCTACCAACCCCGTGGTGCAGCCGGAGCAAGCCCCTTTATCTCTGGCAAAACTGAACCTTGAGCCGGAGGGTAGCCCAAGCGCGTATAGACGGAAAAGAACGTCACGTTGAGACGAGGGTTGTTCTGAGAGAAACGTGTGTGTGTAGTCGGGCAGGAGGTGGGGGCCTGGAGCCGGTAACATGTTTGCCCAGCGGTGGTGATGAGAGAGATCTTGACGCGAGTAAGAGAGGTCACGGATGTCAGCAAGCGAAGGGAAGCTGTCAGAGAGGCTGGGGAAACGGGCCGCCAACCCAGCCCCAGAGCAAAAGGTACCACAGAGCCAGCGGTCACGAACATAGATGGCAGCGATCTCGAATCTTGACAGCATCCGGCGGGCCGAGGCTTCTTTGGCGATGCGACCTGTAGGATCCACGTCATACACATTAGCATAGAAGTCGTCGTCGCTGACAAACACATCTACCTCGAAGACCTGCCGAGGAGGCGAAAACAAATCAGCAGCAACCTGTACCCAATCGCCGGCGTGTAATGGTTCGAGGCTATGAGAGGAGGAAAGTGCAGCCCACCATTCAGGTGGCATAGCATCATACAGGTCTGTGATGATCCTGCGGCTGCGGGGATATTTACGGGGGGGGTACTTTTCCATGATTTCAGCATCTGTCATATGCCGAGCACCTTGCGCCTTCCTGCGAACTAGGTGGCCGATGCGTACTTCCTCTGAAAGGAGAAACACTTCGTCCTTGCATCTTCCGAAAGGGCGATCGCCTCCTTCTTAGTTTGGGTATAGCCTCCGGCTAGCGTTGAAGGTAGTAAATACTTGGAGAGAATTTCTGGTTTTCTGGTGCAAGTTTCACTCAAAACAGAGAGGTACATAAAATGATTGAAAACAAACACATTTAAGCATTTCGAATTGTGATGTGCGCCTCGCGTAACGCGTCATCCGCGTTTCAGCCCGAGTCGCACGCGGAACCGATTTCGGTAACCGTCACCGGAACCGAAACCCATTTGTCCCTTCCGCACCGAACACGGTTCGGTTGCGGTTGGACATTTCTAGGCTACGGAAATGTCGTCTCGACATTTCCGAACCCTAGTCTACTAGCATTCCGTTTTTCCTTTCCTTCCTCACGTTTTCCATCTTAGCTCTCTAGTTTTCAGTCCCACCGATCTAGGCATAGGTTCCCCACATTAGGTCGCGGTTTCCCACCGTTTCTAGTGTTGTTCTACCGTCCCTAGGTGAAGCGCGTAGGCCGGTAGGCACTAGGGCAGTGGCGAACCACCCTAACAATCTCCCCTGTGGTTTGCCAGCTGCCATCCTCCTATGCTCCAGCGGTTACCAAGTAACCAGCCTTCTTCTTCCCTTGCTGATCCTGTCCGTAGGATGGTGCAGCATCTCGGGTTGCTGCTCCCCTGCTCCCCTGCATGTCCTGCAAGGTACGTATGCCGACAAAATGCTTGCAAAACTCGAAGTTTGCCGTGGGTAGCACCTTAGTCAGGAAATCCGCTGGCTGCTCCTGTGTTCCCACGTGCACGAAGGTGAATACCTTCTTCTGCAGCTGCTCGCGAACCCAATGGTATCGCACGTTCATGTGTTTGGTGCGCCCATGCCAGTTGTCGTTTCGTGCAAGGTCAATTGCTGATTTGCTGTCCGATTTGATCGTTGTAGGTCCTTCCACCTTGACCCCCATCTCTTGAAGTAGTCGCCTCAGCCACACACCCTCTTGGCATGCATAAAACAGCGCCATGTACTCGGACTCCGTGGTGGACAGAGCGACGTCGGTGAGCTTCTTGGCTTGCCACATGATTGCCGTTCCACCAAGGAGGTAGACATAGCCATAGGCTCCCCTCCCATCCGTCTTGTCTGATCCGTGTGAGGCGTCAGCATACCCCACCATCTCTAGACTCTCCTCTCCTCCTTCAAACAGCAGCCCCTCATCGTCCCGCTGCAGGAGGTAGGTGATAGTCCGCTCCATCTCCTTCCATTTTCGTCCCTCGGGCTGCAACACCCTCTGTCCAAGAAAGCTTGCAGCATAGGCCACATCAACCCGCGTGCATGACACCGGGTACATGATTGAGCCTACCATGGATTGGTAAGTCTTGAGTGCCCTCTCCTTGCTGCCCCATGCCTCAATTTCTGCTTCCACATCGACCTCCTTGTCCGCAAGGCTGCTGAGAGGTGTCGTCACTGGTTTGGTCTTGCATTGTCCTCCAAACCTCTCCCGTAACCTCTGAAAGTACTTCTTCTGGTATAGTAGCAGCTTCTTCTCCTCCCTATTCCTCTCTATGTTCATTCCAAGGAAGAGAGTGGTCCTTGGAATCTTCTTCACCTGAAAAACGGCTGCAAGGTGAGTGCACACCTCTTCCACCTTCTCCTCCTTCGCTCCGGCCACTAGGATATCATCCACGTAGAGGAGCAGGAACACCTTGTTCTCCCCTTCTCCCTTCCAGTAGAATGCACGGTCACATTGGCTCTTGATGAACCCCCCCTTTTCCAGCTGCGCATCCATGGCTAGGTACCACTCCCGCGGGCTTTGTTTCAGCCCATAAAGTGCTTTAATGAGCTTGCACTTTCTGTCCGTACCGTCTTCACACCCCGGTGGCTGATTCATGTAGATGGTCTCCTTCAAAATGCCATAGAGAAAGGCATTTTTGATGTCCAGCTGCACCATGAAGTACCCACGTGCCGTCACCACCTTTAGCATGGTCCTTGCCGTTGCTATCTTGCCCACGGGTGCGTAGAGTTGATCGTAGTCCTCTCCTTCCACCTGTGTGTAGCCCTTAGCAACAAGTCGTGCCTTGAAACGCTCAAGTTGTCCCATGTCTCCCGTTTTGATCTTGAAAATCCAGCGCACCCCCACTGCTTTCCTCCCCTCGGGCATATTCACAAGCTCCCATGTTCCCCTTTCAGCCAAGGTATCGAGTTCCTCCTGAATTGCAGCCCTCCACTGCTCCTTGTTTGGGCCGGACAGCGCCTCTTCAATGGTGAGAGGCTCGGTGGGCAGTTTGTAGCTTTCCACCTTCCCCTTTGAGAGTAATGCCGTTGCCGTGGTTGTAAGGAGTAGGTGAGTGTGAATGTCCTTGCAGCAGGTCAGAAGCATTTGGGCATGTTTGGGATTGGGTTTCTTGACCCGTTTCCCTTTCCCCATCTCCTCATTCTCCTTTTCAGCTCCACCTTTCTCTGCTGCTGCATTTTCTTCCGCTCCTTGTAGCACCGTATCTCCTTCAATCGCCCTTCCGATGATTATCGCACCATCTGCAAGTAGGTCTTCAATTTCTGCTGCTGCTTTTTCATTGTCCCCCGAGTCAATGATGCGCCATGGGTCGGAGTAGCTCGTGCTAGCAGATTCGTCCACACTCTCTTCCCCATCCGAATTTTCAGCTTCTTCCGCATCGGCTTCCTTCGTTGAAGTGTCACCACCCTCTTCTCCCTTATCTTTTTCTTCTGCACTCTCTTCCGTGGCGGTTGAAGGTAAGGACAGCTCCTGGACCTCCCACACCCAATCGAAACCCGGCGTAGTGTGGTCTTCGTAGTCATCGTTGTCACCGCTTCCATTGGCTGCCCCTATTCCCTCCTTCTCACTCCCATCTATCATCTCCTCTAGTAGAGTTGGTGCTGCTGCCGCTTCCTTTGACACAGCCCCTTGTCTCCTTCCCTTCCACTCCAAGTAGGTGTCTTGCTCGTAGAAGGTAACATCTCTGGTCGCCGTGACTTTTCCGGTCTCCACATCGCGTATCACCCACCCTTTGCTCTCCGGGCAGATTCCCAAGTGAATCCCCCACTTGGTCCTTGGGAGAAGCTTGTGATCGGGTCCCGCTGCCTCTCGGTATTGCGTCATGCAGCCCCAAACACGTAAGAACTCCAGATTCGGCTTCCGTTTGTAGAATGCCTCGTGAGGGGTGATATCCGCCGCTAATCCCTTTGTTGGTAATCGATTTTTCAGCCAACACGCCATTCCTAGCGCATCTCCCCAGTAGTGTAGTGGCAGGTTGCTGTCCGCGAGCAAGCTCCTCACACTCTCCAGCAGTGATCGGTTCACCCGCTCCGCAATGCTGTTGTGTTGAGGTGTGTACGGGACCGTGAGCTGCCTTCGTATGCCCTTTGACTTCAGGTACGTGTTGAACTCGGCATTGACGAATTCTCCCCCGTTATCCGTGCGTAACACCTTCAGCTTCTTGCCGCTTTGCCTTTCCGCTTCCGCTTGCCAATCGAGAAAGCTCGTGAAGACTTCCGACTTGTTCTTGATCTCCGTCACCCACGTGTGTCGTGTGCCGAGGTCGGTGAAGGTAACGAAGTACTTGCTGCCATGTCGTGAAGCCACCCGCATTGGTCCACATACGTCGGCTGCCACAATGGCCAGCGTCTCGTACGGCTCACGAGCTCCATGCTTGGGATGTGACGCCTTTGTTGCCTTTGCTTCCACGCATGTGCTGCACTTCATATTTTCCTCTCCACCCTCAGCTACCTTCACTCCCGCTGCCATGTTCTTCTTGATCAGCTCCTTGATTCGATAATGACCAGCGTGCCCCATCCTCCTATGCAGCAGGTTGACGTCCACCGTGCTCACTGCTGCTGCCATAGGAAGCGCCTGCTGCTGCAACTCCTTAATAGGCACCTTTTCCAGCTTGGTACGAAGCTCATCTCGAGCCACCCTGCCCGCTTCCGGTTCAGCCAGGTACGTGACCTTGTCCCCACTCTGTTTTTCGTGCAGCTTCATCTCGTACAACCCTTGCTTGCGTGATCCTTCCGCTAGCACCTTCCAATCCGCTCCAAAGACCCATATGCTCCCCTTGTCGCTGAAAGTTTTGCATCCACCGCTATCCAGCTGCGATTGACTAATGAGGTTGAGCGTAAGCTTGTCCACCAGCAGCACATTGTCCAGCTTCACCTCACCATACGCACTTTGTAGCACTAGATCTCCTTCCCCTTTCACAGGAAGTTTCCCCTCGTCTCCCAATAGCACGTACGGAATCGGTGATGCTCTGAAATTTTTCAGCCACTCCTTCTGGTTCGTCATGTGTTGGGTACAACCGCTGTCCATGTACCACTCTTTCCCCTTCAGGCCCTTTGCAAGCAGGCATGCTCCCGATGCTCTTGCAACATTGGCCTTGTGGGCTCCCCCGAGGATGACGTCGTCGTCGCCAATTTCCGCTTCGGTGGCGTTGATCTTCGCAGGTACGTTGTTCTTTTGCTGCTGCTGCCCTCCCTTGAAGCTCTTGCTCATCGGGTTACTGTAGCAGTCAATAGCTTTGTGCCCAAATTTCCCGCAGTGGTTGCAGTTTCCAGCAAATCCGCCTCTCGAACGTTGTCCTTCTCCGCTCGCTCCTGCTGCCTTTCCTCTGAAATTCTTGCTTTTTGGATTGGAGTAACAGTCTACAGCCTTGTGCCCTTTCTTCCCACAGTGGAAGCAAGCTCCAAATGATTTTCCTGCCCCTGTTGCGTTCAACATGGCAGGTTTGTCGTTGCTGAAGTTGTCCGGCAGCGCCTCCCTTCGTTCTTCCTCCGCACGAATAAGCGCCACGTCTTGAAGAGACTCCACCAAGTCCGTCATGTCCGTCGGGCGTCGGCAGGCCAGCATCCGCTTCTCCGCTGCCCATGACTTCGGTAGACCGCCAATGATGTAACTCATCATTTGCTTCTCCGATTCGGGTACTCCCATTGCTGTCAGGTCGTCGTTGTAGCCTTTGGCACGTCCCACGTAGTCCACCACCGTCTCGGAAGGTTCCATGGCCAGCAGTATGAGTTTCGTCCTCACTGCTGTCATTTTTGTCTCGCTTTTCCCGAGGTAAACTCTCTCCATGTAGGCCCACGCCTTCTCTGCAGCGTTGTCCTCCTCAGAAAATGGGTCGAGTCGTGCCGCTTTTGAATCCGAGACCGAGTGGCAGAGTTGAAAGAAAGCTTGTTGGCTTCTTTTCTTGAACGCTTTTTTCTCTTGTGCGGTTGCAGGTGCAGGTCCGTCTTCCTCCGTCGCTGCCTCTGGGTTGTAGAAGTGCCACAAATCCACCTCCCGGGCGCGTCGCATGAACTTCAGCCGCCATGTGCCGTAGTTCTCTCCATTGAAGCGTTGAGCTTCACTTAGGCCAATCGTCGGTTTGGCCACAATTTGCCCCTTAGCAAGGGCATCCAGTAGACTCTGCAGCTGCACACCGTCGGTGTTTACAGATGATCCCGAACTGGTCTCTCCATCTCCTTTCCCCATGTCGGTGAATATTCGCCCGTTCCAATTATACTAAAATTAATAATGCCTCCAACGCTATTATAACGAGGCTTGACACGACGAGAACCAAGCTCTGATACCAGCTCTTAGTTTGGGTATAGCCTCCGGCTAGCGTTGAAGGTAGTAAATACTTGGAGAGAATTTCTGGTTTTCTGGTGCAAGTTTCACTCAAAACAGAGAAGTACACAAAATGATTGAAAACAAACACATTTAAGCATTTCGAATTGTGATGTGCGCCTCGCGTAACGCGTCATCCGCGTTTCAGCCCGAGTCGCACGCGGAACCGATTTCGGTAACCGTCACCGGAACCGAAACCCATTTGTCCCTTCCGCACCGAACACGGTTCGGTTGCGGTTGGACATTTCTAGGCTACGGAAATGTCGTCTCGACATTTCCGAACCCTAGTCTACTAGCATTCCGTTTTTCCTTTCCTTCCTCACGTTTTCCATCTTAGCTCTCTAGTTTTCAGTCCCACCGATCTAGGCATAGGTTCCCCACATTAGGTCGCGGTTTCCCACCGTTTCTAGTGTTGTTCTACCGTCCCTAGGTGAAGCGCGTAGGCCGGTAGGCACTAGGGCAGTGGCGAACCACCCTAACACTCCTTTCAGGATGAGCTTGTTGAAGGGGGCCGGCTCAGAGAGGATACACCAGAACTCAAGGCGGGGAGAGGCTATTTCCAAATTGAGGTCGGCCAGGCAACGCAGCTCTTCCTGGAGGCGGAAAGGGACAGAGGACGGTAAGGCAGCGATAAAGTCAGAGTGTAAGAGAAACCCGTGCAAACCAAAAGGGGCGGGAATGCAAGTCCTAGCGACCGCATAGCTGGGGGAAGGGGCAAAGCGACGAAGAGCTCTCTGCACATTAAGAGCTTGAATTTGCACAGAGGGTCGGATTGCGCCTAGGCCACCATGCTCCACTTTGTTGTAGATGACACTGTGCGTCAGGAGGCGGGTGGTCCGTCCTTCCGAGCGGAACTTGGAGGAGGAAAGAAAATTGCCGACCACCGCATCCAGCGCCTTGACTGAAAGAGGGGGTGGGGTTGGAATCTGCCGGGGAAGGTCAAAACGGAGTTGAGATGCTCGGAGGAAAGGCGGTTACGGCAGGAGGAGGAAGCGTGAAGATTGGAGAGGAGATTAGAGGTACGCTTGATCTTGTTAAGCGCATGGTTCCAAGTAACTTCTGTCAGGCCAGACATCCCGACGAAAATGCCCAGGATGCGTTCGAAATCGTCACACCGACGTACCGGAATGTCACCTGCATGTCGTATGGTGTCTGGGGGGAGGGAAAAGGGAATTATGGAACACTTGGCCCAATTGGGGTGTTCCCCCGAGACTGCAGCGAAGGAGCGGAGGGTGTGAGATGCGACTTTTAGCTCATCATTGGAGTTCAAAAGGATGGTGATTTCATCGGCATAGCAGGCCATGAGCCGGCTCTGCGTGCGTGAAACAGGGAACCAGGGAGAAAGCAAGACGCATAGCGATGAAAAATTTCGATAACGCACAGAAAGAGAAGAGGGGCCAAGGGACATCCCTGCCTTACCCCTGAACGGACCTGGATTGGCTGACCGCAGAGATTGTTAACCGAGATGCGCGTGGTAGTGCCGGTGTGCATGAGTTTGACCCAACGAATGAATTGATGGGGCAGGCCGAGGTGCGCCAGGCAGGAAAGGAGGAAATCCCGGTCAACCAAGTCATACGCCTTCCTGATATCGACAGTAAGTGCGAGGAGAGGGATGGATTGAGTTGAAGCCCAGTCAAAAATGTCGAGGGTGTCGTTCAGGGTGTCGCCGATCTTCCGAGATTTGATAAAGGCGGTCTGCGAATGGTTGATGAGGGAGGGGAGAAGGGGTTGTAGGCGATTAGCCAGACAAATGGCAAGAATCTTATAATCGGTGTTCATGAGGGTTATGGGACGTAAGTTGTCGACCAAAGAGGCGTCTCCTTTTTTTGGAATGAGCACCGTCCGGCCCTGCAGCATGGATGGGGGGAGACTCTGGTGAGCATTGAGGAGCATCTCGTGAATGGCAGGGGCGGGCGTTTTGCCTCTGGGAAGAGATGAAATGGCACGAGAGACTTCTGCCAAAGAGAAAGGAAGAGCAAGGCGGGATAGAGAGGCTTGTGGGAGCTGAGAAGGAGGGATGAGGGACCAGAAAGACGGGTCGACCGCCACAGGTTGCGATCCATCGTAGAGTTTTTGGAAGAAATCAAAGCAGATCCTGTTCATATCATAGAGGTTGGAGGTGAGGACACCGGAGGGGGAACGGAGAGAAGAGATAAGAGAAGCTTTGATACGGGAGTTGACACCCACCAACAGGGAAGAAACGCCCATTTCCCTAGGCCCTTCTACTTTAAGCTTGGCTTTCATCGCGAGTTCAGCCGACCGCGCCGCCTCGTAGCGTTCAAACTGCTGAGACGTGATGCGGAGGCGATCCTTGGCGACCTCGTCAGAAGGGTTGACCGCCATATGAATCCGGAGTTGACAGAGCAGATTAGAGAGATGGGAGGTGGTCTTCTTTACTCTGATTTTTTCCTGGCTGGCGAAGGATTTGATCTTGTTGCAGAGGTCGAGTTTCCACACGTCCCAATGGTCGCCTGAGGGAGAGGAGGGAAGGGACTGATAGGCAGAGGAGACGAGTTGCGCCAGATGTGGTCGTTTGAGAATACCGTGAGGGAGGCGCCAGGGCCGGGGGGCGACGTTGGGGCTTTCACATTTGATAGTGCAAGACGGCGAAAGCTCGTGATCGGAGATGTCAGTGGAGACAGCGATATAGGACGCATCCAGAAGGCGGGAATCGAGGGAAGCGGTGACGTATATGCGATCGAGCCGGGACGCGGAGGGAGGCGAGTCACCTTGGTCGCTGCGCGGGTGAGAGAAAAAGGAAAACATGGTCGTGGTGGGGTGGAGTAAACGGAAGGTGTCATGCAAGGGGTTGTTATTAAGAATGGAGGAAAGCATCAACCCTTCGGAGATTTCGTGCCCAAGCAGAGGCCGGTTTCGATCCTCGGGAGCACAAACGGTGTTAAAGTCTCCGGCCAAAATAGTCCCTACTGATGCAGTGGGGGAGTCTAACGCGAGGGCAAAGATTGCCCGCCACCATTGTCTTCGGAGGGTTGGGGTGGCGGGGGCGTAGGCAGCCAGCAGGCGGAGTTGTTCCTGAAAGAAGTTGACGTGGAGAGTGAGGAGGCGTCTGTCAGGGGAGGGTTCGCTAGAGGAAATAGTAACATTTTTGTTAAAGATGAGAATTGCAATCCCGCCAGGTTTGGGTTGGGTAGTGAAGGGAGGGGGACATTGTGAGTGAGAAGAAGGCTTGAGGGATAGGGTGAGAAGGGGAAAATTCTCAGTGAGACGGGTGTCCAACAGGATGAGGATATCAGTTTTGGGAACTCTTGCTGCAAGCCAGCTTCTGAGATCGTGAATCTTTTGTTGTTTGTTAAGACCATTAACATTGAGACATCTAATGGTGAGTGGGACTAACATTTATCATGGGAAGAGGGCCCCCACATGCCGAAGCATGCGCATCCACGGGGCAAGGAAGAAGTGAGACAAATTGGGAGGCGGACCGCAGTCCAAGTACCCCGCCAGCTTATAAGATTCCGGTGCAGAGTACAAGACGTTAAGGGAAGGCACATGGGTAGCCGTGATGGCACAAGGGAGGGTACAAGGAGGCCTACAAGGCCAAGGCCTGGAGCCAGGGCGCCTACTGCAGGAAAGCGGCGATTCGCTGGAGCTGCAGCAGGGTGGCGGCCTTCCAGGCCCCATACTTGTCTTTCGCCGCAGGCAGGTGCGCGGACTCTTGCATACGATTGCGATGCACGTCGGAGGCAATGTGGTACATAGCGCTGTCTAACGCTAAGCCACAGTCGAAGTCGCACAGCACACAGGTCCACACCTCGACGTCGAGGTCGACACCAATGAGAAGGAGACCGGGGTCTTTCTTGAAAGCCACAGGAGCCGCCTGTTGACCAATCAGCCGCCCTGCCAAGATGAGAAGAAAGGAACCGAGAAACAGTAGAGAGGTAAAACGTGAACCAATAAGGAGATGTGAGGACAAAAGGGGAGGCGGCATGAGTAGTTAAACAAACCAAGCCTCCCATGAAATTGAACAACAAGAAAAAGTAGGTGCACAGAGGAGAAGCGAGCAGTGAGGCTACGGCAGGAGATGAAGAAGCATGAAATTGCAACAGTGGGGCAAGAGGGAGAAGTGAGGTGATGCCGTTCAGAGTTTGGAGTTGGGCCACCGAGATGGTGTGCCTATTGGGGAGCCGGGCGCGGCGGGTGAGAGCGAAGCAAGCATGATCCACAACCCGATGGTTGCTGGAACACACGTTACAGGAGTGGGAGGAGATGTTCATGAGAACGGGCTCCTCCTGATCGGGAATCCACAGGACGGCGGGGATGCGGTCGAAGCCGAGGTCACCCTCTGCCGCAACGGGAAGGCCAAGCAGTTGCGCGTAGGCAGACCCATCATACGGGTCTTTGAGACGGTGAAACAGGCGGAGGTCCGCCAGCCAGGGGAGGCCGCTTTCGGTTCGTCCTGCCAGAAGCGTTTCGCGCATGTGCTCAGGGGAGTACCCGAGCGGGACATTCCGGAGGACTAGGTGCGTGTCCCCGCGGGAGCGAGCCGTGGTGAAGTCGCGATGAGGGTCGCTGAAAGCCTTAGCTTCCACCGAACGATTGTTAGCAAGGCGCACGGTGATGGGAAACATGCCGCGAAAGACACGAGCATCGTCAGCGGTAGGCCAAGAAAAGGAGTGCCTGGCGTAGGTGTGACGGGGCAGGCGCAGCGGCTCACCAGAGGCGGTTCAAACGAAGGCACAGCACCATTGAAAACCTGCCCGTTAAGCAGGAACGAGATACGAGCGAGAACAGCAGCACGAACTTCCTCCCCAGGGGAATCAGGAAAGATGACATCTACCAGGGAATGCGTGTTACGTGTCAGAGACTGCAGCACAGCGCCAACCGTCGTGCGATGACGGCGCAGGTTACGGTAGCGAACAGTGGGCGCCAGGCCCGCGGAGTGGTTGACGACGTCGTTCACCAGCACCGGTTCACGCGGGGACGGCCGCACGCGAGAGGCGGAAGCGGCTCTCGGGCCCGACGAGCTCGGGGCACGGGCAGGCGCAGCGGTCGTGGCAGCAGAGCTGCCGGAAGAGCTAGCGCGAATGTTCGGCTGCGGCGCCGAGGGAGCACCAGCGGGGATGGAGGGCGAGGCTGCGGCCGAAGGCTGCCCTTCGCTGCAAAGCTTCTTCGCGGCAGGTTCTTCCGAAGGGACTTGCTGCGCGAGACGGCTGATCCTCATCGGGGAGCTCAGGCAAAGCGCCATCAGGAAGGTCCTCCACGAGGTAATCCTTGTCAAGGTCGGGCAGGGTTTCCTCCCCAGCGGGAATCTGCTCGTCAGTCATGACGTGGTCCGGGTTGTGAGAAGCCATGATATCGAAGGGTGAGGGAAGGAGGGACCGAAGTCGCGGTTTATACCCCGGTCGAGAGAAGGAGGGGATCGGAACTAGCACGAGCAAGGAGGGAGCGAAGCGCGGCGAGGAGCCGGATCGCAGAGGGATGTGAGGGGAGCGCCTCGAGGCAAGCGTGGTGCGTAGGCAATGGCCAAAGCAACCAGAAAGGAGTGACAGGGAGCCAGATCGGCATCCCGAGTCGGAGAGAAATGCATGTGAGTTAACAATAGAGGCCACGCAGAACACGTTGCCTGGTAACAGGATTTGACCCCAAAATACGTAGGATGGCCATGAATGAGTCAGCAGAGGGTCGTGAGGACTACGCCAGCAGCTTGCATGAAGCATGAGTGGGAGGAAGACGAGCAGGGAGGGCAACCAGGCAAAGGGAGGTCTCCAGGCAAGGAATTTGTCCAGTAAGCTTGGCGGGGTCCAAGAGTTGAGGAAGGAGCGATAGCCGATTTGATCAGAGAGGATATCATCGCTGAAGTGGCAACCTGAGCCGAACGAGCAATGGCAAGTTAACAAAGAAGAAACCGACACAGAGCTTACCTTACCCGAGGAATTGGAGGAGATATCCACGTAGCCGCTGAAAACAGGGAACCTGCAGCAAAGACACTCGTTACAAGCAAAGAAACAAAGCTTACCTTTCAAAGGAACACCAAAGGAAACAACATGAGCGTCGAAAACTATAGCATAGCGGCGATCCGTTGTTGTAGAAAGGAAACGTAGGCTTGCGTAAACGAGGACGAGAGCCAGCAGGGAAGCGGAGAGCAGCATTTTTGGGTTGCGAAGCAACCCTTTACGATCGATTTTGACAAATTTTATTTTCATATTTATGTTTTTTTATAAAACATGAAAATAAAATTTATAAGCTACAGTACTACCCTCTCCACAGTGTATGCTTTTTTATTACGGTACAGTTCTAGCAGTTTTGTGCACATATGCTACACTACCGCATTTGCTTTATATATTTTACTGTTTTATGTTGTGACATTTCTATGTAATAAATTTTAAAGATATTAGTAATGAATTTCACACCACGCATGCTTTAATGAATGTAATTAGACAAGATGTATAGATGCATAATACCGATACATGGATGAAAATGCTTATGTATGCACGTGAAATGCTGAAATGCAACATACCTTATATCATACAAATGCGTGATAGTTAACGACCCAAAAACTAGGCTACCGCATCCCCTGCCTAGCATGGGGGGGAAGTCAATAGCAAAGTTTTTGAATAATCATCTACCACATGAAACAATACAATCTGTCAACTTTAAAAAAAAGGTAAACTCTATCAAATCCAGTTCGAAGTGGCAAACACACGAGTCACTGAGTGCGCCAATGAACCAATGAGAAATGATAGAATTTAACCTTCTTTTTAAAATTGACAGACATGCATTGTTATTGCAATGATAGATGAAATAAATGCACGCACACACGCAAACACATCGTACACAAGCAAACACATTACACACTCAAAGGCACGAACACCAAACCCAGCCACAAACACGAGATAATAAATAACGTGCAAATCAACGTTAAAATGACAAAATGATAATCCTATGAGTGACCAATACGCATTTTCAGATTGAAATCGACTTCTTGACCAGCAAGGCTCATGAGAAACGGGTTTAGGAAGTGGAAAAGAGGAACGTAAAGGAATAGTCGGTACAAACAAAAAACAGAAAAGAATTTGAGGTGTGATGAAATGACGAGAAAAAAGGAATAACGAAGAAACGAAGGAAACAATACAAGGGCTAAGAAAAATGCCGTGAATAATGAAGGGTTAGAGCTTATAAATATCAAAGGAGAAGGATGTACCGAGGCATCGAATGGAAGTAAGGAACGGGAAAAGAGAGGGAAAAATACGACGAGACAGTAAATGAAAGAAAGAGAATGTAACGAATACGGAGAGCGAGAAACAACGGAGAGCAAGAGCAAGAGAGAGAGAGAGAGAGAGAGAGAGAGAGAGAGAGAGAGAGAGAGAGAGAGAGAGAGAGAGAGAGAGAGAGAGAGAGAGAGAGAGAGAGAGAGAGAGAGAGAGAGAGAGAACGAAAGAGAGAGAAAACGAGAGAGGGACTTCAATAAATTATGGCTTCTAACAAAACATTTGTAGAATTATGAAAGACAGTTTAAAAAACTGCACGAAGGTAGAAATGGAACAAATACGAGGACTAAACGCGAGAGGCGAGAAAAAGAAGCATTGCAGAAAAAGAGGCAGAAGACTCTTTAAGCATGTTAGTGCGACTATCTGTTCAAGAAAACGAAGCACACATAGCTACAAGTAGATGGGGTACAGATACTAGAAAAAACCAAAAGAAGAGCGTCTAAGCTGACAATAAAGGAAAAGGAGGAAACCGACAGGATAAGGAAATGACAGGATAGTTCTAGGAGTTAAGAATGTGAAGAATACACTTGGACTTACAAGACAAGACACATTATTTAAGAGCGACCTAGCAAATCCGTCGAACCGATTTAGCTTCTAGATAATTGACAACTTACAGGTTTAGATTAGAGGAAATAACATTACAAGACTGATCAACAATAGCCCATTGCGAAACGGCTGAACGTACTCGTCGTGAGAAAATCGCTGCACGTGAATCTCCTCCTCCTCCGCAGCAGAACCTTCTTCTTAGCGAAGCTGACACCATTGGCTGCTTCTGAAAAGCCTTCTCTTTTCCGTAGCACATCCCGATTTTGAATCTGTAAAATCTCTTGCCGAGAGCTCCACGTGTTCTGTTGACACAATTTCGAGTCTGACTGTTGCTTTCGCCATAGCTCCACCTATCATCGTCGAAGGCCATAGAAACATGACTCTTTCGCAATCCGGCGTGCGACCCCCAGTCGCAACCGCCGCGCTACACTCACCGTCCGCCAAATCCGCCGTACGCGCCACGTCAGCCACATCCACGTCGTCTGCGAACGTGTGCGCAGTCAGCGCGGCGGCAGTCCCTAAGCCGCTCGAATTGCTCGAGGTGTCTGGCTGCCCGTTCGAGCGCGGCTGTGCGATCGGTGTGCGATTCGGCGACAAGATCCGCGACCGCGTCGCCAAGGCTCCGTTCCTGCACGACGGCATGATTCCGTTCACACGGACGGGCGAGGGAGCTCGGCTGCTGGAAATGTTTTCCGAGTCTAACAAGTGAGCCCTCATTCTGACGACTCAACAAGTAAACCACTCTTCCAGACGCCTTCTGAGAAGAGAAAAATATCTCACTACCTAAAACTCAGACATCAGGAAACCCGCTTTCTGGTCAAAGAACGTAACCCGTTTTCTGGGCGCAAAGAACGTAACCCGCTTTCTGGTCAAATAACGTAATCAGAAACCACTAGTTATCTCCTTAACAGCGAACCACCCACAGAACTGTGGTTTCAGCTCGGTACAATACCCAACACTCAGACCGGTCCGCTGCTGTCTGTCCTGCCCCCCTTCCCCCTCTTCTCATAGAATTGAGTCGGCTCCAATTCAGAAACCGCTAATTATCTCCTTAACGGCGAGGCACCCACAGAACTGTGGTTTCAGCTCGGTACAATACCCAACACTCAGACTGGTCCGCCGCCGTCTGTCCTGCCCCCTTCCCCCTCTCTCCTAGTTTTGAGTCGACTCAAATCCCACCAGTTATCTTCTTAACAATAAGCCACCCGCAGAAGGTTTCAATCGGTACAATGCCCAACACTCAGACTATGTGACGGAAGACGGAAGACGCGTCTTGCGTCTAGCGTCTAGACGCAGCGTCTAGACGCTAGACGCTAGACGCACGTTTAGACGCTAGACGCTTGGGTAAAAAATTTTCGGGCAGCCCGTTTTTTTTTTTTTTTTTTTTTGCATGGATGTAGTAGTAGCTATTTACTTCGTGTTTGCTACTGCTAGAGAGACGAGGTTCCTAACTATGTATGATGAGAAAGGAGGTTTTTTGTGAACTCTAATTATGGGGAAAAACCTTTGGTACGGCGGAAATTTGACCCAAATGTGCCATATGTGCATGTCCTCCACCCTCCCCATGGCCCTCAGAAGTTTTTTTAGGCTGCCCGAACATCTTTTTTAGGCCTGCCCGGGTTTTCGTCTAAAATGCGTCTAACCTAGGCGGAAATGCGTCTAGCGTCTTAGACGCTGCGTCTAGACGCAACCGTCTAAGACGCTAGACGCGTCTTCCGTCACATAGCACTCAGACCGGTCCGCCGCCGTCTGTCCTGTCCCCCTTCCACCGCCACGGCAGGAAGCGATACCCGGAGTACTGGGAGCAGCTGCCAGGCATGGCGACCAGCCTGTTCTGAGTCGACTCAAAACACGAGTTTCAACCACCCCGTTTCCCCCTCTCTTTACCACCGCCACCGCAGGACGCTGTACCCAGAGTACTGGGAGGAGCTGCGAGGCATGGCGGCCGGCAGCTGCGTTCCCTTTGAAGAGGTGAGTGAGCTCATTGCTGCCGCTGTCTTCCCCGTCACGCCCACTCACTCTGTTCCCTGCCCTGTATTGCCCTGCAAGACACTTTTGAGTCGACTCAAAAGTCACCACCCAGGTGAGCTCATTGCTGCAGCTCTCTTCCCCGTCACGCCCGCTTACTCTGATTCTGATAGTATCAATGTTCTACCCTGTCTTGCCCTGCGGTACCTCACTACCCTCAGAACGTTTTTTGAGAAATCTGCCCTGGCTGGCCCTGTTGCACCTTTCTACCCACCCAACGGTTACATTTCAGTCGACTCAAGAATCACCTCTTTCTCCCCATTCATGCGTTCTGTTTTCAAACTGAGGGTAATATTGTGTCCCGCCCTCTCTGCCCTGTTGTCCCTTACCACCCGCCCCCTCCACGTCAGCTGTTGCTTCATAAATAATTTAGCCCCTGGATTGCTGTATCATTCTGCCCATTCCCTCCACGTCAGCTGCTGCTTCTGAACCTTCGCAAGGAGTTCGGACCCTTCCTGCCCTCCCTCAACGCGCCTGCCACGTCAGCAGTGCTGCCAGAGTCCGCTTCGCCAGCTGTGACAGGATCTGGTGATTCTGGTGCTGCTGCTGCCACGTTGGACAGGGCGCTGCAGTATGGCATGGCGTCTGACGACTGCTCTGACGTGTTACTGCTCACGGATGACGTGGCAGCAGTGGCACACAACGAGGATGCGGACTACTCAATGGTGGATAACACGTGAGTGATCCATGCTGTGCCGTGCCTTGACATGCCACGCACATCCCCATGCGATGCCATCCATCCCATGTCTGACATGTGACGTCATACCATGCCACGACATGCCATGCCATGCCATGCCATGCCATGCCCATGAGTAGCCCTCTCTCACAACTTCCCACATCCTCTTTCTTCCCCTTTTCCTCTGCATCCGGCATAATTTCCTCGCAGCTTCCTCGTGCACATGCACACTGACAGTGGTGTTGCCTTCACCGCATACACCTACGCGGGCGAGCTTCCCTCTGTGGCCTTTGGCTTCAACGATGCCAGAATGGTGAGAGCAGTGAGACCAGAGAGAGCAGAGAGAGCAGAGAGAGGAGAGAGAGCAGAGAGAGGAGAGAGAGCAGAGAGAGGAGAGAGAGAGCAGAGAGAGGAGAGAGAGCAGAGAGAGGAGAGAGAGCAGAGAGAGGAGAGAGAGCAGAGAGAGCAGAGAGAGCAGAGAGACTGGCTGTAGCAACTGAAATGAGTTCATCAGGTGTCTTCATCACGTGGGCGAGCTCCCTATACCTTCACTGCATACACCTACGTGGGCGAGCTCCCTATACCTTCACTGCATACACCTACGTGGGCGAGCTCCCTATACCTTCACTGCATACACCTACGTGGGCGAGCTCCCTATACCTTCACTGCATACACCTACGTGGGCGAGCTCCCTATACCTTCACTGCATACACCTACGTGGGCGAGCTCCCTATACCTTCACTGCATACACCTACGTGGGCGAGCTCCCTATACCTTCACTGCATACACCTACGTGGGCGAGCTCCCCTCTGTGGGCTTTGGCTTCAACAGCGCCAGAATGGTGGGTTCTGTCTGGTGCATGGTGCGAAAAGAGAGGGCTTGCTTACTGTCAGAAATTAGTTCGCAGAGGCGTTGCCTTCACCGCGCATAGGCCGAAACTTTGTTGCTCCCTATGTCAATCCCCACGAACCTCCGTTGCTCCCTGTGTCCCCCCTCCCTCTCGCCCTCCCTCTCGCCCTCCCTCTCGCCCTCCCTCTCGCCCTCCCTCCCCCTCTCTCCTTCCCCCTCTCTCCTTCCCCCAGGGTTTTACAATGGACGCGGTACCCCCAGCGCCGTCAGAAGTGGCGAAGGGGGGCATAGCGCGCACCTTCATTTCTCCCCGTGTCACTCTCAACGTGCCGCCTGTGTCCCCCCCCCCCTTCCTTCTCCCCCTTCCCCCAGGGTTTCACAATGGACGCGGTACCCCCAGCGCCGTCAGAAGTGGCGAAGGGAGGCATAGCGCGCACCTTCATTTCTCCCCGTGTCACTCTCAACGTGCCGCCTGTGTCCCCCCCCCCCTTCCTTCTCCCCCTTCCCCCAGGGTTTCACAATGGACGCGGTACCCCCAGCACCGTCAGAAGTGGCGAAGGGGGGCATAGCGCGCACCTTCATTGGCCGCAGCCTCATGGAGTCACGGTCCATAGAGGATGCCGTGCAGGTGAATGAGTGTGACTGTAACGAGCGTGACTGTAGCGAGTGTGACTGTAATGAGTGTGACTCTAGCGAGGATAGTTTTTATTGCTCGCAGGCAGCCTCGTGGAGTCTAGGTCAATAGAGGATGCCGTGCGAATGAATGGCCGTGATTGTGACTAGAAAGAGGGTTAGCTGTAAGGAAGGAGAGTGAGCAAGGGGGGGATAGGGTGCAATTTCATTGCCCGCAGCCTCTTGAGAATTCTCAAAAACACCCTGCGGAGTCATGGTGCATAAGGGATGCCGTGCAGGTGAGTGCGCCTGTAACAAAGTGTGACGGTAATGAGGCGAAGCTTTGTTCCCCGCAGCCACAAGGAGCCTAGGTCCATAGAGGATGCCGTGCAGGTGAGGGTAACGAGTGTGGCTGTAACGAGAGTGGGACTTTAACGAGCGTTACTGTAGGGAGGACTCGTGATAGGCCGGAAATTTGTTGCACTCAGCCTCATGGAGTCTCGGTCCATAGAGGATGCCGTGCAGGTGAGTGAGTGTGACTGTAACGAGGACGATTGTATTGGGATAGTGAGTGGAATGGGGGATGGATGTAAACAGTGTGATTGAAGCGAGTGGGACTGTAGGGAAATGCGGCAGTACGCTACACAGGTGCAGTGCAGGGCGCTTGGAGGGAGTTAGTTACTGTGACTTTCCTTAGGCTACCCCTTCCTGCTCCACCCCTTCCTCCCTCCACCCCTTCCTCCCTCCACCCCTTCCTCCCTCCACCCCTTCCTCCCTCCACCCCTTCCTCCCTCCACCCCTTCCTCCCTCCACCCCTTCCTCCCTCTTGGTTCCAGCGGAAGAGGACACCAGTTAGGCGCCATTGAGATAATACGCCTTGTTTTGAGTCGACTAAAAAATACGTGGCAGCAACTTAGGATTCCTCCCTCTTGGTTCTTATTGCTGCAATGCCACATTTCCTTGCCGCGATGTTACACTTCCTCTCTCCTATCCTCCTTACCACTATCCTTCCTCTCCCCTCCCCACCCCTCCCCTGCCTATCCCCCCTCCTCTCCCCTTCCCTCTGACACCCACCCACCTCCCAATCTACATGTGCCACGTGGCAGCGCGTGACTGGCCCAGCGGTGGCAGTGGGGCATCACTACGTGCTGATGGACTTTGCCCACCGGCGAATCGTGTCCGTTGAAACCGCATCCAACGGCCGACACAGCATCCTGGAGCTGGGCCCAAATCCCAAGCTGGGAAGCCAAGCTGACCTTATTGGTGCTCCTACTGCTTCTAACGGCGCTGCTTCTAACGGCGCTGCTTCTAACGGCGCTGCTTCTAACGACGCTGCTTCTAACGGCGCTGCTTCTAACGGCGCTGCTTCTAACGGCGCTGCTTCTAACGCTGCTGCTTCTAACGGTGCTGCTATGAACGGTGCTGCTTCTGATAGTTCTTCTTCTGCTAACGGTGCTGCCACTTCCGCTCCCGCTGCCGCTGCTGCTGCCGCTGCCGCTGCTGCTGCTGCTGATGATGATGAAGGCACGGAATACATCTTCCATGCCAATGCATACACAAGACTGCAGCTACCGGAGAAGATGGGCCCCAGCGCCCACCGCAGAGAGGCCACTGCCAGACGCCTGGGGGTTCCCTCCACCACCCACGACATGCTCAAAGTGAGTGGCGTTCTAACGGGGTACAGTCAAGTGTGGGTGAAAGTACTAAGGTTCCGAGGTACAGAGGCTGTTGGTGCAGCTGCAGGAGAAGATGGGCCCCAGCGCCCACCGCAGAGAGGCCACTGCCAGAAGTCTGGGGGTTCCATCCACCACCCACGACATGCTCAAGGTGAGTGATATTGTGGGTTGTAGTGTGTGTCAGTTCTTGTTAGAAGAGAGAGAATTGATACACTGAATAATGAGCCAAAAGGCTCTTTAGTACAAGCAATGAGCAAGAGAGAGATGAGAGGGAAGCTTACCCTATTGGCCAATAAGTTGGCCAATGGGTGAGCTTGCTTGTGGCCCAAGCAACCACAAAATGTGTGTTGGTTGGGATTGGTTGAGGTAAGGACCAATCCCCACCAACCACAAAATGTGGTTGGAGGGTACACTAACCAACCCCCCAATTTATAAGACTGCTACACATCTAAGTCTAGCCTATGCATGTTGTATAAAATATGGAATTACAACACAACCCCCCAACATGCATAAGGCTAGAAGGCTACAATGAAGAAGCGGGGACCAACTTCGGAGGAGTAAGGCCAAGGAGACGGATCAGTGAAGAGTGAGCCGCATGAGGAAGAGCTTTTGTGAAGATGTCGGCAAGGTTGGCCGCGGAGTCAACCTTGCCGAGCCGAAGGTGCCCAGCCTGAACAAGATCGCGAATGAAGAAATGGCAGAGCTCAATGTGCTTGGAGCGCCCGTGAAACACAGCATCCTTCGTGAGGTGAATGGTGCTGGCGTTGTCACACCAAATGGTGGGACAGCGCTGGGGGGCACCAAGCTCCTCAAGAAGGAAGGAGAGCCAGCGAGCCTCTTGTGCAGCCATGGTGGCGGCATACAACTCGGCTTCGCAGGACGAGAGGGCGATAGCCGAGGAGCGCGTGGAACGCCAGCTGATGAGGCCGCTGCCAAGAGAGAAGCCATAGCCCTGGGAGGAGCGACGATCTGGTCGAGAGTCAGCCCAGGAGGAGTCACTGTAGCCGCTGAGGAGAGGTGGGGAAGGGCCGCCAAGGGTAAGGACATAGTCCTTGGTGCCACGAAGGTACCGGAGGACGCGCTTGGCAGCCTGCCAGTGCTCGTCCGTATGCTTGCCAGCGCCAACAAACCGAGCGAGGACGCTGATGGGGTAGGCAAGGTCAGGGCGAGTGGAGACCATGGCGTACATGAGGGAGCCGATGAGCTCGGGATAAGGATGGGAGGAGGCTGAGGGGGAGGTGGGTGGAGAGAGGTGGTGCCCGACAGAAAGAGGTGTAGGTTGGGCGCCGCCGCGGGCCATGTCAAACCGCTCCAAGACCTGCTGCAAGTAATGACCCTGGGAGAGTGAGATGGTGCGGGCGGAGCGGTCGCGGGTGATGGTCATGCCCAGGTAGTGCTGTAGCTCTCCCAAATCTTTGCACTTGAGACGGCTGCCCAACTCAGCCTTAACACGCTCCAACTCTCCAAGGTCGGCAGTGAGCAGAATCATGTCATCGACATACACAAGGATGTAAAATGGGGAGGGGGAGGTGCGGAGGAAGAGGCTGGCGTCAGAGCGGGAGGTGCGGAACCCAAGTTCAGCAAGGGTGGCGGCAAGTTTAGCATGCCACTCCCTCGGGGCCTGTCGGAGCCCATACACAGGGCGACGCAGCTGCCAGACAGAGTCTGCTGGGAAGGGGAGGTGAAAGCCGGCTGGACGCTCCATGTAGATAAGCTCGCGGAGGACGCCTTGCAGGAAGGCGTTAGAAACGTCCATCGAGTGGATCTCCATATTGAGGCGAGCGGCGAGGTCGAGCACGGCGCGAACAGTAGCAGGCTTGGCAGTGGGGGAGAAGGTATCGAAGAAGTCAAAACCATACCGCTGCGTGAACCCCTTGGCGCAGTAACGAGCCTTATAGACGGGCGGCTCCCCTGGTAGCTGCTTGACGCGAAACACCCACTTTCCTTTCACCACGTTCATAGGGGCGGGGGGGCGAGGCACATCGACAAAAGAAGAGTTGCCGATTAAGGCCTCCAGCTCCTTGATGATGGCGGCGAGCCACAGCGGAGCGTCAGGGCACGCCATTGCCTCCTCGTACGTGGTAGGAACGAAAATGGAGGGAGCAGAGGAGAAGGCGAAGACAGGTGTGCCGGAAAGGTCGAACGTGATGGGTAGAAGCGAGGGGTCGGAAAGGTGGAGGTCAAGGAACTCCTCATGGGAGTCCTCAGAGAGGGAGGTGTGGAAGGCGCGGATGACTGCTGGTGCCGCTGCTGGTGCTGCTGGTGGAGTCGCTGCCGGTGCCGCTGCTGGTACTGCAGCTGGTGCCGCTGCTGGTGCTGCTGCTGGTGCTGCTGCTGCTGTTGCTGGTGCTGCTGCTGGTGCCGCTGCTAGTGCCGATGCCGCTGCTGCTGCTGCCGCTGCTGCTCCTGCTGCTGCTGCTGCTGCTGGTGCTGCTGCTGCTGCCGCTGCTGCCGCCGCTGCTGCTGCTGCTGTTGGTCCTGCTGCTGCTGCCGCTGCTGGAGCCGCTGCTGGGGCCGTTGCTTGTGCCGCTGCTGGAGAGGAGGTGGCTGAGGGGGCTGTTGCATGAGGGGCTTGATGCAAGACAGCCTGGAAGAAGCGACGAAGGAGGGGGGAGAGAGGGGGGGGGTAGAGGTAGAGAGGGTAACGGGAGGCGGTGCACCAAGGATGCTATCACGTGACCTGGTGTGGGGATACCGGGTGAGTATAGTGCGGGAAGGGGGAGGACGGGTCGGTGGCGAGGGAGAGGAAGGGGGGGAGGGGGGGCACTAGGAGAGGAGTGAGCGGGGGAGGCAGGAGAAGACAAAGGTTCCGGGTCAAAGATGTCACCAGATGAGGGAGGGGTACCGTGGGACTGGGACGGCGGAGGGGGGGGGGATGGGAGGATGGGGGGAGGAGGGAGTAGTGGGGGAGGGGTGGTGTCAGACCAGACAAGGGGACGGGTGAGAGGGGGGAGTGGGTCAGTAGATGTGGGAGAGGAGTAGTAGGGAGTGGACTCGTCAAAGACCACATCCCTACTGCGGATTAGACGACCGGATGGAGGGTGGAGGAAAAGGTAGTCGGGGGAGGAGGGATTATGACCAAGGAAGATACAAGGAAGGGTACGAGGGGCAAGCTTTCCCATGGAACGGGAGCGGTCAGAGGGGTGAATAAGGACATGTGCCTTAGAGCCCCAGACACGAAGTGATGAGGCATCAGGCTTGTCCTTCGTCCACAGCTCATTGGGGGTGATGGAGGGGAGAAGGGGGTGAGGGTAGAGGTTAGTAAGGAGGGCGGCATGAAGGAGGGCGTAGCCCCAAAGAGAAGGGGGGCAGGAGGCGTGGACAAGCAGACACCGGGCTGTTTTGGTGATCTCTCGAACACGACTTTCAGCCACACCGTTCTGCTGTGGGGAGTGAGGGAGGGTGTAAGTCTGAAGGATGCCACGAGACTGACAATAGGAGGAGACTTGGTTGTTAAGGAACTCACCACCTCCATCAGAGTGAAGGCGGCGAACAGGGCGCCCAAAATGGGTGTTTGCCCGCTCGAGCCAGGCGATGATCGCAGCCGGGGCATCCGCCTTCGTCCGAAGGAGAGAGACGGACGAGTACCGACTGTGATCATCAACAAGCACGAGGAGGTAGCGATGGCCTTGGCGAGTGGGGGAAGGGTTAGGGCCCCAGAGGTCCATGTGAACAAGATCAAGTGGCTGAGCAGCAGCGGAGGGGGAGCTCCGGTGCGGCTGCTGCTTGAGCTTGCTCTGAACGCAGACGGTGCAGGGGGGTGCAGGGGATTTGGGGAGGGGAGGGAGGGAGGAGGGGAGACCGTGGAGGAGACCGGAGGATACAGAGGAGCGCAGAGTGGCGAAGTTGGGGTGACCTAGCCTGTGATGGAGGAGGATGGTGGGGTGGGAGAGGGAGCGACAGGAACAGTCAGAGTCAGGAGGGCGTGGGGGGAGGGGTGGGTTAGTGGGAGGGAGGGGAGGTGGGGGGGGAAGGAGGGGGGGGAGGCAACTTGGAAGGTGAGGGGGCGGGGAACCCGAAGGGTGTACAGACGGGAGCGGGGACAATAGGGAATACGGGCGAGAAAACGACCTGTGGAGGTTTGGTATAGGTCACAATGGTTAGCACCACCTGGGATGAGAGTGGTGATCATGGCTTGTTGGAGGGACCTTTGGGAGAGGAGGTTAGTACGAAGGGAGGGAATGTGGAGTCCGGTGACAGTACCTGAGGGAAAGAGAGGACAGGGAAGGGTGGAGGTGTTGTGACAAGGGATGGAAAAACTGCTATCAGCGCCGAGGAGGGAGGTTGGTGTGGGGAGAGGGCGCAGTGTACCAGCGTCACGAAGGACAGTGTCAGTGGCTCCACTGTCCAGAACGAAGTCAATGGTGGAGGAAGGTGAGGCAGAGTACTGGAACGACGTTTCATTAGCAGAAGAAGGGTACATGGGAGATGCAACAGATTCAGGTTGACCTAATAAACCAACAAAACCAGAGGAAGGGAAAGCGTTCACACTGCCACCTGCAGACGGCGCCGGGGATGCACCCGAGAGATGGGCTGCAGAGGCAGCACTCCCAGCAGTCCAGGTAGGAAAGGGCTGCTGCTGGGAAACCGGAGGAGGAGGAGGGAGGAGGGGCAGCTGCGGCTGGAGGTCGAGCTGCTGCTGGAGATGCTGGAGCTGGTGCTGGAGCTGAGAGAGGAGAAGTTGCTGCCCATACTGTTGTGACCCCTGCTGCTGATTCCCAAGCTGCTGCTGCTGTTGCTGCTGCTGGTGCTGCTGCTGGGGAGGGGCGAGGGCCTGGTGGGCGTGGGTGGAGGAGGAAGGTTCATAGAGGGGAGAGGAACGGACCTCAAGGGGAGTGGGGCGAGGGTTGAGGGCGGACCAGCGAGGAGGGGTGCCGGTGTTGCCACGGGCAAACCACTCATCACTGAGTGCCTTGAAGCACGTCTCAGTGGCATGGGTGGTTTGGCCGCAGCGCTGTCCCTGAGTGGGACCGTAGCGAGGCAGGTACTGACAGGGAGGAAAGGTAGCTGCCGTACCACGACCCGCACCACTGCTGCCAGTACCACCACGTCCTGCTGATCCCCCTCGTCCACCCCCACGCCCACCACCACGCCCACCCCCACGCCCACCACCACGGCCACCCCGGCTGCTGCGCGACTGGGCTGCTGCGGCTGTGGAGGAAGAGTGGCGAAGGATCTCAGCTTCGGTGGTGATAATCCACTGAGCGACTTCGGCAGGGGTGTGGTGCTTAAAGATAAGCTGCATGTAAGCAAGCTTGTGAGTGTCGAAGGCAGGTGTGAGGCCTTCGAGGAGGTGGCAGCAGATGACGGTGTCCGGGTACACCACATCGAGTGCTGCAAGGCGCCGAGAAAGGTCTAAGACACAGCGAGTGAAAGCAGCTGCGCCAGAAGTGGAATCCATGGAGAGAGTTCCAAACTCCTTGATAAGGGCGTAAAGAGTGGCAACGTCCTGCCGATCGAAAAGGTCAACCAGCAGTCGCCATAGGTGGGAGGAGGAGGTAGGTGAGAGCTCGCGTTTGAGGGAGGAGGGGATGGTGGCGAGAAGAATGGCAAGCGCGCGTCGATCAGCAACCCGCCAGGCAGTAATTTTCGTGGTGTAGTCTGCAAGTTCTGCAGTGTAGGTGTCCAGGTCCTCCTGGTACGTGTTGTAGCGGGCAGCGGCGTCGTCATAGATGCGCCTGTCGTCCTCATAACGCAATTGCAGGCGCAGGTGCTCTTGGAGATTAAAGCGGTAGGTATGTGCGAATGGCGGTTTCCGAGCTCTGCGGGTCGTTGACATTCGGTGCAAAGGTGGGAGGATCACCGGGGGGAGAGGGCTCGGCACCAGGGTGGGCGGGGGCAGGTCCAGTAGGAGCGGTGGGGGCCACGGGCTGAAGTCCACCGCCTTCCTGAAAGACAACCGAGCGAAGGTTGTAGCCGCTGACCACAACAGAGGAGAGGAGCACCTCAACGGAATGGGCATAAGAGTGCCAATTAGCCGCAGAGTTGTCAGGCAGCAACTCGAGTGCGTCAACAGTGGCAAGGTCGACGGAGGAATCGGACGACGATGCCATAGAGATGAGGGTGGGTAGAGGCTAGGGCAGGAGGAGGATGGTGCGAGGGTACCGTTGCCAGTGCTGCTGCTGGCCCTGCCGCCCGTGCCGCTGCTGGTTCTGCAGCTGGTGCCGCTGCGGATGCTGCTGCGGGTAGGATGGGAGGAGGAGGAAGGGAGGAGCGGAGGGTGGGGAAGGTGGAGGAGGAGGAGGGCGATGCTATGGGGGATGCAAGGGGGAAGGGTGCTGCTGGTGGTGCCGCTGCAGGTGCTGCTGCTGCTGGTGCCGCTGCTGGTGCTGCTGCTGGTAGGATGGGAGGAGGAAGGGAGGAGCGGAGGGTGGGTTGGGTGGAGGAGGAGGAGGGCGATGCTATGGGGGAGGAAAGGGGGGGAGGGTGCTGCTGGTGGTGCCGTTGAGATGCCGCTGATGATGCTGCTGCGGGTACAATGGGAGGAGGAAGGGAGAGAGGGGGGGGGGGGGGGGGGGGACGAGGAGGGCAGCCGTGCGGCAGATCCGCACGTCTGGGAAGCCCGTGGCGAACGCACGCGGGACAGCCCGCGGCAAACGAGCGGGACGTGCAGAGATGGGCGCGAAATGGTCAGATTTCAGCGCGGGAGATGCAGAGGTGGTCGCGCGGAGTGCAGATCTGGTCGCGCGGAGTGCAGATCTGGTCGCGCGGAGTGCAGATCTGGTCGCGCGGAGTGGAGATTTGGGCGCGCGGAGGGCAGATCTGGTCGCGCGAAGGGCGGATCTGGGCGCGCGGAGGGCGGATCTGGGCGCGCGGAGGGCGGATCTGGGCGGGCGGAGTGCAGATCTGGGTGCGAAATGGTCAGATCTGGGCGCGGGAGGAGGAGATCTGGTGGCGCGGAATCCAGATCTGGGCGCGGAATGATCAGATCTAGGCGCGGGAGGAGTAGATCTGGTCGCAGGGAGTGCAGATCTGGGCGCTGGAGTTGCAGATTTGAGCGCGGGGAGTGCAGATCTGGGCGCTGGAGTTGCAGATCTGAGCGCGGGGAGTGCAGATCTGGGCGCTGGAGTTGCAGATCTGAGCGCGGGGAGTGCAGATCTGGGCGCTGGAGTTGCAGATCTGGACGCGCTTTGGAGGGCAGCGCCTTAGGAGGCGCACGGGGAGGGAGGACAGGGCCTAGAGGGCGCGTGAAGGGAGGGCAGCTCCGTGGGTGGGGCTAGATCTGAGGAACGGGGAGGAGAGGGTGGCCTAAGGACCGAGGGAGGAAGGCGTGAGCCATTAGCTCTGGATACCATGTTAGAAGAGAGAGAATTGATACACTGAATAATGAGCCAAAAGGCTCTTTAGTACAAGCAATGAGCAAGAGAGAGATGAGAGGGAAGCTTACCCTATTGGCCAATAAGTTGGCCAATGGGTGAGCTTGCTTGTGGCCCAAGCAACCACAAAATGTGTGTTGGTTGGGATTGGTTGAGGTAAGGACCAATCCCCACCAACCACAAAATGTGGCTGGATGGTACACTAACCAACCCCCCAATTTATAAGACTGCTACACATCTAAGTCTAGCCTATGCATGTTGTATAAAATATGGAATTACAACAGTTCTGGGAGTCTGAGGCGAGAGCTGGGGCGAGTGCTGCTGCTGCAGCTGCGGGAGAAGATGGGACCTAGCGCCCACCGCAGAGAGGCCACTGCCAGACGCCTGGGCGCTGCGCTCCCTCCACCACCAGTGACATGGTCAAGGTGAGTTGTAACGGGCTAGTGAACGAACGTGGCGTGTGTGTGCGGGGGAAGATGGCCCCCCAGTTCCTTCCCACCGCAGAGCAGAGAGGTCACTGCCAGACGCCTGGGGGTTGTAGTGTGTCCCACCGTCTGCCAGACCCCACTCACCAGTGACATGCTCAAGGTGAGTGGGGCAATAACAGACTAGTGAATGAACGTGACGTGGGCACAGCTAGCTAGTGCGTGTGACAGTTTTGAGGTTCTGAGAAAAGGTGGCTCCTACACGCACCCCCCTGTCGCCTGCACCGGGTCTGATCTGAGAGGCACTCTTCCCCCCACTCGCACCCCCCTGTCGCTTGCACCGGGTCTCACCCTCCTCACCAGCTCACCTCTTTCTCCCGTCACCCCTCTCTCCCCTCACCTCTCTCTCCCCTCACCTCTCTCTCCCCTCACCTCTCTCTCCCCTCACCTCTCTCTCCCCTCACCTCTCTCTCCCCCTCACCCCTCTCTCCCCTCACCCTCTCTCCCCTCACCCCTCTCTCCCCTCACCTCTCTCTCCCCTCACCTCTCTCTCCCCTCACCCTCTCTCCCCTCACCCCTCTCTCCCCTCACCCTCTCTCTCCCACCAGATCCTATCCAACTCGGACGACAATGAGTATCCCATCTTCAATGAGGGCAGACAGTATGAGGTCGGAGGTGAGTCATCCAGTGCGGTGTAAAGGTGTATGAGGAGGTGGTGTGGGTGTGGGTGTGTAGGTTTATGTGTGGGTGTGGGGGTGTGCACATGAGTAGGTTGGGCAAGGAGGATCCCACCTTCTACGAGGGAAACAGGTTTGAGGTCGGTGGTGAGCTGTCCAGTGCGGTGCAGAGGTGTGTGAGGGTGTACGAGCAATTCATTCCAAGCCGGCTCAGTTTGCAGCGCTATCCATGCGCCCTGCTTAGCCAAAACGACCATCTACCGTACTGTTCCGCCATCGCCCCTGCAAATCCCACCCACCTGCCTCTTCTTTAAATTGGAATCACTTTTGCCTCTTCTTCTCCCGCCTCAAAAGCGATCCGTTGTCTTTTCTCCTTCCCGTCATTTTGTTGTTTCCCTTCTCCCCTTTCCCCAACTCTGCCTTAACCAGGCCCGGTCATAACATCCACACGCAGCACAGCACACTCTTATACCGCAATGCAGGGAGTCTCAGCATCTTCCCTGCAGGCACAACTCGCCCCTCTCCCTTCCATTTTTTCCTTCCCCCCATGGCTCTTTCTCCACCCCCCAGGCCCGGTCATCCACACGCAGCACAGCACGCTCTTCAACCTCAGTGCCGGCGAAACTCAGCATCTTCCCTGCAGGCACCACTCACCCCTCTCCCTCCCTCTTTCCCCTGCATCTCTGTTCTCTTCTCCTCCTTCCCCACCTCTGTTTTCACCTGGCCCGGCCATCTTCACCCTGCATAGTGGTATACCATGCTCTTTAACCTCGTGTATGTTGAGTCGAATCAAAATACCCCTCTTAACCTCGTGTATGTTGAGTCGAATCAAAATACCCCTCTTTAACCTCGTGTATTTTGAGTCGTCTCAAAACGCACCTCTTAAACCTGGATGCCGGGGAAACTCAGCATCTTGTGCCTCCCACCGTCCCTACATCCAAAACTCGTCCCTTCTCCTGTTTCCCCCATCTCTGAACATCCAGGCCCAGTCGTCCCCACACTGCACAGCACGCTCTTTAATCTAGACGCTGGAAAAACTCAGCATCTTCTGCCTCCCGTCGTCCCTGCAGGCACAACTCACCCCTCTCCCTTTGACTGTCTCCTTCCTTCCCCCCTTGGCTCCTTCTCCCGCCCCCAGGCCCGCTCATCCACACGCTGCACAGCACGCTCTTCAATCTGGAAGCTGGGAAACTCAGCATCTTTGGTGGGCGTTCCACAGATGGCAACGTGCTGCATGAGTTTGACATCTGAATGCAGCGGAATTGGTTGACCTCAGACCTGAGTGAGTATAAAATGACTGAAGTAATTGTAACTACTATATACATCGCTATAAATGTAGAATGCAGGAATTACGGAATGTCCTAACTAGCCATGTCTTCTAAGCGTTACATTCTCTCATTACAACTAAATTCAATCGTGCGCCAGGAACCGGTTACGAACCGGCCTAATTCCTTAGCGTTGCAGCTGCCTAATGCCACTGCCGCCGCCGGCCTAGATCCTGCCAACCGTTCGTGCCATTTCGCGCCACTCCGTCCCTTCACATTCGTTCTTGCTTGTGCGTACCTCTTGTTACGAACAGGAATGTACTGTACTGGTTTCTCCTTTATCGTAACACGACCAACACGGAAATACGTCCGTGGGAGTCGTGTCGTGTGTGTTGCTTGATCATTGGAAATCTATCAAAATAGCATGTCGTAAAATATTCGCGTCCAAGAATGAGCCTGTAGTGAGGCTTGTCATGTGGTGTACCTCAACTCACAATAATAGAACCATCATTCCCATTCTTGAGACCGACTCGGAAGTTAGAACATTACAAATCACATGTTGGATTTTAATGTCTGTAATAATGTGTGAATATGTTTAGACCCGGGGTCTTATTTTTTTAACCCGATGACAAGACCTTTAGAGGTTTTTTTTTTCATTATCTTGTCCACTAAACGGGGTATTACGGTAGTGTCCGCTTGATGGACACAAAAAGTATGTAGATCGCCTCGTTTAGTTTGAAGGAATCCGAATCTGTCATTAGTGAAGTCAACTGATAAGCAAACGTCAAGAACTATGGCGGCAAGATGGAATGGGTGGACGGTAGTCGAGCCGCTGTGCAAATCTTGACATTTGCCAAATTGCCAATGACAGATTTCGCGTTATCCGCAAATAGATTTTGTGGCACACACACTTCACGTGGACGTTGGCGACGCCTGAAGCGGTTCATCGGGCTTCGGCACGATGATGTTTTAGACCGTCGCAATTTTCGCGAATTCATCGAGCGTGTGCTGAAGGACACACGATGAGAGAATGACTCCAGTGGCCAATAAGGTGATTCACCATCCCTCGCGTGGCCACGAATGACTCGAGTGGCCACCAAATTTGGTGATAATGACTCGAGTGGCCACGCCAGGGGATTCTTGCTAGCTTTGTTTTCTTTGGCGCATTACCCTACGGGGCTTTGTAGTCACAAAATTCCCCATTCGTGCGAGTGGTATCCTTAGGTAGTGTTCCGTTCTGTTCCGCACCCGAAAATTTCGCCCACACACTGTACACAACACCGTAAAAAATGCACGACCAACAGTAGTTGCGCGGTCATTTTCGGCCCAATGCCCGACCAATGAGCGCGCGGTAAAAAAAATCAGCGATCATAAACTGCTCTGCGGGGGCATAAATGCGCGAACACATTAGTGACCGCGGGCAAGAAAAAAACTAAAACCCACTCGGAAGGCATGCCATCCGAGGGAGCCTCAACCCTAAAATTTTAGGGTTGAGGCTCCCGAATGGCATGCCGTAAGCCATGGGGTTTATTATTTTTATCACCTTAGGGTAATGCGCCGTGAAAACAAAAAAGGCAACAAGAATCCCCTGGCGTGGCCACTCGAGTCATTATCACCAAATTTGGTGGCCACTCGAGTCATTCGTGGCCACGCGAGGGATGGTGAATCACCTTATTGGCCACTGGAGTCATTCTCTCACACACGATTGAAGTTCAACTGAAATATGGACCTGAGTTCAATGTCCTCGTGATTTTCCAAATCGCTCTAAACCGCGTTTTTTTCGGATCCAACAAGGCTACCCGAACATGTTCGAAGCTAAGGGCGGATTCCTGGCTTCGGGTTATCCGCTCTTTGAGTCATCCGAAAATGTGGGATCCAATCGGAAATCCTGAATCTCGAGATTGGGAATTTTAGATTGGTTCCCAGAAATTCGGATGACTCAAAGAGCGGATGACCCGAAGCCAGGAATCCGCCCTAACAGCTTCGCGTCGCTGGGATGTTGATGAAGCGTTGTCACATATCAGTCTAGTACAACAGAGTGACATTACCGTCAGTTTGGCTCAGATGTTTTGTATGATCTCGGTGACTTTCTGAGTGCTTTAACGTAGAAAAACTTACGGGAGTTAAAAATTTTGCGTTTGCCAATTCCGCGATGTCGGCAAACCCAGCTGCGCCGCTCGAATGGCTCGAGGTGTCTGGCAGCCCGTTCGAGCGCGGCTGTGCGATCGGCGTGCGATTCGGCGACAGGATCCGCGAGCGCGTCGCCACGGCGTTGTTTCTGCAGGACGACATGATTCCGTTCGTACGGACGAGAGAAGGAGCTTTGATGCTGGAAATGTTTTCCGAGTCCAACAAGTGAGCCCTCATTCTGACTCAAGCATTAACACGTACCACACTCTTCTGATCGGATTGTGACAAGCGGAAAAAAAAAACAGCCTACTAGTTCAACTCAGACGTCAGGAAACCCGCTTACATTTGAGCTAGTACGCTTTTGGATACACTTTTTTGAACTCTAATGTTCGTATTCATTGGAGGTGAGTTGGGTCCCCCTCGCATTTTAGACGTCCTGTCCCCCATCCCCTCCCCCTCCCCCCCCTCCCTCCCCTCTCTTCTCTTTTCCACCGCCACCGCAGGGCACTACCCGGAGAACTGGGAGGAACTCCGAGGCATGGCGGCCGGCAGCTGCGTTCCATTTGACGAGGCGACTCCAGAGACGTCCCAAAAGCCCCCTTCCCCCCGGTTCTCCTTTCCACTGCCACCGCAGGGCACTATTCCCGGAGTACTGGGAGGAGCTCCGAGGCATGGCCGCCGGCAGCTGCGTTGCATTCGACGAGGTGAGCGGATTTAGTTCGCCGCAGGTGCCCCTGAGCCGCCTTGTTTGGCGAGGTGAGTGGTCCGCTCTATGCTGCTCCCGGCTGCTCCCTGCTGCTCCCTGCTGCTCCCGGCTGCTCCCTGCTGCTCCCTGCTGCTCCCTGCTGCTCCCTGCTGCTCCCTGCTGCTGCATGCTGCTGCATGCTTTCACGCTATAACACCTCGCTACCCACTGGGTCAAAACGAGGTGTTATTTGGCGCAGCAGAATGCCTTTAACACTAGCCCACAGGCGTTACACACGCCCGTCTCAACTAGGCCCGGATTGCTGTATCGTTCTGCCCATTCCCTCCACGTCAGGTGTTGCTTCTGAACCTTCGCAAGGAGTTCGGTCCCTACTTGCCCTCCCTCACCGCGCCTGCCACGTCAGCAGTGCTGCCTAAAGTGGTATCGCCGGCTGTCATGATGACGGGACTTGGTTGCGGTGGTGGCGCTGCCACGTTGGACAGGGCCCTGCAGTATGCCATGGCATCTGACGACTGCTGTGACTTGGTGCTGCTCACGGATGACGTGGCAGCAGTGGGGCACAACGAGGATACCTCCTCGTATGTGGATAACACGTGAGTGGCTGCAGTGCCATGCCACCCCATGCCATGCCATCGCATGCCGTGTGTGGCAGCAGTGCCATGCCCACATGTGCAGTGCAGCTATGCCCAGCCCATGCCATCATGCCCAGGCTATGCCATGCTCATGTCCATGCCCATGCCACGCCCATACCTATGCTATGCCATGGGATTCCATGCTTATGCCATGTCAGGCCATGCACATGCCCATGTCCGTGCCATGCCCATGCCCATGCCCATGCTTATGCCCATCCCCATCCCCTGCTATGCGCCATGCCATGCCTGCCCTTACTCGCTGCTTTTCACATGCTCCCTTTCTTCTTTTTCTCCTCCTCATCTGTAATCTCCTCGCAGCTTTCTGTTGCGCATGCACACCGACAGTGGGGTCGCCTTCACCGCATACGCCTACCCGGGCGAGCTCCCTTCTGTGGCCTTTGGCTTCAACGATGCCAGAATGGTGAGAGCAGAGAGAGAAGAGAGAGCAGAGATTGGCTGTAGCAATTGAACTGAGTTCACCAGATGCCTTCACCGCATACGCCTACCCGGGCGAGCTCCCCTCTGTGGCCTTTGGATTCAACAGCGCCAGAATGGTGAGAGTCACTGTCGCAACTGAGTTGAGTTCACGAGGTGTTGCCTTAAATGCCTTGCTACACCTATGCGGGCGAGCTCCCCTCTGTGGCCTTTGGCTTTAACAGCGCCAGAATGGTGGGTTCCCATTGCTGAGTGGTGAGAGCAGAGAAGCTCACCGTCGCAACTGAGTTCTCCACGTGTTGCATTCACTGCATACACCTACGCGGGCGAGCTCCCATCCGTGGCGTTCGGCTTCAACAGCGCCAGAATGGTGAGAGCAATGAGAGCAGAGAAGTTCACCGCGTGCTGCCTTAACTGCCTTTCTACACCTAGTACGCGGGCGAGCTCCCTTCTGTTCCTATGGCTTCAACAATGCGAGAATGGTGAGAGACTGACAGCTACTTACAATATGGCATGGCATGGCATGGCTATATTGGGACTACTTCTGACAGCTCTCATCCATGCTTGTTGGCACCGCCTACTGTCGGAGTGAAAGGCCCCGCCCTCGCTTGGGCGTAGGCATTCTCTGCGACGACGTGGTGAATTCGACGAAGTGATCGTCGCATTGGAGCAGCCCGTCCTCTGAAACCGCGGGTGGTTTTCGAGGAAGGTTGTCCTCTGATTCACCAGCCCGTCAACGAGCTCTGGTCGACGGGGTGCTGTTCGACGAGCTCGTCTTCTGATCTGCTTCTGGGTCGCGCGATCTCTGACGGACGGGGTGCTGTCCGAGGAGCTGCGTTCTCTGATCGAAGGGCGCTGTTCGGCGAGCGTCAGCTTGGCGAACTGGTCGACCAAATTCGCGCGACTGCGAAACTCTGCGAGGGCATGCGAAATTCGCTCAGGTGGCTCTTAGCGAAATTCGACCTGCGAAATGGCATCACGTGCTCGACGGTGGGCATCTGGAGAAACCGTCAGAGCGTTTTCTACCTGGCACCTGCGCAATGTCTCTGACGGTGTAACCGTCTACCTGCACCTACTCGGCAGGTGCACACCTGCGCAGATATTCACCTGCGAATGCAGCGCTGGCAGGCCGCCCTGCTGCAGCGCTGGCATGTCGCCCTTCTGCTACGCTGGCAGACCGCTCTGTTTCAGCGTTGGCGAACCGCTCTGATGCAGTGCTGGCAATTCGCCTTGCAGAATGGTTGCTAGGGGTTGCAATGCCATTCCAGAGATATCACTTTGCATGCTCATTCTTGTACGCTAATGCTTAATTTTCAATGTTCTTTTCAATTTCCTTAGTGGAAACTCTTGCCAAATTTCTCTGTGAACAGAGCAAGTAGTGAGAACTCTGTTAGAACGCTACTAGAGCGCTACGATCACCCACACAACTCCGTGCCCTCCTTCGTAGTTCACACCCGTTGTAGGGTGACTCTCCGCATGGTGCGGTGAGCGTGGAACGGCCCCGCGTTAGAACCTTCAGAGTAGCCGACTTTAGTGCTCAATACCTAAGTTGTTGTAGGCCGGCAGTCTAAACCGCCATGGTCGACCAGGAGGAGGTCGCTGCAGTCGTAGAGGATACCCTGCAGGCGCGGTTAGATGACGTTCGGGCACGCCACGCAGCTGGCGAGTACGGCGGAGCAACCTTGGAGGTTATGCTCTTTGGAACCCGCGTGCAGTGGGCGCGCGAGCACCCAACGACCCGTACTGAGGCGGATGGTCTGCCCGCCACACCCCGACCGGCGCGCAACGAAGGGGGCGTCGACGACCAGGTCGACGGTGGTAACCAAGTCGGCAGCGAAGGCAGCACGAGGCTTCGTGGAGTGATTCGGGCCGCTGACTTTGGCGTCGGCGGAATGCAGGCACGAGTTCAGCGCTCGGCGGCAGCGGGAAGTTCGAACGGCAACATCGATGGTCGACGCATTTCTCCTCAGCGGAGTGGAGCCAGGCCGACATCGGCGACTCATGCGTCGGCTGGTCGGGACGGAGGCATCGCGCCGGCGTACGGCTACTTCAAATTTTCGCCGGACAAGATCGCTGTGCCGAAGCCGCTCGAAGGACGACATGACTTGATCACATGGATTGAGTCAATCGAACCCCAACTGGAGATCGCTGGATTGAAGAAGTTCGTTGACGGCAAGGTGGAGATGCCGGACGAAGACGACTCTGAAATGTTGGCGGAATTTCGCGCTGCTCACCTTCTGACCTTCATGGTCATTTCGAGGTGCTGTTCGCCGCTGGTGCAAGTCGCGCTGAAGCAGTGCCGACTTCAAGTGGACGCCGGCTACCAAGCGTGGCAGTACATCATGCGCACCTACAGAGCGACCGACGACCTCTACATCAGCCAACTGGAGAGGACATTGGCCACCATTCGCATGGGCGAGCAGGAATCGGCGACCGAGTACTGCAATCGAGCGCGGCGAATTTTGGCCGACATGCGGATGGCTGGTTTCGAGTACTCGGTGGCGTCGTATGTCACACACGTCATCAACGGCCTTCCCTCGAGCTACAATCTGATGCGCCGGATGCTGATCATGCCCGGCACGCGCGAGACTCTGAATGAGGACTCCCTTTCGAGCCACATCATCCAGGACGAGTTTATGCAGGAGTCTGAGCGGTCTTCAGAGCTCCTTCCGCAGGCTAACTACGTTGCTCCGACGAAGCAGGGACGTCAGACGGGGCAGCGTGGGAAGTCGGGCGGAGGTGGAGGCGGTGGCGGAAAGTCGTCGAACACCAAGTCTACGGAGAGCGCCGACCGCGGAAAGTCGGCGAAGGACAATGATCGCGGAAGCAGTGGTTCGCGTCGAGGAGGACGCCGCTGCTACATTTGTGGAGACCCTGACCACCTCTCCTACGACTGCCCTGATCGCGACGAGTCCGACGACAATCAGAGAGGGAGCCGCGGAAAGTCTGACAACGCCAGTCGTTCAGAGGACGGGAAGTCTGACAGCGACAGTCGTCGTCGAGACAACCAGCCGCGCAAGGAGAAGCCTGCGTCCTCGAAAACGGCGTCGAAATCAGAGGGTGATGCTTCGAGCGAAAAGAAAGCCTCTTGTTCGATGGTTGGCGTGGTCGAGCCAACAATTTCGCTGGCGCCGGAGGCTGGCGAAGACTTCCAGGCGGTCGCAGCAGCCGTCCAGGCGAATCCGACTGTGGTTCTCCTCGACAGCGGCTGCTCCCATCATCTGATGGGAACGCGGGAGGCCTTCGTCGAAATGAAGCCAAGAGGAGAAATCCGTCACGTGCGCGGATTCAACGGGGCGCTTCAGAACGTCGAAGGCCGTGGCACAGTTGCTCTGAAAGGGGAGACTGGGAAGCAGGTTCTCATCCCCGACGTGCTGTACGTTCCGGGCGTACACGCGAACCTACTGTCTTCTGGCCAGCTGGAGGAAAACGGCGTGAAGCTGAAGCACGAGGGTGACGAGATGCTGCTCGTTTCTGCTGCAGGAGATGTGCTCGGTCGAGCACGCTACACCGGCCGAGTTCTCTGCACCGACCTTCGCCCCTGCTCCTCGAAATCGACTACATCTGCGACAGAAGCAGTTGCTCTGCGGACGATCGCATCGGCGACGAAGTCAAAGCCGGCTAAGTGGCACGCGAGGCTTGCGCACGTCGGCATTGACACGATTTTGAGCTCGGCGAAACATGAAGTTGCCATCGGCCTTGACATCGAGAAGTCCACTGGAGCTGACGTGCCGTGTACCTCCTGTGTCGGCGGCAAGCTGGCGCGTCATACGTTTCCAGAGATGGGATCAGAGGCTGCAAACGCCCTCGATGTCGTGCACATTGATCTCTGTGGCCCCTTCCGTGTGGCCGCCGCAGATGGGAGCCTCTACTTCCTCCTCCTCAAAGACCGCAAGACCCGCTTTGTGTGGGTTCGCCCGATCGCGAAGAAGAGCGACGTGCTGGTCGTTTTCGAGAAGTGGCTGAAGGAAGTGGAGCGACAGACTTCGATGACGGTGAAAAGGTTGCGCTCAGATCGCGGAGGCGAATTTCTTGGCAGGAAATTCACCGAACTTGTCGAGGACAAGGGTATCCTCCACAACCTCACCTGCCCCTACACCCCACAGCAGAATGGCATGGCAGAGCGGGAGATGCGCACGGTCGTCGAATCTGTGCGGACGATGCTGCTTCACATGGGGGTGAAGCATCACTGGTGGCACCTCGCTCTTCGCCACGCCGTCTGGGTGCGCAACTGCCTCGAACGGGCCTCCCTTCCCCCGAGAACGACGCCGTATGAGCTGCTGTTCGAACAGAAGCCGGACCTTACGCTGGCACGAGTGTGGGGCTGCATGGTGCAGTTCATGGTCCCGGAGCAGCAGCGCGGCGGAAAGTTGGCGCCGAAGGCACGGTGGGGCATTCACCTTGGTGTTTCGTCAGAGAGCAAGGGCTGGGAGGTGCTCGATCTCACTGACAACCGCATTGTCACAACCGTGGAGGCAATTTTCTACGAGACGATGTCTCTGGCGGAGTGGAAGGCGGAGCACGGGCCGGTGTCCGAGCGGACGAAGATTTCTCTGCCGACCGATCCATCGCCAGCGGCGATTTCGTTGCTCGAATCCGAGGACGATGGTCCTTCAGAAAATCCCGCTCCCCCCATTCCGCCCTCCTCGAACGCTCCTCCACCTCTCCCTACCTCCCTCCCATCGCTCGCCGCCGGCTTGCCTAAGTCGGCTTCAACGTCGGCCGCCAGCGATGAGGGGAGCATTGGTGCGTCACCTTCGGATCCGCCCATTGGCATTGCTGGTGGTCGACGTGATCTGGTCAGCGAGCAAGACGGCGACGGAGTGAAGTCTCCGCCGACGGGGGAGCCGGCGAACAGGGAGCGCGTTTCAGAGAAGCCGCCGACGTCGAACGGGAAGCGCGTTTCAGAGGAGCCGCCGACAGGGGAGCCGTCGAATGAGGAGCTCGCTTCAGAGGAGCCGCCGACAGGGGAGCCGTCGAACGAGGAGCTCGATTCAGAGGAGCGGACGACAGGGGAGCAGTTCGATGAAGGCACCTCGAGCGACGTTGTTGAAGTCATCGGCGGCGATGAAAGAGAGCTGTCAGCCGGGGAGCAGTCCAGCGACAGCGACGTGGTGGAAGTCTCTGCCGACAAGCCCGCAGTTCGACGTTCCACCCGCTCTAACTTTGGCAAGCCTCGCGAGAAGCTGAGCTACCATGCTTGCCTGCCGCCGACCTCCTACAGCACTCTGCTCGATGATGCGCAGTTCGACGTCAACGTTCCAGAGCTCGACCCTGATATGCACGCCGACCCGGAGCATCGCTGGGACATCGCTAACATGACAGTGAAGGAGGCGTTAGCGAGTTGGAAGGGCAAGGCGGTGAAAGCGGCGATGGACGAGGAGATTCGAAGTCTCATCACCAACGGCACATGGGAGCTGGTCGAGCGTCCGCGCGGCGTCAATGTCATGAAGAACCGCTGGGTTCTGACGACGAAGTATCACGTCGACGACACGGTCGCTCGCGAAAAAGCCCGCCTGGTGGTCAAGGGCTTTACGCAGGTCTACGGAGCTGATTACGAGGAGACGTATGCACCGGTCGGGAGCTACGTCACGCTGCGAATTTTTCTCAGCATTGTCGCCGTCCTCGACCTGCACCTCATGCAGCTGGACATGAAGAATGCGTTTCTTCAGAGCAAGCTCGATCGCGTGCTCTACATGGACCAGCCGGCTTACTACAACGATGGCACTGGCCGCGTATGCAAGCTGCTGAAGAGTTTGTACGGGCTGAAGCAGAGTCCTTTGTTGTGGTACTCGGCGCTCGACGCTGTTCTGACGGGCGCTGGCTGGAGCAAGAGCCAGGTTGACGAGGCTCTCTATTTCAGAGTTGGCGACGACGGAGTGGCGTGCTGGGTGCTCGTCTACGTCGATGACCTGCTCGCCGCCAGCAGCAGCACCACGATGCTGAAGGAGCTGAAGGAGCTGCTAGAAGCTGCATTTGAGCTGCGCGAGATCACCCCGGTCGAGAAGTATTTGGGGCTCGAAATCGTGCGCGACCGTCCGGCGCGGAAGCTGTGGCTGCACCAGCAGTCCTACGTCGACAAGCTGCGTAGGCGCTTCATCGACGAGGAGCAGACTGGTCGGCGTCCGAAGACGCCTGTTTCCGTCGACGCTTACGCGGAGCTGACTTTCGACGATGAGGACTTCCAGTCGCGCGAAGAGGAGGAGTACCGTCAGAAGGTCGGTTCTCTGCAGTTCGCTGCCACGACAACTCGACCCGACATTGCTTTTGCGTGTAGCAAGCTGGGATCTGGTCTGACGGTGAGGAGCGATCAGCACTGGCGCGAGGTCGATCGCTGCCTCAACTACCTCTCTGACACGCGCGATTTCGCTCTGGAGTTCGGAGGAGGACCCGAAACTCTGAAACTGGTCGGCTACGCGGACGCGGACGACGCTGGCGACAAGCAGAATCGCACTAGCACAAGTGGCTACGTTTTCATCTTCGGCGGCGCAGCTGTCTCCTGGACGAGCCAACGCATCAAGTGCGTGACTCTGTCCTCTACAGAGTCGGAGTACATCGCGGCCACCGAAGCAGGCAAGGAGGCCCGTCGACTTCGATTCCTCCTCGCCGAGTTCCAGCTCCTCGATGCTGGAACACCGACTACTCTGAACGTGGACAATCAGTCCGCCATCGCTGTCGCTGAAGGCTTGGGGCTCAAGGGCAACCTCAAGCACATGGAGCGGCGCTACGCTTGGCTGCAGCAGATGGTGAAGCGCAAGAAGATTGCGCTGGAATACATCCCGACATCCGAGCAGCCGGCGGACTTCCTCACGAAAGGGCTGCACTTTCCGGCCTTCAACCGGTGCTCTGTCGCGGTCGGCCAGGTTCGCCTTGCCGAAGTCGGCGACGACGACGACGTGCAGCAGTAGGTGCCATGTCCTCTAACATGGCTGGTGCGGTGATCGGCGTGCGGAGGTGTGCACGCCAGAGAAATGTCCCCTTGTATTTTATTAGCTAGGTTCTGGGTGGACCTTGTGTGTGGGTGCCCAAGCGTGAGCTGGGCAGGGGAGTGTCGGAGTGAAAGGCCCCGCCCTCGCTTGGGCGTAGGCATTCTCTGCGACGACGTGGTGAATTCGACGAAGTGATCGTCGCATTGGAGCAGCCCGTCCTCTGAAACCGCGGGTGGTTTTCGAGGAAGGTTGTCCTCTGATTCACCAGCCCGTCAACGAGCTCTGGTCGACGGGGTGCTGTTCGACGAGCTCGTCTTCTGATCTGCTTCTGGGTCGCGCGATCTCTGACGGACGGGGTGCTGTCCGAGGAGCTGCGTTCTCTGATCGAAGGGCGCTGTTCGGCGAGCGTCAGCTTGGCGAACTGGTCGACCAAATTCGCGCGACTGCGAAACTCTGCGAGGGCATGCGAAATTCGCTCAGGTGGCTCTTAGCGAAATTCGACCTGCGAAATGGCATCACGTGCTCGACGGTGGGCATCTGGAGAAACCGTCAGAGCGTTTTCTACCTGGCACCTGCGCAATGTCTCTGACGGTGTAACCGTCTACCTGCACCTACTCGGCAGGTGCACACCTGCGCAGATATTCACCTGCGAATGCAGCGCTGGCAGGCCGCCCTGCTGCAGCGCTGGCATGTCGCCCTTCTGCTACGCTGGCAGACCGCTCTGTTTCAGCGTTGGCGAACCGCTCTGATGCAGTGCTGGCAATTCGCCTTGCAGAATGGTTGCTAGGGGTTGCAATGCCATTCCAGAGATATCACTTTGCATGCTCATTCTTGTACGCTAATGCTCAATTTTCAATGTTCTTTTCAATTTCCTTAGTGGAAACTCTTGCCAAATTTCTCTGTGAACAGAGCAAGTAGTGAGAACTCTGTTAGAACGCTACTAGAGCGCTACGATCACGCTCACAACTCCGTGCCCTCCTTCGTAGTTCACACCCGTTGTAGGGTGACTCTCCGCACCTACATTTATGCATGTTGAGAAAGACGTATCATTCAGCGTCTTGGACGCTAGACGCCCACCCGTCCCTTTCCAGGACGCTCAAAAGACGCAGGGCCGGGCAGGGTTAAAAAAAGTTCGGGCCGCCAAAAGAACATAGGGGTTAGGGGTCGAATAGGACATTGTAGACTAAGTATGGAGGCAGGCTTACTATCAGCTACTAAATCTAGGGTTTCGAAGAAGGAAAACTAGGTCGCGACTCGCGAGAGAAAAATGCTGATGAAAATGACGACCTGATTCTCGCAAAAGGGATGAGATCATGAGATCAAGGTCGCCAGGGTTGGAAACCCTAGATCTAGTGCGGTAATGTGAGGTTGTGCGGGAAATTATGGTTGGGAAGCCGTTTAGGTGGGGTCGAAATGTCTCTGCCCGGACCTCCAATTTGTGACGTTCGCGAATGTCAATCTCGCGGGTCGGATTTTTTTCCGCGCAGCCCGAAAATGTTTTTGGGAAGCGTCTCACGTCTCGTACTGCGTCCAGCCGCGTCCAACGTTCAGCGTCCAGCGTCCGGACGCAAGCGTCTAGAGCGTCTTTCTCAACATGCGCCGCGGACTAGCTATGTTGGAGCCATCTCTGATATTTCTCAAAACTCAACAAACTAATGACTCGGACGAGCGACTCGCTCCCCTTCGGCCATTGGTGGGAGGGAGGGAGGCAGCGACACTTTTTGCAAATCTAATTCCTACCCGCCCACCCGTCTTCCGGGCGGCTCAACATCGATGCCGCATGCAGTATCCGTCTTTCATCATGCTCCTTCTCTCCTCCCCATCCCCCTCCCCCTTCTGTCAGGGCTTTTCAATGAACGCGGTACCCCCAACGCCATCGGAAATAGTGAAAGGGGGCATATGACGGATCTTCATTGCCCGCAACCTCTGTTCTCATCCCATTTCCCATCCCCCTCAGGGCTTTTCAATGAACGCGGTACCCCCAGCGCCATCGGAAATAGTGAAGGGAGGCATAGCGCGCAACTTCATTGCCCGCAGCCTCTTGGAGGCGCGGTCCATAGAGGATGCCGTGCAGGTGAGTGAGTGTGATTTCAATGAGTGTAGCTGTAACGAGTGGGACGTTAACGAGTAGGGAGGCATAAGGCGGAACTTCATTGCCCGCAGCCTGATGGAGGCGCGGTCTATAGAGGATGCCGTGCAGGTGAGTGAGTGTGACTGTAACGAGTGTCACTGTAGCGAGTGGGACGTCAACGAATGGGGAGGATGCGGCTAACTTTGCTGCCTGCAGCCTCATAGAGTCACGGTCCATAAAGGATGCCGTGCAGGTGAGTGAGTGTGACTGTAACGAGTGGGATCGAAGGGAAATATGGCAGTAGACAAGCGAAGGATGCTTGGGGAAAGTTATTGCGGATTTCTTTTGGCCGATTCTTATCACTTCAATGCCACACTCCCTCTTTCCTACTCTCTTTCTCACTACCCTTCCCCTCCCCTCCCCACCTTTCCCCGGCCTATCCCCCTCTTCCCTTCCCTCTGACACCCGCCTCCCAATCAACACGTGCCACGTGGCAGCGTGTGACTGGCCCAGCGGTGGCAGTGGGGCATCACTACGTGCTGATGGACTTTGCCCACCGGCGAATCGTGTCCGTTGAAACCGCATCCAAGGGCCGACATAGCATCCTGGAGTTCGGTCCAAATCCCAAGCTGGGAAGCCAAGCTGACCTTATTGGTGCTCCTGCTGCTTCTAACGGCGCTGCTTCTAACTGTAATGGTGCTGCCTATGCTAACGGGAACGGTGCTGCCTATGCTAACGGGAACGGTGCTGCCTATGCTAACGGTAGCGGTGCTGCCTATGCTAACGGTGTTTCTGCTGCTGCTGGTGCTGCTGGTGCTGCTGGTGCTGCTGGTGCTGAAGGCACGAAATACATGTTCCATGCCAATGCATACACGAGGCTGCAGCTGCAGGAGAAGGCGACCCCTTGCTCGCACATTCGAGAGGCCACTGCCAGGCGCCTGGGGGTACCGTCCACCACCCACGACATCCTTACAGTGAGTGGGACGGAACTGTAATGGAATGGGCTTGGTGCGGTCATGCGTGTGTGACAAGTTTTGAGACGTCTCAAAAGTCGCCTTGGGGTACCGTCCACCACCCACGACATCCTTACAGTGAGTGTGACAATACTGAGGTTCTGAGGCGGAGAGCGCTTGGTGCGGTCAAATGCGTGTGTGACAATACTGAGATTCTGTGTGCAATAGGGCCCCCAGCTCCTTCTCACCGCAGAGCTTCAATGAGGGAAACGCCTTCTCACGTCACCCCACGCACGTCACCCTCACGTCTCACGTCACGCCCTTCTCACGTCACCCCACGCATGTCCTCAACCCCCTGTGAACTGAGACGATTTTTGAGGCGCCTCAAAAATCGCAGAGCTTCAATGAGGGAAACGCCTTCTCACGCCACCCCACGCATGCCCTTGTCTCGTCTCTCAACCCCCTGTGCTTGCCACCCCCCTTGTGTCGCCCACCAGATCCTATCCAACTCGGACGACAAGGAGCATCCGATCTTCCATGAGGGGAAAGGCCCTTCGATAAACCCCGTGCCCTTCCCAAGTCTCTCCCCTCACCTCTCTCTCCCCTCACCTCTCTCTCTCCTCACCTCTCTCTCCCCTCACCTCTCTCTCCCCTCACCTCTCTCTCCCCTCACCTCTCTCGCCCACCAGATCCTATCCAACTCGGACGACAAGGAGCATTCCATCTTCAGTGACGTAAAACCCTATGTGGCCGGAGGTGAGCAATGCAGTGCGGTGCCAGGGTGTATGAGGAGGTTGTGGGGGTGTGGTTGTGGGTGCGGGTGTGTATGTGTGGGTGCGGGGGTGTGCATATGGGTAGGGCAGTTACGGATGACGAGGAGAATTCCATTTTCAGTGACAAAAAAACCCTTATTGGTCGGAGGTGAGCAATCCAGTGGTGCCAGGGTGTATGAGGGTGTGTGAGGGTGTGCGAGGGTGTGTGTGAGGGTGCACAAGGTTTTCTGAGGGTGTACAAGGGTGTGCAAGGGGGCACAAGGGGGTTACAAGGGGGTACAAGGGGGTACAAGGGGGTACAAGGGGGTACAAGGGGGTTCAATGATTCTGAACCAGCACACTTTGCAGCCCTATCCACACACTGCTGCGCAGCAAGCCATATCAGGCTATCCATGCTTCGTAAGTGACCATCCTGCGCAGCTGCCATATCAGGCTATCCATGCTTCGTAAGTGACCATCCTGCACAGCTGCCATATCAGGCTATCCATGCTTCGTAAGTGACCATCCTGCGCAGCTGCCATATCAGGCTATCCATGCTTCGTAAGTGACCATCCTGCGCAGCTGCCATATCAGGCTATCCATGCTTCGTAAGTGACCATCCTGCGCAGCTGCCATATCAGGCTATCCATGCTTCGTAAGTGACCATCCTGCGCAGCTGCCATATCAGGCTATCCATGCTTCGTAAGTGACCATCCTGCGCAGCTGCCATATCAGGCTATCCATGCTTCGTAAGTGACCATCCTGCGCAGCTGCCATATCAGGCTATCCATGCTTCGTAAGTGACCATCCTGCGCAGCTGCCATATCAGGCTATCCATGCTTCGTAAGTGACCATCCTGCGCAGCTGCCATATCAGGCTATCCATGCTTCGTAAGTGACCATCCTGCGCAGCTGCCATATCAGGCTATCCATGCTTCGTAAATGACCATCCTGCGCAGCTGCCATATCAGGCTATCCATGCTTCGTAAGTGACCATCCTGCGCAGCTGCCCTATCAGGCTATCCATGCTTCGTAAGTGACCATCCTGCGCAGCTGCCATATCAGGCTATCCATGCTTCGTAAGTGACCATCCTGCGCAGCTGCCATATCAGGCTATCCATGCTTCGTAAGTGACCATCCTGCGCAGCTGCCATATCAGGCTATCCATGCTTCGTAAGTGACCATCCTGCGCAGCTGCCATATCAGGCTATCCATGCTTCGTAAGTGACCATCCTGCGCAGCTGCCCTATCAGGCTATCCATGCTTCGTAAGTGACCATCCTGCGCAGCTGCCCTATCAGGCTATCCATGCTTCGTAAGTGACCATCCTGCGCAGCTGCCATATCTGTCCATGCTTCGTAAGTGACCATCCTGCGCAGCCGCCATATCAGGCTATCCATGCTTCGTAAGTGACCATCCTGCGCAGCTGCCATATCAGGCTATCCATGCTTCGTAAGTGACCATCCTGCGCAGCTGCCATATCAGGCTATCCATGCTTCGTAAGTGACCATCCTGCGCAGCTGCCATATCAGGCTATCCATGCTTCGTAAGTGACCATCCTGCGCAGCTGCCCTATCAGGCTATCCATGCTTCGTAAGTGACCATCCTGCGCAGCTGCCATATCAGGCTATCCATGCTTCGTAAGTGACCATCCTGCGCAGCTGCCATATCAGGCTATCCATGCTTCGTAAGTGACCATCCTGCGCAGCTGCCATATCAGGCTATCCATGCTTCGTAAGTGACCATCCTGCGCAGCTGCCCTATCAGGCTATCCATGCTTCGTAAGTGACCATCCTGCGCAGCTGCCCTATCAGGCTATCCATGCTTCGTAAGTGACCATCCTGCGCAGCTGCCCTATCAGGCTATCCATGCTTCGTAAGTGACCATCCTGCGCAGCTGCCCTATCAGGCTATCCATGCTTCGTAAGTGACCATCCTGCGCAGCTGCCATATCTATCCATGCTTCGTAAGTGACCATCCTGCGCAGCTGCCCTATCAGGCTATCCATGCTTCGTAAGTGACCATCCTGCGCAGCTGCCATATCAGGCTATCCATGCTTCGTAAGTGACCATCCTGCGCAGCTGCCATATCAGGCTATCCATGCTTCGTAAGTGACCATCCTGCGCAGCTGCCCTATCAGGCTATCCATGCTTCGTAAGTGACCATCCTGCGCAGCTGCCCTATCAGGCTATCCATGCTTCGTAAGTGACCATCCTGCGCAGCTGCCCTATCAGGCTATCCATGCTTCGTAAGTGACCATCCTGCGCAGCTGCCATATCTGTCCATGCTTCGTAAGTGACCATCCTGCGCAGCTGCCATATCAGGCTATCCATGCTTCGTAAGTGACCATCCTGCGCAGCTGCCCTATCAGGCTATCCATGCTTCGTAAGTGACCATCCTGCGCAGCTGCCATATCTGTCCATGCTTCGTAAGTGACCATCCTGCGCAGCTGCCCTATCAGGCTATCCATGCTTCGTAAGTGACCATCCTGCGCAGCTGCCCTATCAGGCTATCCATGCTTCGTAAGTGACCATCCTGCGCAGCTGCCCTATCAGGCTATCCATGCTTCGTAAGTGACCATCCTGCGCAGCTGCCATATCTATCCATGCTTCGTAAGTGACCATCCTGCGCAGCTGCCCTATCAGGCTATCCATGCTTCGTAAGTGACCATCCTGCGCAGCTGCCATATCAGGCTATCCATGCTTCGTAAGTGACCATCCTGCGCAGCTGCCATATCAGGCTATCCATGCTTCGTAAGTGACCATCCTGCGCAGCTGCCCTATCAGGCTATCCATGCTTCGTAAGTGACCATCCTGCGCAGCTGCCCTATCAGGCTATCCATGCTTCGTAAGTGACCATCCTGCGCAGCTGCCCTATCAGGCTATCCATGCTTCGTAAGTGACCATCCTGCGCAGCTGCCATATCTGTCCATGCTTCGTAAGTGACCATCCTGCGCAGCTGCCCTATCAGGCTATCCATGCTTCGTAAGTGACCATCCTGCGCAGCTGCCCTATCAGGCTATCCATGCTTCGTAAGTGACCATCCTGCGCAGCTGCCATATCAGGCTATCCATGCTTCGTAAGTGACCATCCTGCGCAGCTGCCCTATCAGGCTATCCATGCTTCGTAAGTGACCATCCTGCGCAGCTGCCATATCTGTCCATGCTTCGTAAGTGACCATCCTGCGCAGCTGCCCTATCAGGCTATCCATGCTTCGTAAGTGACCATCCTGCGCAGCTGCCATATCAGGCTATCCATGCTTCGTAAGTGACCATCCTGCGCAGCTGCCCTATCAGGCTATCCATGCTTCGTAAGTGACCATCCTGCGCAGCTGCCATATCTGTCCATGCTTCGTAAGTGACCATCCTGCGCAGCTGCCCTATCAGGCTATCCATGCTTCGTAAGTGACCATCCTGCGCAGCTGCCCTATCAGGCTATCCATGCTTCGTAAGTGACCATCCTGCGCAGCTGCCCTATCAGGCTATCCATGCTTCGTAAGTGACCATCCTGCGCAGCTGCCATATCTATCCATGCTTCGTAAGTGACCATCCTGCGCAGCTGCCCTATCAGGCTATCCATGCTTCGTAAGTGACCATCCTGCGCAGCTGCCATATCTGTCCATGCTTCGTAAGTGACCATCCTGCGCAGCTGCCCTATCAGGCTATCCATGCTTCGTAAGTGACCATCCTGCGCAGCTGCCCTATCAGGCTATCCATGCTTCGTAAGTGACCATCCTGCGCAGCTGCCCTATCAGGCTATCCATGCTTCGTAAGTGACCATCCTGCGCAGCTGCCCTATCAGGATATCCATGCTTCGTAAGTGACCATCCTGCGCAGCTGCCCTATCAGGCTATCCATGCTTCGTAAGTGACCATCCTGCGCAGCTGCGCTGCTGCCATATCCATGCTTCGCAAGTGACCATCTACTCTCTCACACCGTCCCCACAGGGAGCAGTCACCTCTCTCCCTTCTTTGGTGTTACTTCTGAGAAATTTCAAAAGTGACACCAATATCCCTGGCCAAACGCTGCGCAGCAAACTCATAAACCTCAATGCTTCGCAAGAGACCATCATCTCTCTCACACCGGCCATGCAGGCACCAGTCACCTCTCCCCCTTCTTTGGTGTTACTTATGAGACTTCTCAAAAGTAGCACCATCATCCCTGTCCAAATGCTGCGCAGCAAGCAACCTCATAAACCTCCATGCTTCGCAAAAAAACTTCTGGGTGATACAAAAATGGGAGTGTCTCTGCAAGGTGCCACTCACCTCTCGTCCTTCCTCTTTTCCCAACACTCCTTTTCTCTTCCCTGTACCCTCCTCTGTGTTCCCGCCTCACCCAGTCCGTCACACGCTGCACAACACGCTCTGCAACCTGGATGCCGGGAAACTTAGGGTTTCCCTCTTTTCTTGTTTCCCTCTTTTCTTGTATTCCTCTTTCCCTCTCCTCCTCTTTTCCTCTTTTCCTCTTTCCCTCTTTTCTTGTTTTCCTCTTTTCCTCTTTTCTCTTCCCTCCAGTCCGTCACACGATGCACAGCTCGCTCTTCAACCTGGACGCCGGGACACTCAGCATCTATGGAGGCCGCTCCACCGATGGCAACGTGATCCATCATTTCGACATCTGACGCGCACACCTGAGGGGCACCTGAGGATCACCTGAAGAGGATCCGAGGAGCACCAAAGGAGCACCTGAGGATGCCCTTGGGCACCGGAGAGAACACCTGAGGAGGCACCCGAGGGGGCACCTGGGGGGGCACCTGGGGGGGCACCTGAGGGGGCAGATATGAACCTGGATTCCAGGAACGTGGCCATTTGTGTTTCGCTCAGCCCACAGATGGCTACATGTTCCACGGGCTTTTTCGCATGAGTGGCTGAGGGCGCCTGAGGGACACCTGAGGGACCCTTTTGAGTCGACTCAAAAGTCACCTCATTTGTGTTTGGCAGCCACATGTTCTACGAGCTTTTTTCGCAGAAGTGGCTGAGGGCACCTTAGGGACACCTGAGGGTTAGTTT